GCCCTGTTTCGGCCAAGTCTCGATATCCTGCCTCCGGCCTCCGCCCCAGCCATCTGATAACAACACTGAGATACTCAGAACACGCCCTTATATCTAATAAGGCTACTAAATCCTTAACTACATGTGGGTATACACCTACAAGCTAAATAAGTATAATTAGTTCCTAAAGTATAAGGCTTAACTCGTCATCCATAGTAATTAGTAGTAGAATATTACTATACAAGATACCTACGCCGCAACGCTAGCTAGCCACTTATTTTATATACTTATGGCAATCATAGCTAAGTATAATCTTAAGCTTAAGTAGTATAACGTTACTAATGCCTTCGTACATGCTCTACTTGATTGAGAAGTCTATATAAAGATGCTAGTGGGATACTAACGCAAAGGTACTATCCTTAAGCTATAGAAGGCACTTTATGGACTCCATATTACACCTAAGCTCTAGTAGAGAGAGTTTACTATAACACTAGAAAGCCTTAGCTTTACCATAGTACCTCATAAGCCATGCTGCGTAATTAAGGACGGCATTATAATATTCTTCTATGTTAATGATATTATCGTTACTTACTATAAAAATAAGGAGGTAGTAGTAACTAAAGTAGTTAACCTACTATAAAATAAATACACTATGACTAGAGGTGATAACCTATAGTAGTTTCTTAGTATGGAGGTTATCTAATAAAGAGACTAGAACCTTATACAGCTATTGCAAGCCGTATATATTAAAAAGATCTAATAATTAATTAATAAAATAGACTACCAATATAATACGCCTATGGCTGGTGTAGAGCTAAAGCCCTATATAGGGTTAGCCTCACTATTAGAGGTTAATAAGTATTAATGGAAGATTAGATCCCTACTATTTACCGCCATAATAACGCGCCCAGATATCGCTTTCGCCATATCACGATTAGCCTAATTCCTCACAAACCCAGGCTAAGAGCACTATGATGTAGCTGATCAAGTACTCCTTTATCTTGGAGCAATAAGGCAAAAAGCCCTATAGCTAGGAGGCGGAGATACCCTTTAGGTCGCTAGTAATGCCTCTTTTGCTGATAATACTCTGGATTAGAAAAGCTTACAAGGATATACAATTAAGCTGTTTAGTAGCTTAATCCTGTAGTGAGTAAATAAACAGGATACCATTACAACGTCAACAACTAAGGTAGAGCTCCTAGCCCTCACGTAAGTGGCCAAGGAAGCAATGTACCTCTCCCAATTATTAAAGGAACTAAGGATCAACCTGCCTAGCACCATAATCACAATCCAATGTGATAATAAATAGACAATTCGACTGGTTATATAGGAAGTATCAAAACTCTAGACTAAGCTTTAACATGTGGATATCCACACCCACTAGCTGAGACAAGAGGTTGCTACTGGGACGATCACTGTTGAGTATATTAGATCGGACGACATGATTGCCGATGGACTCACAAAGGTGCTGCCAGCTAACAAATGGCAAGGCCTGCTCGATTAACTAGGCCTAGTTGACGTGATGAGTGTAGAGGTGATAAGAACTGCACCACTTAATAAGATATAGGACTACCTTCACCAAGTACTCTAACGATCAATCGCCCAATTAATCAGCTCAGGTAGCGACAACGCACCGAGCTGAGGGGGTGTGTCAGATATGAGGGCGTGTACTGAGTATCTTACTGTTGTTAGATAAGGGCCTACGAAGTTGCCTTGGTACGGACAGTACTCCGGGCAGGTGGCAGGGATAGCTGGCCATCCGCCCTTGCTGGACACCCAGCCCCGAAGCAAGGGATAGTTGATAGGAACCTAATAAAAGCTGGCAGAACACACGTATATGACAATAATCAATCTATTCATCTCATCTCCAGATCACCGACATCCATCAAATCACTGTGTGAATCTGACAACATGAAGTAAATACTATTGCCTACAGCTAGACCTTATAATATAATATATATTAATAAAGTAATAAAATCTCTTAATTTCTAGGTATAAAGATATGTAAAAAGATATAGGCTTATAGTTTCTTCGCCACTTGACTGGTCTCCTGGAAGTGGGAACAAGATTGAACTAGTCATTTGGAACTTAGCGTCAGACATGAGGCTAAAGAACACGTCCTCACTCGCATGGCGTTTTTTCATTGCGACCGCAACTGTAACATAAGGGAACTGTAAGGCAATGTGTTGGATGGTGTTGACAAATGCTGGACTGTGAGAGGTTTAGTACAATGTGGCCTAAGTTTACCGGAAGACACACTAACCTGCTGTCAGCGTTGTACGTACAATCCGCTGCGACTACGAGATCTACCGCCCGCTCTAGCGAGCCACCATACCTCAGAGGGTGTTCCCAATCTAGCTCGTGAAATGCCAATACGGCCTTATTTGTGCGACATCTTGACGCAAATCCAATGTTTCGTACAGCGATTGCCTGCGCTTCGGCCAGATCTGTGACAGAGATTTCGACGTTTGCAACTAAATGGGACAACACTATACTGACCTGCGATGGTGAGCTGCTTCTGGCAAGCCATTTAAGAGATAATTGTGCTTACCATACCACATCCGGAACCGAGCTCAATGACACGCAACGGTGGTTCAAAGCATGCACTTGACAGTAGAGCATCGGCATGACCTCGACGTCGACGGCTGTCCGCTACCATACTGTTGATTATGCCAGAATGCCCCAAAAGGCAAGGCAGCTGATTTGACAATGCAACCCCAGCGTCCCTGCCAAATTGTCAATCAAGGGCTGCGTGGGCTTATTGCTGACGAATGCGGGTAGGAATTACCACACGTGACGGGCAATGCTCTCGCCTGTTTCCTCAAATATGCGATGGGTGCGAGAGCCGATCTTGAAGCGTCTCTCCACGGTCCTTGCGACGGAGGCGCTGCGACGAAGGTTGAAAGGGGCACTCCAAACCGACACCACCCCGGGCGAGTCTTCCAGTAGCATGCGGTTGAAGTCATCAGAATCGGCCTTGGGCTCAGCGCCTACTCGCACAACGAGAACGCCATCCTGTTTGTAGTTCCGACTAAGGGGAAGGGTGATGGGGAGGCTGCGCATCCCTTCCTTCCATTGGAACGTCTTCCAAGCCTTGACATTGTCGTAGGAGAGCAGGGTATCAGGGGCTGGAAGCTGCGCGTCAGAATCTGAGTCCGGCTCCAGTCCCGTTTCGCTGGCATATTGCTCGTCCTGAATGAGCTCTGCGGACAGCGTGAGACTGTATGGAAGGAACGAGTCGCCCAGATCGGAGGTGATGGTGACCAAGCAAGCCACGTGGGCGCTGGGGCGGTGTTTGTCGTGCACTACCCGCGGAGGCTTGAGGAAGCGTATGTAGCGCATTGTTGCGAGGGGGCAATGTGCGAGGAGGCTGGGGCTGCATGGGCGCGGACGGTGAATGCAGCGTGCACGTGAAGCGAAGCGTACAGGTGCCCCGGTGGTGTGCTAGGCCGGCGGCCGGGGCCAGGCTAGGCCCGCCGAACCAGAGCAGCGCAGACGTACGTCAACGGCCGAGGCAGGCAAGGCTCAAGCACTGTCCAGCATTCACCAGCGCAACACGTCGGCCGTCAACCAGCCAGCCAGGACGTCGACGTCTCCTGCCGCGCACGGTCGATGCGCCGTCTGCGCGCCGCCACCCCAGCGCAATCGCAATGTACCGTCGCGGTGACCCGCGGTGGAACCGCACGCTGCAGAACATCTCGGACACGGTCGAGCATGCCAACGAGTCTGCGCAGGAGGGCCTCTACAGCTTTGCGCACGCCTATATCACGCCCTGCCTCTCGTCGCTCACGCAGTGCGCCAATGCGTGCACGGCGCCCTGCTTCCCGTCGCACAACGACCGGCGGCGGCACCGCGCGCGGTCGCGGGGCCGCGCCGAGCAGAGCTTCGACTTCTACGACGACTGGGACGGGGACGAGGACGACGGGCTGCTGGGCTGGGGGCACGACAACCTCGACCGCCTGTGGGGCGCCACCGCCAACTACGGCACCACATCCCAGCCCAGTCGCCCGCGCGCAATGAGCTATGGCGACCGCAACCGCAACCGCGACCCCCGATTTACCAGGCCGCGCAGGAAGAGCGCCGTGCCCCCGCATGACGGCGGGCCCGACCCCACCATCATCCCCAGCTCCTCGTACTTTGGCTTCCTGGGCAGGCTGCCCTTCAGGCTCGGCGGCAAGGTGCTGCGCTACCGGCCCTCGGCCGCAGACCTGACAGAGCACCCGGGCCAGGCGCGGAGGAGCTACGACGAGGCCCAGCCTCTGATCGAGGGCAGCGACGACGACGGCGCCGAAGCGCAGCACGGCAGCGACATTAAAACACACGGGCGCAAGCGTAGCCAGACGAACGCTTCAGGCCACACGACCGACTCGTTCAGCTCCCGCGGCGACATCTTCCCGAGCGAGGACGAGCTGGACGATGCTGTGCCCCTGGACGACGAGTTTGCCGTGGCCCTCGAGCGTCGGACCACAGGACAATGGTACGACGATGCCAGTAGCGGCAAGGACAGAGCGCCGTCTGGCAGCAAGAGCAAGAGGCCGTCTGCCTCTCGCCTGTCCACCAAGTCGACCTCCTCTCGCAACATTCAAGATCCTGGCCGGAACAGTCACGAAGCAAATGTTACGCGGTTACCCTTAGAGCCCACGGATGAGGCGACCACCCTCACAGACCTTCAGCATGAAGAGGAGCAGCTGCGCCTACAGGAGGAGGCTGAGGTCCACAGGCGGCGCCAGGAAGCACAGCAGTTAGCCGTCAGGCGTGGGCTTACAGCAGCTCATCAACATCTCCCTATTCCTCGGCGACTATCGCCCTCTCCGAGCTCTACAGCGCCTCCAGGTCAGATGGGAACGCCATCGACGACGTTGTCGCCTTTTTTCATGCGCACAACAGGCAGTGAAACATGCCCCGATTCAGAGCCTGCGCTGTCGCCATTTCCGGTCGTCGACACACAGACTATGCCGGACAGCAGCTCGTTCCACGTCGATGAGTCTGACTATTCTAGCCTAGCTACCACACCAAATAGGCCGCTGTCTTTGAAGGACGAAGCGAGGGACAAACAGGTTGACAACAAGAACTCCAATTTCGTGCCTGCCCGACTGCCGCACTTTGATGCACAGCCTAGCTGAACTATATAATTCACGATCATCATGTCTAACTTTACTTCATTAACTCGTGTGTCGCGATTGCAATACAGTTGCAATCACCCCGGCCGAATCCAGTGACAGTCACCGGAGTTTATTGGACAAGGGCACACAGGCGCCGAACATGAATGAGCCAGAAGCGAGCATTTGTGGGTTAGAGGGTGCAAGCTCAATGCATCGAGGACGCAAGACGAGGTGCCGGTTTCCCCGCTACGCAGCGAGCGAACGTTTCGCAGGTGCCGTAATGAGTCACAATGGAGCTATCTCGTCACGCAGTACGCACATTACGTAGACAGAACAGTTTGGATGACCGGAATGATCATGTGATTAGATTTTTACATTCCTCCGAACGTAAGGGATCTTTTTGTCAAGTCCTGGTAGATCTCATCTAACACTCCCCTCTTCCGCTTCTTGCTCTCATCTTTCGACTCCTGCTCTTCGTGAGCCTCTTCGTCCAACGCGGCATCTTCCTCCGTCCGCGGTAGCCACACCGAGATGCTGCCATCCGAATGTGCAGAGTACATCTCAACGTCGTGCGCACGCCACGCCAATGATGTAATTTTGTCTTTGGCGTTGCGCTGTCCTTGGCCACGGATCCCGTACATTTGCTTTTGCTGCTCGGTGCGGCGCAGGCGGCGAAAGAGTTTACCGTCGAACAGCTCATACCCCAGGATCTCGTGCTCATTCGGGTAGAACAAAACGTCTTTCCCTGATTGCAGATGCTTTGCTGGTGGGAGAAGTGGAATGCACGGCGCAAGATCCGAGTTCTTGACCATGGGTCCGAAATTCGCAAGCGTGTTTGCGCCAGTGTTTGTATCCCAGACGCGGATGCGTTGATCGTGTCCACATGTTACTAAATGATGTCCGTCTTCCGTCCATACAATTCCGTTTACAGGGCCTCGGTGCGCCTTGCCTTGTACCGAGTTGCGCATGAACAACGAAGCCGGCCTGCCTAACAGGCCTACGGAATCTTCCATATCCAAGATGCCCAGTTCGCTCACGCTACGACGGACGTCCCAGAAGCGCACACTCCCATCTGTCGCTCCACTGGCAAGGATATGTTCACGGGTGGGGCTCCAAGCTGTGCTGAGGATGGCACCTGAATGACCAGCAAGTGAATGTGAACTTGCTCCAGAGCGCAGATCTACGAGGCGCACAGTGGGGTGCTGGGTTGCGCATGCGACCAACAAGTGCGATGCAATGGGCGAAAGCGCGATGCTATAAACGACGCTACCAAGATCGAAGGATGCAGACGGCATAAGAGTTTCGCTGGAGTAGATTTTGACTGTGTGGTCGTATGATGACGTGAGAAACGCCAGACTATCGAATGGGTAGAAGGAGACCTGCGTGATGCCGAGCTTATGCTCCTCTGCCGTCTTCCTCATGGTCGAGAGCGGCGCATATGTGGCGTCCCCGTCAACGACCGTGGGCCGTGCCTCGAGATCCCATAGCGCGACCGAGGAATCCGCGCCGCCCGAAAGCAGATAACGGCCGTCGAAGCGGTCGATGGTGAGTGCGTTGACGCCCGCGATGTGTGCTCTGTGGCGCTCGTTCGGTTCGTGAGGAGAAGGGAGTCGTGCGCTAAAGCTTACCGATGACGGCTGGAGCGCGTAGACAAGATGAGCGACGAGCGCGCGTTTGATGACATGAGTTGGGCTGATTCCGTATGCGCGGTTGGCGATTTGTTGTGCGTTCATGTGCGACTACATGCTTTGCGCTGTCGGGCAATTTTCGTGTTGCCGTACATACGAAGTTTTAACAACCGCGGTTGATGACGACACACAGATTATATAAGCACTAGGTCCTTAGGGCTACATACTCACCTGCTGCTGCATCCAAAAGGCAAATCGGATTCATGCCTTATAAATTGAGTCGCAGCATTTTGAGGGGCTGCCCGAGAGCCCACAGTAAAGCCACAAGCCGGGAGTAACGCCTCCGTTTGCGCAAAAACTGCTCAAAAATACATCTGTCGAGGGCGGAATGCCGTCGGAAACGGTGCGATCAAGCAGGTCGACGGTCTACGATGCTGTAGCAGGTAAGGAGACAAGGGCCAAGCCATCATGCATTCATGAATTGAACGTTATGCAGGACGAGTCACGCAGTCGGGGGTGTACGAACCAACAGCAACTGAGCAGAAGCGCGCAACACTACGGCTGCGCCCGGACGAAGTCCTTTTCAAGCAACGACGCGCTCCGCCGCGATACGAAGAGGCAGACTATTACTTTGCTCACCGAAAGCTTCCTTCCAGCCAGGCGTTGCCCTCCAGCGACCTGTTGAGCGCGCTTCATGAATACATCGCGCAACTGTATGACTGTAACTTTTCACAAGACAGAAAAGAATCGGGTTCCTGGAAGAGCATGGATGAGACGGCGTTGATTGCGTTTGGTGTCCTGTTGGAAGAGGCTATGAAAGCAACCTTGGGAGAGAGGGGCCATCTTGCTCTGGTCGAAGCCGAGGGGAGCCAAGAGGACGAGACGTTTGTGAAAAACGCGAGAGTCAAGGAGGAAGAGGACGGAAGAGGACGGAGAGGAAGAGGACGAGACATTTGCTAGGCCATTCCGGATTAAGGAGGAGGAGGAGTTGCTGGACGATGTGCAAATGCCTCTTCCGGACAAATTGGGTTAAGAGATACTAAGCAGAGCGACATGTCACTTCCAGTGAAATACGATGCTCACGATATGTGTGATGGGTTCGCGCACGGGCGCTCGACGTAGGCTAGCTTGTGGGCATGTCGTTCTGATCCAGACAGCTGTACGGTACTGTGCCGTGACTTCCTCCTGGGCAACAATGAGGCAGGTGCGACCACATCAACAAATGATCCCAACAAGCGCTCCGAACCCCAAATTGTGATCAACTCACCGTCTAACTTCGTCAAGCCCTGCCCTGGGTTACGGTAGTCCTACAGCTCAGTTATGGTGAGATCGTCTGCCTTGCTGCGTTCTGCCTCCCGCTCACATGACCCAGGCACCCAAGATCACCATCAACGTCGCCAGAGTGGCGACCATTCAAGCGTGGTTCCATAAAACGGCTGTCGCGCATAGCATCAAAGACCTTGAGAAGGCACTTCCACAGGTTGCGTCCATCAGCGGCATGCAAGTGAAGGATTATTTGCAAGCCCTCCAAGACGACAACAAGATCTGCGTTGAGAAGATCGGCAGTGGCAATTGGTACTGGAGCTTTCCAAGTGACGAAAAGAAGACCAGAGAGGCTGCGTTGGAGAGGGCTCAGGAGGACTTGATCAAAGCCGATACTGCGGCCACGGAACTGCAGAGGAAGGTTGACGATGCAGGAGCGGTGCGCGGCGAAGATGGAGAGACATTTGCATACACCGGTAGGGTCCTTCCGTATCGCGTTGCTTCTTCAGCTGACCTGTGGAGGGATGGACCGCGATTCTCTCACTACCAAGCACGCCACTTTGATAAAGGAACTCGAGCAACTTCGACAGGAATTGGCCGCTTACAGCGAGCAAGACCCCATCGAAGTAGACAAGAAGAAACACGAAGCACAGCAATACCAGGGTGAAGTGGATAAATACACGGATCAAATACTCAGCATGGAGGGTTGGCTGAAGGAGCGGTTGAGGGGCGATGCAGAGCAGGTGATGCAGACCAAGCGCCTGCTCTATGGTGACGACTTCGACGAAGAGGAGGGCGGCTTGCGCGAATCGTGAATATGACTCGTTCGATGCCTCTTATCAAAGGAGGGATTGTAGGGGGGTGGCGGTGGACGGCACCACGCAGACATAGACATGCGCACTCACGCTAGTGAGGTGCAGCACGCAGCCCCAGTGGTACGGATGCAGCCATGGCTGCATCTGTGTGTAAGCCATAGCATAATTGTAAGCAATATTGCGAGTCGAGTGACGCTATCTCATGAATCATTTCGCGTCATTGTGTCGCCTTCGGGAGTGGATATTGAGTCATCTCTTTCCATGCCTAGGTGGCTGTGCCTGCATGTGAGGCTGAGGCGGGGTACCACGTGATTCGCTTCCGAATCCTGCGTCATGATAATACATCACAAACTCGGACCCTCGCAACTTTTACCATTTCGCGGGACGGCGTGCCCTTGAGCCCACGCGCCTCGTGCCAACCGCCAGGATCGAATTCGTCGCGATCTGCGCGCAGCCAAACAATTGTTGCAGCATCTTGCACCCAGGAAACACCCCGCATGGACTCTACGAGCGCAAACTTGCCTACACCCGGCCTCAACCCTGCCAGTCCCATCCGCGGCGGAAGGGCCAGAGGGCGAGGGCGAGGCTTCTATTCGGGCGGCTCGGAGCAGAATCATGAACACACTGGGGGGAGGGGCCGTGGACGAGGCGGCACGCAAGCGGGACGGGGCAGAGGCCGCGCAGACCGAGACGGCGGAGCAAGTCGGGGAGCGCGGTCGTTGGACAAAGGCAAAGCGCCTGCTACCAGCGCGCCTGATAACCATGGTGTGTTGGCAGCCCCTGCAAGACCAGTCGTGCTGGGCTCGGATGTAGAGGCAGACACAGACGCAGAGGAAGGTGAGGTGTGCTTTATCTGCGCATCACCCGTACAGCACACCGCTGTCGCGCCATGCAACCACCGCTCCTGCCATATCTGCTCCTTGCGGTTACGAGCGCTATACAAGACGAAGGCATGCGCGCATTGTAGGACTGAGTCCGACCATGTGATATTCACAGACGACCCGAACAAAACTTTCCAGGCGTTTGCGCCCGCAGATTTCTTCAAGTCAGACGATAATCTCGGGATACACTTCGAGAATCTAGAGACATACGACGACACGCGGCTGTTGCTCCAATACAATTGCCCGGACAGTGTCTGCGACGTTGCTTGCCTGGGCTGGCCGGATTTGCACCGACATGTCAAGACGGCACATGGAAAAGTTATGTGGTGAGTACCTCTAGGTGAAAACTATTCAGGCCCGTAGCACTATACTGACCTAGCCAGCGATCTTTGTACACGGAACAAGAAAGTCTTCACGCATGAACACGAGCTCTTCACATTTGCTGAGCTTCGAAAGCACCAGAAGTTTGGAGACGATAACCCTGGGGCTATTGATCAAAGTGGGTTCAAAGGGCATCCCGAGTGTGGTTTCTGTCGACAACGATTCTATGGAGACGACGAATTGTACACGCACTGTAGGGAGAAGCATGAGCGCTGTCATCTCTGCGACCGTCGAAATGAAGGCCGAAAGCCTCAATACTATCTCGACTACGACGACCTGGAAAATCATTTTCGAAAAGATCATTTCCTTTGCCCAGACAGGGAATGTTTAGAGAAGAAGTTCGTTGTTTTCGATTCCGAGATGGATCTCAAGGCACATCAACTGGAAACACACCCGAACGGACTCTCAAAGGACGCGCTTCGAGATGCTAGGAGAGTGGACATGTCAGGATTTTCAATACGGTCGCACGAGCAGGAACAAGACGGAAGGCGAGGCCGCGCGGGTAGGGATGGAAGAGGCGACAGGGGCGGACGAGCAGGACGGGGGCGAGATCCAAATTCGGAACCGCTACCTCCATCATCAGCTCAGCCAATGACCAGAGCTGAGCTTGCTTACCAGCGACAGATGGCTTTGCAACATGCTTCGTCAACGTCTGGGACACCTTCCGGGGGAAGGCCTTCCGCCGGACCCACGCCCACGGAGGCATTCGCCGCTCGACCCCGACCGTCTGCGAGCGATCCGCCCACTGTCAGTGTACCACGCCCTGTAAGGACTTTGGCGAACGAGCTTTCGAATCGAGTTGGTCAAGTACAGCTAGACGCGCCGGCGCCCAATGTTATGCCGCAAACACCTCAAGAGCAGGCACGTTTGCTTCGACACAGTGCGGTAACAGAAAGAGCTTCAAACATGCTGCGCAATGACCAGACAAAGCTGCAGGAGTTCCGCTCAAGCATCTCGGCCTTTCGCAGTTCTGGAATAACAGCTACGCAGCTAATCGAAGGATTCTTTGCACTTTTCGACACAGGTTCTGCTGAGCTGGGCAAATTGGTAAAGGAGTTGGCAGAGATATTTGAGAACCAGCAGAAGCGCGAAGCATTATTGAAGGCATGGAGCGATTGGAAAGCGATCAACGAAGACTACCCGTCGCTCCCGGGATCGGCCACGGGCCAGTCGCTCAATGGGGGGCCGTCTGCACACGGAGGGTCAAGAGTGTTGAAGTTAAAAAGCTCTACTGTGCAATCGTCACGGTCGGCGGTCAACAGACACGCAAGCTGGAACAATGCGGCATCCAGCAGCACGTTCCCTGCCCTCCCCGCAGCTTCATCAAACCGTATCGGGGCGAAACCAGGACAGACCCCTTGGGCAACGTCTTCGGCAACTCCTCGCATTTCGCCCATGCCGTCCCGTGCTACATCGTCAGTGGCATTAAATAAGAGCAGCCTTGCGGACGCCTTCCCTGCGTTACCTGCCGCTCCGAAACCAACGAGCACCTTTTTCAGTCCCGGGTATATGGGAGCAGGAGTCCGAAGGGACAACAGCGGCCGGAGCACACCGGCCAGTGCGTGGGGTGCAGCAGGAGGGATGGCATCAAGCAGCACAGCACCGGCAGCGACTGCTGGGGAGGACGCTGGAGGTGGCAAGAAGAAGGGCAACAAAAACAAAAAACAGACGCTTTTCCACTTTGGCTAGCCTGACGAGTGGTGGCAAGATGCTACAATGCTCGATTCGACATGCAACATGGTGGGGGAGGAAGCCAGGCAGAGTGGCGCGCAACGGACATTAAACAATCACTAGAGTAGAGCGTCTCACGTACGGGCAAGTAGCCCGGCGTAGATGGAATTGAAGACATTCTCATGATGCATGGGAGCAAGTGTTGCATGTACCTGGACATAGCCGTGTGGTGGGCAGCTAGCGGCTAGGAGCAGCGCGGAGGGTCTTGTTTCAGCGCCAACACAGCGGGCCGCACATACCAGCCCGCCGCAACGACAGTCGTTGTTGTCGTCGCCTGCCCGACGACGCTCTCGCCCTCTCGCTGTGCGACCATCGACCTTGGACCGCCTCCGCCAGTGCGACCGTGAATCGCTTGCCGCGCCGTTGACAGCAGCCAAGGCGCACCGCTCCCACGCGCCTCTCCGCCGCCCGCTGCATGCGCCCGCCCACGAGCAGCGCATGCCCTCGACTAACGTCGACGCCGACGACGCCGCTGTCGCTGTCGCTGTTGCGCGCACCAGCGTAGGCTCGGGCTGCCGTGTGACGCGCGGGAGCGTCGAACCACGGGCGCGCGTCTTCTGTTGAGCCCTCGCAGTGTTGGGACAAAGACAATGCGACTGCTAGCTTGACGGCCTCTCCCAGCTTCTCCACCCTCTTGCGCGCGCTCTCTGTCCCTCCCTCTTCCTCCACCCAGCTCGCCTCGCACCCACGAAAACGAGCACGAAAACGAAAACGCAGCCCACCGCCCCTGCAGCGCCTGCCTGCCTGCCTACCCGCTTCGGCGCCCACCACCGCACCGCACCCAGCCATGTACTCGCGCCAGAACAACCAGTATCCCGTGCCCGCACCGCAGTCGCAGGGCGCCCTCGCGCCGCCCAAACCAGACGCGCTGCCTCCGCTGCCGCCCGTCCAGGACCAGCCCGCCATGAACCACCTGCCGCCGCACCAGCCGCCGTCCCAGGTGCCCGTCTACCGGAACGACCACCTGCAGCCCTTCACCGGCTCCAAGAATGGCAAGATGTACCGGTGCGTGCTGCCCCAGCGCCCAGGCGCGCCGCCCGCTGACCCTGTGTAGACTTGTGGTGGAGCAGCAGCCCATCCGCGCGCGCATGTGCGGCTTCGGCGACAAGGTGAGCCTCCCGCATGCCCCCCGCACGCCCATGGCCGCGCGAGCCGCTGAGACGCCTGACTGACCAACCGCAGGACCGCCGGCCCATCACGCCGCCGCCCTGCGTGCGCCTGATCGTGTGCGATGCGGCCACGGGCAAGCCCATCGACGCCAACGACATCGACAGCACCTTCTTCGTCCTGACGGTCGACCTCTGGGATGCCGACGGCGCCCGCGAGGTCAACCTTGTGCGCCATAGCAGCGGCGCCCCGACCGTCAGCATCTCGAGCAGCACCACCACCTCGTACCCGCCGCCCGTGGAGCGTCCGGCCATGTACATGCCCCAGGTCATGCCCGGCATGCCCCAGGTCGACGCATACGGCCGCCACATGCCCCAGACTGCATATCCCCCAGCCAACATGCCCGCCTACAACGCGTACCCGGCCCCTGCTCAAGGATATCCCTATCCCGGTACTGCCTACCCCACCAGCTCCATGCCCATGGCTCCGTTGCCCGCTCCCACCTCCACGAATGGCATGTTCACCAGGAACCTCATCGGCAGTCTGTCGGTCAACGCATTCAAGCTCACCGACACGGAGAACCAGCTCGGGTTCTGGTTCGTGCTTCAAGACCTGTCTGTGCGGACAGAAGGCACCTTCAGGTACGCGCCAGCCTGTTCGATCCTGCCACCGAAGCCACGCTAACGAGTACAGACTGAAGATGAACTTTGTTGATGTTGGCAGTGGCTCGGGAAACAACACTCTCAACACTGGCCGTGCTCCTGTTCTGGCTACCTGCTTCTCGGATCAGTTTCAAGTCTACTCGGCAAAGAAGTTTCCCGGTGTCATTGAAAGCACGCCTCTGAGTAAAACTTTCGCAAGCCAAGGAATCAAGATTCCAATTCGGAAGGATGGTCCCAAGAATCTCAGCAACCAGGCCGAGTATGACAACGACGACTAAAGCTTCTGTGGGGCGAAATGGATGTCTACAAAACCCAGGCCAACATTAGAAGGCTTTGGATGATAGCTAACATCGTTTCATTGGCGAAGCGTTGCAGGTCGTGTGCTGCTGGTGTGAGGTGGCACATCTCAAGGAAAGTCGGTGTTTCACCGCTATGGTGTTATGGATCGGCGTTTGGAGCTTTTTATTTCGTGCGAGGCTCGAGATGATGATGGACTGGGCGTGTTTGCAAAAGCTTTTAGTATGTGGGACAAACAGGACAGGGAATATTGATATCCGCTCATACTTCCTCTTGGAATTGAAGGTCTAGTCGGAACATATGAATATAAATATAAGTCTGGTTGAAAACTTTCCGAAACTATCTGACTCTAATGCCACGACGGCAATAAGGGCTGGAAAATAGTATCAGTCAGGTCCACACCGTTTACTGATACCTTGGAAGATACTATGGAGCCGGCGCAAGGAGTCTTGGAATTGCAGAAACTGCGAAAATCTCGGTTTCTATGCCAAGTACGAGGTAAGAGGACAGGTTCAGCCCGAGAAGGCGGATTCTGGCGGTTTAATTGGTCGGGTTGAGCATCAGGCGATGGTAGCCAGCTTCAACGAACCTAGCGACCACAATGACCATTACGATCCTATGATGCTTTTAGCCAATGAGTACAGTGTGAACTGAACTGAACAAACATCAATTAATATGTTAAGCTAAAGCTGATCTACCTACGATTCATATGCACGATGTTATTGGAGTGTATCTTGCATGGATGGGTTAGCGGAAACATTCCACGCGAGACAGAGCGTTAGCGTAGGAGGGGAATTATAATGCCAGTCTGATGGATTACTTGTTGGGCTACAAAGCATGCAGTGGTTCTTGACTATCTCTTCATGCTCAGGCCTTGCTCAGATACCCCATGAAAATGAAGTAAACAATCACCCTGCGCCACAAGTCATAGCCGAGCCCACGAAAACACCAATGCTTAACAAGATCGAGGCTGAAACATGCACTGCCACGGTCATACGATCGGGTCTGCGCACGGTCCTTCATGGACAATGTGGAATTTGCATGTTGTGGGGGGGCCACAAAAAAATGCGAAAAGCTATCAGGGTCCGAAGTCCAGGTCGTCGTGGCCCCCGAGGACCCCAGGGTCATAAAGAGCATCTAGAAAAGGCCGTGGCCGCAGAGTGGCTTGGAACAGAACGGCATCGACAAGCACAACGACACGTGGACACCCGGTGCGCAAGTTCAGTGTGGTAGGACAAGGTCGCAGAGCACAGTTACGAGTATCGGTGCGACGTCACTGGCGGAGATGTCGCCGTTTCGTAGAGTCACAAGTAGTCACTGCCGATCTGCTCTGAACAGTGCACGTTTTGGTGGGCTATATCCGTTCCCAAGCCATGTGATCGCCTGCAATATGCGACGTGGGTGGGGTTATCCTTTTGCCATGGTCTAATGCCGGCCATGTTCTTGCTTCTGGCGCGTGCAGCGTGGCTCTTGGAGTGGAGATTCCTGTCATGTCTCTTGCCGATCGAGGCTTGCAGACCCACATGGCGCGCCCAAAGGCTCGAGCCGTTGCGGGTTTGTGATGCCGTTGTCTGAGGACCTGTCCGCGATTGGTTGCGGCAAAAAATTGCGAATACGCTCTCAGGGATGGCTCCGACATGGCATGGTGACTGTTGGCTGTGCCATGTACCTTTGCGTAATGGAAGGGTATCCATGGTCCAGCTCACCACAAAAATACTCCGGCAGTCATCGCACAGCGGGGCTTTGAGCCGAGTCGGACTTTGTATGATGTATGAGAGACACGTGGGCACGGCCTCTGCCCTGGCCCTCGCACACAGCAGCCGCAGATGCTGGCTACAAGGTGCACGGCCTAGTAAGCCTGGTTGCGACCACGAGAAGCATGGAGAAGATAGACGTTGCAAGAACTTGTGCGATTACTATTACTTTACACACATGTCAACGCTCCCCAAAGACCGCAATGCAGCAATATGTTACAACGTAGTGAAATGAAGATGCGAAGCGGAACGATTGAGGGAAAGCGGCGATGAATAGGTAGGAAGTTCCATGGTCTACCGAGCCGAACCATCTCGTTTCTTTCTGTTTTTGTTTCTGTTTCTGTTTCTGTCTCGGTCGTAATCGTTGCTTCGTCGAACTGTATCGACTGGTGAACATATGCCGAAAGCCTGTCCGGCGAGAGCAGGCAAACACCATGCGGTGCACAACGCCGCATTTTCATTTCAGTAATGCTCGCGTTCAGCGGTTACAACCAAGTCACCTCTGTAAGTGAATAGCGAACGCCTAAAAAGGCCGCATGTGGGCTCCGACGGGAGGCTGCGCCAGTGGCATGGAGATAGGCCCACGAAACATCTGGAGTAGGCGTTCTCCAACACTAGGCTCGAGCTCTGTCCCATCCCTCGCAATTTTGACTTCGCGATTGGCGTTCCACGGATTTCGAAGCCCTCGTGTACGATAGAACGGCAATCGGGTCGTGGAAATCCATTCGATCCGAAACGGTTTTCCCCAGCTCTGAGCGACAGCTGGAGCTTCTCCCTCTGTCTGCGCATCTTCTTTGTCTGGTTGGTCTTCTTCACCTTCAGAGTCCGTGAGCTCCGCCTCCCAAAAGATTGTGCCTCTCGCCGAGTCATCTATTATCCTACCCTTGGGCGCAAATTCCGTCGCGGGTGTGGGTATCGATTTCGGGACATCGGTGGCCTCTAGTATGTTGTCTTGTTTGGGTGCCGACCCAATCAGCTGGACATCGTCATCGAGGATGCGGGATGTCATGCGAGCATAGCCAAAGTACTCGCCAGATTTGTTCGCGGAGAAGATAAGATAGACATTTTCAGCAGTCTTACGTCATCAGTATTATGAAAGGTCCCCAGTAGCCATGGAAACTTACCTCGAATGCACTGTTCAATGCGTCTTCGTTGTGAGATTGCGTAGCCCAAATACCATTACGCAGACTGAGTTCAAGATCCTGTAAAGTCAAACTTTTCACGATAAAGTACCTGTCAGGAGCGCCTGAAGTACCCTGTACGTTTCCGTCACTTTTATGAAGTGCAAGCTTGGCCTCTGTAGCTGGCTGTAGTCCCTCGTCTTGATCGTCGTGGAGTGGTGTTGGAGGGGACGGGTTTGTCGCTTGTGCCCCAACCATGGCCGAAGGTCCTGTAGGCACACCAGATGCCGGTGCAGAACTACGACGAAGCCTACATACCAATCGGACACCGTTGAAGCGCGAGTCGTGGAATCTATGCATAGCAGCAGTACATGATGTCTCGGTACGATAATTGACAAATGCGCAGTTGCTCTTGGATATGAGGAACAAACTCTCAATGTCTTTTGTGGCATCGCGCGAGAAATGGTCCTTCAGAGATATCACCGTCGTCCCTGGAGGCAAGTTTCCCACCCACAGGGCGTGACCTGACTGTTTTGGCTTTCGTGGAGGACCCCGAGGGATAGAGCTTACGAGGTCGGGGCGAACAATGCCTAAAAATTCAACCGTAAGCGGTGTTGTAGGTTTGTGAATCGAGACAGAATACTGACCACCAGATTGCGCAAGCTGCCCACCGGGTATCCAACCCATAGAGGCTGGATCCACTTGTACCGCACTGGAATTGGTATGATGCCCATGGGGAAATACACCATCCCGTGGGGACATGTCCAAACTCTGACCAGGCAGCGGAGCTTGCGTTGAAGCAAGACTCGGTCTCCTACCATACAACGCGTGAGTCTGCGCGTTCTGGGCAGAGAAGCCCGGTACAAAGTGATGCGTCCCATATGGCGCAGGGTAATATAGATAAGGCGACTGTTGTGGATAATTCTGGTATGGTGGTTGGATGGAATTGGGCCCCGGTCCACGTTGTTGGTTGGGGGGAAAGGTATAGTTTGAGTGGGATGAAGCTTGCGCTGGTATGTAGGCTTGTTGGAATTGGCCAGGACCGAAGCTGGCACCGTAGCCAGGATGTACGGGGAGCGTGTTGGATGCTGGGCCGTGCACTTGTAGATTCTGCTGAAGCTGATAGACGAGTGCGGATGTCGATGCGCCGGACAATTGACGCTGGGCATGCTGCAGATGCGCACCGTCGGCTGAGGCATATTCTGGAAGTGATCCGGCCATGGCACTCATATTCAAAGACGTCGCGCCATGGTCTTGAGGGTAGTGCGGGCTGCTTGGATGTGCGGGAGAACGAAGGTCGCGCCGTAGCTGCGATTGAGGAATTGAGCTAAGCTGAGAGTAAAAGGGCGTGCTACTGGTAGGAGACCGAGCGCCCAAAGGGTGTTGTGCGTGGCTTTGTATATCATCATGAGCAATTCCAGTTGCCGTGATGTCCAAAGCTTGTGGACCAGATCCAAGTGGTAGGTCGCCCATTGGTTCCTCGATAACGACTGGAAGAGCAAACCACTGCTGTACCCAGACGAAAGCCATGTCAGCCCATCTTTTCACCAAGAAAGCGAATATAGAAAAAAGACAAATGAACAAATGAACAGATTTTGAACCAGTTCCACGCGATTGCAATAATGAAACTCGACACTTACCCAGAGCTATATCGGAGCAGGTGGTGATGGAAGTGGCGAGCCGGAATGACAGACAACCGAAAGTAGAGGCTGTGAAAGACGAGCTCGAGAGGCTGTATACCAATGGAACGAAAGATTGCGGTCGAGAGAATGTAAAAAAAGAAGCGAGCACAAGGTGAGACCAGATAAGGGAAGATTAACAGCAGCAGTCGAGGTACCGCCGGGATGAGAAGGCTCGCTTGGAGCGGAACGAAGATGATGGTCAAGAGTAGGTGACCACTCAGACGGCTGATGTACGTCTTGACGCCTTATGAGGTTTGACAACGCAACGGCAGCCACGATAAGAAGGGTAAAGCGTGGACGTTGGGTCGAACCTTAGAGGCTGGAGAGGCGAAGAAGCTTGAGGAGGGTTCACTAGACGGCCCAATGTGAGTGGGACTGCCGCACGCGGATTTTCAAGCCTTCTGCTTCAATTGCCTCTCGGTTGTGTGGCTACCTGAGGTCTGATTGGGCCCGGAAGCTCGAGGGCTGTGGCTGTTGGAATGGCTGTGGAGTGACGGGGCCCGAACCGACGTTCTGGAGGCGAAATGATCTCCAGAAATGTGAACAGGGTGGGAATGGGGGCTGGGTATGCGAACGCGATTGAGAAACGAAAAGCTACTTGGGCTGGTAAGGTGTGGCGAGAAGGCGACTGTCTAGGCTTGTCCAAGGGCCGGAAGCTGACCCTGGACGGCTTCTGCAAAGCTTAGTGGACCCATCTGGGTTGGATGTACCCTGCAGAAGCGCTGAAACCAAGTGTAGATGGCGGGTGAGCAAGGCGAGCATGGCAGACCAATGCTAGTAGGGCCCTGTAGCGGCAGTGGTATGTGTGTGCACTGTGCAGGCTCCAGCAAGACGGCATGCTCTCGGTGCGGAGAAGGGTGCACTGGACGACGACCAGGGCAGGAGAGTGGCAGGGCCGGGCCAGCAGACTGATTGGGCCATATGCTTGCAGTTAGTTGAAATCATGGAGTAATCCAAAGGTCCGTCCCAAAGCGTGCTGGATGGCAGCAAGGACGGCCGGTGCCAGTGGTGCGGAGACCGGCACCAGGTGTCCAGAGGGCGTTCGGGACCAAGCAGACCGCGTGGGCGCTGTCACGGCGGTGCAGACATGACGCCGGGACGCAGCTGTGGCCCTGGCTCGGTGGACGGCAGAGAGAGGAGAAGACGGGCGACAGCGCGTTTGCCACAGCCCGGGCTGGCCGCCGGCTCCTCAGGACGACGTTCAGCGTGGGCGGGATCGACAGCGCTTGGGGTGCACAGCCGCACTGCTTCCCGCATGGGCAATTTTGCCTTCGCAGCGCACGCAGAAGCCGCGCGGGCAGCTGGCTGGCCGGCTCGCTGGCCGTGGGCGAGCAGTGCGTGCATCAAGAGCCGCCGCCACAGCGTGCGTGCGCGGCAGAGAGCGAGGCAGCGGCAGCGGCGGGGAGGGCGCCGGGCGGGCACTGCACACTGCACATTGCACATTGTCCATGGGCGTCGGCCATGGCCTTTTGCGGCGTGGCGCATGCAGAATGTGTAATTCCGATCAAACCCCGCTGACGTACACGTACCGCCGCTCGCTTGTCGTCGCTGCGAGAATCCCGTCGCCGTCGCCATCGCCATCGCACCAGCCTGGCCGCGGCATAGCGCGAACCCTCCTGCCGCCGCCGTGGGCCCTGCATCAGTGCATCCTCCGCGAGACATGCCTCGCCCTCGCCGCGCCCTCGCCCTCGCCACCCAGTCATGGTGATGTCGCGACGCCGTCGCCGGGATCGTCGTGCCCCTGGCGATCCTGCCACGCCGCGCCCATCATCCCGATCCAAGGGCCTGGCCGTTCCAGCTTAAACATACATCGTCACGCCGCATCACGCCCTGCCCGCCCCTGCTGGCTTGCTGAAACATCGCCGTCCACGCACCCTGGGCCTCTGTTTCGATTCCTTCATCCCCAGTCCTACATGCTACAACGCTTACATTGCTGCCAGACCAACGCACGGCCTCCCGCTTGGGGCGTACACACAGTAGCCATTCCGACCTACGGTTGGCAAAGCCCCCCACTCCGCCATGCTTCGACAATTGTCGTCCTGCACGTCGGCTCCTCCAATAGAAATATTTCGCCCATACCAACTGCATGCACAGTACCTGTGTGTTAGTCTGGGAGTTGTCCGGGTGAGCTGCATAAGGAGCCTCCAGCGTATGTATACAGTAGGGTTTTAAGAGTCTCATTGTTCCTACAGTGCCTGAGCGCACTCACTTGCCGACGTGCTCAGAGAGAAACTCGTCGATGTAGGCAAAGTACCCGGGCTCAGAGACGGAGTCGTTGTGCGTGCCATTTGGTAGTTCCCGCCATACCTTAGGCGTCGATCGACATACTTGATAAAGTTTACTCATGTGTGAAGGCCTGTTGATGGTTCAGAAACGGACACAAAAAGCGTTTTCTTTCGGCACATACGGTACGATCTCGTCTCGCAGGCCACTCAAGAACAGTATGGGAATATTAATGATCTGCGGTAGCGTATCCTCACTCGGCCATACCTGGTGGCAGAAAGGTGCTAGATACTTCGCGGGTGGCAGGGCTCTGATGCATGTTAGCACGTCTCTTCAGAGGCTACATCATGTAACGCAATTCAAGTGTCATCCACGACTCCACCGAGGAATGAGCGGTCCAGTGGTCCTTGGCACGTTCGTCACAGGGTTCTGCTAGGGGAATACTAACGAAGGGATCATCTTGCGCATAGAAGTGAACGTATTCTCCAGGATGATACCAGCAATATCGCCTTGCTTTTGATTGCGAGCACCAAGGCCAATCGAGACTGCCCCTCCTAGGCTTTGCCCGTACAGTACAACGCGTGTACTTCGCAGCTCATGCCGATTTCTAATGTAGTCCAACCCCGTCTGTGCGTCGATATTGATGCCTTTTTCATTCGGTGTGCCTGTGGAGAGGCCGTAGCCTCGGTATTGCAGCATAAAAACGTTGCCTATGTCAAGTTGTGTCAGTAGGGTTACGATATGAAAAAAACCGGACGGACATGGTAATGTGTAAATGCTTTGAGATCCATCGTTTGGCCGGCCAGTACCACCTGTCCAGAATATGATGGGGGTATGGTGAACCATTTTCGCTGCCTATGGCGATTTACTTACAGCCCATCTCCTCCGCTAGAACTTTGGCGATAGGTAGCCGATATCCGATATTGCCAGCATTGCCGTGGAACATCAGCAGCGTCACATTGCGCGACTGGGCCCTGTTTGCGCGTATGTAGAAGGCGCTCAGCGATTCTCCATCGGGTGTAGGAATGAAGAGCTCCTCAAAGTCGGGTATGCCGAATTGTGCAGGGCGGGGTACGTTGGTTCGCGCGTCAGGCGGGAAGTTTCTTGCGTAGATGATTTCGCTGCGTAGGTTAGAGACATCGCAAATGCAGCGAGCAGGACTAGGTGTCCGACCCATCGGGCTCTGCAGGGGCTATGCAGAGCAGCATGCTATGTACAACTGTGCGGTGCCTAGGTGCGGGCTGACTCACTTCTGCTTGAAGTAAAGGACTCCGCTGAGCAAAGCAGCAATCCCCGAAGAGGCGATCAAAGGAACGCGAAGATACGAGAGGAAAGAATCCAATGCGCCGCCCATGCTGTCAGCGAGCCACGCGACGAGTGTGCGAAGGAAGGGCGTATAGGTCTTGACCGAGCGACAGCGACACGGAAGAGGGTCGGAGACACACTCGATTGAAACCGCGACCTGTCGTAACAGCTGGGTAGATAGGGGGCGGGGTGAGGGACGCCAGGCTGGTGTATCGCGGCCTGAAGCTCTGAGCGTCGACAATGGGCTTAGCAGCTGAGGGCGCCTTCCCGCAATGGCTCAGCGTTTGGGTAAGAGCAAATGCGTAGAGCCCGGAAGCATAGCCCAACTGCAGCTATTCTCTGCGAACTTGGAGTGAGATGCACTAGCTTTGGCACTTGGTATTCCGCCGCGGTGCACGCATGTGGTGCACCTGGACAGCCGATGTATCACGTGACATCTAATCTAGGTGATCCGTGCTCATCCTCACTGAGCTCTAGCTCGCTGGCTGGAGGCAGACACGGGTGTCGTACGCCATTGATCAGTTTCCCCCACCACGCCAACCTTCACCCGCTCCGCAACCCGAGATACTCGTCGACACCCAGCCGGTTTGCCGTAGCATCATCACTTCACGACTACCCGCGATGGCCACTGGTATGCTCGGAGAAGGTACGCCGATGCTCGCCCATTGCCCGCCTGTGGCTTACCCGTTGCAGATGGCATCCACGTCGACATGAACCACCTGAAAAAGGGCGAGGTCAAGTAAGAAGGTCCTCTGTCAACGAACCGGGCATCTGCTAACTGGGTGGATCACAGCCTCGGTACCTCTATGTTTGTTTCTCCGACACCTGCTCGGCGCGCGACTTCTAACTGTGGATAGCATGGCGATTAACTTCAAAGATGGTGTGATTCTAGGTGCAGACAGCCGGACGACCACGGGCGCGTACATTGCGAACCGAGTGACGGACAAGCTCACACAAGTGCATGACACAATCTGGTGCTGTCGTTCTGGCTCGGCTGCAGACACACAGGCCGTGGCAGACATTGTCCACTACCATCTTGGCATGTACGGCATCACAAACGACGAGGCCCCTACTACGCAAACTGCGGCCGCCATATTCCAGGAACTATGCTATGCGAACAAGGACTCGCTATCGTAAGTAGCACCCACGCGGTGTGTCCGCTCGGACTGACAGGGTTACACAGCGCCGGTATGATTATTGCTGGATACGATCATAGGCACGGCGGACAGGTGTACTCGATACCTCTCGGTGGCTCTCTACACAAGCAGGCATACGCCATCGGCGGCTCGGGGTCTACATACATATACGGATACTGCGACGCGAACTGGCAAGAGAACATGACGGAGGCCGACGGAGTGAAGTTCGTCAAAGGCGCGCTGGAGGAGGCTATCAAGTGGGATGGCAGCTCCGGCGGTGTGATCCGCATGGTGGTGCTCACGGCGCGAGGTGCGCAACGACACTTGTACCTCCCCGATCAGCGATACGAGGGACCGGGCGCCCAGTAGGGCAGGATGAGAGAGGGCCATAATGGTGATTTGGGTACCCAGGGAGACGGGGTCTAAGGGTTGCAGCGCAGGCGGTGGTGGTGGTGTCGACGTGGTGTCGGCCCCGAAGCACGAGCACACGTGTGGCAGCGTGTGTTGAGCCGTCAGCATGGCGCGCGGCGGAGAGCTTCACGTATGTAGTCTTGTGTGCTAGGAAAGTCTAGCCAGGAGCCTCCACTGCCAAGCAGGAGCGCAGAGGAAATGCAACCAATGACATGCACGCGTTGAGCCATACAGTCGGTCGGCGTGCGACGCCGTGGATGTGTGGCCGGACCTTCACATGGGCGTGAGGCGCAACGCAGCATCAACGAAGCACGTGGCGCGAGCACGCACGACGCAGTAGAAAGAGCGTCGGGCGCAAGCGTGCGAGCATCGACAGTGCTTGTACATGCAGCGTGAGGTCGACTGTCGAGACGCGGCTGACGGTGCTGGGAAGGGGCGCTAAGGGCTAGCGTCACCGCGCGGAGTCGACGATAGACCCAAGCAGCACTGGCAAGCCTCGTCCTGCCACCAGCACCGACACGCTGCCCCGCGTGCATCCTGTCCTCCCCGTGCGATTGCTGCGCCCAATTCTGCACGGCCACGGCGAGCGAGCAGGACTCGAGCCCCCGAGGCATGCCCGCTATCTACCTCTTCTGAGCGCATCCCGGCCAGCTTCTTATCGCCACGAACAACACACCACCGCCCGCCCCTCACCACCGCCCGCCTGCGCTGTGCAGCCCAGCAGACCCAGCCAGGCTCCGTGACGCCGCCCCCACGCACCCGCACCCGCACCCGTACCCGCACCCGCACCTCTGCACCCGGGCGACGACCCTCGGCGTCTGCCCGCAGCAGCCCGCTCCGTGCTCGCGCACCGTCGCCGACGACGTCCGCGGCATGGGATCGATCGTGGTCAGCGACTTTGGTGGAAACCACTTTCACAACGTCTTTGGCGGCGGCGGCCATCAGCAGACGCAAGAGCCGCCCGCAGTGCACCACACGCCCGCGCGTCCCTCGCCGCAGACCAGCGCACACCCGCCGCTGCATGCAGGGCCGCTCGCAGACGACGTCGCCATGACAAACCCAGGAGCGCCGCCTGCGAGTTCGCAGCAGACGACGTCCGAGGACAGCATCATGGCGCCCCACCAGGCTGCCCAGCCCCCACCGAGCCCGCGCTTCGCACCCCAACACCAGACGCCCGCCCTCGCAACCGCCCCTCCTGCACCCGCCTCCGCAGCCGTCCCCTCTGCGCAGCCGTCCCCGGTGCCGTCTGCCTTGGACGGCTCGGGCACCTCGCCGCGGCGGATCAAGGTCAAGAACCTCTCCCACATCCAGAGCTTTGCAACAGACGAGGCCAGTCCCTTTTCCCAGACGCGGTCGCTATCGCGCCGTCAACGCCGAGACCCCGGCGACGTGGGTCCGCAGTATGAAATTAGCGAGATGCCCGTGAGCGACATCATTGAAATGGTGGCCGGCCTGCTCACCAAGATTACCACGACAAACGACCGACAGCACGAGCATCTGCACCGTCAGATACCACCACCTGAAGGGGCTTCTGGCCTCAGCCCGCAGACGACAAGCGTGTTGGCCTTTCACGGAAAGAACGTGCCCAGCATATCCATCCTCAGCTATCTCAGCCGGATCCACAAATACTGTCCTACTACTTACGAGGTCTTTCTGAGCCTCCTAGTCTATTTTGACCGAATGACCGAGAAAGTCAATGCAGGTCCCATGCTCAGCTTGCGGCAGGCGAACCAAAAGTCGCTCGAACGCGCTAACGCTGACACCGATACTGCCAGTTCGTCAGCCAACCCCATTGATGCGCAAAACCAGACCAGACCCACGGTCCAAGCGGCAACACCTCCCCCTTCAGGCTCCCTCGGAAAGCCTGCAAAGACACCTATTCGAGAGTCTCAACCACCTTCTCCACCCCACCAGGACCTGGAATCAGACCCCTATAATTTGTCACACTTTTTCGTAGTCGACAGCTTCAACATACATCGCCTTGTCATTGCCGGCGTCACTTGTGCAAGCAAATTCTTTTCAGACGTGTTCTATACCAATTCGAGATATGCAAAGGTGAGCATCAACCCCCGTGCATTGCGGGCATTGGGCTAATATCATGTTCCAGGTCGGCGGTCTTCCATTGGTGGAGCTTAATCATCTGGAGTTGCAATTTCTTCTTTTGAACGACTTCCGGCTTGCTGTGCCACTGGAAGAAATGGAGGCGTATGGTACGATGCTGGTGGAGTTCTACGCACGCGAGGTTGCTGAGCAGCACGAACGGCAATCTGGAAGAGCATGAATAGACCGGTGTTATCATGAGTGCATTGCGATGTTTTGGCCGAGTGCCATACGAAGCCGTTGGGTCGGGCAGTGAGTCCCAGACTCGGAAAGAGCTCTCTACGCCATGAAGTGCTTTTCTAATCTATGAGTGGCACTGTTGCAAGCTTGGCGGTAGAGCTTGCTCAGCAGGACGATGTGGTTATACTCATGGTTTCTGACCTCGTTTGCTGTTCCATCGGAGGGGCTTTGAGCTCACCTTAGAGTGAGGAGGATAGATATTTTTTTACGTCAGCGGCAAGCTTTCGATGTTTGCGTTTCGGAATCTGTTGGCCGATTTTGGTCCAGTTACTTCTTTGGTCCGACTTCTATAGCGGGGCGAGGTTCACGGATGCACCTTTAGTCAAGTCAAGCGCAACTGGGTCGGATATCAGACGGGCCGGTATGTGTGTGGGCGCGGATGGCTTGCGGACATGTTACGATCATACTTGATGACATGGCTATATGCTTTTTGTTCGTGGACGTTGCCTGCCTTCATATTTCGTTCTTTTGGAGATAGAGGTGTGGTACTGGAGTAAGGTCGGGTCTGAATCTGAGCGGTAATCTCATGATCGAATGACCGTTGTGTTGCCGTGGCCGTGAAGACTGAACCCCGACTTTCATTTTTGTGTAGAGCTCGATTTTTGCAACGTCAGCGAACTGAAAAGACGCCGCTCCACAGCAAATAAGATGAGATCATCAATCTGCTGACTCTCACACTTCGGCCACCCTCACTTAGGTAATCCAGGGGATGAGGCTCTTGGCCACGCCCCACGCTACGCTTTGACCTCCCCAGTCAAGGGTCTTATAATCCGATTTTGGCCCCACCCTAGTCTCCTGTCATTCTCCGTCCTGACATGCTGTAAATGCTGTAAATACTGGAATTCGGTTTCCCTCGCGTTCTCTTCTTGTGTTGGCTTCAGAATCACCTTCATTTGGGAATTGCGTATTGAATCTATCGAATCGTATATTTCGACGCAGTGCTCCTCTCTAACGATTCTTCGCGCGTTCGGAGTACACGGTGGAAATGACCAGTCGCTCCTTTCCCTTCGCCAGTATTCTGCAGTATATTGTGCTGGTCATAATCGGATACATTCTCGCGGGTGCACCTCTCCTTTCCTTCGTCATAGGGCCCACACCCGACAACCAAAAAGCAAGAGCTGGCACTGGGCGGCCGTCACCCCTAAGCCTCGACAAGGCCGCAGGCCTGGTCATTCCTGAGAGGAATCTGAGCTGCACGGAGCATATGTACAAGGGTCTCCATGTGTTGAGTCGTGATCCATTGGTCGTATATGTGGAAGGATTCCTGCGTGAGGATGAGGTGCAGCACGTTGTGGACGTCAGGTATGCAGCCTCTCCGTCTTGGGTCATCGAAACCTTGTCCAGCCGAGGATGTGTTCAGGTTATAGCGTTCTGTCCGACCCAGCTATCCAAGCCTCTCAGTATGATACCAAGAAGCTAATAGCAGAAAGTCAAATGCACTTCAGTCCGTCCACAGTCTGGAGCTCTGGCCACGAGCGCCTTGATCCTACCGTCCGCCTCTCGGAAAAAGCACCCGTCCCGCGCTCGCCGGCTGTCCGTTGTATCGAGGAACGTGCGCGTGCCTTCCAGGGCTGGCGACCGTACGTGTTTGTCGAGAAGCTGTGGGCGCAAAAATACGGACCCGGCGGACACTACGCCTACCACTACGACTGGAGCAACGCGTTACGCGGTGCAGGACGGGTTAGCAGTTTCATGGTTTGGCTAGGAGACCAGTGTGAAGGTGGGGGGACAAGATTCCCGAGGTTGGAGAGACCGAAAGATGAAGCGTGGTGCCGGTTCATAGATTGTGAAGGAGACGCTAGTGAGGATAAAGGAGATGCTGACGAGGATGAGATGGGCATGGGAGTAACCTTCAAACCGATTAGGGGCAACGCAGTGTATTGGGAGAACATGAGGACCGATGGGACTGGTTATGAGGAGAGTTGGCACGCGGGGCTTCCTGTAACGAGTGGAACGAAGCTTGGGCTTAACATTTGGAGCTGGCTCCAGGAGGGGTACCAGCCTCTTCCCCCAGAAGGCGCTGTCTAAAGAACGCAAGCTCTGGACGCAACGGTTTGAGAACATTATCCGCTACCTTTTCACTCAGCTTCTAAATTGTCTTCATCAACCTCGTTCAACTGCGCGTATCGTTTGATGAACAATTCGAAGATGGTCGGGAAGCTATGCCAGTACTCCCCCGCAGTCGCCACGTTGGTTGCAAAGTTCCATTCTGCCATGTGCTTCATCTGCATCACGGTCCACGTGACAAGCTCGTCGGGGATACTTCCAATAGAGTGGAGCATGATCGAGAACGCAGATGTGGGCAGATTGGTGGCGGTGTGGAAGTTCTTCAGTGCGTTGAATTTGGTTGCCTCGATAAAATTAGCGAACGTGTCTTCAAAGATGACGGTCGTATTGGCAAGGTCAAGGTAATTCCACACGGGGTCGGGTAGCGTCCCCGGATTATGTACTGTAGCTCGTCAACAATAATATCCATTTCAGCTTGCAAGGGGACACTCGTACTAATAAGCTTCTCACCCAGATGCTCACTAGCTTGCACCGCATTCGTTGTTGCTTTCAGGTAATCGTGCTTTTGCCAATGATAAAGACCCGGTATCTCGTCGAAAAATATGCCATCCACTGACATCCGTGTGTCATTCATCAGCATCGGCCAACTTGCCCACTGGCGAATCTCCGACAGTACGCTGTCTAGGACCTTATCGGTATAGTTGGTCGCAACGTACCCCAAAGTCCGAATGTTCGGATGATTCTTTAGCTTGGGTATTTCGTCGATATACGCTGGTTCGGGTAGGCTGCCCATGCATGGTCCACTACAAGGGTTCAAGATAACGTTGAATTTGAGATTGGTATTGTTGCCAGCTCTAGACACAGTCAGCAAGCGCTTGACGTCTTCAACGTATATTAGGAAACCCACGCCCAGTACAACGGGTCCCATACACCTGGCCAAGGATACACGTATAAGGGTAGAAGGATCGACATGGTGACGAAAGAGTCATCCGGAATCAGAGTAATCTACGGTGGGGAAGTGAAAGAGCTTTAAATACCAACCGCCACGCCCAGTGGTTGTAGCCACTCCTAGCATGCAAGTTGGTTAACTTTCACGCAACTCGGCTCGTGCATCACCCTTTCGGATCATCAAGGCACGTGCCATAGGTTTGAGATATTGTTGCAACGCCCAATGGCGTTCTAGAAGCACTCAAATCTGCGTATCAAAAATCGGTCTGGTAGTGGATGTTCATTTGGACAGATTGACTCCAGGGGTCCGGGTTAATGATGACGAAACCGATAAGGTTGGCGTCCCAAACAGGAACCCACTCACATTTGATTTGGGGACGAAATCTAGCGCAGCTCCGCAAGCACACCGTTATCCGAGTCTGATTGTGCGAAAGATACGTTCTAAATCTATGTTTAGCTGTTACACAAGTCCCGACGAACAGGTAAGGTGCCTTTGCATTATCATAGTCCCTTACTGAATCCGTAGGGCAATCTTGAATTACGCACTAGGCTTAAACTATCTTCAAAAGTACGCGCGATCGGAACGTGGAGAGTATGATGAGCATTGTTGCTTTATTGCGCACACGAATCCCCCAATACGGGCTGGCTATCGAGGGTGGCTATTGTAGATAAAATCTGTCTAGCGCAGGCACGCTGCAGCATACGAGGTCAACAGACGGTGCTTATCGTGTTTGCCGCATCTCGCTCTTGAAGAACAGCAGATCACTCCAAAAGGCTAAGACACCCGTTCTATGGTCAGCTTGCCCTCTGAATTGCCGTCCAAAGCAATGAATCCACTTGATTCTATGACTTTCTGAAACTGGTTGGACTCGTATTTTGCTGTTATAACAGTCAACCTTAGTTCAGGCTCCTCGACTGAGGTAAGCGGAGTGGATCTGCCCGACGCAAGAGGACTTGTCGTTCCGGATGCCAATGCTGTATTGTTGGCCGATAGCGGAGGCACCGGGGTGAATGTCCACCTGCCAAATGCCCAGTTTAGGATATATCGCGTTCGGTCACCAGCGACGCTCAGCGTTGACTGTGAATCGGACTGGGAAGATGTCGGTGCGCTCGAGGCATACAGGACGCCTTTGATGCGGTATACAGAGTCCTTGGTGGGCTCTCGGAGGAGCTTTTCCAATTTCCCCAAGTCGACGCTAGCATTGTTGCCGTTGGAGGTCAGTGCCACACTGAGAACCTCTACCTCGCTGGAGTGGTCGTGATCGTGGTGGTACTCGGACTTGGAACCCGCAGCCTTGACCAGCTTGGGATCCAATCCAAAAACAATGTCCTTGCTGACCCACCCGCGGTCGCTCTTGGTGCGCGGTATTGGTGGGTCAACTTCCAAGGCGAGCACGGCATCCTCTACGTCTTCCAGCCTGCGCTCGCCGACGAGCTCCCACTTGTTTAGAACGACGACGTCTGTATACTTGGCCTGCATCTTGGCCGTGTACGACGTGTCCTCGTAGCCCTTCCAGTTCTCGACATCGATGACGGACATGACACCGTCCAGCACGTACTTGGCGGTGCTATGGGCCAGGCGGTTGACCTCCATGGCCAGGGTGGCCGGGAAGGCAGAGCCCGACGTCTCGATCACGATGCGGTCGGGGGCGATGTCGGCAGCGAGCGTGGCGAGGGCGTCGGATAGCTGGCCGACCAGGTTGCAGCAGATGCAGCCATTGAGCAGCTCTTGCACGCCCGAGATGGCGCTCGACGAGGCCAGCTCCGAGTCGACGGCGACGTCACCGAACTCGTTCTTGAGGAGGGCGAGTTTGTACGTTTTGGGAAGCTGCGGAATCAGGTTCAGGATCAGGGCTGGGCGGGGTGGTTAGACGTGGACGCTGCTGTGGCACGCGGGGCGGGGCGGGGCGGTGCGCGGCCGACTCACTCGTCTTGCCCGAGCCGAGGAAGCCGGTGATGATGGTGATGGGGATGGGGATGGGCGCCATTGTGCGGACCTCCTGTGCGCAGCCTGAGCGACGGCGGGTGTTGCTGGTGTTTTCTGGGGTGGAGCCACAGCCATGGCCACAGCCACAGCCACGGCCACAGCGCGGGGCCAGGCCAGCCATGACGTACATAGCGCGCGCTGCTACTGCGTCCAAGACAAAACACAACCTGGCAGCGTCGCTTGAGATACATAAAGGCCGCCCGCCCGCCCGCCCCCCGCTTCTACCTGCACCAGCATCCATCCATCCTTTGGCCGCTCACACCACACCCGCTCCCATCCCACCACGGAACACGCTCCCACTCCCACTCCCACCCTCCTCACCATGGACTTCGTCAACAAGTTCACCGGCGGCGACCAGAACAGCGCGCAGCAGCAGGCCGCCGGCTCTTCCGAGCAGAAGCAGGAGGGCGGCGGCTTCTTCAGCGGCCTAGGAAACAAGGCCAACGAGGCGGCTGGCGGCGGCGCGGCTGGCGAGAAGAATGAGGACATGCTCGACAAGGGTACGGGGCCCCGCAACGAGTGCCGCCAACGCACATGACTGTAACTGACACGGCTAGGTGTCGACTTCGTCCAGGAGAAGTTCCTCGGCCAGGGCGCGCAGGACAACGAGGTGCGTATCCCCGGAGAATGAGCAGCGGCATGGCGGCACATCTGACCCACAGGCAGTCCGCCCTCGAGCAGGCCAAGGACGAGAAAATCAGCGACTTCATTCGCGGGCAGTACAAGAACACGACCGGCAGCGATTTGCCCATCAAGGACAAGCCGACGACTTTCGATTAGTCGGTCCCGGCCGCACTATGAGTTCGTGGGAGGTTGCCGGGCTCAGCGGCGTGGCCCGTGGGAGAAGTGGCCCTACGCTATGATGCTATGATTAACAGTTGTGCTAAGAACTGTAACGATACCACATTACATGGCCCATGGTCTTGATGTGGTTCTTCCTATGGTTCTTGATGTGCTTCGATGTGCTTCTTCCTGTGCTTCTTCATGTGACTCTTCAGGTGTTTCTTCATGCGTAGCCCTTCACTCCCGTGCCAGCGTCTCCACGCACGACGTCAAGAGGCTCGCCAAGTGCGCCTGCACGATGCGCCCGGCAGGCGTGACAGCGTGCTTGCCCGCACCCCAGCCGAAAGGCAGCACCAGCCGTCGGCGCGCTCGCCCATCTACGACAACGAGGGCGTCCAGCGGATGCTCGCCGCCGCCGAGGGGGTGCAGCAGGCCGAGGCGCACGAAGTGGTTGTAGCCATGGCCCACGGCCTGGACCAGGGGCAGCGACAAGGTAGCAGCGGCCGAGGGGACGTGGGAGGAGGGGTCGCGGCAGAGCACCAGGGCTTGCAGACTGGGCGAGAGGGAGTAGAGCTGTGGCAGCATCGAGCAAAGCAGGTCGTAGTGCAGCTGCACGTTGCCCTGGACGCACAGCACGAGTATGGAGCCGCTGCAATGCCTGTCTGCGTTGCTGTGCGGGCGGAGGCGGCTCCCAGGCGGGGCTGCCAGCGTGTTGGACGCGAGGATGCCGGCGACGTCGACGGTCCACGCCTCGTCCGGCGGTATGACAGCGAGCTCCTCCAGCTCGCTCTGCGTGCGCGAGCGCTTGAGCGTGTCGCCCGCGCTGTCGGCGGCGGGCGACGGCAGGGGCGGCGTCCAGTCAGCATCGTCGTTGTCGTTGTCCAGGGCGAGCCGCGAACGCTTGCGGCTGATGGCCGCGTCCATGGCGAGCGGGGACGCGGGCGTGGGGGCGACGGGCGCGGACCAAAGCTGCTCGCGACTCATTCACTCACTCGCGCAGAAGCGGCGGCGAGGCAGCGAGAGACGCGCAGAATCGGGGCCCTGGCCGTTTCTATAGAGACGCCATCCCCACACGCAACCCCACCTGCTGCCTGACCTAACCATAACCCTAACCCCGGCCGCCCGCTACCCTGCTTGCAGCGCCGTCCTCCCACCATGGACGTCACGGCCCTGCTGCGCGAGCGCGTGTGGTCTGCGTCGATCCCCCTCGAGATCTCCCTGCACACTGCAGACTGCGCTTCATACAACGCCGTTCCCTATCTAGTGCGTCGGTGCTCCGTGTCTGCGCCCAGACTATGCTGATAGTCTTCAGGTCCACGTCCCGCGACTCTCGTATCTGGCATTCCTCCTCCCCAAGCTCCACGCCTTTTTCCACACCAGCCTGATCTACCCAAGTGTCTTACCGACAGATGCATGGCTTGAGTACGACCATGTGCCCCTGAAGTGGCACTACCCGCTTGGCCTACTCTACGACTTGTACTCTGGAGCCGAGCCTGCATCCTCCCATGACGCCTCCGCCGAGCATGCCCACGTCCTCAGCCTTGACGAAGGGACTCCCCCCTGGAAGCTGACTCTGCACTTCTCCAATTATCCGAAAGACCAGCTGGTGCAACTTGACGTCCAAGAGAAGCATATCCATGATCTGTTCATCAACAACGTGAAGGAGGTCAGTCAGCCCCTCACGACTCGCACGGACCGCCTCTTGCTAACCATCCTCCTAGGCTGACTTCCTCCGGAATGGGACTGGGAAGACGGTCATGTCTCTCAGCAAGGAGGATTCTGAGCAGCTCTGGGAAGGTGTCAAGCAACGAGACTTCCGGCGGTTCGCTCGCATCAACAACAAATTCTTGAACCCGCAAGGCGCCACACTTCGTCATATTCCAATGAGACTGTATCTCCCACATGCTGCCTCCCCTCAAGCTGAACAACTTATCTCGCCCAGCAATCGTGTGCAGGAGGTTGGGACAGATGAAAAGGGCGTCATGACTGGCTCCGTGCGAGTTGTTCAGGGACTAGTCCCGCTGTCCTCTTCGTCGCGTGAGTGACTGTAGCAAGCCTTGCGCGTGAGACTCACCGCTAATCAAAACCAGGGCAACGCCAAACAGTAGGCACAGCACTGCACACTTTACTACCCAATTTGTTTCGAAATACCCGCGGGCCTTGCCTTATTGCTGCCCCGGTGCTTCATGGCGCTATCCTCCCCTTGGATGCCGGTCTGGAAGAGCTGATACGAACCACAACCTATGTCGATGGGTGGCTTCACATCGCTTTTATCATGCTTTAAAAGAGAATGGGATTGATCCTGCGTGAGCCCCGTGTTTGGTGGTTCGATGCATGATCCTGTTTGTATGAGATATGCGATAGAAATCCAGGGTAACGCAACCAACGTCATGGATCTCGCGTGGTTTCTTTTTGTCCACACTCTTTTCAACCCACAGCCAAAATAGCAACGAATCGCTTCCAGGGTAGCGTTTGGGAGTAGAAAGCTTACCAGCATGGCCATGCACATTTGTGTGCGTGTTCTAGAATCCTTGGCTTTGATTGAAGCGGAGGTCACGTTATACTTAGTGCACCATGAAAAGTGCTCATGTCCCGAGTGGACGAAGGCTCGCGCGTGTTGCAAGACTGAGAGTGCCTCCCATCCCGGCCATAGAACTCATACAGTTCGCATTGCGAAACCATACAAGAAAAGTGGAAGAGTTCAAGCTACATGGCAAAGAAAGCAGAAGAACAATCTGCAATGCGTACCTAAAAGCCGCGCCAATCGGTCAAGTTCTATAATCTAGCTAGCTCTATCCGGACATGGCTGCTTGGTGCAAACAGGATCCAGTCCTATCTCACCGGCTTCAGCACCTCCCAACTTCTCAAATTCTCCATGTCCTCGGGTTCATCATCCATCAGACTCCTTCCTCGTGCACTCAGCTCAGTCCCGGTCCGTGGCGGCAACGCCGGCCTCTCATCACCGGCATCAACCAGATTACCTACGCCGTTGCCCGCCTCGACGGGTTTCCTCTCGGCCATGGAACGACGAGGTGGTGGTGGTAGCGGGCGACTCGGGTTGGAGTCAGACATAGCGCCGGAATCGGGGTCATCACGGTAGCGTTGAGGTGGCACAGTAGGCGTCCCGTGAAGTGAAGGCTTCTTGGTGGGTATTGGCGGTGCTGCTTTGCGAGAAACATGTCGTGTACTATGAGAGGCTGGAGTTGGTTGGGCAGTACGGTGGGGAAGCGCTGGTAGCGAGCGGGTGGATGCGGCGGAAGGAGTCCGTCTGAGATCGTAAGACCTGTCGAGATGGGCAACCGAGGGATTTTTGCTGGCATTGGCGAATGAGGGCGCATTGAGGTTGAATGGTGGAGCTATGAGCTTTCGAGCGGTAGGACTTGGTTGGAAACTTGTGGCAGGGTTTGCTACTTCATTCGGTACACTCGTTCTGACGTCGTGGAAGTCTACTGTATGTGCGCGTTGTGTACCCCTGGCCGGTGGTGGCTCTGGTTTACCAGTTGTTCGCACTTCGACCCAGTCAGGCTCGGGTGAAGGCGTAAATGGATTACTAGGCCGCTTATGATTGGGGAAATGGTCGTCGCTGGGTGGCTGCACTCTCGAGCGTGCTGGTAGCCCGTTATCAAGCCACCATTTTCGTCGATCTGAACTCGCAGGTGGTAGACCAGGTTCTACGCTTTCATATCCCAACAAATCCTCATCATCGGTATCTTCCATAGCTGCCCCAGTAGATGCGCGTGTGTCGCCCACAACCTCCTTCCGCTTGCCGTACAGCTCTTGGCTAAGCTTTTCTTTGCGTTTCTCGTCAATTTTGTTAATTAGACACTGGAATGTTGCATACACTGGACGATGATCAGAGAAGCGAAGCGGAGCGCAATCATAGTTGATTTGACGTATATTATCGCCTTTCCGAAGAATTCGGTCACACCAAGCGGGAATGCGAGCTTTTTCGGAGGTGTCGTAAACGTCGGTCCCAATGTCGTACTTGTACGTGGGAAGGAAGGTAATACGTGCCTCGGAGTAATAGGGGAAGGTCAGGCCAGCGACCATTTGGAGGTTCAGCTATCATACAATTAGAATGTAATCCGGTAGCAAAGTTGAAACATAGCATTACCTGGTCGTTCTCATAAAGTGTCTCAAGATCACCGACATGGCACAATTTCTGCACCTTTTCGTTACTTAAGCCTATCCGATAATTAAAGTCCCCGAGCCAGATCACGGTATCGTGATCTTCAATCGATCGGTTCCTCTGAAATCGCAAACCATGGCTGATGGTTTTGTAGTCTCTGTTTCTCTCTTCGTAATTTGCGAACCCGGCTGCAAGATGTGCCGTCACGAAGCATATTGAGGTATTTGCGTACTCCATGCGAATAGCCACAGCGCCTTTGTTACCTGCCATGCCAGACATACCAGTCTGTGACTCCGTCAGTATTCAGGTAGTGATAGTTGGCATCATCTTATACCTTTTTTAGACTTCCTTCGACGTTCTTGATACTCTTTAACGACCCTGCCCTGACAAAAACGGACAGGCTTGCGCCTACTAGTTGCCCGCCTCTTAACAAAACATATTCTTCCTGCCCGTGATTCGACGCATTCTCATTCAGGCAATTCCTCACAGCAGTTTCCCAGGCCTGCCGCCTCGTTGGGTCTGTAGACATGATTTGCTGTGGACTCAATTCAACGATCTCCTGGAATCCCACGGCAACGATTTCAGGGCATTGCTGAGAAGATACTACTTCTGGGAACAACCAAGGTGTTAGGTCTTCATGGAGGCCATGCGTCTTGCCGTTCAGGTTGAAGGTCCCGGCGAGGATGTGGATTACTTCCGTCTCAGTGAATTCGGCCGACCGTCTATTGAGTTCGGCGATGACAAAGTCATTTATGGGATCGTACAGGTGTACCGGGACTTGGCCCATCAACCGGCCAAGCAACATGTCGATAGTGTTCTGTCGTCCTTTATCCGCAAAATTGTTGATGTACATACGTGTAGCACTCTTTCTAGCGTCAGCTAGGGCTCCAGCAAGTGACATCTTCCCATGTCTAGTGAACGAAGATTTCAACGCTCCTGTTCCGGCGTAGATGCGCGATAACGCATCTCCATTATCTGCCCACATGCTCGAGTGCCGGGCCCAAAAGTCCTGACCGGCTCCCGAATTCTTATGGTTTAGAAGAATCTCTAGGGCCATCTTGCTGATGATGGTTTGGACAAGATTTGTTCGGTCCAAACAGTCTAGACAATTGGTCCTGAAGACGCCTTCCTGTTGTAGAATTGTAGTCGGTCTTCGAACAACGCATTCCTTGCCACCTGATCGCGCATGTTCTTCAATATCCTCGGAGAGATAATATGCAAAACCGTCTGCAGAATCCCGAATCCACTGCTGGATCATACTCGCCATCTCATACCCGCCAGGCCCCCTGGTCTCGGCATGGAAATCGTATTCGGTGAGTTTGATGAGTTCGTGCTCCTTGCTCTGTTCGTGGGCATAGTTCATAGGGCTCTGTCTTATGTGGTGACGGTACCTATGGGTCAACTCGATTTCGTTCGGCTTCTCATTACTAAGAAGATTGACCACGTGTATAGCGCCATAGCTGAGCTCAAGGTTTTCAAAGTGCTTATCGAAGGCGGGTTGGGTAGCTTCTGGTGATCGGGTGATGGTGATCTTTTGTTGTCCAGGGAGCAGTCCAGTTGCCTGCTCCCAGAACAACGGCACGCTTCCCCTGACCTGAGTGTACGAGAAACAGAGGCCGGTCGGTGCGCAGAAGATGGTTTCGGTCTCGACAAAATTGGCGACATTGCCGTCGTCGTCGATGCCTCGCGCATTGAACCTGGTCCCAGCGCGTCGGCAGGACAGTCTCGAGATGAGCGTCATCTGCGAAGGCAGGCCAGATTTTGGGGCTCGCACAGGCGACGAGGAGGAGGGCACGGTGACGGTCAGGGCAAAGCCGCGGATGGCAGAAGTGAGGATACCCGAAGCGTCCAGGGCCTGCTTCTCCCGCGGGGCCAGTCTCGACCTGAAGTCGACGAGCGGCTGGATCATGTACGAGTTCCACAGGAAGCCTGCATCCAAGCTGTCGATGGAGACAGTGGCGGCATCCGACGACCGCTCCTGCAGTCTCCGCGTCAAGTCGAAGTCGGAGCTGTAGTAGAAGGTGCCGCTGCTCAGCAGCTTCTTGAGGGCCAGGCACGGGTGCTCCATGGGGTTCTCCGACTTGCCGCGGCCGAAGCCCATCTCGAAGCCCTCGTCGTCGATGGTGTCGGTGGGGTAGGGGTTGACCTCGTCATTGAGCAGGGCATCGTAGCTGGCGCTGTTGAGGCAGTAGAAGCCCACGCTGTGTATGCGCTGCACCGTCTCACCCGGGCGCACGTCAGCGACCTTGCGGCTGCCGTTGACCACGACGAGGAACACATCACCATTGACGGTGATGAGGCCCAGGGTGCCGTGCGCGTTGACGCTGTTGAGAGCGCGATAGTCGCCCAGGTCCATGCCGTCGAGGCGCGCAAACTCGACCATGCAGCGCGCGGCGCCGGCGCCGCTGCTCCCCAGCGATGCAGTCGATGCGCTGGCATTGTGCTCGGTCGAAGTCGGGCTGTGGCGCAGGACGAGGGCGTGCGTGGGCGTGGACAGGGCGATGGCGCGGTGCGGATAGTCCTTGATCAGAACGCGGATGGACATTGTTGGCGGTGGGCAGGGGCGCGCCAGGCATGTCCGGGGCGCGTTCGGAATCGCGCGCGGGCAGCAGCGGGCGCGAGGAGAGGCGTCGTGGACGGGCGCAGCAGGAGCACCCGTGTGTTGCACTCAGCGTCGGCGCGGTGCTTGTCCAGCAGCGCACACTGCAGCGCCCACCACCCCACCGCCCTGGCCCGTTGCTCGCCCGGACGCATGGGCAGTAGTTCCCATTCGCCGACCGTCAGGCTGATGTCATGTCACCACCGGCTGGAGCATCAATTGCAGACGCAGTGCCACGCTGTTCCTGGCGCGGTCGACATCCGCGAAACCGCGGTTCAAGCTAAACGGAGCTTTCCGACGAAAGCTATCTCGAGCGCAGCACACAGACACGCCCGCTCACGGCCGCAACGGGCAGAGGACACGCTGCACAACAGAAACACGCACATGTCCGCAACAAAAGCACGTTCATGTCCACATCAGAAACACGCTCGCCTACACGCCTCAGAAATGGGTACCCTCCACGCCCCTCGTCTTCGCCCTAGAGCCTCCTCCTCGTGCCTTCCCTCTCATGCCCACCGCGTCTTCCCCTATCTGCGGTATTCACCCCGCCTCCCGTCCCGCTCCCTCTCAGAGATGGTGATTCTCTCGCGCGTCACCCGCTCCCCTCCGTAGTCCCTGCTGCCTCTGCCGTAGTAATCTCCTCGTCCACGGCTCAGGCTTCTCTCCCGCGGCCTGCTCCGGCTCCGTCGACGGTCGTACCGCTCGAAGTGGTCGCTGTCGCTAGGTGGCGGCTCGACGTACCGGAAGTGCTCGTAGCGCGGGCTGCTGCTTGCTGGACTGTGCTCTCGCCGCCTGTACTGCCGCTCCCGCACCACGTATTCGCTGCGGTCCATACTGGAGCTAGACACGCTGGAGCGACTGGACCGAGCTGGCGACACCTCGACGTAGTGCGCCGAGTGGTGCGATAGCGAAGGCGGCGGAGGTGGGAGCGGGGCGGGAGGCGGCTCCACGAAAACTGGCACAGGCTGGGGAGCGGGAATGGGCATCGGCCTGGGTGCAGGTACTGCGAGGTAGCTGGAGCGAGGCGACTCGCGCACTACCTCCTGCGACATGCGCGAAACACGGCGCACAGATTCACGCCGACGCGGAGAGCGGTCGCGCGGTACACGGTACGGTACGACTACATCCTCATCCTGTCGCACTTTGACGAGACACATTGTTGCCCTGGTAGCAACCCCAGTTGCGTGGAGACGGTGCGATCCTACTGTGATTCGCGGGACGGCGACCGGCGACGATCGAGGGTGGGGCTGAGGGAGACGAGACGAACAAGGAAAAGAAGCGCGTGGCTACACTAGCAGCTAGAGATCGGGATGGTAGCTACGACAAGGAGAGCGTCGTAGGATGCGTGATGCCGAATGGGCGGCTGAGGTCGTAATAAAAGGCAGCGGCAGAGAGCCCAAGGTATGGGCCAGCGCCAGTGTCAGAACCCAGCCACATGGGAGCAGCCTTCAGGGCTCCCGCCTTGGAACCAGGGCGACACCTGCAGTGACGCCGTGGCTTTCCGTGTCGCTTACTAACTTTAGCTCCAGGTACCACACTGCACCAGATTCGCATGGGATAGCAATACTCTCGTTGACTGCAAACCTGTAATCTACGCTGAGCTCCTTACAATACCATCCGACCACCAAACGAACGACGCTATGCAAGGCTATGCAACAAACCCCAATATACAATCCCAAAGCGCTGCGCTATGCCGTAACAAGATTATCCGTCACCGCCGCTCAGTATGTACAAGTAGCTTCAACGCCACCAAGTATTCCCTTCAGAATATCGCCAGCCGGTCCAACAAGACCACCCAATAATTCCGTCGCATCGAGACAGCTAGCAATGCTTCGATCCTCCGTAGAAGCCCCGCCGAAACCAAGTTTGCATTTGCTGCTGGGAGCGTTCGCAGCAACAAGCGATCCCGCTTTACCCTCTACTGCCGAGATCAATGAAAGTGTTTCCAGGCCGCCCACAATGTCCCGAAACTCGGTGCTCGTGAGCGGGTGGAGCTTTTGCTCGCTTTTACACATAGCCGTATAGGTTTCGAAGAGCTCTTTCACAGTGGGAGCGGTGCTGTGAGCCTTGGAAGACGAGTCAAAGACATTCTCTTCTGACGAAGTCCGTCTCGTCTTCTCCAAGGCTGAGAGAGAACAGAGAACGGCCTTCTGTTGGAGGTTGAGATCCTTCAAACGATGGGTCGCACCGTTGCTGAACACTGTGGCGGTGATGCGAGCAATGTATGCAATCGTAGCTCGGGGAGCATCCAGGGCAGTCAGGTGGCTCAAAGACGTAGCTAGTGCGCCTTTAGCTTTAGCTTTCGTGGGCGTTCGAATGACCGGCGATGATAAGTTCATGTTCTCTACTAAAGGTGTCCTAGCTGGCGAAGGAGTCGGGGCTGGTGTGATGTCGTCGATCTTCCTCGCAAGATGATTGCGCGTGTCTGCTTCTACTAAGTCAATCGCTCGTCGACATATGTCAAATGCCTTGCGCAAGTCGCCTGTTTGCGATGCAACCTTCTTGGACAAGAACATGATCGCATTGGGGTGGAGGACTGGGACGAAGTCCGTTTGGTCGGGTACAAGTGATTTCAATTTTGACGTGATGACAGAGGAGATCTGTGCCGCAGTGTACGGGAGAAACGGCAGAAGGCGGGGCCTCATACCCCAAGCCCTCAGGCGGGGCAGGAACCGGTCTGTAAAGTCCAGGGCATTGGCAATTCCGACAAGAACGAGGCTTGAAGCATCATGCAGCGACCACTCGAAAATGCGGTAGAGAAGGTCGGTGTCAAGCTCCAGAAGGTGATCAACTTCGTCCAGTGTTACCAAGTATGGCGTGTCGCGCTGCATAAAGATCTTCTCCAGAGTAGCCACCTCCTCGCCTTCCGCGATCTGCGTGATGTCCACAAATTCTTCGAGCAATGTTCGGTATAAATCAACTGGAGTCTTCACGCTCATGCAGTTGACATAGCCAGACTTAATGGGCTTGCTCGTGATGATTTCACGGCAAGCTTCATTTACGAAAGCGCTTTTGCCGGTGCCGGGCGGGCCGGATATATACATGCAGCCCGACGTGTGACTGCCGATGCGCAAGGAGATGAATGACTGGAGCTCATCTCGCTCTGACTCACGACCGAAGAGAGCAGCAGGCGCGGAACCCCTGACGAACAGCTGACGGGCATCGTTGTAAACGGTAAGCGCAGCATTTCGAGGAGCAGCGGCGGCGGCGGCGGCAGCAGCAGTAGGTGTATGAGGCGTCCGCGGCGTTAATGGGCGTCCACCACCAACAAGTCGATGTCTCGGTGTCACGGCGATTTTGCTAGCAAGAACATCTTGATGCCGCGGGGTCGAGGGAGTTGAAGGTGGTTTCTCTGAAGAGGCAGCGGGTGCCTTTTTTGGCGAATTTGCTTTGGTAGGCGACAGGGGAATGCGTACGTTGTGCGTGGCGTGTTTTGCAGGAGCTGTTGTGGCGGCCCTCGTCACGCGCTTCCCAAAAGGCTGCTTCACGTCGATCGCATCACCAGCACAGCAGCTTTGCTTTCTCGGGGTGACAAAGGGGTTTTCATTCTCGCCTTCGTCGAGAATCACGAACTGCGCCCGCCGTTTTGCGCGTGTTGAGACCGTAGATGGCGCGTCTGCAAGCAAGAATTAGACCGTGTTCCTCGGGCAAGGGTGACGAGAACGCGCTTACCGAATGAAGTTGTAACGGTGGAACTACGAGTCCTCTTGCCGAGGACTGTAGCGGGCATGTTGGGGAGGGACGCGACGATATGCAACAGGAAGGAACACTGGGTGCCCAGGTGGTGTGGAAGCTGTACTCGGGGGATGGTGGAGGAGAAGGAGCGGGTTGACGCGTCCAGCTTTTGCACGCGCGTGCACGGCCAGCGCCGACCCTGACCCGCGTAAAGTGGTCTTGGCCGCCTTCAGGAACCAGCCTCCCGGCACTAGCGCAAGCATCTCCGGGGACGCGTATGCTCCTGGCCGTGTAAAGACGGTGGACGGGCGTGCGCCCTCAGTCGCAATGTAAACTGCACTCTGAGAACCTAGGCTACTACCATTGCCCGTACGTGTAGGCATCGTTGAGGTACGAGCGCCCAGGCCTCACATTGCAAGGTCACGCACAAAGTATCCTAAATCAGGGTTAGCCTAGGAAAGCGTGACTGCGTGATGAACATGTCTGTGCGCACCTTCGCGTTCCTGCGCCGGCTCACTCTGTACGCGTCTGCGCCGTGACGGCTCGCACTTCCCACCTCGACCCAATGGCACCCAAAAGCAGCCCCTTTCCGCCGCCGGCGTTGTCCCAAAAAACCAAACAGCAATCCATCTCCGCCTTCTTTTCTACCAAGCCACTTGCCGCAAAACCCGCTGCAGCCGCAAACAGTGCAGTGTCGGCACCGCAAGACTCCGCAACGACCTTGAGCGACGACCATGTATCCACGCCTGCTGCACCGCAAGCATCATCCATTAGAAAACGTGCTGTAGATCAGGCGGAAGAGAGCGCTGAGAACGATGCTGCAGCCTCGCCGAAGCGGGCACGACTAGACGAGACGCGGCATACGCTTGCTCAAGCCTCTGCCTCTGGGCTCAACAAGTCTCGCCTGCTTAAACGCACATCCAAATACTGCTTCTCGCCATCTCCAGCTGTCGCAGATGAGAATGAGAACGCGAATGAGGAGGGTGACGACAATGACGACAGTCCAGCGGCACACATGCGACGTGTGGAATTACATCGAAAGTTTGTGCAGAAGCTTGGACGCCCTGACAGCTTTGCAGAGCTCAGACGACGTCACAGAGCGGATCCTTCTGACGAAGAAGCAGCTGAAGGCGCTGAAGACGATGGCTCGGACCACGAGACATCGCAAAGTGCCGCGAAGCCTAGGAAGAAGGGTTCCAAGAAGCCTGGAAAGCTCACGCCCATGGAGACGCAGTATCTCGAGATCAAGAGGAAGCATCTAGATACAATCATACTATACGAAGTCGGCTACAAATTCCAAATATACGGAGAGGATGCACGCATCGCTGCGAAGGAATTGAGCATCATGTGTATACCGGGAAAGTTCCGGTACGACGAGCATACGACAGAGGCCCACCTGAGCCGATTTGCATCCGCAAGCTTTCCGGTACATCGATTGCAGGTGCATGTAAAGAGGTTAGTACAGGCTAATCACAAGGTTGGCGTCGTTCGTCAGCTCGAGACGGCAGCTTTGAAAGCCGTCGGTGACAACAGAAATGCTCCCTTCGTTCGGAAACTCACGAACCTCTACACCAAAGGGACATATGTCGACGATGTTGAGGGACTCGATCCGGGCAATGGTGCAGGCCAGTCGACTGGCTATCTGCTCTGCATCACTGAAACGAACGCGAAAGGCTGGGGGAACGACGAGAAAGTACATATTGGCTTGGTTGCGGTACAGCCTGCCACTGGTGACATCGTCTACGATGACTTTGAGGATGGCTTCATGAGAAGCGAACTCGAAACTCGCCTTTTGCATATTGCTCCTACGGAGTTGCTGATCGTTGGACCGTTATCAAAAGCCTCAGAGAAACTTGTCGAGCATCTCTCTGCAAGCAAGACTAATGTATTCGGGGACAAGGCTCGCGTTGAGCGGGTCAAGAAGCCGAAAACGATGGCGGCCCAGTCCTACAGTCACATCTCGAATTTCTATGCCGAAAAGATGAGTATACAACGCGGAGCATCTACTGATCAAAGCACTATCCTTGATAAAGCACATCAACTATCTGAACACGTCACCATTTGTCTATCAGCCATGATCACGTATCTGACAGATTACGGACTAGAGCATGTTTTCGATCTGTATGTATCACCCAGCACCCTGAGATTGGTTCCTCTGTTTCCATCATTGATCAGCGATCTATGTATCTGGTCCTTGATCACACGTGGTGGGGCAGAGCCAAACACTCGCTGTGGAGCGATCTTTCGGTTCTTGAATGACACTGATTTCGTCTCCGGATATATAGGACAAAATATTTCCAGCCTTTCAGCGCTCGATCGTACATGCTGCTGAACGGCAACACCTTGACCAGTCTGGAAATCTACCGCAATCAGACGGACAACACCAGCCGAGGCAGTCTTTTCTGGACCATGGATCGTACAAAAACACGGTTCGGTCAGGTAAGTCTTCGCACCTACATTGCATCCGAGAACACAAACCCTTTAGCCTGCGGGTCACTGCAATGTCCCGTTTCTAGGTCTAGCACCGCGTGTTATCCGGATGAGCTGTACGGTATACTAGAATTTACCCCAGTGTGATGCTGTGATAACGCGCAGTGTTCAGCCGTGAATTTGAAATAGCATGAAGAGCAGATCAGCTAATTCGGTCTCGTAGCGCCTGCTACGTAAATGGATCGGTCGGCCTTTGGTCCACAGAACAAGTCTTGAAGAACGCATAGCGGCTGTCGAAGAACTGAAAGAGGGTCAGAACACTAGACACATCGACAAGCTCAAGTTTGTCCTGGGGAAGATCAAAACCGACCTGGAGAAGGTCTTGCTACGCATCTATTATCAGAAGTCCTCACGTGCGGAGGTTCTTGTTGCGCTTCAAATACTCCAGGACATTTCATCCGAGTATGCGAGCGTCAAAACTGCCGGCGATACCGGATTCAAGTCGTCTGTACTATCTGACGCTGTTTCGAGTATACCTCGAATTTACGAAGATGTCAAGGTTTTCCTAGAGAAGGTCAACGCCCAAGCTGCGAGAGATGACGACAAATACTCCTTTTTCCGGGAGGAATACGAAGCGGAGGACATAAATGACTACAAGCTCAGCATTGCATCTGTAGAAGATGATCTCAACAATTATAGGAAGGAGGCAGCAGCCAAGATTGGCACCGGCCAGGTCACGTACGTTACCGTGAGTGGTGTTGAGTATCTAATTGAAGTCAAGAGGAAGTCTCCCCAGGAAAAGAGAGTTCCGGCTTCGTGGCAACAAATCTCGTCCACCAAGGCTGTGGTACGATTCCACACGCCCGAGGTCAAGCGTATGATTCAACAGCGTGACCAATATAAAGAGTCTCTGGCAGCTGCGTGCGACATGGCGTTTAAGCGCTTCCTTGACGACATATCTGCGAAATACCAGGACTTGCGGGACTGTATCCAAGCGCTCGCAACCCTCGATGCCCTTCTGTCCTTGGCAGCTCTCGCCTCGCAAACCGGTTACGTAAAGCCGACCTTCTCTGATGACATCGAGCTATCAATCACCGAAGGTCGACACCCTATGGTTGAGCAACTCCTCCTCGACAACTACGTTCCAAACGATGTCCATTTGTCCCACAAATCCACCCGCGGTCTCCTAGTAACGGGCCCCAACATGGGAGGCAAGTCATCGTATGTTCGCTCAGTCGCTTTGATTTGCATCATGGGTCAGATAGGGTCATATGTTCCTGCCGCGGAAGCCCGTTTGGGCATACTCGATGCCGTGTTTCTGAGGATGGGTGCCTTTGACAATATGATGAAAGGCGAGAGCACATTTATGGTTGAGCTGAACGAGACTTCTGATATCCTAAAGTCCGCCACTCCTCGCTCATTGGTCATCTTGGATGAACTTGGTCGTGGCACCTCGACGTTCGACGGTGTCGCGATTGCAGAAGCCGTGCTCGACTATGTGATACGAGATCTACAGTCGCTCACCATGTTCATAACGCATTACCAACATCTAGCAAAGCTTCAAGACCGCTTTGATGCTCGGGAGTTGAAGAATGTTCACATGCGATTCGAAGAGAGGGACGGTGGCAAGGAAGTCGTCTTCTTGTACGAGGCGGCGGAGGGAACCAGCCATCGATCCTACGGCTTGAACGTTGCCCGGTTAGCGAAGATACCTGAGAAAATCATCGAGGTGGCGGGGGAAAAGAGTCGGGAGCTGGAGGAGGTCATGGCTGCATGCAAACTCGGCAACATGTGGGTTACTACCTTGATCCCTCAAAACGGCACTAATCGGGGTGTAGGTCTCGCATGGTAAAAGTCCTGTTACGTGATGGGGACGAAGCGGTCCTGGAGAAGCTCGTTGAAGGGGTCGGTCAGCTATAACGGTCTCGCCTGTCTGCGTCGGCGATGAAAGCTGGCACACGAAACTGCAGCATGCGAGCGCTATAAGCCGCCCTTTGTATGCTTACAGCCCGCGTGATTGCTACTGGACACGTAACGGAGTGCAGAACAGGAGTATTGATCAGGTACATGTAAGCTGCAGTGGGAAAGGCCAACTTGACTGATGATTCGATGGAGGCAAACGCTTCGTCTTTCCAATCCTTGCATAGCAACAAATAACAGCGCAAGATTGCAGCTGTTATCTAGCAGCGGGATGTGTGTATGTGTGTGTGTGTGTGTGTGTGTGGCGGCGAGCCCTTGGAGCCGCATGCACGCGCTCGGCGGGGTAGGCAGCATGGCCCGGGCGACGCGCTAGCAGGACGCGCCTGCCCCACTAAAACTTGCAGACAGGCGCGCTGCACGCTGGGCTGGGTCGACGTCCGCCGCACTCGCCTGCCCGCGCACCGTCGCCGACGCACGCCACGATGCGATTGACCGTCAAGGTGCTGCCGCTGACGGCGGCCAACGCGCCGGGGCCCTACCAGGCCGAAGCACTCGCGGCCTTCCAGCAGCGCGTGTTTGCGCTGCCCGTCGACGCCGCCGACACCTTCGAGCTCGTGTGGCGCAAGATCGAGGACCGCTACAAGAACAACTACCTTGCCCCGCAGCACGTCGCCCTCTTCGCCATCAAGAAGCTGCAGGACGGCCGCGATTGCGACCTCGACCTGACCGACACGGTGGGATCCATCTTCGCTGACGAGGCCGTGGCCGACCGCGTCGTCAAGGTCGTCCCGAGCTTCGCGAACCGCCTCTTCTCCATGCCCCCCGACACCAACCTGCGCCCGAACCCCCACAAGCGCTCCAGGTTTCCGAGCGACGCCCCCGCCAACAAGCGCCCCCGCCAGCACCCGCCGTCTGCCCAGGTCGACATGGACGCCGTTGCTGATGGGCCCGTCCCGTCAGTCGAATCCGACGGCGCCCGGGCACACAGATCGCACACCGGCGGCTCCGTGACTCTACTGAGCGCGGCGCGGCGCGGCCAACCTCAATTCACCACGCATATAAAGTCTGAGTCTCCCGAGCTCGGGGCTATCACGTCGCCAGGTGCTTTGAAGAAACCGGCACAGCAGTCGTACGACATGCCTGTCAACACCCCAGACAGACCTTCGTCTCAAGCAGTCAGTACCATCCCCCGTCCAAGTCCGTTCCCGAAGCTGAAACGTCGTCAACAGCGCCACTCCAATCAGAAGTCAAGTGAATCCAGGACCACTCAATCAACATCTGCATCGACGCCGTATGGCAAGCTGAAAAAGTCTGAGCTCCGAGAGCTACTTCTGACCCGTGGTCTAAAGACCCAGGAGAATGGTAAACGAAACAAAGATGACTTGGTACAGCGCCTGCTCGCGTATGATGCGCAGGTCGATGACACTACCATTCAGGAGACTCCTCAAGGCAAGGGACGACCTGTGGAGAGGAAACATGTTTCACCGAAGAGTACGGAAAAGATTGCCATTGAAACACTCCGAGGACCCCCCAACCATGAAGTCAATGCCAGCTCTTCAAACAGGCCAGACTGGGACAAACCATCTTCAAACAAGCCAAACTCGAAACTACCGTCTCCAAGCAAGCCGAGTTCAAAAAGTCCATCTTCGAGCAGGCCATCTCCAAGCAAGCCGAACTCGGCAAGCTCGTCACCGACCAGGCTGAACTCAACAAGCCCATCCCCGACGAGGCCGGATTCGAACAGGTCGTCTCCACTTGCGGCACGAGAACCAGCTCAATGGCTGGCCAAGTCGCCGTCACCGCATCGGCTTGAAAGTGATGCAGATTCTGGAGAGTCCAGAGCGTCATCTTGTTCACAATCCCCGGTCGACAATCTGAATGGGGACACGGCTATGGATCAGGATACCAGCGATTCGGAGAGTAATACGAAGTCGGACGAAGATGGAGAAGTCAACGGAGATGGCAAAGTAGATGAAGAGGACGAAGTTGACGAGGAGGGCGGAGTCGAAGAGAAGGCGGAAGTTGACAAGCTCGACGTGAACCGGAGTCCTTCTCCAGCGGATCTGGGTGCTCCCCCTTCAGCCCAGCTCTTGCGATCCTCTGTGGTCCCTGACACACCGTCTTCATCGACGCAGCTACCCGCATCACAGCCCCCGCCGCGATCAGTACAATCCAATGGCGGGATCAATGCATGGTTCACTTCGGCATCCCAACCGCTTGTGCGCTCAGGCCAGGCTAGATCACAGCCCCCGTCAGCATCGCAGCCCGTCCTTCCGAGACGCGGCCCGCGGAACACAGGGATCTTCAGCTCCCTGAAAGAGATGCTCAAGCAAACTCGCGAACAGCCCAATGAAGTGTCCCCAGTCCACCAGCCCAAGCGGATGGAGTTGAAAGCCACGGATCTAGGGAACACGAGCCAGAAGAAGCTACCTTCTGCGCTGGAGCAGGACAGCGAGGACGATAAGAGTCAAGACAGTCGCAGCAGCAGTAGTGACGAGGACTCATAAGTGCGTAAAGCATGGGTTGGACATGCCACTGTTATCGAACGTCATCAAACCGGTGTCTCTTGCGACTGTCTGTTCATGGAGACAAGACGTCGCTTGAACGAGCTATCTTGGGTTTCAACTTGCACCATGTGATACTCACATCGCTCTACGTAGCCCTCCTCGCCCCTCGCAGTAACTCCGAATAATCCAGACAACTTTGCATAGTAGGCACTGTCTATTGCACTAACTTAGGATGATCAAGACAGTTCTGCATAGTATTCATTGTCTACTGCAGTAGTCCAAAATAGTCAAGACAAATCCAAACGAAGCGCAATTCTACCATGACTACTGTATTTTGTACACATCTACAGTGAACCATTGCACACTCCATCTTCCAAACGCCAGCCAATGCTATAACTCATGGCATGCTCGTACGTCAGCTTCCTCCCATGCAAAGACACGCCATGTGAATAAATCCGCCTGCCATCTTTATACCATGCTTTGTGATACACATGCATTGAAAGCACGCTGTATATACTAAACAATTGCCTCACATCCGCCTGTATGGTACATCAGCCGCAACCTACCACCGCGATGCTGCGATAGGATAGCGCTGCCACATCTTCACTCCGCCTTGGGTCTAGCGCTGCCGTTCTGCACGTAACGCGAAGCGTCGTCGGATGTCTTGTGCATGTAGAACTGGCGCTCGAGAAACTTGAGGCCTTCGTCAATGATACTGGGATGCATGTCAGCTATTGTTATACAAGAAGAGGTTGGGCTGGGAAAACTCACATGATGGGCCCGCTGATTATCAGAACGGCCTTCCACTCGCTCCAGTCCAGTGGCACAACGCTAAACAGGCCCTGAAGGAAAGGCACGTAGAGCAGGACGAAATGCAGCGCCATGGACAAGCAGATGGCGTATACAAGCATCATGTTCTTCCAGAGCGGTAGGGTAAGCAGCGACTCGGATGACGAGAGGGCGTTCATGGCGTTCAGCATCTCGATGACAACGAGGATAGACAGCGAGACCGTCGAAGCTGCGCGAGAAGACTCGTTGGCGAACATCTCGCACCCAATCTCTGGGAACTGCGAGGAGCAGCGGTGGAAATGGGTGAGCTGGTAGAAACTGATTTGGGGGCCGGCGCTGTTGAACATGAACCACCAGGCGTAACCGAACACGGTTGCTGCTCCAACATAAGTGCCGATGACCATGTAGCGGAAGAACAACCAGCCGTCCACGAGCGCTTCGTCACGCTTACGCGGTCGCCTCTTCATGACGTCGTGATCCGGTGGGTTGAAGGAGAGGGCCGTAGCGGGCAAACCGTCTGTGACGAGGTTGACCCAAAGGAGCTGGACAGGAATGAGTGCTTCCGGCATGCCAGCGGCAGCTGTGAGGAAGATGGAAACAACTTCGCCGATGTTGGAAGAGATGAGATATCTGATGAATTGTTGTGTGTTGTTGTAAATGGAACGACCTTCTTCAACAGCACCCTCGATGGTGGCGAAGTTATCATCTACCAAGACCATGTCAGCGGCGAGCTTAGCGACGTCGGTTCCAGAGCCCATGGCAACGCCAATATCGGCTTTCTTGAGGGCGGGTGCATCATTGACGCCGTCTCCAGTCATGGCAACAACTTCACCAGCTTGTTGGAGGAGATCTACCAGTTTCTGCTTGTGGGTGGGTTCTACACGGGAGAAAAGAGACGCTCGTTTGGCGGCCTCCATTTTCTCAGTCTCGCTGAGGTCATCGAACTCACGACCAGTATAGCTCTTGCCAGTAGTATCCTCGTTTGGACCGAAAACACCGATTTGGCGGCAGATAGTCTCGGCGGTGTTCTGGTTGTCTCCTGTAATCACAATGACACGGATGCCAGCAGAGCGGCATTTCGCAATCGAGGCGCGAACTTCAGGACGAGGAGGATCCAGCATGCCAACAAGGCCAATCAAAGTCATGTTTTGCTCCAGTTTCGCATAATCTTGCGTGGTTTTGGCGCGTTTCAGGAGAGGATTCGAACCGATGTCGTCCACAGATGCCAGAGCCAAGATACGCAACCCTTTCTTGCCATACTCGACGACTTCTTTGGCAAGTAGGCCAGCCATTTGCTTGTTGAGCTGTACCTTTTTGCCGTGCTCCCCAACGATCACGTGCGTGCATCGGTCCAGAATGGATTCCGGAGCCCCCTTGACCAATAGCCTCTGAGAATGCGAGTTTTTCACTAGGACAGACATGCTTTTACGGTCCCGAGAGAACTCATAGGTTGCTTGTCGGGGAGAATAGTCTTCGTAGTATTTGCTCGCGCGGTGAAGACGCTCAGATGGAGAAACAGATGCCCGGATGTCGTTATACTCGCGATCAGGTGTGCCGACCTTCTCGACCAGAACGCGCAATGCGCCTTCAGTTGGTTCCCCGATCAAGGCATGTTGTCCGCTCTTGGGGTCCAAAGAAAGAGCCGAATCGTTGCAGAGCGCAGTGACTTCACATATCTGGCGAACAGTGTCGGACGAGGCGGCCAAATGATCTCGAATTTGGCCTTGCAATGTGATTCGGCCTTCGGGGGCGAAGCTCGTCCCCTCCACGTCGAACTCTTCCAGGCCCTTGCCATCTTCGGTGATGAAGACTATCTTGTTGACGCTCATTTGATTTGTTGTCAAGGTACCAGTCTTGTCAGAGCAGATTACACTGCAGCTCCCGAGCGTCTCTACAGAGGGAAGGCTGCGGACAACGGCGTTCTTTGCTGCCATCTTGCGCGTGCCAAGAGCGAGACAGGTGGTAATGACTACAGCGAGACCTTCCGGAATAGCTGCGACACCTAGAGAGACGGCGATCTTGAGGTAGTAGATAGCGCCCTTTGCGAAACCGCCATGCGAGGGGTCACTGAAGTTGCGAATGTTGATGAGCCAAACCAGAACACAGATGGCCGTAATGACTTTGGCCAACACGTCGCCAAAGTCGTTCAGCTTTTCTTTCAAAGGCGTAGGCTGCGAGATCTGCGATGTGATACTTTCGTGGATGTCTCCGATGGCAGTGTTGGCGCCAGTGAGCACAACAAGCGCGTTGGCATGGCCCGTAACGACGGTGGTGCCCGAGAACAGCATATTGACTTGATCCTGCTTGACGGCATGCTCGTCCTTGATGGACCTGGTGTCCTTGGAGACGCTCTCGCTCTCACCGGTAAGGATGGACTGATCAATGTTAAAGCTGTTGCTCTGGACAGACAATATCCTGCAGTCTGCAGGGATCCTGTCGCCAACAGCAACCGAAACGACATCGCCGGGGACCAAGTCATCCGCTTTTATGCGCGTAATCTTGCCGTCGCGGACGACCTTTGCTTCGTTCGCAGAGTACTCTTGGAGGGCGGCAATGGCTTTCTCGGCGCTTGTTTCTTGAGACACACCGACGACGGCGTTCAACACCAGGATGGTGAGAATCTAAGCGGGGGAGCAGAGTCAGCGCCTGGCCACTGCTGCCGTGCTGGGCTGGGGCAACTTACGACTGCAGGATCCACGAAGGCGGTCCAGTCGTCACCGCCCTCAAAGAGTGCGAGCACGAAGCTCACAGCGGCGCTGCCGAGCAGGATGATGACCAGCTGGTCCTTGAACTGCTCGAGAATGAGCTCCCATATCGGTGTGGGGGGATCTTCGGGAAGCGCTGTTCGTATGCATTAGCAACCACGGCGCCGTGCACGCGGACAGCAGTTCGACCTACCGTTTCTGCCATACTTCTGGCGAGCACTCTGCACCTGCTGCTGCGACAGGCCCTGCTGCTCAGTCACGCCAAAGTGCTTCAGCGCCTCAGCGGGCGTCTTTGTGAAGGCATTCTCCATGCTCTGTGCGCAGCAATCACCGAACAATTCGCTGCCAGGTGCACGAGGAGGGGAGGGGGTTGACGGGGAGGTCGCAAGGGGCGAGAGGGGCCCGGGGCGTTATATACTGGGGAGCTTCGACGTGCGGCGGCGCGTCGATGGGTACAGAGAATAACCAATCTGTCCTCTGGTGGAGAGTGGAGCAGGGGACCAGGGCTAAGCCCTATCCAGCCCGCCAGCACCCAGCCACGCCCTGCGCAAAGCACGACGCACAACGCCCGTTGCCCGTTGGCCAGTCCGTGTGTCTGGTCCTCCACGGTGCGTCTGCTGCTATCTCTGCCGCGCCATGGTCCCCGTCGCTTCCAGCTGCGGAATGCGCGCCCGCCGCCTGCTTCCGAGGCGCTCGACAGTTTCGGAACTGCTGCCCCGCCATGGTCCCTCGCCTCGCCCCTTCCTGGCCGATGCGCCACAGCAGAGGCGCCACGGGCAGCACGGCACGACGAGGGCCTTGATCTGGTTCCGACCAGCGGGTCCCGCCACAATTCATTCACATAACACACCGAGCACGGCGTTGAAGTGGGCCGTGGCCACCGGACCACGGCCCTTGATTTGCACCGACACAAGTAGTACATGGTGGTAAGCACAAGCCTGCCCGCGTCGTACATTCATCCCACAAGGTATCACGGATATCCCCAGAACCCCAATGCAAATCCCAAAAATGGTACAAACGCCAACGCTATGCTGTCATGATCCTCCGTCCGTACAAATACCCATTAGATGCTTCCGAGGCGAGCATCTCAGCCTCCATGTGGGTGCGCTATAAACCCTGCATGTGCATACCGTAACACGGTGGAACGTTCGAGAAGCGACGTACGCACGCAACACCCCTCAAAGTGGGCCCATTGCCGGAGCGCAATGCTGTTTGATCAGCTTCTCGACATCCCGTATAACAAAAGGCTTCGTGAGGAATCCCTTCATGCCCACCTTGCCGGCGCGATCCACAGCTGCGTCGGTCACATCTGCGCTAACGGCAAGCACGATTGGCTTCTCGACGATTGCATCTATCTTCAAGATCGACTCGGTGGCCTGGAATCCGTCGAGCCGTGGCATCCAAAGGTCCATGAGGATGACGTTGATGGCCTCGTGACAAGGCCGTTGCACGTTGTTGCGCATCTGCTGCACGGCATCATTACCATCGTAGGCTTCATAAACGTTGGTGTAGCCGAGGTTCTTGAGCATGTGGCGTAGCACGCTTCGGTTGATGCGGTTGTCGTCAACTACTAGGAAGTTGAGTGGATAAGCCTCAGCAAGCTTCTTGTCATGGCTGCTACGATGTGACTTTCTTCCCTTGGAGATAGCACGCGATCGGGCTGGTGACGCAGAGCGAGGAGATGGCAGGCCAAGGTGTTGAGGCCCAAGCGAAGACTTGACGGGCGCAGGGCTGTTGGAGGTTAGGGCCTTAAGTTGTAACGGCTCTGCGGGTGGAGGCGTGCTATGTTGGCGTGTAACGTTTGCCGGCATCACATCTGCTTCCATGGACAGACGGGATCTTGCGGAGAGACTTGGCGATCCGAAAGGTGAGCCTGGGCGGCTGCACACTTCGCCAGGCGTCATCGGCACTCGCATCTCAAACTCAGAGCCTCTTTGCGGACCCGATACGTGCGATCGGAGGCAGAACAAATCCCCCCCGAGTTTCCTCGCAAGCCCTTTCGCCACCATCAGACCGAGGCCCAGCCCTTCGCTGGCGCGCGTAGTGGAATCGTCTTCTCGTGAGAAAGGTTTGAAGAGGTTCGGCAAGAAAGCGGCAGGGATCCCTGAGCCTGTGTCCTTTACGTTTATGACAATGTACCTGGCATTGACACTGAGCGAAGCGTTTAGACTGATCGTGCCGTGTTCTGTAAACTTGATAGCGTTCAGAGCTAGACAGGAGATCATCTTGGCAAGGTCCTTTTCGTCAATCACGATTGTGTCGGGGACATCTGGCGATACTGTCCATTCGATCATCTTCGAACGCGCTTCACCGTTGGAGCTCCGTGTCCGTACCTCAATCTTTTCGCCACGGTCCGTCTCCTCCGCAATGGCAGAATCAGGCCGACCCCCGACTTTCAGTGCATCGTTGATGACATACTGAATCACTTCACGCAAATTAGTGTATCGTAAGCCGGGTGCAATTGACTGTTCCGAGGCAAACATGGGCGACAGACCAGGATCGACTTCCCCACGAGTTCCCACCACGCCATGTGAGCAAATTTCCTCCACGGTCTCGACGGGGCTTAGTCTTTTTGAAACACGGCCCGCGCGTGCTGTGCCGCTGAGAGATTCTTCTGAGATGGAATGTCTGACTCGACGACGAGCGCTTCTTGCCACTCGCACTTGCCCTGACCAAGCAAGCACCTCCTCTCTCTTTCTCTTTATGCCACGGTACTGAGCAAAAGGAAGCGTGTCGCCAGTGACTGGGATCTCTGGCCGACTGTTTCGGAGGAAGACATTCACCTGAGAGAAATCGGCATCCAGGGGTGTCGTAGGAGTTTCTGGCACTCCCATGTTCATATCGTAAGCGTGTACTACATTGTCGGCAGCTTCAACCGCACGTCGCGAAGAGTCTACAAGTTTCAATTAGCACCGGACGTCGTGTAGGAGCATGCCAGATAGCAGAACGATGCCAAGATGTTGATGGAAAGAGGGGGTGCAGTGCACTGACCTTGTACGGCCTCGATGTTTTGCTTCAACGAGTCGAGCAGCTTTCGTATTCGGGGGTCATGGTGCGTGTCCTCGGCGACTTCCTTGATGTTTGCCATCATTACGTCCAACATGCCCACAACACCTTGCATTGGCGTGCGCAGTTCGTGCGAAAGGCTCCGGGCATACGGCTTCAGTGACTGCGCCATCGATACAGCCTCGTGGGGGACAACCCTTGTTTCTTTTTTCAGCACCTCTGCGGATTTCGCAAAGCTCTTTCCCTCGAGAACGCGCTGCAGGATGAGGTCTTCCAGACCGTGGAACAACATTTCTAGATAGCCCCAGCTCAGGCGCCGCGCTGCGGCTCCTTCTGGGCTCCACATGACTCCAAAATGGGCGAAGCACTTGCCATGGGCGAATAGGGGGATTCCAAGATATGCCTCGCCGGGCACGACCAGCTCGTTGGGGTTGTTGATGATGAAGTCGTTGAGCTTTTCCGGGATTATGAAGATCTTGTCGTGCTTCATGTATGCGCAGGGACACTGGTAGGCATGATATTTGAAGTTGTTCATGTGGGCGGTGTTGCCGTGGCCGTCGTTGACGTAAAACGCAGCCCCCATGAGGCAGGCGCCCGGTTCGCCGATTGGGGGCAGTTCGACGGCGACGTCTCTGTCGTGTTGGAGAATGCGCTTGGAAACGAAGGCATACTGGGCGCCGGCGATGTTGGCCAGTCCTTCGGTGAGGAGGTGCCAGAAGGTCTCTGCGTCGGCGTTGCGGAGGGCATCCTTGAGCCGGACGAATTGCTCTGCTGCGTTGCTTTCGACAGGGCTGTAGTGGCGAAGTAACTCGTCGTTGAAACCATGGTCCCCGGCGTGGACGACCATGCCTGGGGTGGGCTGTGAGAAACAGAGGGACTGGCGTGGGATTAAATCGGGAGGCACAGTGCTAGGGTCGAGAGCCATCTCTCCCATGTTGAAGGACCATCCGGGAGGGCGGGCGAGAAGAGGGGCCAGTGGATGGGGGGGCCAGGCCTTGCAGGGATGGCAGGGCGATGGGAGCGAAAGCTTCGTGGGCACGGCGGAGTGGGGATGCAAGGGAGACGGGCAAACGTGTGCGGAGGGTGCTCGGCTTGGGCGGCGGGACGCGGCAGGTGTGCATGCGGAGCGTCGTCGACGCTGGGCGTGGGTGGCAGCAGTGGAGGCCGGCGGGGACGGAGTGCAGCGCGTCGTGTGCGGTGTGGTGTGGTGCGGGAGAGGATGCGAGGGAGGAGGGAGCGCAGCGCAAAGCAGAGCAGCGCAAAGCAAAGCGCAGGCGCAGCGGCGTTAAGGCGCTGGGCCTGGCAGCGAGGCCGACTGGCAACTGCTAGAGTTGCACACGCAGAAGAGACGATCTAGAACGCGCGCCCTGTGGAGGCCTCTGCGCCGCGCTGCAACCAACCCTCCAACTCCGGGTGCCCGCGCGCCGGGGCAGCGTCAGACAAAGGCGAGCGCAGCCTGCAGCGCTGCGGGGTTTGTGTGTTGCGTGCGCCCGTGTGCGTGTCCATGCGTGTGCGTGTGCGAGTGTGAAGGCGCGTCTGCTGCCGCACGCTGGACAGACGGAGCATGTGCAGACAGACGCAGCACTGAGCACTGAGCACCGAGCGCCGAGCGCTGAGCACTGAGCACGCTGGTCTGGGCCGGGCTGGGCTGGGCTGGCGGTCGCTGCTCAGGCGGCCAGCCACCCAGGGCGCGGGCTGCTTCTGCGTCGGCTTGTTGCGCGTTCTAGATCGGCGCCATGCACGATTTGCAGCGACCAGACCGCCGACCCCGACCCCCAGCCCAGTGCCCCGAGCGGACGAGACGCCACCCATGCACGCTCCCACCAACGCTGACCGTGGGCTGCCTCCTCTCTGCGGCGAAGCTCTCTACGCAGCGCAGAGGCCAGCGCCGGAGCATTTCCATCCACCGCCCCTGACGTCACTGCCCGCAAACCCCATCAGCACCATCACGACAGCGGTCCCATCGTCCCACGGCAGGCGCTGCCTGTGGCCGAATCGTATCCTCTCCTGACCAGCCCGCCCTCCCGCGTCTCCCGTCTCGTGGCGTGCCCAGGCGTCCCCCAAAACGTCGAAAGGGCGCGGTACTCTGCACTCCACTGCACTCTGGCTCAAAGTAACGTTACATGGCCTCGTCATCTTGGAGAGACGAGGTTGTCCACTTCATCTTTGTAAATACATCTTTTCACTAGCTCCATTGCGCTTTGTAGATACGAGACGCGCTCGCCCTGCAATATTCCGTGTGCAGATCACGTCTGCATGCCGACACCACGAGCCTTCATGGGGGGTTTTGGCCCCTACAAATCAAGCCTCCTCATGCGCTCGTTTCCTCTAACCGGTAATGATCTGCTTCAGGCGCACGTTTTGAGCACATTGCTGCAGATCACTGCTGCAATCGCTTCGCCCACGCCATCTCTACCTGTAGAGTCTGGACACCATCCTCTACCTCCGTGCTTTGCACGCCAATCATTTCCGAGTAATGCAAGCATGCCCGTGACTCGTCAAGTACCAAGGGAAAGGCTCTCTTATTTCCGTGATCTGTTCCGTGTCACAACAAGCTCAGACTGGAGAGGAGCCTTGCCGCTACCAACTTCTCACTGCACACCCAGCCTGGACCTGTCTTGCGAACATCAGTGAAGTGATGGAACCACGGCTACTGAACGCCAAGCGACCGACACTGTAATCCCATTCGGACATGGGTGCCTGCTCCGATCCTCATGTTATAGCTCGGCCGAAGCTGCTTACGATAATTCTAGACCGACCTTTCCGACCGTCTCTATCGCTCCCTAGCCCCTCGTCCCAGCGACTGGAGCCGGATACGTTATTGACACGGCAAGAGCACGTGGCTGCAAATGGTTTGCACTTGAAACAAAATCCATGGTGCCCATCGGAACCAGAACACTATCGTATCTTCACTCCTCGTTCTTGGGATACGTCAAACCTGAGCAATGTTTCACGGTCCAAAATAACGGGTAGTTCGAGTTTTGGTGGATTTCGATAACCTGGCGCTGCCGCACTGTATTACTTCTCAGCACAGCTTTCGTTGTCCACCCTCTCCATACATTTGCCGGACTCGTCTTTCCAACAATGCGCCCAAATCAACCGCGAAAGACCCTCGGAGACATGCGCATTGGTTTATGACGACACCCGCCCATATCTATGAAAAGAAAACGCCTCCTGTCGAGCTTGGTCGATCTTGGCAACGGTCTAGACCGACGCCAAAACATCGACCTCGATACTCAATCCCTCCCTCACTAATGCCAATACAATAGCACGTGTGGACCCATATAGAAGCGTTTTGTAGCATGAGACTTGCTAGAGTTCGCCGGTAATGGGTGCCCAGGGCTCCAATTATCTTCAGGAGAGAAATACGCATCACACTTGTATGTATTCAAGAAGTACGCTCGCTTGTCTTTAAGCAAAAGCAAAAAAGTAGCTAGGGCAACGAAAAGCTTACTCTGTCTCCTAAGCGGGATTACTTATTGATGTACTAGTCGTGGTACATCTTCAATGTCAATAGATATCTTTCACATAAACAAACAATTTAGTCCTACCATAAGACCCAGGGTTGCTTTGGAATAGTACAAGACACTGTAACACTGACAGGCTCTGAAGGTAACCAAGGAGGCACACATCTGAAATCCAGTACAAATCGGACCGCAATTGTTACAGGCCAACGTAGAACTACGGCGATTATTGAGCCGCCATTGCCCTCGACAGTTCGCATTTGAACTTTATGAGCAAGACAAGTCGCACAGAGTCAGGGTATATTGTACTCATAGCTCGTGGTAGATGCATCAGTCAGATGGTGGCATGACCACAGTCAGACTGACCGCCGCCAATACTCTAAGTAACATCTTTACGCAAGTCATAAGAGGCGGTGAACAACAACAAGTTACAGGGCCTAGATCGATCGATGGCGGGATATGTCGGCATGGCAACGCGTTGGACCGACATTAAACATATTCCATGCGCCTACAGTGCAACCATCTCGTTGTTGGCCAATCGAATGAACGGAGGCGTCTTTCAGTAGTACACGTATCAATCACATCTATGCTCTGTGCGACTCGGTGTACACTAAATGGGACAAATGATCTAAGCATATTCACCTGATGAATGAAGCCCGAGAAAACACGTGCTCAAACACTCGGCAGAAGCAGCTCAAGCTGGACGACACTTGCAGCAGCGTATACCATGTGTCGGCCCCTTTGACAGCACTAGAACGTGCACGAGCTTGCAACGGGTTTTGGGCTGACATACAAGGCTTCTGATGCACACGAGAGATGTGTGTCTCAGTCATTCATAGCACGCACACATGATCAAGAGATGTACGTCTTTACACAGCTTCATGACTTCCATGTAAAGCCGGAAACGGTGTCGGATGGTATCCATGCACTGAGTTGCTCAAGCTAACACGAAGATCCCATTTCGCTGTATGCTTCCAGGTGTAGACTCTGGCTATTCGTAGGCTAGAATACGCACGTGGTCCATCTCAATGCGCACAATGATCAGGTCAAGCAAAAGTTTGCCGCATTTGTCCTTGCTGGATCTGCACAAGCTTCACATTACACTTATGCTTACCTCATCGCACTTCCAACTCAATGTAGATCTACTGAACCACCTCCTCACTTTCCTCGATGATCTCTTCGACAATCTCCTCAATCTCCTCCACTTCGCCATCCTCTTCCCTGATCACCTTCCCATTGTTCAGCTCAATCTCCGCACCCTCCTCTTCCAGCATCTCACGCATACTCTTGCGGAACTCGAGCCACTCGGTGAGCATCCTTTGCCGCTCCTCAATGACTGCCTTGTTGGCAGTGTTCTTCTTGGCCTGGTCCTGCTCGTCGAAGATCTTAGAGTAGTTGCGCAAGTTCTTCCGGATCTCGGCTTGCTCTTCCTTGGAGAGAAGAGTCGCGGGTCGCGGGCGCCAGATGAGCTGCTTAAAGCGGTCAATGTGTTCTTCGCGGAGAAGAGTGCCTTTGAAGTCGTACATATGGTAACCATTTTCCATCTGCGTTAATGTCAGTGCGTGCTTCAGTAACAAAACAAATTAACTCACGTGATGTCTGAAGGCGGAGGCAACCGTGGCAAGGTAACGACCTGAGGGGTCCCACTCGATGTCGGTCATGCCATAGTGCTCGGCGGTCGCCATGAGCTGCAAATTGGCATTGAGTTCCTTGTCGCCCTTTTCAGCTTCATCTTTAGGCTTATCAAAGCTGAGATCCCAAAAATCAAGATCAAATGACTGCTGTGACTGGAGAGTTGCAACAACTACGAAACGTCCCTTAGGTGACCAGTAGATGGCGTTGCTGTTCTTCTTGTCGACGGTTCTGATGTGACGGAAGTTACCCGGAGCTCCACCTTTGAGCTTCTCTGGGGCGAAGAAGGAGACAGCGGTCTTGGGAGGAACCGCTGCGCCAGCAGGGATCTCGCCAGCTGTGATGATAACAAATCTGTTACCCTTAGGTTCCCAGGCGAAGTTGATGACTGCGTCTTTGAGAGAATCAACGACCTCGACAGGAACACCCTTCTCCTTGACGCGGAAGATTTCCAAGTTAGTGGCCATGGATTTCTTCGACTTGGAGTGCCGATCAACCTTGACGCAAACATACGCGCCCTCCGACTGCCAGTGAAGTTTGGCATCGGAAACGTTGAAAAGGTTGCGGGTGCGGACGATCTCCTTGGACGGAACTGACATGAGACCAACCTTGGCAGGGTTGCTGCCGAGTTCGGGTGTCCAGTAACAGAATAGTTGCTCGTAGGTCTTGATACCGTCTCGCTTTGGCGTAGCGGGTGCCCATTCGAAGTCCACGACACCTTCAATTTTGATCGACTGTTTGTCGAGCAAGTTCATGCGGGGCAGCTCGTAAACTGAGATGGATTGGTTCGGCGTCATTCTGGCAACATACTTGTCGTCAGCAGACCACTTGAAGGTCGGCCATTGCATCTTCTTCTTCACAGGGTTGCCCTCGGCGTCGGTGGATGTGGGCACATCGAGCGTGGCGAACGAGCGCAGAGGCTTGCCGGTTGCGATGTCCCAGATGATGTAATTCTTTCCATCCTCCTCCAAGGAGAGAGACGGGACTGGGTGGTTCTCGTCGACCTGAAGCGGGCGGTGCGACCACGTTGTAACATATCGCTCGCTCGGCGAGAAGTCGACCAGGTTGACGCCGGGGTGCGCAAAGCGCTTTTGCCTGCTCCAAGCCTTGCCACCCCACAGCTGCACACCCTGCGCGTGCATGGATGTGAGGTATGTGCCCTGCGGCGACCACTGCACGAACGACTCGGTCCAGTTCTCGCGGTCCACGACGGGCTCCGGGCCGTCTTCCTTGTTGTTCCAGAAGACTCCGACCTTCTCGTTACGGAACATGACCATCTGATCGCGGCCCTCGGCGTCGCCCAGCCACGAGCGCAGATGCTCCTTCTGCTGGAACGGCTCGATGTGCGGCTCGTGGTACTCCTCATCCACGCGACCCTCCTTTCCAAAGCGGTCGATGTCGGTGAGCTTGTTGACCTGCATCGTGTGCTTCTTGTCCAGCGGCGTCAGGTGCAGCTGCTTGACGGCGGCAACGGCCTCGCTGGGCGCGTTGTACTCGACGAAGGCATATCTAACCCCACGTTAACTCAGCCTGTAGCGTGTCGGTGGCTCGCAGACGCACCCCTCGGTCTTCCCATCGTCGCCAACCGGCATGTGGACGCCGTCCTCCTTGACCTTGCCCACCGAGTTCAGCTTCCTCAGCACAAACTTGACGAGCTTGGCCTTGCTGTCTCCGGGCACAACGGGGAGCCCGTCAATGACTACGAACGCGTCCAGCCCCTCATCTAGGCGCACTTGGTACTGGTCTTCGATGTCGGTGAAGTCGATTTGGGATTCGTCAAACTCTTCGTCGTCCATGGGGAGGTTCTCGTAAGTCGTCGCCATCTTGGGTGCTGTGCTGCGGCGTTGGTGGGGGCGCGCGATTCTTTTGTCGAGCGAAATTCAAAGTGTGCCGCACGTGGCGCAGGGCACGTGATTCGTGGCGGTGCCAGACGCTCCTCCCGCAATGAGTGCACGGACAGTGCTCTAGGCACTCTTGCATCAACCAGGCCAGCGTGAATCACCGTCGAATCGCTCTGTATACTCATCACCATACACCGCGAAAGCAAAGGTCTAAACCCCATTTCATTATATGTGGCAGTTGTGATTCCAGGGCTGTCTTTGCGACCGTGGGATGAACTGACTCAACGCACCCAACAATCCGAGGAGCTGACTCAATAAATCCAAAGAGCCACCAAGCGCACACCCTTCAAGAAAGTTCCACCAAGCGACTATGCCCCAGGCCCGCGAATCCTGGGCGGCCTGTTCTACAACGCTTCAAGTACATTGAAGCTCGTGTCTTCCAATACCGTAGAACGCCGATTGCTCGACCCGATTTGAATACTAGCCCGACGAAGTGTGGACGCCGACGTAACGTATGCTAGCCTTCAGATGACCAAAGCGAAATGCTGCAAGCGGTCCAAGGAAAATATGCACTAATATACGAGATATGTGAGTAAGAGCACAGACTACGGGCCTCGCCTACCTTCCGAGTGATCGGAGAGATTCTTGACCAACCTTCCTCCAGCAGACACGCGCTTTTGTAGTCTCGCTTCTCGATCCTTAGCCCGTTCTGCAGGAGTACTCCCGTTACCGGCCATGATAGATGGAAGCGCGGTAAGTATGTCACCACTAGTGTTGGCCTGATGCCCAGCCATGGGCATGGTCCTCCGTCCGGCTCGCTGATCAGCCTTGTGCTCAAGATAAAGGCGCGCCGACGAGCTTAGTGGGATCGGTGCGGATTGGTTCGGAAGTTCTGCACCATTTTGCAGCAGAAGTTCAGCGATTGGGAATGATTTCCGGACCGGGGCATGGGGTGTCGTTGGTCGCGCGCCAGGCAGTGGCGAACTTGCAGGCGACGCAGATGCTGAAGGTGATGCAGGATCGGCTGCAGCCAGAGCTAGAAACACGGCATGCGTTCCGCGAGATCGATCTTTTGAGTTTGGGTCTGCCTTGAGTGCTAACGCATAGAGAACGTTCTGGATATCGTTCTTCTTAATCGATGCTAGCAGAGTCTCTTCAGGCGTGGCGTAATGCGACAGTGCAGGCGAGATTGGAGCAACAAAGGCTCGATCCGCATACTTCGAAGTGATAAAGTGTAACCTCTGCTCGCGAGTCGACGTGGGAGCTGGTTTTAGGGATCCTAAAAGTCGGGCCTCCCAGACCGCATTGCTGTTGCTGTTGCCGATTTTGAGGAGGATGTCTACAATATCCGGAGTGAACGAATTCGTATCGAGCGTCAAGGAGCGTATTTTGGAAATATGCGTTCCTAGCGACCGGTGAATACCACTACACTCAATGCAGATGATGATCCCGAGGTTGATAGAAACCCAGTCGACCTTGCTGTCAGATCCACAGTCTGCGCAGACTCTGTTACTGGCATCTGCATCACGAACCTGCTTGAGAAGTTTGCCGTCGTCTCCGATGGACTCTTCCCTTCGATACCCAGGACGGTCGCCTACAGTCGCATGGCGAGCTGGGGTTTTGGAACTGTAGTGGTTCTTGTGACTTGACATGGAAGGACTTTTCCCTGTCAAGACGGACGCAATATCTCTTCTAGTTTGACCTGGCAGAGAGTCGGTTGAAGGGCGATCTTGCTTCCCAGCAGACTCGACAGCCGATTGCAATGCATTATTTACGGCGGCAATCCAAGACTTCATGTCGTCTTCATTGGTTGCTTGGTAGACTCGGGTGAACTGTGGTGTGATAACCTCAAAGCAAAATCGGCGCTCTTGATTCCGAGCTTCTCGGACCGACGCCATGCGGAGATCAATGGGCTCCATGTGAAGCTCCAGACTCTGCTTCCAATTGGTGTACTCTGAGAGCTTGCCTTGATCTAATACAATCCAGAATCTATGCATGTCAGTTACGCCATGATTTCAGAAACGGTCTATACTCACTTGTGCCACGCCGTCTTGTTCAGACCCTTTGGATCAACGTGACTGCCCGGTCTGCTGAGCGCCCACAAGAGACCTTCTTTACGATGTGCACCGATTCCGACATCATGATTGCTCGGGATGCTATGGTCTTTGTCTTCCAGATCGCGGATGCCTTTAAACTTGTTTGGCTGAGGGCTTCCGCCTAAGGTTGCATGACCAACCTCTGGACTTTGAGGAGACGCAATTGTGGGGATACTGGCCAACGACGAACTTGTCTGAGAGGGGTTTAACGTGTTTGATGGAATCGGAGTAACACTTGGTTTGCGTCCCGGAAGGGCCGTTTCGGATGTCGCCCCCGTCCTCGCAATATTACCGTTGGCGGGTGTTGTCGGCGGAGCTTGTGATGGTGGTTCGTCATACTGCTTTTTGCTCTTTTCAAGCGCCCTCCGCTTCTCCTCTCTCTCTGTCCTCTGTAGCTGAAATTCCTTATCGGCTTCCTTCACTTCCACGAACAAGGCCTCCAGTTGAGGGATCATTGTTTCAATTTTCTTCGCAGTATCCAAGTAACTCCTGGCTTGAGTGTCTGCATATCGGGTGAGATGCGACAACACTTCTTGGTCTTTCCGCCCGCCATGGAGATCTTGCATGAATGATGAGTAATCGAAGCGTTTGAGCTCAAAATTTCGACGCTTGGATTGATACTTTGAGTCGGTCTCGGCACGTTTCTTTTCTTTCATCGAGTCGGAGCGTTGTCCCAGATATCGACTGAGATAGCCGTAGTATTCTTTGCTCTCTTCCTCAAAGTCTTTTCGCTTCGTCTCCGCCTGCTTGATATCGATGTTGTATAGCTTGTAAATGGGATCGATGATAAGCTTCTGTATATTTGACGAATTCATCCGCTCGTAGACCAATATTTCCTTCGCTATCTTGTCGAAATAATGGTCAATGGCTGGTTGGACTGCGTTCGCGTTCGACGTGGACGCCTCCCGCAGAGCTTCCATGAGGTCGGCCATCGCATTGTTGCATGCCACCTGGGCCTCGAGCGCCGATTCAGCTCGCTTTAGAACCTTCTTCCACTTTGTGCGCATATTGCCGGTCTTTTGCTCCAACGACTTCATCGTAGCGCGGAAAAGCGGACCGTCTTCAGTTTGGCTCAAATCTTCCCCAGGCCGGGAACAACTGACGTCTACCTTGACCGCACTGTTCGTTAACGTGGCAGCCTGACTTGAGACCAAGCCAAGCCCGTATTCCGGTATTGGTTCGAAGGTCGGGGATCTCGGAGGCACATCGAGGGGGTCTCTGTCATTGTCGGAATCACTGACTCGTGATTCGATACTCTGGGCGGAGGGAACACGGAGCCTGGGAGGAACACCCAGTTCCATGCGGGGGGAAGGAGATTTTGGACTCTGCAAGGGCCGTACGTTATGAACCCAGAATGTAAAGGTTGCAAGAGTCTCGAGCTTGTGAGCGCGCTGGTCGTATTCCACAAAACAGCAGCTTGTTCGCCAGCCTCCCCCACGGTCTTCGGTCGATTTTGGCGGCTTCCATTTCCAAGACCACTGAAATTGAACCGAACTGGAGCCGCCCGTGTTATAATCCCCGACGAGGTCGACATGTGGGTCTTTGTGTAGGTTAGGATTCGCATGGAACTCTCTGGTGACTAGATTGTCCAACTCTCTTGCGCTCGACCCGAAAACAAAAGTCAAGCCATTTATAGCCGTATCGAGCAGGCCGGTTGATGCAATGGTGGATGCGGTGTTGTTCCCATTGTATATACTCGGCGCAGCCTGAACCTGCCTGATTATGAATGTAAAATTGAAGGTTAGCTCGTCCTCGTTCGACAAGCGCAGTAGGAAGGACGGCGGGCCGCCAGCGAGGCCGGACTCTGGGTCCTGGATGGCAGCATCAGCATAAGCGCTACTTCTTCCAGCTTGGGAGGCGCACAAGTATGTAATCGATGACACTATCGTCACCCAGTTCCCGCTTTGCAGAATATCTAGTCGCGGGGAAGGCGTTTGGGGCGATGTTCAAGAGCGAGCGGCCGCGACTGTTTGCGATACTAAGAGCAGCAATGGAAACTGCCTCTAATCAATGTGGAGCGGCGCAAAGCGGGCAGAGAAAACATACAGCGATTCTGATCGCGGAGGAACAGGGCGTTTTCCTCGGGCCTGCTATTGACGGCCCCCATACCAGCTACGGGAGGCTGCAGCCAGCTTGCCGGGCGTGTGAGGGCGCTTTCGGCGTGCCTCGAGACACGTCGCAGAAGTCGCGAGCGGGCGCGGGCATATGGCCCCCCGCAAAGGAAGGCGGGAGGGAAAGGAGGATCGCGACGGGCTGGGCGCGCTGTCGGTCTCGAGGGTCGGGTGTGGGCGTACGATCAGTATGGCGAGCCGCAGCGCCGGTATGGCGGGGGATGGGCGGCGTCGCCGCTGGAGTGCACCTGCTGCTGCGCGGGGGATGGTGCGCCGGATATGCTGCTGGTGCTTGGGGATAAGGCTTTCGGCGATAATACTGGTCTGCACGGGGCAGCGGGATGCGCTGTGGACGATGCTGAAGGTGGTGTTGTGGAGGGGCGCCGGCGGCGAGAGCTCCTCTTGTCGATCCCAATCATCGCACAGAGAAGCGACGAAGCACGCGCACCCCACACGAAGGGCCAGAGTACCAACAGGCCCAGAAGAAGAAGACCACGTCAAGCCGTTTATGCGCGCTCAAGGCGACGCCATGACAAGTTTCTGAGACACAGCTGCGCTGAGGCTCTTAAACAGCTACATCCATGGCCCGGATGACAGCCAATCCCTCGTGCTCTGCGCCACAAGATGTGACTGTATGTTGGAAAGGCAATCAGCTATACCCACAGCAGATGATAGGAACAATTGTACATGGTGAGTGTTGTAGCAGGCAAGGAGAGCTATATAGATAGGGCTCCTCGCACTTCAGATGAATCAACACCGCAGATGCAACACTGTAGAGACTGTGCCTATGACCAGGCAGCGCGTGCCGCGGCCTACCCAGGCTGTCATGGGCATGGATGAGAAGTGAAACCTCAGAGTCACGTGAGAGTGAGGCTGCCCAGGTGCAGGTGCCCCTCTTTAGTTGCGAAAGAGGGAGTCGCAAAGCTACTCGCATCATGCAGATCATCGCTTGCTTCTGCGCCATAGCTCTGCTTCCCCCAATAAGCCGTCAATAGGGCGCTGCTTGATCAGCGACTTGGCATCGACCTCGAAAGGTATCGTACCATCACGCGCCAGAGCATCTTCTTCCTACGCTAGCTGTCTAGCACCTGTCAGTGGCACTGCTGGTCACTAAGCAAAGTTCATGGTAATGTTTCGACTGCAATGTAAGTTGAGATGTCAGCAGCAAATGCGCTCCCGTATAGTTTCCTCATCAATCCAAGTGTTGCGAATCTCGTAGCCTGACAGCTTTTCTAATTTTCTTCCGGTATAGAAGGGCTTCATAGACGCAGAACGCAGATCCTTTCGGAAGCAGGAAATGTGTCTAGGCAGCTGGAGAAAACGCTCCTCGCTTTCTGGCCCATACCGTTCGGGACACCTTGGACAATGGTCACTTAAAGATCGTTTGATTCAACGTCTCTTGCTAATCTACAATATGCTTAACGCAGTATACTACACCACCAATGCCATTCTCGGCAAACACAAGCATGACAAACCCCACCTATTGTCCATGCCATTACTTCGAGTCCCCGTCTGAGCAGCGAGTGCCAGAGCTGCCGTCGCTCCCAGAGGTCGATGAGCCGCTCAGACTCAATGCGAAAGGTTTGGTTTATCCGTCTATGCGCTCCGTCTATGTCGTGCAAAAAAGACCCGTGCGCCATATACGATCAAACTTCGTCCATACCCGTAATCATGAAGCCGTCTTGAGACAAAAAATTGAAAAGGGTGAAAGTCGAAAGCCAATTCTAGAAACTCCAAATATGCCGCTTAAGTGCCAAATCAAAGCCATGCAGGTAGTATCGGTAACAGGCGGAGGAGTTACCAGAATGCATACCGCGAATCAGCGTGGATACATGACGCGCATGCGGGTGATGTAGTGTTCCGGATTGAGTATATGGTAATCCGTAGGCCTCACTACTTGCATGTAACCCTCAGTTGAAATATGACGGGAAGCACACGATCGCATCATGCTATGTCGCGCATGAAAAAGATCTGTGAATATTAGTGATTGCCCGTGCGGGAGTACAGCAGAGTGACATACCACGGACCTCAAGCTTAGCCGCCGCATCTTGGCTGTGTATCCTCGTTCTTGCGTGTGGCCATCATAGCATTTAGAGAGTGGGGTCGGGAGCCAGGTCTTGGAGCGCCGCCGTCACGGGGTTGTTTGTCGTCGGAACGGGTCGTGCTCGTTGCGTTGATGGAGAGTCTCATTGTAGAGTATCGGGGGATTAAATTGATTTAGTTGCCTTGAATGTTGAGCGTGGCTGAAGCTGTCCTGCGTCGTGGTTGAGCTGTAGGCGTATTGTAAGGTTGATGTGTGGCTGTCACAACAGTGGACGGTATAATGTATAAGTACAATGTCCCAGAGACCTGCTAGGAGGCGCCACGCATGAGAATGCCTCACAAATTTTCTCAATTGCGGTCAACGCACGCCTTTTTTAGGCTATGACGCAGGAACTTTGAATTCATTTCTCGGTGAAGTTCAACATCAAGCTAGAATCAGAAAAGTACAACTCCGCCACAGCTCGAAAGAGGCGACAATCATTGGGCGGAACGTGAAAAAGAAGGCTACATCAGGCGGAAGCCCTCCTAGTGCGACCCCGAAGGACCTCCAGAGTGAGTAGGGCCAGGGTAGAATCAAAGGTGACTCTTTTGGTTTACCGCTCCTCACAATCTGAAAAACAGCCTAAGGGTCACTTGAGGTGCAAAGCCACGGCCACCTGCCCAAAACACGAGTAAGGCCGAATCTGAGGCTGCCGTTGCACTACTGAGGCAAGTAATTCTATGGAGCGCGGGATGTGAGTGGTGAATTCAAGTTCGCTGCCTAACGAGTTCCAGGTGCGAGTCGCGCACAGCCGCAGTGGCTTGTGGGCCACACCCTGGGCGTACTCAAGGCACTTCAGCACCAGAGTCCAGGCTGCCACATACAGCCCGTTTGGCGAGTGGTTGCCGCTGATAAAGAGTATCCAGAGTCCCTCGATCGCATTTCGTGTTCTTGCGGTGCCCAGGTGACGATGACGAGTTGTTCACCGGAAACACAGCCCACATCACTCTTCGGCCAGCCTCGTCGAGGCTGTTGTGTACCATCGTCATTGTATTCCAAGCCCAGCTTCGGGCCTAAGCATAAAAAAAAAGTCGGCGCAATTGGACGCGAATGTGTTCGTTTTTGCGACTGGTTGGTTCGATTTGTCCTCGAAGGGTTCGACTGCGCCTCGGCTGTTCGTCTTGCCCATGTCCAGGAACAGCTAGCGGCTTGCATCTCTTAGGCACCTTTTGTGATACGATGTTGATGAGAAAACGTATGATGCTGCTGTGGTTGGAGGCAGTGCCGAGTTGTTGATGTTGGAGAGACAGTCCATCCTCATCAAGGCATCGGGCCTGGATCCTGAGATGGCATTCGCAACGTCGGGGTGGCCAGGTCCCATGCCTAGATAGGGTACATGATGGGTTGATATCGGGACCTTAGCTTTCCTGATAACAAGTCAGTAAGGAGGCATCTATCTCGCTAGTGAGAAGACGTACAATATCCGTCACGTGGCTGAGAGTCTTCTACACCAGGACGGGGTCGGAACTGGCCGAAGGGGCAAACAAGCATGTTAACGCCGGGCTTGTTGCTCAACATGTTCAATTGCTGGGATGGATACGTTTTAAGTACAGATATTGCGAGGCGGACCGCCACAAAAGGACTGCTGATGCTCAAAGAAGTCTTCAGGATGCGTGGTGGCAGTAGTGCACAGGTGCTATCTGGGAATGCAGTGGCAGCTCATGCACCGGGCGTGGTCTATTTAAACCTGAAGAGCCTCTTGCGCGCCCTCCTCAGGTATACACTCTCTATGACCCATGACAGCACAGGGCAGCGCGAAGGCAAAGGGCAAGCACGGTACGTGGCCCTACGTATCTGAGCTTTGAGCACCAAGTGAAGCAATACCAAGGTACCGCGGTGACTCTTCACAGAAGGGACGAAACAGACCCAGTGTTCCCGGGGACGGCGGCCAATCGCGCCTGAGCACGCTGGTGCTTCATTTTTGCCGTCTGAAACAGGCGCGCATGGCAGCCGTGCGGACTGGCGATGGTGTTGTGAGGGACAGCCTGGACCATAGCGCCCAAAGCGGCTTCGTGCACGGGAGCCTCACCATTTTGATAGGCCTGTTGCGGCGCGGAACGTCGGCATCGTTTCTAGACGCCTTCTGGGTGCCATGGAGCAAGGAAGCGTGTGTGCGGAGCCTGGCGGACGGCCATGCGCTGGTCGCCAGCCCTACGAGTTATGCGCATGGCACCTGGCAGATGTATCCGTTTCGCGGCTGTCACCGACCATCTTCCTGCTCGACGCAGGTACGCAGCGCCCACAAGCGCTCGGCCCGACGCCCAGCTCGTCGACCAGCGAGCCGCTGTCTCATCCCTTTCATGAGATCATGGCAAACGTACAGTCTCGTGCTGAGACAGAGGTAGCTGTGCCCTTGCCCTTCGTCTTCTCACGCTCGTCTCGTCCCGCTTCGACGCCCTGCCTCATCGCCGCCGATCCGTTGACTGCTACGCGAGGCAGGTTTCGCCCATGTGCCCTTCACAGAGTGCCCTTCACAGAGTGCCCGGCGAGAGCCTCGCGCGTGCCAGGCTCCCTTCATACTTCCGTGTAGTCAGAATTGCTTTTCCTGCCAGGCATACGTGAATCATCCCGGGTCTTGGAGGATGATTTGCGCCTTCACCCAGGCAATTTGTGGAGGCTGGGTGCGCGCCTGTGAAGATGAGGAATGGCCACATGATCTTCCTCCCCCACAAGGTGTCGTGTATGGCAAAGGCAGCCTGCCTGTTCCACGGACAGGCCCGGACAATATTACCGCGTGGCCCTGGCGCGCAAAACCCCCTTTTACGCCATCGTGGAAGGCCAGTCTGTCAACACGACGCGGGCCATGTATGTTTCAAACGATCGATGCTTTCGGCGTGTGCAGTAATAGTCTATGTATCGACTACTGTCTCGACCTTCTATGAAGTACCAGAATGATCTGTTTGGGATCGAGTGCGGCCCTTTTGGCATCACATTTGCAATGAGTCAATGTGGGTTCAAGGTTTGGCCCCACAGAAGGCACACCTAGGTAGGTTGGTGCCGCGCCCGCGCCCGCGCCATCGAAACAATGAAGCTGACCTCCTAGCATCCATGGCTCTCCACTGTCTCCTCCACACAAGATCCAGGTTGAGCTCCGTGGTCCGTTGCCAGCATCTTCAGCGACGGACATCTCACCGCGCGACATTAGCAATTCCTCTGGTGCGTCACCGATCGTGAGCCACCTGGAATGACACAATTGTTCGGAGCGAGGTTTTCAGAGCAATTATTGAACATTGCTCCTCGCGTCAACATAAGGACCGAATCCAAGACGAGGCTTGATTAGATTCTTACTAGTCAAGCGTAGAAGAACTCAGGCTACTCTATACGTGTCTAGAAGTTCCAATTTATACGACTTCTCTGTTGTTTACATTTGTGCGAGAGCCTTCGTACCATGACCTGTTCATGCACCAGTGTGTAATGTCGTGGTGACGCCGAAGATACGGTGCGCGCTAGACCTACAAAGTAAGCTCATCTACATACGATCGCCCGGTTATGTGTGAGACAGCTTGTGCAGACTGCGGGGAAAGCGCGATTCTTAAATATTGCACACCTCCCCGAGCATACCGTCTTAACTACAAGACCGGTTAATATACGCGTACTTGGAGAAAGAAGTTACTTCGCTCAACACTTGCAGTCTATATGCGCATTTTCTCTTGAATCGCAAGAGGCGCCATGCGAGCCAATACAGCCAGCCGGGAGGGCGCCGCTGAAGCGGGAGGTCAAGCGCGGCACCGTTCCATTAATGGACGCGTCCTGGATGATCCAGAGCATCCACCACTGAGAGCTATTCCGTCCCTGTCGACCTGCAGCCTCCTCCCGCCCATCCTATAAACCCTATTGCTTCGCTGTTTGTGAGCTTGTTTTCCATCTACCAACTTCGTATACTTCGCGTTGCCGCTTGTGGACCGACTAAGCTGCATCTACCTCTCCCTCACCCAAGTAATCATAATGCGCTTTTCCAACGTCGCCATTCTTTTTGCGCTCAGCTCTTGTGCTGTTGCGCAGGACATCCTAGGCAGCCTTCCACGTTGTGGGGTGAGTACATTGCAGCTGGTCTGAATTTACTACTAACAGACCGATAGCAAAACTGTTTCGGCAACAACTTCCAGGGCTGCCAGCAGTTCGATTACAAGTGCATCTGCGGCAACAAGGATCTCATTGCTGAGCTGTCCTGCTGTGTTTCCAAGAATTGCAACAGCAATGACCAGAATAGTGAGTGGGCTTCTGGACTGCCTCCGTCAGTGGACGTCTGGTACTGACAGCGATGTGCCCAGCCATCATCACGCTTGCGAGCGGTCTTTGCAAGGCCTACGGGGTCGATGTTCCGACGCAAGCTTCGTGTGCTGCCAGCGCGTCTTCGACTGCATCCACGGCTTCATCGGTGTCGTCAGGCTCGGCTTCGAGCGCGGGGGGATCTTCTGTAACTACAGCACCAGCGACTACTTCTGCCAGTGAGAGCCAAAGTGCAGCTGCGCAGACTTCTACCGGAAGCCCGGGAGCAGCCGGCCCTGTGGCGACTGCGGGCGCTGGGTTGGGGTTGGCAGTAGGCGTACTGCTGGCGGCGCTGTAAATAATCAAACGGGAAGGAGGGTCATCGAGCGGCCGTAGATACCACCATTTGTATAAGTATTGGCTCACGTGCTGTGTTCCTATGTTGTTCTTGTGCTTGTGAAGGTGGCGCTGAACCGGCGGGTGCCTATCCCTAGGTCCCACAGACGGCAAGAGTTGAGCCAGCTGCGTGCTTGGAGGCGAGCCGGGCCCGCTGTAGACAGTATGTGTGTGTCCAGTTGCGGCCCGAGTGGAGAAGATGTTAGAAGAGTGGGCCGCGTAGTTCGTGTGCAGTGTGTACATGGTCTCGCTTCGCGCCAGGCGTCATCCCTCCTACCTTGCAGCAGCCGCGCAACCATCAATTGACCAAAGGCCGCCTCGAGCACGAGACGCGCGACTCGACCACGGACTGCGATGACACTCCATCAGTGACGTGCATTCCGTTCCATTCGCAAGACACCCCCGCACGCCCGTCGCATGCGATGGCGGCCAGGTCCAACTTCAAGCGCGCGGTGCCCGCGGGGCAGCAGAACGTCCTCAGCTCGCTGCGCACCACGCAGCTGGTCGCCGACTCAAAGGCCGTCTTGCCGGCGGGTATTCCTCCCAGATGCCCACCGCAAGCTGCAGCTGACCCGCGCAGAGCTCATCAACACGATCCTCGACTACCTGCCCGTCGCCGACATGTTCCGGTTCGCGCAGACGTCGCGGCGCATGCAGGAGATGGTCTACGACGACACGCGCTGGATACAGCGCCTCAAGAGCATGGGCTGCTGGAACGAGCCTGAAGCGCGCCAGCGGTTCGACGAAGCCATGCGCAGGAAGGCCGACGCGCAGAAGGCCAGCGAGGCCCGCCGACCGGGCTTGCCGCCACAAGCCGCAGTAGACAGCCCATCCGGAGGAGGCGTGCACCGCAAGGTCAGCACTACGCTCTTCGATGCCGGCCTGGAAGAGGAACTGCAGCGCAAGTCGCTCGAACAAAGAGTGCGCCCCCGGGCGAGCACGCTAGACAAAGGCTTCGATGACACGACACTGTCGCCAGGCGGTGCGTCCCAGCCCGCCCCAGCATACACGACGGAACCAAGCCTGGCTCTGAAGGTGCTCTCTCGCGTGCGCTCGACAAGAGGTATGGCACGGCACGAGTATGGCAAAGTCTACGGCGCGCTGGCACCGTACTACTTTGACCTCGCAAGGTCAAAAAGCCACTCTGACCCGGTGCTCTTTCGCACGTATCGGGATCCTGAGCAGCAAGCTCACATGCTAGCACAACTCAAGGTCTTCGCCAAGAGCGATTTTGCACAAGGCTGGAACCGGCGCGAAGAGAAATTAGACACAATGATGGGCATCTTCGAAAATGCTGTTCTGCGAGAATTTGAGCAAGGATCCGAAGCGCGCGATTTTGATGGTCGCATGAAGAAATATGCACAGGTCCTGGTCGCATTGAACGGGGGCACGGCTGGCATCGATTCCTTCATTCACAACCACCCTATCATGCTGGACAAAGAAAAGCTCGGGAATCCTGCCGATTGTCTACGGCTCGCTGGGCCCGGCCAAATCTCTCTCCAACCCTCACACGACTTTTTCAGAGGCCTTGCTATCGCTTTGAATGAAGAAGCTGCCATTATCGATCGGGTGTTCCCAGCGTCGGTAGACGTCTTTGAGCCCTTCTTAGAGCGCATTGTAGAAGACGTGGTCGCCGAATATGTCACGTCGTTGTTTGATGAGGCTCACGACGTCAGCGTTGAAATTTACCTTAAAGCTGTGGCCGGGGTCTTCGACCAGGCGCTCCAGTTAGCCATGTCTCTTACGGCCACGAAAGGATCAAAGTCCGACTTCTCGGACAACGTTATGCTCATGATATCTCGGTGTTTCGAGCAACATGTGGATCTGTATTTGCAAGAAGAGTTGGACTTTTTCAAACGCCAATCAGAAGCAGAGGTAGAAGCTTGGGAAAAGCGGTTGACGGAAGAGGAACAGACTGCAGAGTCTTTTCTCATGTCGAATGTCAGCCGCCAAGCCGCGAAACGCGATTTTTTAACATCATTCAAGAAGGTAGTGATGGCGCCTGTCAACGTTCTCCCCACATTCGGCAGCTCTGGGGCCCCCAAACCTGCAACCAATGCCGTTGCCGTCAATGGTCAAACCCTTGATCCGGCGTCGGGATCGACGACCCCGAATCCGGAACGCTCCGCGTCACCTCGTCCTGAAGCACCGACTTCTGAACTGGCAGCAAAAGCTGCTATCATGAATTCGAGACTGGAGGGTATTCGTAGTCTGTTTAGCATCGAGGTTGCGCTAAACTTGACGCATACAGCGAAAGCGAGCTTGGAGAGAGCTGCACGGTTTGTGCGACTTGGTGGGCAGTCAGGTGAAGAAGCGAAGGAACAGTGCGAGAGCATATTTATCAAGATGCTGCAGATCCTAGGCGGACGGCACATGAAGCCAGGATTTGACAAAGCTGTCAGCCATCTGTCCGACTATAAGCCCCGGGAAGTTGTGGATCACAGCAAAGAAGGAGTAGCGCCTCTCGTTGCTTTCCTCGAGCTTGTCAACGTTGGGGATCTGATCCAGCAAATGATTGACGTTTTTTACTTGCAAGAACTTGTTGCTGCGAAGCTTACGGATCAAGACGACTTCTTGAGTGCCGCCTGCAAGGAAAAGAAGAGATTTGAACAAATGCTTGACGAGCGGGTCGCTGCAGGGCTTAATAAGGGCATCGATGTCCTCATGGACGAGGTGGAGTATCTCTGTGGCACCACGCAATTACCGACCGATTTCAATCCTCCTGTGGGACCCAACGGATCAGTGCAGGTGCTCGACATTGGTCCTAGCTATACGGCCAGGAAGATAGTCGAGGTTGTGTCGTCGCACACCAACATGCTGGTTGGCAGCACGGACAAGACAGTGCTGGATGTCTTCAACCAGGAGGTTGGGTTGCGCCTGTTCACTGCCCTGTGCAAGCACCTGAAGCGGCAGAGGGTCAGTGTGGACGGCGCAATCAAGCTTATTAGGTAAGCTCGCAGACTGAACGTTTGCGACGTGACTAATGTAGGCTAGCGACATGAATGCATACAATACGTACATTGTCTCGCTTCGGAACAAGTCCATCACACAGTACTTTGCTGCGCTCAGAGAACTCTCGCAGATCTACCTAATTGATCCCAACCATGCAAAGGAGATTGCGACAATTATTGCGGACACGGACCGATACCACGGGATATTCAGGGCCGAGGAAGTGTACGAGTATGCGGAGCGCAGGGCTGACTGGTACCAAATCAAGGGCGCTGTGGAGAAGCAGATGTACGGCGTTGGCTGCTTGGCTATGTAGACGGTACTTGAATACACGGGGCTGTAGGCCCATCCATGTGCGTGCACGCTTCGACTTCGCAAGGTTTCTGTCCCGTGCTGGCACTGGCGCCAGACGAGCGATTTCGCGGAGGGCGAGTGTAGTGATGGCCTGTTGTCTCGCTTGGTGGGCTGGAGGGTGGCTGGGGTCGGCTGCGAGGCTGCGCAACCCTGGTAGGGCGCGGCTGGAGCTGCTGCACTGGACCTCCACTGCTGCGTGCCTGGGCTCTCACTTCACGCAGACGACGGAGCTGTTCCCAGGCGTCGCGCACCCACAAACACCCGGCCGGCCCTGCGGTCAAAATCAGGTCCACGCACGCTCGCAAAGCCCCCCGCCGATTTTCTTCGACGGGCCGCTGCCGAGGCCCGCCCCGCTACAGGACTACGACCGTCTCAAGCCGGCCTAGTCCACGACCACACCCTCCTCGCGGCTCTGCCAGTGTGTGCATCTGCGTCCGACTCCAAGCCAGCCGGGCCAGCAGCTTCGTGTGAGAAGCCCCGCTCGCCGCCCCGCGTCTGCCATCCGCACCGCCGCGGCCACAGCCCCCGCGCGAAACGGTGCGCCCGCCGCCGTCACCCTCCGGACGCGCTTGCAACGCGTCGCTGACAACCCTGCGAGTCTTCGCCATGTCCGGTGAGCCCGCCCGCTCGACCAGGCCAAGGGCCGCCGTGCTGATCGTGTGCCCGCAGAGCTCCCGCCCGATATCGCGGAACAGTACTCGGCCATCATTGACAGCATCCTCGAGGAGGCCGACCTGAACACCATCTCGGCCAAACGTATACGGAAGGGCCTGCAGGAGCGTCTGGGCCATGACATCTCCGGCGAGAAGGTATGCGCAGATGCATCGGATGGCCGCACTGGCGCTGACCATATGGGCACAGCAAGCCGTAACCAGCCTCATCATGGCGCGCTTCGACAAGTTCAACGCGGAACAGAACGGCGGCCCCGAGCCCGAGGAGCCCGTTCCCAGCGTCGAGGCACCCACGAATGGGCACGCAAGCAAGCGCACCCCCGACGACGATTCGGCCCTCTCGGAGCTTGACGATTCTCCGCCCAAGAAGAAGCAGAAGAAGCACAGAAGCACCGAGGACGACGACGCTGCATATGCGGCCAGACTCCAGGCCGAGGAGAACATGGCGTCACGGGCGAGGTCGACCAGGGGTGGCAACACCAAGAAGAGGGCTCCCGTGCAGAAGAAAAAGAAAGAGAAGAAGAAGAGCGCGACTAAGGTCAAGGACGACGACGATAGTGACATTGCTTCGGGAAGTGGGGGCGAAAAGAAATCCCCTAAGCGGACGGGAGGTTTCCACGTACGTCTTGTCCAGCCATGCGACGTGCCTCGCATCTGACCGTCTCACAGAAGCCCATGAACCTTTCTGCAGCCCTGCAGGAACTTCTCGGTGAAACCCAGGTATGTCTCCGCCCCAAGAAAACAAGTGGGTTTCCCCTCGTTCCAGACTAACCCATCCTTTCAGCTCTCAAGACCGCAAACCGTCAAAAAGATCTGGGAGTACGTCAAAGCTCGCGACCTTCAGGACCCTGCCGACAAGCGCCAGATCCGCTGTGACGATGCCATGCGCGCCGTTTTCAAGCAGGACAGTGTCCACATGTTCACTATGAACAAGATTCTCAACACGAACCTATACCCCGTTGAAGAGGACTAGATCAACAAGCTCTGCACGAATATCATCTAACTTTGCGCAAGCCCACGACATCATACCCAATGGTGCTTCATGAACATATACCACCCACTTAATTGCCACAGAGACGCGTCTGTCGTCCCTTGAGCATCGATTCACGAAACATTTGCATTAGCTTTGCGCAATTGACTCCATCTTGATTTCTACTTCGGGAGCATGGTGGCCTACGGCGTTGGATGGATTGGATCGCTCGCTTTGAACTCTGCACTCGAAGTGTCGCTGATCGCAACTTGGGGCGAGGATCAACGCACCATGAGTAGGAGCCCACAGCAATGGGTCAACTTATTGGATTCTTCATCTGACAGGTTTCTGGTTATACGTGGTCTTGAAGGACAGGCTCATCGTACTGAAAAAGGAAGGAGAGGCATGGCAGCATCGAGCAGAGCAGGCAGAACAAAAAATTTGGTATCATGTAGTGCATATCGATCAGCCCAGGAAGAGCTGAACGTCGTCCGATATCATGGTTCTCGACGGCACGTAGTGCCGGCTGTGAGACGGATTGGCGTCTTCTGGCGCTGATGGTCCGTAGGTAGATTTACAAAAGAGTTGCTTGAACATCAATAAAAGTACGCCAAACGCCCGTCAGCTGGTGGGGATTGTTTCAAATTGCGCTGGCACAAGCACATGCACCGATTCCATCCGCGCCACAGCCCTGATGGTCCAATCGTGTTTACATGTCTTCCGGCAGCTGGAACTGGAAGTCATTCACATCCTCATCGAACGGATCGCCACCACCTAGCAGGTTACTGAAACTATGTGCCCACGATTCTTCATCATCATTGTCGTCGTCCCGAAGCAGCATGAGCTCCAGCTCTCGCTCGATCTCTTCGGCCGTGCAGTAGGTTGATGCGTCTCGTGGTGGCGCGACAAGCGTAGCGTTTGTCGACGTGGAGCTTGAGCGAGAGAAGGCCCTACGCGATTTGCCAGTGGCCGACGAGGTGCTAGTGTTGCGATTGTGCGTCGAGGGTAGCGTAGTCGTGCGCTTAGTAGTGACGGAGAAAGGTGCGGTCCTCATAACGTTGGAGAGAGGCTTTCGAGGCTGAAGTCTGCTCATCGCATTCTCGCGCCCTTGGGCGTAGCCGATGGTGCTTTTGGAGGCCGCTACGGCTGCGGCATGGCGCGCGGTAGAGGAGTTAATGATGGACTTCTTGTCGGCAACTTGCTTACTTGGGAGGCGGGACTTGATTGCTGTTGTGGGGGCAGCATAGACGGGTCTACGCGATGAGGATAGCGAAGCAGCAGCAGACCTTGCCTTCAGGGTCGATGGCCCCGTCGGCCCTTGTCTCAGATGTTCTCCTGCGGTGAGTGTAGGTTTCGGCACAATCTGCTTCGGCAGCGCCACGCCAAAGTGTCTTGCAGCGTCGACGTGGTTCTTCTCTATCTGCTGGTCGAGAATCCGGTCGAACTTCTCGTCGCGCTTCCGAATGTCACGCTCCAACGTTTCTTCGAACTGACGTTGGAGTTTGGTGCGGCCGTCGTCCTCCAGGGGGTTGTGGTAGACGTCATCAACTCCACCGTTCTCTAACTTGGGGATCTTCCAGTCACGCGGGAGGTAGTCGTCCATGTCATCCGGCAGCGGAACCTCCTTTGGGGGCATGTACTCAACCTCGGGCACGCCGTGCTCGTCGGCATGCTGGACGTCAGGCTGGACCTTGACTTTGGGGCGGCGGAGGCGAGGGCTGGCTTTCTGCGTCTTTGCAGAGCCGGAGAGGAGCGCGGGGGTCTGGAAGGCTCTGGCTTTCGCGTTGGTCGTCTTCATGCCCAGCGGTGCGCGGGTGCGCGGGCCTGCGTCGTGCGTCAGTTTGGTGCCCGAGATTCGCAGGGCTTGCGGCGTACCGGCGGGCGTGACGAAGGCATTGCTGTCCAGCTTGCCGTGCTGCTCCTTCGCCGTGCCCTTGGTCTGCAGCAGCGACTTGCCGCCGCGTGCAACGGCATTCTCGTCGTTGAGCGGGAGCTTGAAGGGCGTCTTCGGGGCCCTGGTTGCGGGTGTTTTGGCGGCGAGGCCCTTGAGGCCCGCGTTGAGCGGCTTGCTCGCGGCGGCCGTCTGCAGGCCGTGCACAAAGTTCTCCTGGTCCTTTGCGGCGAGCATGTCCATGGCGCGTCACATGGAGCGAGGGGTGCGGCGGAGGCGGAGGCGAGGCGGCGGCGAAGGCGGGCAGCGGTGCGCGCCTGTTTGCGTGTTTACTCGCGGTTGCCAGGGCTCTGCCGTGCTTGGCTGCGCCTGGCGACGGGCGACCCCTGCGTGCTCCAGCTGCTGCCGCGCTAGCGCCCCTCGCACCGCGCATTTATCAGGGCGAGACACAGGCAACTCTCCCCCTCTGCTCCCAAACCGCCTCGCTCGCCGCGCCTCTCGCCCACCCCGCCCTCGCCCTCGACGCCCTCGCCCTCGCCCTCTGCTGCAGCCCGCACCCCGCCGCTCGCCCCAGCCAGCCCGCCCACACACCGCCGCCATGGACCAGATCAAGCAGGCAAGTGCTCCCGCTACCCCACCATGGCTCCCTCCGCGCCTGCCGCGGCCACCGCCTGCACCCGCGCTGTAGCTAACTCGCCCCGTGCAGCGCATGAATGCCCTCCGCATCGAGGCCGACGAGAGCGCCTCCAAGGCCGAGGAGTACAAGGCCAAGCTCAAGACACTCGAGACGGAGAACACGCAGAAGGAGCAGGAGATCACATCGCTCACGCACAAGAACCAAGTCCTCGAGGCCGAGGTCGAGAAGCTCGAATCGTCAGTCAAGACCTACAAGGACGAGGCCACGGGCGGCGCCGCGGCGAGCTCCCAGGTCGAAGCCATGCAGCGCAAGATCCAGGTGCTTGAGGAAGAGGCTGAGGAATCCGACAGGACCATCCGCGAGCTCAACGAGAAGTAAGCGCCCGCGCCCTCGCTGTGCATGCCCAGCCCCCGTGTCGGGGGCTGCGTGGACGACGGTGCCACTCTCACCTGCTGACGCCGCACAGGCTCCGCCAGACCGACGTCAAATCCGGCCACTTCGAACGCAAAGTGCAAGCCCTCGAGCAGGCCCGCGATCAATGGGAAACAAAGTACGAGGAGATGGCCAAGAAATACGCCGACACCAAGAAGGACCTGGATGAGTTCGCCGCCGAGCTTGGTAACATCTGATCTCGCGGCCCTCCTTGTCCTTCGAGGTTGTTGACGTGTCGTGCAGTCAATTACTGAATTGCATGCACCGCATGTTCGGTCAGTATGGCTGTTTGACCGAGGAAAGTAGAGGATGCTGTTACTACCCCCTTTTCCCTGCATATCTTGGTGTCGTCCTAGGAACGGCGGATGAGCTCAGGCTGCTCGTATCAAACTGTCTCTAAGCGTGGAAATACATTGTCTCATTCAAAGTCAAATACTGCAGGCCAGTCAAGAGCGACTGGGTCCATGTTGCCTTCAGGTGTCGTACATTGTTGGCTTGTGAACAGAGAAGCATGCGTTTGACCAAGCAGACGTAGTGGCTTGTAACATGTATTGATGGTTACAAACATTCGACGTTAGGCAACGTGTACTCATGGTCACATCCAATTCCTACATGAGCAAAGGCACTGAACCCCTAACCAGTACATACTACCTATGGTACACTGCACGTCCACTCTATCAAGCCTCTCTCCCCGCGAGAAACAAGCGCATCCATCATGCCACGTTCTCCCCCTCCAAACACCTACACGGGTTGTGTTATCGGATTGAGAAACAGCAAAAGGCCGTCATCTGCAGTCGATGTGCCGAGCATCACCACTAGTCATCCATCGGCTTATCTTCCAGCTGTACACCTCTGGGCGCTGCATCCTCGCTGGCCACGGCTCTCAAACTACCTGTGGAGTCCCTGTTACTCCGCGCCAGACTGCCGGCGTGCTTCCTGGGGAGGGGCACCCGAGTGCTTGAAGGAGCCGGATGCTCTGTGGGCGCAGCTGTGGCGGCTTCCGCCGTGTCGTTGGCATCGCTCGGCTCGTTTACAGGGCTGTTGTCCACGCTTCCTGGCACCTCGAGCGAATTTCGCGTCCCTCGGCGAGTCTCGGTTGGCGAGGATGTGTTGACCGGGAACCTAGTCTGACTACGGTCGCGGCGGTGTGATCCTCCACGAGGTCCTGGAGCAGGTGAAGTGGCTCTGGGTGAGCGCTGGGCAGCTATGGCGCGGTGACGTTCCTCGTAGTTGGCGCGTCTGTTGCTCTCATCAGTAGAGATGGCGCGGGGACGCTGGGCGCCTGAGGATGAATGCGTCAGGGAACTCGCACGCTTCAATTCTCCAAAGATGGCGTCTTTGTGGGCGAAGAGGTCGCGGATGAGGCGGTAGCTGTAGCGTTCATTCATGGTCAAGCTAGACTCCTGTCGTGGACGTAGGATGCAAGGGGCGAGGGCATTCGCAAGGGCGGTAACATAAGTTTCGTCGGCCGATGTTAGCTCGATGAGACGTGTGAAGTGGGTGCAAATGGCGTCGAGAGTGGCAATGTTGGCAAGACGCAATTGTCCGAGAGTCGACTGGATCACATTGATTCGGGTTTCCTCCGAGGTTTCTGCAGCCGTTGTGCTGTAAATGGTCTTCACAATCTCGTATACGTGAGACGACACCAGAGAATCTACAATGATTAGCGTACACTTTCCAGGTTGTGCGTTGGAAGAAGCTCACCAGGCAGTTCAAGCAGGTACAGCTTCAGGACATTAGCGACAATGGGTATATCGTATTTCTCCAAGACCTCTTGAGGAAATATTTTTCCGGTGTTAATGGATGCGCGGAGGTTATGTGTTTGGGCTAGAGGAACGTCCACAAGCCAAATACCACGACGAGCCTCATCGCCCTCGAGATCGGGGTAATGGTTGTCAAGAAAAGTGAGTATTGTCGTCACGATAATGGGCACCCGCTTTCGGTCCGACCGTGCCCGTGCCTCCAAGTCTACACCGAACGTTTGCTCTGTGAACTGTTAGCGTGTCATCTCGCCGGAACGGCGTGCCTTTCCATACCATCAACGGAATTGTAGTAGTTCTCGTAAGTGGTAACTTTGGGAACGAAAGGACCAGTTCTGTAATTCTCCAACATGTACCTTAGGTCACCTAGGGGCTGAACAGTCTCCTGGAATAGCATCATCTTGTCGACAGTGCTCTGCAAGCTCGGGATAACATTACTAACAGCGCCAGAGAAGTCCAGAATGACTGCCTTGATCGCCTTCAATCGGTCCAGTTCGCACCGCTCCATGAACTTCAGGTGATCGATCATGGCTTCTTCGAGGTTGCAGCGGAGAGAGTCAAGTTTCTTCACTGACTGTTTGTAGCGATCATCAGCCTCTCGAGCTTCTCGGCGAAGCCTGTCCGAGGGTGTCTCGTTTGGATACTGATTGTTGAGCGGATTCCAGCCAGAAAGGTACTCCTGCACGGTGCCTACTGGGGAGTCTACGGTAAAGCTGTCCGTGGATAGGTTGGTCGCTGCACGAGCCAACGGCTGTTTCTTCTCAGGCACACCGGTAATTTGGAAGACCTTGGGCTTCCATTGATAGCTCATCCTGGAGCTGTTTGCGAACGTGTTGCCGACATTGCCGACGAGTCGAAGGAAGCCGTTGTTGACCAAGTCTTGACCGATGCGCTCAGCGTAGCTGGTGCTGGTAGCCGCCATGTGCTTCTGGATGTAGTCGGTGATGTCGGCGCCGTTGGAGCAGTTCTGGTAGGTACCCAGGATGGGAACCTTAACCTCGCCCAGCTTGATGTGGTCCAGCATGTGCGAGAGGATCTTCTTGACCTGATCGGGCTGGTACGTCTCGTCACCAAGGTCGATGGGCTCTTCCTCGTCGTCCTCAGGCTCGGACATCTTGATGGTGGGCACCTTCACCTTAGGGCTCTGGGCAGCCTCGCTCTGCGGGTCCTGGAATGCCAGCTTGTCCTCTTCTTCGAGGTCCTCGACCAGGCGGCACTTGTTGTAGTATTGCGACCGGAACTTGCGCACCGCCTCGGCCTGGCGGTCGTGCAGCTTGATGCGCGACTGCAGGTCGTCCTGCGAGTTCTGCACGCGGGCAGCGTGGGCCTCGCACCAGCGGCTGAAGGGACTAACGACAAGCTCGCGGATGTTGGAGCCAATCTTGCGGTGGTTCGCGGCGGCCGTCTCCATCTCGGTCCGCACACCCTCGTAGGCCTACAGGCGGTGAGTGTGCTTGCTGGCGGCGGGGCAATGCATCGGCTCACCTTGCGCACGCTCGCGCCCTCGTCCCTGCTGAAGCCGCCGCTCACGCGCTCCGTCGCGGGCGTGATGCTGGCGAGGCTGTTGCCGTAGACCTCCTCGGCATCGGCCCGCATGCGCGCGACGGTGAGGATCTGCTGGTTCTCCTGCACACCCTGCTGCAGCTTTCCAAAGAGAACTCCCAGCCCTGTCGACGTCAGTCAGTAGGTGCCTGCAAAACGGGCTGCTTGCTGGGGCGTGGAACGCACCGCCCGCGTAGTCGCTCGACCAGAACGAGCCCGCGAATCCCGACGCCATGGTGAGGGTATCTCAAACAAACAAAGGGCCGCAAAACGCCGCGCTAGATGCACAAGAAGCAGGTCGTGGACGGTCGTGTCGTGGACAGTCGTGCCGCGCGGGAGCGAGCGTGGAGGTGAGAGTAGACGGGTGCTGGTGCTGGTGCTGGTGCTGGTGCTGGCGCTGGCGACGGTGGTCGTGGTAGTGGCAGTGGTCGTGGTAGTGGTGCAGCTCGCGCCGCGGTGGGGAGGAGCGTCGCAGTGAAGGCAGGGCCGCGCAGCGAAGTCGCGGAGAATAGGAGAATTGCTCGTCAGGGGAGTGTCGTCGTCGTCGCGCGGGAGCAGCTGAGAATAGTGGTCAAACGGGCGGCATCCCTGCTGGGGCGCGCGCTTGGCGGCGGCGGCTGGCGAGGCACGTCTTATGTCACCAACGTGGCTCTGCCCTGTCGCCGCTGGCCGTAGCCTGCCCTGACCACGTCCACCTCGCTGCTTTAGGCACGCCCACGGCAGCGCGCCCGAGTCCTCTGCTCTTCCGCCCTCCGTCCGCCAGCCTCAGCCTCTGCCAAATCCGCACACGCGCGCCGCCTAAGCCCCGGCCATTCCTCCAGAGAGCCACTCCGGGCCCGGCCAAGGACGCCGCCCACCATGGCCCCGGGCCTCACCCGCGACGCCGAAGAGAGCAGGCTCAACTACGCCGCGCACACCCGCTACTGGCGCCGCAACCTCAAGACGTTTCTCCCCCGCCAGTACACGGGCAATGACTGCAACCGCATGACTCTGGCCGCCTTCATCCTCTCTGCCCTCGACATCTTGGGTGATCTGCCAGCAGCACTCTCCCGCGAGGAACGTGCCGGCTATATAGACTGGGTGTACAGCTGCCAGCTGCCAGAGGGCGGCTTCAGGCCCGCACCGGCTACAGACCTGGGCGCCGCGCGGACCCCAAAGAACCAGATCTGGGACCCGTTCCACGTCGCGGGCACCTTCTTCGCTCTTCTGATCCTCATCACCCTGGGTGACGGCTTGGAGAACGTCAAGAGACGAGAAATATTGCAATGGCTGACTAAGCTGCAACGCCCGGACGGCGGATTTGGGGAGACGCTGGGTGAGCAGGACCGTGTAGAAGGCGGGAACGACTCGCGGTTTGGCTTCATGGTTGCGGCTGTCAGATGGATGCTCCGCGGCAACCTCGAGGGCCCGGTGGATGGGGTGCCTGACATCGACGTCGACGCATTCGTGCGCTGCGTTCAGGCCGCCGAATCTTACGACGGAGGCTTGTCCGAAGCACCATATCACGAAGCCCACGGTGGGTTCACGAGCTGTGCAATCAGCGCACTCTTCTTCCTTGATCGTCTCCCGACAAAGAATCCAGATGGTCGGCAGCGAGGTCTCAGAAATTTACCCATGACCTTGCATTGGCTTGCCTCGCGACAAACTCTGACTATAGACGAAGAGGATGCCGCGGAAACGTACTCGGACGAGACTGACTCAGCAGCAACATGCGATGACTCCCACTCCTTCATGAAACTTCATAACTATCCGTCGATGCGTGGCAAGTTGTCGTTTGAAAGACAACCGCCCGTGCATGCTGAAATAAAATGGGTAGGCATGAACGGGAGGGAGAATAAGATCGGAGACACTTGCTACGCATATTGGGTATGTGCACCACTCAAACTTCTGGGGCATCTAGATATCATAGATCCGAAGCCGATTCGGCGCTGGCTCCTTGACAGAACGCAGCACCTCGTAGGCGGGTTCGGCAAGCTGCCGGGTGACCATCCAGACCCCCAACACTCGTTCTTAGGCTTGATGGTGCTCTCCATGTTCGGTGAGGCTGGGCTGCAAAACGTTGATACAGCATTGTGTATAACGGAAAGGGCGAAGGACCATCTTGAATCCCTGCCTTGGAGGAGGAAGCTCTTAGGCTCGGATTCCATAGGCGAAGCGTAAAAACGGATACCTTAGAAGAAAAAAACACTACAAACAAATCCGTCAAGAGTGTGACCAACGTCCCACATCCCAATGCTTGCATCCATGTGCCATGTAAGAGGTAAGGCGGAAGAAGCTTTGTGCGCCACACTCTAGCCACGATTGGCTGCGTGTTCGGCTAAACCTTCCGCAAACAGATCCGCGCGCCAAATCTCCACCGAAACTTTGAGCCTTCACTACCTTCTAGCTAAACAGACATCTCCACCACCGTACCTTTGCCAGTTTCTCCCACTCGAACCTTCAAATCCTGTACTTGCAGCACATAGCCCCTGCCATGGCACCTCCCTCCAAGAAGCGCAAAATCGCCGCCATCCCAGAAATCTCCTTCGATCCTGCCGCCCGCGAAGAATATTTGACCGGATTCCACAAGCGCAAGCTTGCGCGCCAAAAGCTCGCCGAGGAGGAGAATGCCAAGAAGGAACGGGCAGAGAAGCTGCGATTCCGCGCCGAGGTACGCTGGCATACCTGACTGATTCCCTGGCCCGCTTTGGAGGCTGCCGTCGTCACGACAGTTGTGTCGAATTGAGCTGATACCTTGGGTACAGGTACGCAAGCAGCGCAAGGAGGACTTGGAGAAACACGTGGAAGAGGTCAACCGGTTAGTCAGGCAAGCGAACGGCGATCTCAGTGAAGCTGGCGAAGAAGATGAAGACTCGACGAATGAGGAATGGAACGGCATCGTAGAGCCCCCGGCGCCTATCCCTTCTGCCATGGATATCAACGAGGAGGAGGAGTTCATCGACGAGGACAAGTACACAACAGTCACCATCGAAAGCGTCGGCATATCCAAACACGGGTTCGAGAGGCGGGGCGGGAAGGAGGAAGCGGAAGAGGTAGAGTCGAAGGAGAAAAGGGTGTGGACAAAGGAACGGCCGAAGAGCAACAAGCCGAAGAAGAAGAAGATTAAATTTCGGTACGAGACGAAGACGGAGAGGAAAGTGGAACGGGTGAAGCAAGGGTTGAAAAAGAAGAAGATGGCGGCGAAGAGGATGGGAGACTAGGCATACAACGTTCGAGGTGATGTTTTTCGATACGCATGTAGTTTGCTAGATCGTCCACCAGCAACGTTGCGCCTTTGCAGGGTGGTATGACATGACAATATTTCTTGGCCCTCACAATGGGGCTCAATTGACTTGTACTTTTGTGCAACTGCATCAGTGGACCCTCTTGAGCTTTGCATTTTAGGTGTGATCTTGGGTTGACGTCGGGCCTGGACTCGTTTCCACTGCTGTTCCGATTGGAAGGATCATGCTCGACATGATGATTGCAGCAGATGTGACCTTCGTCCAGCAGAGGCTGCCGCCATACGAGAATTGGAGGGATACAATTCGGGATTCGCCCGCTTCACACAATGTAAATTCACTTGGGCTAACAAGACGAGCTGAGCCGGCCCAGCAAAGGGCAACTTCGATTCCTAGCTAATATAATCATCCCTTCGAATGAACAATACACGTGGGTTGCACTGTCGATCGAGGTAACAACTCAGCCTGTGCAACACTGCCCGTGCAGAAGCGCACGACCAACTATCCATATATACGCCGTCAATTAGACATCCAGCACGGACTCACTTAACAGAAAAGACAGAAACAGGGGAACAAGTATTTACATTGACCGAACAACTGTGAGAACCAGTCGTTACAGTAGCAAAAGGGATATCAAACAATGGTCTAGATGTGCGGGAATGGAGGAAATCGTGACTGAGAAGCTGTGGGCCGCCGTTCGTTTCGAAAAGATGGGTATCTTGTTGAATCGGGTGCAAGTGATGAAAGCCTAGAACGGTGGGCGATGCTAAGGCGCTGATCAAATGTTTCGGTGGTAATGCGAGTACGGAAGGAGAAGTCGACGGGTGCTCGCGCAGCTATCGACATGCTCCATCCGTTTCGCGGGTGCATGTACGTGCGTAGAGCAAGCCAGTGGGTTATAGACCAGCTAACAGTATCTGTTTGTGCGAGGACGTCCTTGTGATGTACCATGAATACTGGAGCGGCCATGGTGTCAGGCGTGCAGTTGGTGGGGCAGGGCAAGATGCTATGCCTAGTCGGTCAGTCTTTGGCATTGGTGGGGCTGTGATGTAACTGACCTGGGGAGCTTCTCTGGAGAGCCTCGCGCTACTGGATTGGGCCGTGCTCGCCAGGCTTTTTCCAGACACCACCGCCCACGGCCTTGGAGATGCCCACACCAGTGCCAGCGGCAGCAGCGACAAGAAATAAAGCAATGACGATCTTAGCCCAAAGCCTCTGCTTGTTGCTCAGACTGTGGAAGAAGCTGCAGCCTTTTGCGCGCTGGCTGAGCTTCTTCTTCTCCATGATGGCCTGGCGTGACGGCCACATTGTGCACTCCTTGACGCGTCCGTCGACCGACACCTTGGGCTGCTGCGTCGTGGCGGCGGAAAGAGGGACGCCGGACTCCAGGTCGCGGTCGTAGACGTTGACGTCGAGGAGCGTCTTGCTCTGGGGAGGGGCGTCCATGGAGCGGCGGGCGTCTGGGTGCTTGTAGAAGGCGGAGAAGGGGTTGGACGAGTCGAGGCCCGTGTCTTTCTCGTCGGCCGTGGCTGACATGGTGGAGTCGGCGGAGGGCGGAGAGCGGAGCGTCTGCTGGGGCGCGTCCAGGCCTGCGACGGTAGCGCCGAAGGTCACGGGGTGCTGCGTGTTTGCTGCCATTGCGGTGCGGGCGGGCTGCGTGTCGGGCGGGGGGCGTGTTTGCGAGGCCAGCGGATGTGGACGACGTGGGCAGGCGCGATCGGCGGGCGCGGGCAGCAGCAGCTCGGGGGCAGAGGGGGGAGGAGCGTTGGCCAGAGCCGTTGGGCCAGCAAGCAGCTACAGGCAGGGCGCGAGCGAGCGAGCGAGCAAACGAGCAAACGAGCAAACGAGCAAACGAGCAAACGAGCAAACGAGCGACGGGACGCAAGGCCGGCGGGCAGGGAGCGGACTGGCAGCGCGGTGCAGTGCAGTGCAGTGGGTGCAGTGCCGGCGGTGCAGCGGCAGGCGAGGCCGTGGGCACGAAGAGAAGGGAAGGGGTGAATATATGCTTGCGGTCTAGGCGGCGATCCTCCTCGCGCATGGAGAGCCGCCGCTGCTTGGCTCGCCCGTCCGCGCGCGCACCCACGTCCCCAGCGACGTCGCGGCCCACGCTGCACCGGCGCCTCGACGAAAGCCCACTCCCAGGCCGTCGGCCGCAGCTTGCTCGCCCAAGCGCGTCCTCGCACTGCTCTGGCCAGCCAGTCTGTTTTGCAGCGCCCTGCCCGCCGCCTCGCCCAACCTGCCCGCGCGGCCCAGCTGCCCCGTTGCGTCCAAGTGCAAGCCTCCTGAAGCCTCTCCAAGCGGCACGCGCCTGGACGCCCTTGGCTGGCCCAGCGAGCGGCCGCCGGGAAGCGCACACGCCAGAGCGCAGCCACTCGTGCGTGTACCAGCGTCCTCGTCATGGACACACCTCTCGACGCCCGTCACCTGCGCTTGCCGTGGGTTGCTGCTGCGTGTACTGTGCCTCCGGTGTGCAGCGCTCGCTCGTTGCACCCCACATGCCCAGTGTCCACAAGCCATGTTTGTATAGAATCTACCCGTGTGTACTGGCCCATGCCCGCTCGGCCCTTCTGCACGCCGCTACTAACATAAACGCCCGTCATGCAATGCTCCCAATCTATACCCTGGCACCGCGCGCTATTAAGCATCATCATACAGCAGCGTAGAATCTCCGCAATGCGATATGCCACAGTCCCCGTCCATCTCCTGTTCTATCCACGCTCGGCCATCAACTAGGCCGTGAAGAAGTCTTCTCTCCGGATCCCGCTCCGATCACACATGCTCTTGAAGATGCCTCCCCGGTCGTACAAATGAATCGGCTTGTCAAGTTCCGCAATGGTGCCCGCGTCCATGACGCAGATGCGGTCGTACCCAATAATCGTCTTCAAACGATGCGCGATGCACAGCAGCGTTTTGCCACGGAACCTGTCGACAATCGTCTTCTGGATCTTCTGATCCGTCTCAAAGTCGACCGACGACGTCGCCTCGTCGCACACTATGATTTGCGAGCCCCGCACCAGCGCCCGCGCCAACGCCATGAGCTGGCGCTGCCCAAGCGAGAAGTTAAGCCCTTCCTCCTCGACAATCGAGTCGAGATGGATGCGCCCCGATTTGTCGTCCAAGGTAGCCTCGTTGGAGACCAAGTCCGCTTGCCGAAGCGCGCCCCACAGCGCAAGATCGCTGTGCTCGTTGAATGGATCGAGGTTGGACCTGATGGTGCCTTTGAAAAGCGTCGGGTCTTGAGGGATGATGGCGAGTTTGGAGCGTAAGTCGTGGAGACCGATTGTGCTGATGTCGACTCCATCGATGATGATGGACCCTCCCGACAACTCTGTGAGGCGAAACAAGGTGCTCATGATGCTGGACTTGCCAGCCCCGGTACGTCCAACCACGCCGATGCGCTCGCCCGCTGCAACGTGCATGTCGAGGCCTTTGAGCACCAACGGTAGGCCGTCTCGATAACGCATCTCGACGTTCTGGAACACAATCTCGCCATGTTCTGGCCACGTCTTCCTGACCTCACCCATTTTGAGCGGAGCCTCCTCTTCCAGCATGGTGCCGTAGTGGTGAATTCGCTCCGTCGCATTCATGTTGTTCTCAACCTCTGCGAGCTGACGTACCGTGAACTGAATCATCTGTACAATGGTGAGAATGTATGAAAGTACAAGCCCTGCAATGCTAGGATTAACAGAGAATCGGGAGGTAACAACCAAGATGCCGGTGGTGAAGACAAGTAAAATGCCAATAACGTCGAGACGAACGCTAAGCCAGCGCTGGTTTGCAAACGTAAGATAGTATGCGCTGTTCATGTCGTCAATTGCAGCGCGGACTGACCGCGAGAATTGATGTTCCAAACCATATGCACGGATTGTGGACGTGCCCATGACAGCCTCACTGAAGCGAGCGAAGACGTTGCTGCGAAGGACGGATTCGTGACGCTTGACCTCGCGGGCCGAGGCTCGATAGTATGCAGCAGAGAACATGAAGACTAGGAAGAGAGGACCCAGAGCTATGGCGTAGTAATAGTAGTATGAGATGATGAGGATAAAAACCGAAATGATCATGGCGAGAGTCATGAAGTACATGCGGATCGCATCGGTAAGTGTATTATCCATGACATCGATGTCCTTGGAGAATCGATTGGTGATACGTCCGAGAGGGGTGGTGTCGAAAAAAGACATCGGGGCTCTCAGAACGCGATGAATGGCGCGGTGCAGCATGACTTTGCCTGCCTCAGTACCAAACACAGAGACCGCTATCGAAAATGCAAACATCAATAAAGCTTGAGAGGCACCCAGTGCAGCATAAACTCCGATCTAATTCAGTCAGCAGAAAATCATCGACCAAGCGGCCAGTACTTACGTATGCGCCTTCGCTATAGCCGAACTTGTTAGACGTCCACCAGGACAACCACAAGCTCGTCGCTATGTTCGCGCCCTGTGACAGTATGAGGAGCGCTACCACAATTGGGCCAACCCACAAGCCACCTCCTGCTCGAAGGTAGGCTAGCCAGACGTCCCAGTCCACGGCTTTGGTAGCGCGGTCTTCCTCCTGCATCAGCGCTGCAGGCTTCTTCTTCTTTTTTTTCTGGGCCATTTTCTTCTCGTCTTCGATTTCGTCCTCAATCGCATGTTCCTGCTCGTCCTTGGTCTCTTCAGTAGCAGTCATGGTCATCAACTGTCGAAAATCCCTGTTGTTGGCCATGAGGTTGGGAAACGTGTCCACTGCCTGGATTCGACCTTCCTCGATCCATACAATCCTATCGCATCGATCGAGCACATGAAGTTGGTGGGTAGCCAGGATGCGGCACTTATCTTGAAGAAGGCCGCAGATAGCGTTATCCATGATATGTCTTCCGACGTGCGCGTCCACCGCAGATAATGGATCATCCATCAAGACGATATCTGCATCAAAATAGATGGCACGCGCGATGTTCATGCGCTGCTTTTGGCCACCAGATACGGTAATCCCGCGTTCACCAATTTCGGTTTTGTCGTGGTTGGGAAGCATGTCAAGATCTGGTCGCAAGGCACATGCGTCGACAACTTTGTTATACCAATCCTGCCGAAAGTCTTTCCCAAAAACGATGTTCTCGCGGACAGTCGCATTTTGAATCCAGGCATATTGTGGACAGAAGGCACGGGATGCTCCAATCATGACTTCGCCCTTCGTCCGTCGCATGTCGCCTGCTAAAGCTGCCAGAAAAGAGCTCTTGCCAGAGCCTACGCCACCGATAACAGCGATCAGTTCCTTCCGTCCGATCGAAAGATTGAGCTCCTTCAATTGGAAAGGAAGATCCTCTTCTCCGGCTTTTTCTGCCTATATCCCTCGTCAGTTCGAGTAAGCCAGGTGAGAATTGTGTTGGGGACCCGCGCCGGGGGGGGGGGGGGGGTTATCCACAACGGTGTTGCCAGGGTATGGGTATCAGGACTCTGCGTTGTCCCGTATGCGTTACACAGGGCTCAATTGTACTGAAAGTTCGGATCCTTGGATTCAAGACAGTCCCATCGTTACGTACCGAATTAGTTGCGGAGCCACTACCGCTGCTCGCTGTAGACTGTACGCTCTTGCGCTTATCTTTGTTCTCCTTAATCTTCTTGCCAGGCGCCCCCTTTCCAGGGGGACCATCTTCATCTTCACGCGTGGGGTGGCGCTCCCAGGTAAAGTCTGCGTCCTTGATCACAACAGCTTCTTTCGCGTCGTAGTTCCACTCTGTATCCTCTTGGGCTTCTTCCGCCAGCAAAAATTCCTAAATAAGCGTTAGCATAATCAGCGCACATGGATATCAGTGTCGTTGATGCTCGACTTCTTCCCAAGAGCTGCAACGAACGTACCTGAATGCGCTTGACAGACGCATTTGCATCAATGACTTGCCCGATCACAAGAGGAAGAAAATTGAGCGGGATACGGAGAGAGTTAAAAAGAGCAAGCGAAGAGAAGATCCGCGCAGGGTTGAGGCCATGGTCGGTGAGGCTGTTCGGTGTTAACTTGGAATTGATTCTCCAGCAGGACACAGCTTGACAAATGAACTGTAAGAGCAGGACGTACGAGTATGTGATGAAAGCGAGCATAGAAGCGAACACAGGCATCGACATGCCAACGGCCATGATGCCGTTCCGAATAGCAAGCAGGATCTGTATGCCCTTGATCTCTTTTCTTCTGATAGCGTCCACTCGCTCGAGGAAGCTAGTTTCCCATCCGAAATATTTGACGAATCGCACGGCCTGCAAGATCTCTTGCGTCAGGCTGACTCGCTGGTCCGTGATCTTGTTGATGGCCATTCTCCGCCGGAAAAGGGAGCGTACAGCACGCCCAAGCAACGGCATAGTGACGATAAGAAGACCAATACCGGGAAGCGCGCTGTACGTCAAATTTATGAGAAGCAAAGCAACCGTGATGAGAATCGCAATGGGGGAACACCAGATCATGTGAAAGAAGCCGCTGGCCTGGTCTACGCGGTAGGTGTCTGTAGACATCAGATTGATGATCCGGCCGTTGGCCCAGCCTTGGCCGTCACCTGAAACTCCCTGCGGGCCTTGCGCGAGTTTTCCTTGCTTTTTCTTGAGCATCTTGTGGTACCACCTTCTTTCTGCTTCGCTTCCCGCTTTTACATCGGGAGGTGGCTTTTCCAGTACCGCCTTGCCACCAGCTTTCGCGCGTCCGGAGAGTTTCATGGCCTTGTCGAAGATCACGGATATAAGCACAGCTCTTGCCTCACCGCCAATCATCATTCCTCTATACATGAAATGATTTGTTGCCATGCTTTGGAAGAATTGCATTGCCGTGATGCCAATGACCAGGCCAATTCCTTCCCCAATCGGAGGTGCAGGTCCGCCATTATGTTGGGCAATATAGGCCTTGAGTGCGAAGCTGATCAAGTATCGCAAGACGAACGGTGCAACGGATTGAATGATGCTCGCAAAGAGCTGGCAAGCACCACCTATAATGAACTCCCATTTGAAAGTATCAAAGAGTGCACCCAAAAGGAGTTTTTCTTCGCCTGCTTCTCTCCGTCTCTTGAATGATGCTTGGAGCCGTTCCACCATCACATCTGCGCTTCGATCTGGGTTTACGGTCCAAAGGTCGTTTTTCTCGAGCGGTCGCTTGTAACCAACCTATGGGCATCCGTGTATCAGCTCTCGCATCACCACGTGTGCGCAACATACATACTGTCATGAGCGGGGCCATCCACTGGAAAGTAAGTCGGCTGAAGAAGCCGGCACTATACTCCCGCGATGGAAGTCTGGTCTCCGGAACCGGTGGTTTGTTGCCCCATTTCAGCGGGTTCATTCTCTTGTACCATTTCTTTCTCCCGCTGGCAGAACTTTTCGTATCGGACAGCTCGCTGCTCCACTCAGATGCACCGCTCTGCGCGCTGTGGAGCCTGGAGAGCAGTCGGCCTCCTCTGACGCTCTGTTTGTCGACATGTGCCTCCAGGTCCTTTTCGACCTTTGCCGTCTCTAAAGGTTTGTTGACGATGGATTCGTATTGCTTAGAATCCACTGCGGCAGCTTCCTGATCCTGGATACGCCAGTCTACCTCTTTCTCGTTGAAAGACGAGGTCCCGGATCCGGACATTGCGCTTAACGACAGCTCCTCGGGCGGGGCTCGGGCGTCGTAAGAACAAAATCAAAGCGAAAGGGTTGGTTCTACGGTGAGAGTATTACGGGGTGGAAGTATTGGTCAGGAGCAGGAGGTCAGAATGGGCAGAGACAGGTTGGCGCCATAGGGAATCAAAGACTCGGGACTTTGTCATGTTACGACGCTCCGGGGAAGCGAGGTTGATATGCCTCGGAGACTTGAAAAATGGTGAGGTCAAGAGGCAAGCTAGCAACGGCTCCAAACGGAGATAAAACCTGCCAATCAGCAGCGGCGCAACGCGGCTTGCTCAGCTGCGCTCTTCATCCAGGGCTCTGCGTGTGCGAGGTGCTGGCCTGTCGGGGCATGTTTCGCACCGACTCCCGGACAAAACTGCACGCGATGCCAGCGCCCAGTTGCCGGCACTCTCCGAGTTTCTGCTCATGCCTGTGAGTCGGACACAGCATTCGCAGATCCGCAATCGCACAGTGCCCTAGGCTGTGGGCGTCAGGACTCGGTCGACCGACGATTTGCCCCGTCTTTTGCCTGACTCTCCAGACCCGAAACCGCTGCTGACAACATACGAGACCCTGCCGTGACTCTTCGCATGCTGTTGCCTGCCACCGTGCTTGCAGCCTTGATTAGGCGCTAACAATGCGCAGTCCTGCATCCTGTGCCAGGTAGCTCACCGGCTCTCCAGACCCGAGAGTGTTGGCGGACTCGGAAGGGGTGGGCGACACCTGCATACTAATCTGTCATTTTGAATTCCGTAAATGTCAGCATGCAATAGCCACGTCGACTGGGTTCCTACAACAGAAGGTTCCTATACCAGATTTACGTGCGCATCGACGTAACCTGTCGCTAGCTACCGGTACTTTGGACGAGGCGCATGTCGGCAACCTCGTCCGCTCTGCTTGTAGCAGACGAAGGTGAGATCGATGCGGACATCAAAGATTCTCTGAGCCCATCTCCGAGCGTGACGTCTCCAGTGCGCTCACCGCCGCGACTGACTGCCAACCTTCGAGCTTGCGTAGAGAACGTTTGGGGGAAGCGGGCGGCAGGTTCGCTATTAGGCCGCTCTTTGGCTAACATGAATTACGGGGGCTGAGGTGCGTAATGGAAAGGCGCCGGCTCATCGCAAATTGTTAGGTGGAGGAACAGTGCCCGCTCATATAGACATTCTGCCTGACTGATCACCAAATGGTACCCCTTCATTGCGTGTTCGTGCGGATTCAGTACAAGTCACAATGTATCTATCAATGTTTTGTCAGCATTCGTTTGGCCAATCACATGTTGTGGGTTGCTTGTGATGCGATATGCTGCGAGCCTCTCTCCGAGTCGATCCTTGAGCCACGCCCACGCTTGGTTCAACTCAAGACAACGCTCGTTATGATCATAGATGTGGGAATGCGGCGTGTCATTGTTGAACTTGATAATTGGCGTCCAGCGAGCGCCTCAACGACTATTTATTTGGGTGTTGGGACCACCACTATTATCCACCCGTCTGGCCTCGCCATGAAGGACTTTTCCTATCCATGCTAGACATTCTGATGAGGAGCGTTCACAAAATGGAAGAATCTATATAGTGTCATGTGGCCCGAGTAAATCATGCCGCAAGCAATCTCCAGTACGCGAAACTTTCAATTGTCAACACCAATGTGCACATTTTTCTCACCAGGAGGCAGAACTTCCTGCTCTCTCTTGCCCTGCAGCTTCGGTAGCTCTTCAATTGCGTCCTTGATGATGGCAAGCGCAGAGTCGATCTCTTCCTCTGTGATGACAAGTGGCGGGGCAAGGCGAATGATGTTTTGATGAGTAGGCTTAGCCTGTCCCCTGGCGTTAGTACTCTGCAAATGCGTCAAATGTGCGATATTGAGGGCTCTTCTTACCAATAGTCCTTTCTCTTTGAAGAGCATGCACAAGTCCCACGCACTGTGTCCATTGGTCTTCTCCTCATCGATCACAATCGCATTGAGCAAACCTTTGCCGCGAATAGTCGTGATCATGGGGTTGTTGAGCCCTTGAAGTCCCTCACGGAACCTTTTGCCTAATGTTTCAGCACGTTCGACCATGTTTTCTTCCTGTATGAGTTCGAGTGCTCGGATCGCGACTGCAGAGCCCAGTGGATTGCCGCCATAAGTCGAGCCGTGCGTACCAGGCTCGACTGTGAGCATGACATCTTTCGATCCCAAAACACACGAGACTGGGTACATGCCACCCGAAATTGCCTTGCCTAACAGAACAAGGTCTGGTTTGATGCCGCTCCACTCATGGCACAACATCTTACCAGTTCGTGCAATACCGGTCTGGATTTCGTCGCAAATCAGTAGGACATTGTGCTTCTCGCAGAGTGCCTTCACTTCTTGCAAGTAGCTGTCGTCCGGCACCACAATGCCAGCTTCTCCTTGGATTGGTTCGACGAGGAACGCGGCCGTGTTTTTGCCGTGTTCCTCGAGGACCTCGCGGACATCGTCAACATGGTTGTACCTGATCGGCTTGTTTGTAGAAGGATTGAAGCTGCCAATATTAGGGAGGTACGGGCCGTAGTTGTCTCGTGATTCGGGGTCGTTGGACATGGAGATGGCGGCAAATGTGCGCCCATGGAAATTCTCAGTCACAGAGAAGACCAACGCCTCGTTCTGTGGTATTCCCTTCACCTTGTAACCCCATTTGCGCGCAATCTTCACAGCGGTCTCCACAGCCTCCGCACCGGTGTTCATTGGTAGCACCATGTCAAAGCCGAACGTTCGCGTGACGAACTCAGCAAAACGTGGGAAAACATCGTTGTAAAAGGCGCGGCTGCTGAGCGTCAGGCGCGAAGCTTGCTCAGTCAGGGCTTTCACGAGCTCGGGGTGACAGTGACCCTGATTGACGGCACTGTAGGCGGAGAGGAAGTCAAGATAGTGCTTGCCCTCGGGGTCCCACACAGAGCAGCCGCTTGCACGCGAGAACACTGGGCGTATGTTAGCTGGTCCATGAGTGTTCTATACAGCCTGTGAGCGGCCGCGCCCAGATACCTACCGATTGGTAGAGGGTGGTAGTTGTGAGCAGCGAACTTGGCCTCGGCACTGATTGCGGCGTCGGACGATTCGGCATGGTACTTGGTGGGATCGGGGGTGCCAGTGGGGTGGAAAGAGCGCGCAGTAGGCTTCAAGGCGGTCCCGTTCCCGACGGCCGGGGCTTCGTGCTGGATCGCGCCGGGGGCCATGGTCAATTGGGTGACGGTGGCGTGCGGATGGTTGTTCGTGGGCGCGGTGCGGGGTGGCGGGGCTATGTAGATGGCCTTTGTGCAGAGAAGAAGTTGAGTTGAGAGAGAAGCTGCTGACCGCTGGCCGAGGATGCCACTCCTTAAGAATTTGTTTGTGGACCGCTGTAAGCCTATACCTGTACTTAGGGTACTGCTTCGTGTAGAGATGCCTTTAGGGATCGACCAGGCGGCTCAGCGCGGTCGGCGGCGTTTGTCACGTCTCTGGGAGCGCTCTGATTGGGCTGAGGCGCCGCCGCGGGCAGCTGACCAGAGGTAGACATGTTAGAAGGTGTGCCCGCGGTACCTGGCACGTAGGCAGGGCCGCAGGGCGAGGATGGAGGAGCGGAGACGATGGAGCTGGATTTATGATATGCAGTCGGCAAAAGTTGTGAGAGCTGATGGTGTATTTCTCCTATTCTTGCCTGCAGCTGCGCCATTTGTCTGTCGCTTGGGCGTCCCAGTCCAGCGCAGCCGAACCTGTGGACCCATGGCCAGCCTCTCTCACGTGTGCAAGGCTGCACCAGCATCCATTGAGCAGGCCTCACACGGGCAGTGACACGTCTGGCCGTCCTTCTCATTCGCACGGCAACTCAGGACACGAGCTCAACAACGACATGCACAAGTGGACGGCACACGGGTCGAGGCAGCCCAGCCGCGTGAGAGCACCAGCACCAGGCACAGCGTCGCCGACCTCTTGCAACCGCCGGTTTGTCTGCATGTCGGCGCAGGCACTTCAGGCGGGCGCGCGTCTGCTGTGCTCTGCAGTGCTCTGCAAGACACGAGCAGGCCAACGGCGCCGCGGGCACCTGTCACAGTTGAACGGGGCTGGGTACGGGACATGTACGGCCGATCATTGCGCTCTCTCCCACAGCTCGAAAGCAGGAAGAAACCGCACCCAAGATCAGGCGAGTCTGCTCTCCACTACACGGACGGTTTTCGTTCTCATGGAACCTCGCACTGCCCGGGGGCAGCGGGTGTCTCGAACCGAAAATGCTTTTTTGTGAGTGTGATAGAATTTGCGTTGTTCATGAGGGAGAGCAGCGGCGGACGCGCGGGTTTTGTGAGAGGGCGCGGCGCCGGCGCTTCTGTTGATCCGCGCCCCGCGCCAATCATTGACTCATGGTGGGCTTTTTCGCCTTTGCGTGGGCATTTCGAGCGTCAAGTCAAACCCCCGCCAGAGCCGGAACCAGCACCAGCACCAGCACCGCACCCCCAGAGCCACGCCCTGCCGTGTCCCTGCTGCCCGCCGCGTCCCTGCCCGCCTACACCGGCGCGTCCACTGAAGCCGCCCGCAGACCGCCCAGCATGGACTCCGAGTCCGAGCACGACCACCGCGACGATGAGAGCCTGTCCGAGCCCGAGGAGGTCGAGGAGACCAAGCCCCGACCCGCCCTCAAGAAGCCCAGAGACGTCCTCCCGCCCGTCGAGCGCCCCGAGCTCCCCGAGCAGCCCGAGCCCTCCACCGTTGACTTTTCGACGCTGAGCCCGCTGTCGCCCGAGATCATCTCGCGCCAGGCCACCATCAACATCGGCACCATTGGCCACGTCGCCCACGGCAAGAGCACCGTGGTCAAGGCCATCTCGGGCGTGCAGACGGTGCGCTTCAAGAACGAGCTCGAACGCAACATCACCATCAAGCTCGGCTACGCCAACGCCAAAATTTACCAATGCGACAACCCCGAGTGCCCGCGCCCGACGTGCTACCGGTCCTACAAGAGCGAGAAGGAGGTCGACCCCCCGTGCGAGCGCGAAGGCTGCGGCGGCAAATACAGGCTGAAGCGCCATGTCTCCTTCGTTGACTGTCCCGGCCATGACATTCTCATGAGCACCATGCTATCGGGAGCTGCCGTCATGGACGCTGCCCTGCTTCTCATTGCTGGAAACGAGACGTGCCCGCAGCCCCAGACCAGCGAGCATCTGGCCGCCATTGAGATCATGAAGCTCAACCACATCATCATCCTGCAGAACAAGGTCGACCTGATGCGGGAAGACAATGCCGCAGCTCACTACGACTCCATCCTGAAGTTCATCCGAGGCACAGTTGCAGATGGCTCGCCCATCATCCCCATATCCGCCCAGCTCAAGTTCAACATCGACGCTATCAACGAGCAGCTCATCACTAAGATTCCCGTGCCAGTGCGAGACTTCAGCGCGAAGCCGCACATGATTGTCATCCGATCCTTTGATGTGAACAAGCCCGGTGCCGAGATCGACGAGCTCAAGGGTGGCGTTGCTGGTGGCAGTATCCTGACCGGTGTACTGAAGCTTGGTGACGAAATCGAGATCAGGCCCGGTATTGTCTCCAAGGACAGTGCCGGAAAGATTCAGTGCAAGCCAATCTTCTCAAGAGTTGTGTCGCTCTTTGCAGAACACAACGATCTAAAATTTGCCGTGCCTGGCGGTCTGATCGGTATGTCACTTGTCATCATCCATGAGAATAGTCTAACAACAGACAGGTGTCGGAACAAGGGTCGATCCTACCCTTTGTCGTGCTGATCGTCTGGTCGGTTTCGTCTTGGGTCTTCGTGGCCATCTCCCGAACATCTATACTGAGATCGAGGTCAACTACTTCCTGCTGCGAAGATTGCTTGGTGTAAAAACTGCCGATGGAAAACAAGCCAAGGTTGCAAAGTTGGCCAAAAACGAAGTACTGGTATGTGCTTCTCTGCTCCCCCACTTGAGACACGAATCTAACAAGTTGCAGATGGTCAACATTGGGTCCACCGCCACAGGAGCAAAGGTCATTGCTGTGAGAGCCGACGCTGCTCGTCTCTCGCTCACCTCTCCGGCATGCACAGAGATTGGCGAGAAGGTTGCATTGTCAAGACGTATCGAGAAGCATTGGCGTCTGATTGGTTGGGCAAATATTGTTGCGTAAGTAGTAGCCTTTCGATACAGCTTGATCCCGTCTATTAACGTCACTACAGTGGTAACATCCTGGAACCGCTTAAGGATTAGGAAACGATCAAAGCAGGAGATCCACGAGCAAATGAACTCATTTGATGGCGAAACTCAAAAAAGTATAAACCATAGAGCCCAGAGAGGCGGAGAGTTCATCGTCGATTCGAGGAGCTGTCAAGCCTTGACGTTAGCATTCTAAGCATATTTTTGGCGGGAATCGGGTTCCTCCTGAACGAATGACCACGGCTTGATGACAGGATACGGAAATCGCCAACAACATTAGAAATACAGCACTGATTCAAGTCGAATGTATAACCCATGGTTCTTTTTTTTTTTTTTTTTTTTTTTTTGTGAACAGGTCCTTTGTAGCATAGATATGGGCCATCCTATCGAATCATCACATCCCGACAGCACCGAATCAGCGCTCCATGGAATCATGCGACAGCCTCAACGCAAATACAGTCAGTCAGAGGGACTGACCTGCAAACAAAGTACTTCACTAGCGATGTTTATCAGCGCAAACATTGTCTTCAGCAGGTAGACCTACCCAATTCTTTCGAAGCTGGACGAGAACGAGATGTTCAGTGAATCATCTTCGCAACCATGGAGCAGGTACTCGAGCAAGACGACTTTGATTTTGCCATAGTTTGTGGATAGTAAGCATCTATAGTCGTGCCTTCTAACGGTCTGCCTGCTTACTGAGAACTCGATTGCTGCAACTTGCTCTCTTCAGGCACGTCATGGTGTATGTGCCATCGATTTCCTATCATGCTTTCTGATGCTCGGCTGTGGTCTCCGACACAGTCGAAGGTAGTGGTGGCGGCCAACTTGTAACTGCACCTGTTCATACTTGAGATCCGTGAGGCGGTCATACGTATACCTTCGTCATAACTTCGCATGGCATCGTCCAAGATTAAAGACAGTGACGGGTCAAATTTGCAATCACTATTGTTCACTGAAGCTCCAATCTTCGAAGCAAGGTCATGATTCGCGTGCGTATGAACTACGGTGTTCGCCAGCGGAACATGTCAGTCCCGCGGAAGGCACCAGGATCTGAGACTGATGTCCCTTGCGAAGATTCTCATTCCCATTCATATTATGTAGTTTCTGCAAGATTAGGGCGTTGGCTTATCCAAGTCATGTATTTGTGCCTGGCTATCTCTAAGTCTAAATTTCGCCAGTGAAAGAGGGAATAACTCGATACAGAGCATGTGAAGTCGTGTGAAGTGAGTCCGAGGGTAGCTTAAAGGACTAGTCGCGTTCCCAGGGGAAAGTTCTGGTAGAGTCTTCGGCTTGACACCAATTCCAAGGAGGCGTTTCGGGGAACATAAGTTATGTCTCGTTCTGAGGCTATGGATGCCTGTGCAGAAGGGTATGTTCGTGGCCCACAGTATCATGCTCGTCGGGAATGGCATATTGACGTGTTTGGGGGGTTCTAACACGGTCTGGAGGCTCATAATTGACTTTCCCAATGACTAGAGATCACGTCAGTTCTGCCTTCTGGTAAAGGACATTGAACGTGGCGATAGACTGTCGATCCAGCGGTACCTGTCCCCTGCACAGTACCAGGAATTCGTTCGGGTTGATCTTGAGCTTTGATAAGTCTCGTTTGACCTATACAGACTTCAGGCTGTCTAGTGGTCTATGATTTTACTCTCCCCGAGGCAAACTGCATTCTATGGTCCTCTTTCAGCTTGGCCGTCAGAAAATCATACCGATGCATACTTTCAGGCTATCCACGTTGGGTTGCTAGCAATAATGTGGCTAGTACATGCATTGGAAAAGAAGGTCTCTGTAAAAAGATACGAGTAAAATAAATCATCTAATACTATTCTTGTAGGGATTCACGTCATGCCCGCTTCCTGCAGGCCCACGTGTTCGCTCAAATCTGACCAAAATGACAGGTGGCCTGCCTAGCAAGCCATGTTTCTTCTTTCGCGGCATGTTTATTCCTTGTTTGTTTAGTGCCGTTCGAGTTACATCTTGTCGGTGCTTCGCCAATGGTGTATAGTCGATGTTAATTACTTCGCGTGCTTCTGCAAGCCGTGACAAAACGCAGTATACAAACTCGAGGATGCCAAAACACAAACATACTTTTCCATAGTGCAAGATTGGAATCTAATGTTGAATCTTGAGCTTAGTTAAGCGTCTACTATGTTGCTGCATAATGGCTGAAAAGCGTTGAGGAGGTTAAAAATAAGCCAAAACGGTCGTTAAATAAGTTGATGAAATACCAGAAAAGGCAGGCTATAATAAGATGGGTAGAAAAATGGACAAGAAAGGCGTTCATAGATAGGACCTGCAGAAGTATTAACATTGTACGTTGGAAAGGTGAATAGATACTTTCTCAAAGGATAATATCAACTTATTTGCCAATTGGCTATATAGGATTGTGAAAGAATTCGTGGCGCATTGTTGTGGCGATCGTGGATTTGGCAAGTATCTTACTCCTCAAGTATTTAGATAAGGTCAGGTTGGGGTGGAGACCTGTTGAAGAGGATAGAAGGCTATGGGTCACGATTAAAGCTACGATGTCTACACGGAAAATACCTTTCATTCGTCAATGTTTCAGTGTATGTTGATCGGTTCCTTGACTCAGTCTGAGAGCGACATTTCTGATCAAGATTGAAAGTTGTGTCTGCTCAACTGCTCTACACTTCAGTACAGATCAAGTGCACCCTGGGTTTGGGTTCTCTGTTGCCATAGTGGAAGTTGTCCCTCATATAGAGGCTCAATGTTCGGGCAATGAGAACGTCTTGCAGCGAAAATGCAGCTTCATAGGAATGAGATTATATATAATACAGGACTCCCAGCAGGTTGCATGTACGTTCATGTTACTGATGACTTGGTGGAAACACGCTGCTCTATGAAACTGAAATACTGATGATTTTGATATCGTCTTCCGGTTTCTCTTTATACGTCTTTGTGTTCTCGATTTTATGCACCACATCCAGTCCCTGAACGGCACGCCCGAATATCGTATGCTTATTGTCCAGCCAAGGCTAAGACTTATCAGTTACGTCCCGATCAGACATTAGAGAACATTACATACCGTCTTCTCCGTTGTGATGAAGAATTGTGAACCGTTTGTATTTGGACCAGCATTTGCCATGCTGAGTGTGTACGGCTTATCGTGTTTGAGACTAGAGAATTCATCTTCGAACTCGCGGCCCCAGATAGACTCACCACCCGTACCATCGCCAAGCGGATCGCCAGTTTGAATCATAAACTTGCGGATGACACGGTGGAATATGATATTGTTGTAGTATCCGTTCTTTGCGTGTGTCACAAAGTTCTCTACAGACTTCGGTGCGGCTTCAGGGAAAAGACGTACAGCTATGTCGCCGTATGTAGTATGTATGACAGCTGATGTGCCTGTAGCGGCAACTTTTTCTTCCGCTTTTTTCGAGGAGCCGACGTTACGGGGCTTTTCGTTTTGCACATCTCGCTCAGATTTTGCGACAGTATTGTCGTTTGTGAACATGTAAAAGCGCACCTTTCCGGAGCCTGTAGAAACCAGCATTGCGTCGCGGGCTTCAGCTTCTTGTAGTAAGGGGTTCTCACTGGCTGCCATTTCCACAGTGACAACGCCTTTCTTCTCGGGCTGACCCTGGTACAGAGAAAGCCACAGTGGCCGAAATGGTTCCTCCTGGCCGTAGATTTTGACTATACGGTTTGTTGTCATGTTGAGAACTTTGACTCCGTACATTGAACCGTATAAGATGAAATTGCCAGTCTCATCAAAGACAACGTTCATACGGGATCGCACAGAAGGTTGGTCCAAGTCGCGCTCTATTCCAAGCCTTCGGCCAAACTCGATGTCCTCAAGATGTTGCACGGCGGTCCCAGCTTGTTGCATCTCCTGTATCGTCTGAATTGATTCATCGTATGTTCGGTGCAGCTTCCCCGTTGCAAAGTCGAAGATCCGTATCTTGCGATCCGGAAACGAGAGTGCTGCGAACTGTTTGCCAGTGGGGGACATGGTGAGTGACACGGGCACTGATTTTGCCTTCTTGAACTCGAACAAATTTGTCGAACTCTTGATGGAGAAGACGTTGTCGGGTTTTTCGAAGTTGCCGCTTGGCCGCCAGTACTCAACCATGCCACCCTGGTCCACGGATACTACACAATCGAAATGGTTATTATAGACCATTAGAGCGACAGGTGCCTTGTGTATGCTCTTCAAGGTATGCAATGGGTCCAGATTTTCTCCTCTTCCGTCGTATATTCGTATCCAGGAACTCTCTTCCGATGACACGGCCAGCTGTGGGAAGGATGCGCCCCTTCCATGCACCCAGCATACTGTCTTTGGTGAATAATCCAAGCTCAACATGGCCAGCAGATCGAATGTAACCACATCAAATATCTTCACGGACTTGTCGGTCCCGCAGGTCGCAAAGCTGCGACCGTCCGCGCTGACGCTCACAGACCGAATCTCACCATCGTGGGCCCGAAATTCCTTCACAAACTCGACACCCCCGAAATCCTTCTTCCAAAACTTGACGACTCCATCGATCGAACTTGTGACAAGGAAGTCGGTAAGCGGTGTGAATGTTGTATAGCATAGTTGCTCGCGGTGCATCAGCGATTTGAAGTAGCGGCTCGCGGTCGGCAAGGCTGCGACGTAAAGTTTTTCGTAAGGTAGCTTGCGCTTTTTCTTCTTGGGGGCGGAGGAAGGGAGCGCAGGTCCAAAATCGTCGTCTGAGGACGTGTCGTCTATCTCGATGTCAGCTCTGGCTGCGTGCACTGGCAAGATTCTGCCCTACCGTCCTCTGCGGCAGTCGCAGCTTTTGTCGTCCCATGCGTACGGTCTGCAGCTTCCATTTCGTCGCGCGATCTTTTTACCGAGGGCGACAACATCCTTTTGTCAGCCTGAACACCTACCGGCTCCATGGCTTCGTATTTAGAGGAGCCAGACATGCTTGCGCGCGTGCAGTGGCGAGGTCATGGCAGCAAGGTGTTAGTTTGAATATAGGCGACGAACCTACGGTTACGCCCGCGCGCGCGCTATCACGTGCACTCTGTCACCTCCAGCTGGGCGCTGGCTGTTGCATGCATCGGATCACTGGAAAGCAAACATCGGGCATATGGTAGCAAAGCAAGCAATATGTTGTACATCTAGGGCTAAGTTGAACTGCAATTTATCCTGGCAAGATATTGCAGCATTCATGTTACCTTGACGATGGTGTCGCTCAAATCAACGACTACATAGCGATCTCAAGAACATGTGACCTTGGTGAAGTAGAGGCCCTCGATCAAATGCATCACGCGGCAGCTCTCGCACAGCAAGTGGTATCATTGACGGTAATCGAAAGGCGGGCGATAACCAAGTCCTAATCTTCTTCATCCCGTGGCACCCCGCTAATACCATTTTCCAAGGCTTTCTTCGAGACCTCAAAGATATGTAGACTGTTCGGTGCCTTGGCAGTCATCCATCGGGCCAATCTAGGCTCCTTGCCAACTGCGGCAACCACACAAAGGCCATCCTTTCCACGTTCGCCCCGTTCCTGCACGGAAAGACCGTTCACTATGCCTCGCATGATGGCCATGGTGTCGCTCGACTGAGCATTTACGGTCGTGCCGTCCACCTCTTCAGGAGGTATGCGACCAACCTTTCCCACAGGCTCGATACTGCGTTTGTCCGTTCCGACGCGCCACGCTCTTATCCAGCCATCCCAGCTGCCTGTGAGAATGAGGTCCGCAAACGGGACTGTTGCAATTGCGGTAATGTATCTCGGTAGCTTCGGCCCAGGCCTCGCAGATGACTTAGCATCGCTGTTTGCTGACATCTCTTCTGGCGGAAGTGGCGGGTCTCGCCCATGTGCAAGACGTATAGTTTGTAGAGGTTTCTTCCTGTTCACTGACCATAGTGACAGAGCTCCGTTGTCCGAACCCGTGACGAACAATCCTGCATCGAGGAGAGCGACACAGTCCACGGAGCCCTCGGCATACACAACATCATCGTCTTCTTCCTCTTGCCGTTCACCGTTGGCAGTCGGCCCATCGTCTGTTGTGCCCCCAAAGCGACCTTTTCGTAGCTTGTCCAAGCCCTTTTGACGCGTGTTCGTTCCACTTCTGAACACCAATTGGTTCTCCTCGACCACCTTCCATAGCCTCGCAGACCTGTCTCTTGATCCAACACTAACGCAAGTTTCTTGGTTCACTTCCAGTCCGCCTGCCACGCCGATGACTACATCTTCGTGGCCGTGCAACGTTTCTATATAGGCAGACTCTGCAGCAGCCCATACCAGTACCGCGCGATCTGCGCCTCCGGAGAAAAGCTGTTCCGTGCCCCTCCTGAACGATAACGAGGTGACAGCATCGCGGTGCCGTGTGAAAAGCTTCTGCGGTGTAAGGGTATCGGCGTCCCATATTATTAGGCGAGCATGCTTGTCTCCCGTAGCCAAGAAGCGCCCTGAATCCGACACAGCAATCGAAATGATCTCGCCAGTGTGACCGAGGTAGTCCTTGTCACCCTTCATGTTTTTGTTGCCCTTCCTCCAGCAAAGCCGTTTGGGGTTGCGTCGTCGGGCGATGTTGGTAGGCTGGTTTGGTTCCAGTGCATTGTATATCGCGGGATCTGCAATTTCCCACTTTTCGACCACCAAGTCCTTGCTGACGGTCCAGGCGTATGGTAAACGGAGCGCACAGCCGGTGACTGCCTTCTGCAGGCCTGACTTGCTGAACACATGTGATGCGTGCCCGAAGTCCAGCTCTTCGGCAATGTGTCGGTAAATCTTGCCCTTTGATTCTGCGACGTCTTCCTTGAGTCGCTCGGCAATCAGGTCGCGATCGACGTCTGCTGCGTCGAAGCCCCCATCTTCCTCGACTTCGTTGCGGATGTTCGCAAGGTACCGCTCGGCGAGCCTCAGACGCTTCTCGGCCGCGGTCTCGTCGTCGTCATCGTCGTCGGACGCTTCGGAGCCCTCAGGCTCGTCGAAGAAGCCGGCATCACGCTCGCCGTCAGAGTCCTGGTCGCTCCCGGAAATGGACTCGTCGCGCTCGCTGCGGCGGGCGGCGCTGTGGGCGTGCGAGTGCGCAGCAGCGGTGCTGCGCTTCTTGGAGCCGGCGGGAGCAGGGTCGGATCGCTTCCTCTTGCGCTGCGAGGCAGGGACGGTGAAGAAAGAGGACATGGCTGCGGCGTGTGGCCGGGGCAGTCGACAAAGTTTCGCAGCCAAAAAAATCTACGAGCGTTCGGCGATGTGCTGGCCCGTGCGCCGTGCTTGCCTCGCCGGCCGTGCGTCTGTTGCGCTTGCCTCGTCGAAGCTGCTGCTCCAACGCAGCTTCCCCATCCACATCCGCTGCCAGCCTGCCCACCATCGCCCACCCTCGGACTGTCCACCGGCTGCCTGCAAGCTCCAGCACCCGCTCCGACGCCCCTGCCCCCGCACCGCGCCCTCCTCGCGGCCCGCCCCCCGCCGTCTGCGCATTCGCCGCTCGCCGGGCACTTCTCCTCCGCCGTACACGCCGTGCACCCCGTGCACGCCAACCGCCCACGATGAGCGGCAGCAGCGACCCCGAGCGGGACCACGCCCTGGAAGAGTACAAGGGCAAGCTGCTGGAGTCGCGCGAGTGGGAGGCCAAGCTGAAGGCGCTGCGATTAGAGATCAAGGGCCTGCAGCACGACTTCGACGTGTCCGAGGACAACATCAAGGCGCTGCAGAGCGTGGGCCAGATAATAGGCGAGGTGCTCAAGCAGCTGGACGAGGAGCGATGTACGTCACCGACCCCGCCGCCGCGCTGCTGTGAGAACCAGGTGCTGACCCCCGCTAGTCATTGTCAAGGCGTCGTCGGGCCCCCGATACGTCGTGGGCTGTCGGTCAAAGGTTGACAAGCTGAAGCTCAAGCAAGGAACCCGCGTTGCGCTCGACATGACCACGCTCACCATCATGCGCATGCTGCCCCGCGAGGTCGACCCGCTGGTCTACAACATGTCGCTCGAAGACCCCGGCCAGGTGAGCTTTGGCGGCATCGGCGGCCTGAACGAGCAGATCCGCGAACTTCGCGAAGTCATCGAGCTGCCGCTGAAGAACCCCGAGCTATTCCTGCGGGTCGGCATCAAGCCCCCTAAGGGCGTTCTGTTGTACGGTCCGCCCGGCACCGGAAAGACGTTGCTCGCACGTGCAGTGGCAAGCAGCCTGGAGACCAACTTCCTCAAGGTCGTGTCCTCGGCCATTGTCGACAAATACATTGGCGAATCGGCGCGCTTGATCCGTGAGATGTTCGGCTACGCAAAAGAGCACGAGCCCTGCATCATCTTCATGGACGAGATCGACGCTATCGGTGGTCGGCGCTTCTCCGAGGGTACTTCAGCAGACCGGGAGATCCAGCGAACCCTCATGGAGCTGCTCAACCAGCTCGACGGTTTCGACTACCTGGGACAAACCAAGATCATCATGGCGACGAACCGGCCGGATACCCTTGACCCTGCCTTGTTGCGTGCAGGACGCCTGGACAGGAAGATTGAAATCCCTCTGCCGAACGAGGCCGGTCGATTGGAGGTTTTGAAGATTCACGCAAGCGGTGTGCAGACCGAGGGAGAGATCGACTTTGAGAGCATCGTCAAAATGAGCGATCAATTCAACGGAGCTGACCTACGAAATGTGGTCACTGAAGCGTAAGAACACCCCATGATCTCGTCGGCAAGACTAACGTGTTGCAGTGGTCTGTTTGCGATCAAGGATTACCGGGATGCCATCAACCAAGACGATTTCAATAAAGCTGTGCGCAAGATGGCCGAGTCGAAGAAGTTGGAGGGCAAGCTGGAATACCAGAAGTTGTAGAATGCTTGATCCTGAAGGGTTACGGGTCGCTGCCCGAACAAGGCTATCATGTACCATAACGATAACTATGTAGCAGAACAAATATCTGCTTCACGACTTGAACGCTAACACCCGAGGAATCGCATCCATCCTTGTCTCGACGTCCTTGAGTGGGTCTTCACCAATGGTCCACCTGAGCTCTATTTCGCCAAAGTAGTTCGGCGTCTCGCTTACTTTGCTGAAGCCTACGCCTTCAAAAAGCTTGGTGCTTCGGACGTTATCTTTGTGGATCTTCGCGCGCAGGTATCTTAGGCTGCTGTTCTCTCTCCCATTTGGGTTGCTGCAGTGATATTCCTTCATCCCGAGCGTCCGTGTTTGCAGAATATACCACATGAACGCCAACAGAATCTCGCAGCCCAAACCCTTCCCTTGTTGCGCTCTGTCCGCAATCATGATTTCAATCTCGCCGATTAGCGCCTGTGCCCCATCGCCGTTTCCAGCCCTTTCATCCTCCGCGTCTGGATCCAAGAACATATTTACATCACCGACCATGCTCCCTGGTGCGTCCTCTTGTCCCGCGGTGATATGTTCACGCTCTGTCAGTGGCGGCGTGCAAACGATGAAGGTGAGCTTGTCAGCATCCCTGCGCCAAGACTCTTGCATCTCGTATTCCTCTCTTAAGGTGAGAGGCTCCGAGGCCGTCGCGGTCTGGAGATCAGGGTCTTGCATCCAGTTGTGGTAAGTGGGGACATGATGAGTCGCGTACGGGACCAGAAGTACTTTGGGTGTTAGAAGTGCTGTAGTCGTAAGCTGCGCAATCCTCGGACGAGAGTAGTAATAAATACCCGTGTGCTCGTTGATCTTCATCCCGGATGTTGGTGCTTGGTGCACTACTTATGTATGATTTTCAGGCTCGCTTGGAGTCTTTCTGGATGCCTCTACGAATATAATTAGCGTGACGACAGCACATCCACGGATACGAGCTTCCTCACATGAACTGCTGCTGAAGAAATCTGACCAATTGCCTGGAAACAGCTTGGGATGGCTACTCCGTGCACATTGTGTAGTTCATGACTCCAGGTAACGTTAGATCACTGCCGTAGGTCGTTCCGGCATTAGCGATCTAAGCTAGCCTGTCTGAGCTAAATGCGTCTTCAGTGTTCCGTTGTCCATTCTGAGTATGCATGGATCCATCTTCCTGCCATCCTTGTATCGTTCACACCTATTCGAGTCACTCGTTGTTGCGTCCATCACTTCGAGAATCGGGTGGACTATCAGAAAACGTATCCGACTTTCTAGATTTGTAAGACTTGCATATCGAATATCACGTGGGGAGAAGACTCCGCCGGCAACATCAAAGTCCCAGCATATTTAAGGGCTTCAGGGTGTGACAATCAATGTCCATGAGGTTCGCAACATGGCGCCCACAACGGTCCTTGTTACAGGCGGCACCGGCTTCCTAGGATCCGAGATCGTTCAAGCGCTTGTAGAAGCAAAGAATTTCGCCGTCACCGCTCTGGACATCAACCCGCCATCGCTCGGGACGGTATCGTACCCAAGTGTCACATATGTGCGTTGTGATATAATGGACTTGGAACGACTTCGGGAGGTGTTCAAGGAGACGCGTCCTACTGTAGTTGTACGTAATTCCCTGCTACAACGTTAGTTCAATGCCGCATTTGCCTTAAACTTTCAAACTCCGCAGTCAAGTTTGGACTTCTCAGGCATGAGCAGACTATTCTGGAGGGTCCCGCATTCGTAGAGCCTATGCTGATTTGGCTCGCTTACAAGTTGCACACTGTCGCCGTCAATCTACTCGGAGAATCGCGATACAGTACGCAAGGAAGAGATACACTGTTTTCCATTAACGTAGATGGAACAAAAAACGTCGTCCAAGTAAGCCAGGAATGTGGGGTGAAGGCATTCGTGTACACAAGTAGCGTGACAGTGCTGTTGGACCAGCTGGAGGAGAATTTTAGGAACGCGGACGAGACATGGAGTACTGGCAGGGCGACCACATTGTACGGACAATCCAAGGTACGTCACTCTATCAATTTTTCTTGAACATGTGTCCAAAGCAGTAGTACTTCCCTTTCGACCAGCCTTCCCAAAACCCTTCGGGTCTCCAGTACTATATTGACAATATAGACGATGGCCGAGGGCATTGTATTATCCTCTAACACACCTGGTTTCCGAACTTGTGCTTTGAGAGTAGCACCCATCTTTGGTCCTCGCGATCCAGTTACCATTCCCACAATCTATGGATGCATTGCCAATGGCGAAACCCCATTCATCCTTGGCTCGGGCACCAACTTGCAAGATTATGTCTACGTTGCAAACGTTGCAGATGCCCATGTCCTCGCCTTGCACAACCTCCTCGACCTAGGAACTGCAGCCGGAGAAGCCTTCTTCATCACCAACGGCGAGCCGATCACTGTACGGGATCTTTGTCTCGCTGTGTGGAAAGAGTTCGGCCACTATCCACGATTCCAACTTCGAATTCCAGAGGAGTTGGCATGGTGGATGGGATGGGGTTTGGAATGGGCAAGCTGGCTCACTAACAGAAAGGGCACTTTTAGTCGTGGAGTGGTTTTGGATGCTACAAAGACACGATACGTGAATATTACCAAAGCGAGACGGGTGCTTGGTTATGTACCGAGGGTCAGCTTGCCAGAGGCATTGAAAATTAGTTGCCAGGTGAGTTCAGATATTGACAGCGCCTGGCGGAAACGGATGGCACGAGACTGGGAATCTGACGTTTAGCAGCATCTGCAACAGCAAATCAATGCTCAAGCAAAAGCATAAACCCCGAATGATGACCAGGAAGGTTTCCTGCACATGGCAATTACGTAGACCTATTCCTCGTTGAGGTTTCGCTACAATCCAGAGACCGGCGGGTACTGTCTTCAAGTGCCAGCAATCACGACTTTCATCTCCGATACGACAAAGGACACTACCACGTCCCGGCACAACCCAGAGCATGTGAAGTCACAGCCACGGGCCTGTAAAACAACCCAGGGCCATTCGACATGCTTGTACAAATTAAGCTTCTCCTCGTCTGCCCAACTCCTAGGGGAAAGCAAGATTGTATGTGTTGGTGTCGCTATTATTTTACAAATCTGTTCGTACAGCTCGGCATCTGTCGCCCAGTCTATATACAATCTTGTTCGTTATGCACTATACAATCTTTTCGGCCTCCTCGAGCAACCGCTCCACTTTGAATCCTCCATCCCCGCGGGTGAACATGTCCAGCAGCTCGCCCCTGGCCGTGCCCTCCTCATTGACAACATAAAACTTCTGCATACACATGAGCAGGAAGCGCGCTTCGTCCACGGTCACACCGCGACCCTCGACAACCGTGCCTTGGCCCAGTACCAGGTCGTGCGAGCGTGCGAGCTCCGAGTGAAATGTGATGGTGGTGTGCGGCGAGGCAAACTCCCCCCTCAGCTTGTATTCGGCCAGGCTCGTAAACAGCAGCGTTGTTGTGTTCGCATGGGGGTGCGCGAACTGGAGGTAGTGCAGCTCAGCGGCAGTCTGCGATTGCGCAACATCGAGGTCGGCCTCAGGCAATTGCTCGGCAGGCACTTCGCGGGGCAGAGGTAAGACAAAGGAGGGATGGCGCTGGGCGGTCGCGAGGAGCGCAGTGAAGGTCGCGGACGGGAGGGAGAAGTGGACGGATTGCGGGTTGGAGGCGTGCCGGAGGCGCCAGAGGACTTGGATCTCTTTGGCGGGGAGGGACGTGATCTTGTCGAGGGCGAGGAAGGAGTCGAGCGTCTTGACGCCAGGCGGCGGCTTCGAGCTGGCCGACGAAGCGGACCGCGGGGTCGGTGGAGGGGGCGGTGCGGGCCAGGGCGAAGCTGAGGCGGATGCTGCTGTGCGGGAGGACGGCGACGGCGACTGTAGAGGGGGAGAGGGCGCGGCGCTGGCGGCCAAGGGTGCGGTGGCTCCAGGCACAGAGGCCTCTTTCCTGAGCTCCTGGATCCGGTCCTTGTAGGCTTCCTTGAGCTCCGGGACGCCAGGCAGCCCCTCCTCGCGCGCCTTAGACTCGAGCTTGTCGCGGTATTTGGCGAGGATGCGCTCCTGGGCGCCGTGGGTTGCGTGGAAGCGGACGTCCTGCACGCGCGCCCAGCGGCGTTGGCACGCTCGCGGGCTGGCGGGTGCCTGGCGGGCGAGGTGCCGCAGCGTGGGCATGCGCAGTGCGGCCATGGTACCTGTGCGGGTGTGGGCGTGGGCGTGGGCGTAGGTGCAGATGCGGCGGCGGCCCTGTTCTGTCTGACGACGAGCGCCGCAGTCGCCGGCTCGAGGCCGCGTCGTGATTGGCTGCGACGCGTGTGCGACGCTGCACGCTGATGCGCCCAGGTCAAAGTGTCCTCATCGCCACAGCGCTGCGCTGCTGCTTAACACCACTCCCGTCTGACCATGATCCAGGCTTTCTTGCAGGTGAATGCAGCCGTTCGCCCCCCCCCCGCGACCCGCCTCTGCTAACCCTGTGCAGCGCCTCGCTCGTTGGCTCGACCGGCCGCTCTTCCCGTGGAAGAAGCTGGTCATCGGCTTCTCCCTCGCTGAGTTCGCCCTCGAGAACTGGCTTCTCTTCCGCCAGTACCGCGTCTTGCAGAGGGACCGCGTTCCCAAGGCCCTGGACCACGAAATCGACCGGCCTACCTTCGACAAGTCGCAGGCCTACGGCCGCGCAAAGGCCAAGTTCAGCTTTGTGTCCGGTCTCTTTAACCAGCTCAAGTCCATCGCCGTCCTCTACTTCAATGTCTACCCATTCGTCTGGGGCGTTGCGGGCACCATCCTCGCTCGCTATGCGCCCGCTCGCTTTGCGGGCGACATCTCCCAGTCACTGCTCTTCGTATACCTCTTTGGCCTGATCGACCTGGTTGCCGGGCTCCCATTCTCTTACTACCACAGCTTCGTGCTCGAGGACAAGTTTGGCTTCAACAAAATGACGGTCAAGCTCTGGCTGACGGATATGATCAAAGGCCAGGCACTCGCTATTGCGTTTGGCATTCCCATCGGCAGCGCTTTCCTGGCCATCATCAAGAAGACCGGACAGAGTTTCTTCTACTACCTCTGGGTCTTTATGCTTGTCGTCCAAATCTCAGCCATGACCATCTACCCCATCCTCATTGTTCCCATGTTCAACAAGCTCGAACCCCTCAAACCCGGCAAGCTGAAGGATTCTGTCGAGGCTCTCGCTTCTCGCCTCCAATTTCCGCTCAGTGAGCTCCAGGTCATCGATGGAAGCAAGCGCAGTGCCCACAGCAATGCGTACTTCACAGGTCTACCATGGATCGGCAAGAAGAAAATTGTCATCTACGACACTCTGCTCGAAAAAAGCACCGAGAAAGAGGTTGAGGCGGTCCTGGCGCATGAGCTCGGTCACTGGAAAATGAACCACACATCCAGACTCCTCTTCATTAGCCAAGCCCACATGTTCTATATCTTTGCCCTCTTCTCTGTCTTTATCAATAACCGGTCGCTTTACGCTGATTTCGGGTTCCACCGGCAGCGGCCCGTCATGATTGGTTTTCTGCTGTTCAACGAGATCTTGTCGCCTACCGACTCCATCATCAAGCTTCTCCTGAATATCTGGACACGGAGCATGGAGTACGAAGCAGGTCAGTGCAATCTGTCAATGTCATTGTAGACAGGGGATGCTAACTGGCTATAGACGCATTTGCTGTGAAGCTGGGATATGCCGGGGAACTCGGCGCTTCGTTGATCAAGCTCCAGATTCAAAACCTCTCCAGCATGGATGCTGACTGGTTCTACTCCAGCTTCCATCACTCGCATCCCATCTTGACGGAGCGTCTCAAGGCCATGGGCTGGAAGGGCGACCGAAAGGTCACAGCAGGTAATTCGGCTGACGAGGAGAAGCCGTTGAAGGCGGCAGATAGAGAGCTCTGAGGAGGGAGCTGATTGCCTGGGGCCCGTCAAAGTACCATCGAGACCTACGTAGATAGGAAGGAGTGCGGCACGAGAGCAGGCCATGACGGCGCCAGACGACAAGCCAGTGTAAAAAAAAATAAAACAAAAAGTGCAATAACATTGCATCCACCAAGAACTTCACACTGTGACCTGCCGCCTTCGGGTGAAGGAGGAAACCACGCGGCTAGCATCCAGCCCTGGAGACGACATGGTGCATGATCTAACCAGGGTGGCCAATGGCAGAGCTCGTAATCAGCTAGCGCCAGAAATCGCCAAGAAGACGAACTTGGTGCGAGGGAGAGAGAAGTCTTGCCCGACGCCTCCACACCACCTCTCCGCCAGCACCCACCCGACTTTCTCCTCTCCCCGCAGCCTGCGAGCCAGCTCCAGCTCACAATGTTGGCTCGATCGGCTCTTCGCTCGGCGCGCCCGGTTGGCGCGGCAGCCCGCAATGCCGCCAGCAAGACAGCTTCGGTACGACGTCTGGTCATCCCAATTGCAGCCCGCAGCGCCCGCGAGCGCCCCCGAATCCATCGCAGGCAAGCCTGCGATGCCCCTACCCACCACTGTTCCCATTGGAGAGTTTGCTAACGCATTGGTGGCACAGCGCTCTGTCTCGACATCCAGCTCGACAGCCGAGGGTGCTTCGTCCTGGAAGACGAACGCCCTGCCCGTGGGCGCCACCGCTTTCGCGATCGGAACTGTTGCCTGGTACGCCTACATCGCTGGCCGCGATGTCGATGCGATGACGCCGGCCGAAGAAGGGTGAGTGATGCCCCGGCAGCCTGGCCTTGCAGGCGACTCTGCTCGAGGACGGAACCCGCGACTGACACATGTCCGCTGCAGTCTCCACCCGACGCAGTACCCATGGGAGCACGCCAAATGGAACAAGACATTCGATAGCCAGGCGTAAGTGCCCCTCGAGCCGCTCTTCATAGTCAGGCCTAATGCAAACCTTACAGCCTCCGACGCGGATTCCAGGTCTATCGCGAAGTCTGTGCTTCATGCCATTCCCTCTCCCGTATCCCATACCGCTCGCTTGTTGGAAAGATCATGACGGTCGATGAAGCCAAGGCCTTGGCCGAGGAGAACGAATACGACACGGAACCGAACGACGAGGGAGAGATCGAGAAGCGCCCCGGAAAGCTCTCTGATTACCTCCCCGGCCCCTACAAGAATGACGAAGCCGCACGCGCAGCCAACAACGGAGCCCTGCCCCCGGATCTATCACTCATGGTCAAGGCTCGCCACGGCGGCTGCAACTACATCTTCAGCCTGCTCACCGGCTACCCCGACGAGCCACCTGCAGGTGCGGTCGTGCCCGAGGGTCTCAACTTCAACCCCTACTTTCCCGGTACGGGAATTGCCATGGCGCGTGTCCTCTATGACGATCTTGTTGAATATGAAGATGAAACCCCAGCTACAACTTCACAGATGGCCAAGGATGTGACTGAGTTCTTGAACTGGGCCGCTGAACCGGAGGCAGATGACCGCAAGAAGATGGGATGGAAGGTGCTAGCGGTCACTAGTGTACTGACTGCATTGAGCATCTGGGTCAAGAGGTAAGCACGAATAGACAAGTCCCGGTGTATCAGTCTGCTAACAAAATCAAAGGTACAAGTGGGCTTCAGTCAAATCGAGAAAGATCGTGTACAACCCGCCGATCAAGAGTCCCATCCTAAGCAAGCTTCCAAAGCCGACCAACAAGTCATAGAAGAGTATATTCAAGTGTGGCGGGGTGCCGGGAGGAGCGATGAGTGTGTTCAATACTTGTACAGTGACAACTATTTTGCCTCAACAGAACGTGTCTAAGATTTCCTTGACCTATAAATCATTTGCGCATGACCGAGCTGCGTGCTGTCTTTTGCTGATGCGTTGTGGCATGATTGCTGTGCTCGTTGGTTGGATCTAACTATAGACGAATTTGCCTATACGTTGAAGCTGCAATTCTGGCTATCATCGGTTGGGTCCCCTACAATGCCTCGTGAAGGAGCAATATAAAGTAGCTGCTCAAGAACAACATTAATATTTCGATGCCGACGATCTAAAAGTTTTTGTTTCCTGTGTATGGTTGTTGATACGCTGCCGCCGCATGTGGCGTTCCATTGCAAGAGCGGCCTTTTCAGCTCTGGTGCTTGGTCAATCCCGAGAGTCTGCATTTGTCACACCAATAACTCTCATGGTCCAATCGGAATAGCATGATTAACGCCCCTGACATAATCGAAATCCAAATAATGTACGCCATCCTCCGCCATATCGTGCCGCTAAGCCAACGCCATGTGTAGTTACAGACGATCTCCCTAGGGAAACACATCCACTCAGCTGGAGTCTCCAGCACATTTCGGGTCGCGCAAAAGGCGGAGAAGAAACTCGATGTTCGTCCCACGCGCAGCTAGATAATGCCATGCCACCTCCTGCTCGATCACTCCGAGATACGTGTTACGTTCGCACCACAAGTTTCCCAACGGCGGCTCGGTCAAAGGCGACGTCGATCAGCTGAAGCAGACATGGTGTATTGCCATCTGTGCATAAAGGTCCCTCCTGACCGAATGGCTGGCTGAGTGCTCCTGCTCCATTTACACGTCACTGCCTCACCCCACGGCACTGCGATCCAATTTCACCTCGCATTGCACCTTCCAAACAATTTGATTTTCTATCCGTATCTAGACGAGGCAAGATAAAACCTTCTGCCTCTTACCCTGTGGTCACCATGGTGCTCGACTCTAAGTCTCCACCACCGGCCGACCTGCAAGCACAGCTTGACTGCGTACGGCATCACTAGCCACAAATTGAACGCATTATCCTAGCGGCAGAAGCCGTTGTCTGACCTGGCCAGGACATGCACGTACACTGGCATCCTCCCTGCACCCATTCAATTCAATTTGAACTTCCACTGACATTGGAGCTGTTGATTTAGTATCGCATCACTATGCCGGCCACGACAGCAGTGTCGGTGTCAAGGCACAGGAGGAAGTTCATCCTCTGCTTTGATGGCACAGGCAACAAGTTTTCAGGCACTGATGCCGATTCGAACATCCTCAAGATATACAGGCTTCTAGATCGCAACGAGGACGACCAATTTCACTACTACCAGCCAGGCATTGGTACCTACATCGTTACGTCTTCTAGGAAAGATGTTTCACATTCCGGCAAATTAGACAGACTCAAAAGCTGGTACATCAAAGCAAAAGATAGCGCTATCGGCACTTCGTTCGCCGAACATGTTATGGGCGGCTACAAGGTAAACAACGTGCCGTTCATGCTCGATGCTTTGGCAGCAATCTGTGCTCACGCTTCGTAGTTTCTCATGCGATACTACAGCCCTGGAGACGACATTTTCTTTTTCGGTTTCTCGAGAGGAGCCTATACCGCACGGTTTCTAGCTGAGATGCTTGATCATGTTGGATTGTTATCCGCAGGAAATGAAGAGATGTGTAGGTCAATCTTGAGCAAGAAGGGAAATTATCAGCTGATTTGCATTTCTCCCGGTCTAGGTCACTTTGCTTGGAAGTGAGATCTCTGCGGTTGGTGGTGACGCTGTTGGAACTAATCCATTCTAGAACATTTCAGCGATGGCAATGCCGACAAGAGCGTAACGAAATGGAGAAACGACAAAAGCGGTACTTACTCGACTTCATGTGTGCTTTTAGGGAAACCTTCAGTCGACCTGTGAAACCTGTCTGGTGCCCCTCGAATATTAGGACAGAAACAGAAGACTTACACTTTGTTGCAGATCCGTTTTTTGGGACTTTTTGACACTGTCAATAGCGTACCGAGTTTCGAAAATGCATGGATGCAACGCAGTAAATTTCCATACACCGCGAGGAGCTCCGCAAGAGTTATTCGTCACGCCGTGTCAATTGACGAGCGGCGGGCCAAGTTCCGACAAGACTTGATATCTCAAGTTCGGCCGAATAGTTCCAATTACTACAAACGCCGACGGCGTGAGCCTGCTTCTACCCTACACACACTTGATGGACTCGATGAACAACGGAGGGGCAGGAGTCCTGTAAAGCCGAGTGGCCGACGTGAAACACTGGCTGTTCCTGGAGGAACTCGCGATTTTTCCCAAGTATCTGCGGGCATGAGGAACGCGGGTGTAGCTCATACGGGATTGAATTCGGCAGCTACATCTCTGTCTAACCTTTCTCTAGATGTCATCCAGAATCGCGAAAAATATGATTCCGACGACGAGGGAGAGCAGGATATCAAGGAGGTTTGGTTCGCGGGTTGTCACGCGGTATGTTTTCCATTCTTACGAGCACCTTTGTCAAACGACACTAGAAAAGCCCCTAGACAGGCTGAGCCCCAGGGCGCGAATACAGACATACCTCTGGCGTTTGTTATTACTGACGGCCGCGAAGGATATCGGGGGTGGTTGGCCCTTGCTTCCAGGAGAGGATGCTGCCCTCAGTCATGTCCCATTAGTTTGGATGGTCCGGGAAGCTCAACGGGCAGGCATGCAGTTCGATGAGATCAAGCTTCGTGCCCTTAATTGTGGCCATCCAGAATCGATACCAGCATCCCCAGGGCACCACGAAACAGTCGCCCCAGTACCAACCATCGCACTTGATACCGCCTCCCCGAGCCCTACTGGTGCGGGTGATCGTGACCTCTCTCCTTTTGGCCGACCTGATTCACGTAACGAAACGGAGGCTCATAGAAGCCGAATCAATCACCAACATCATGCAGCCACTGTCTCAGTGGAACAACATCCTGGGTATGTTGTGTCGCCCCTGAAATACCGCAGTAATTAACCATGAAGCATTGTAGAGTCACTGCTAGTGGACATTATCACACTAAATTCCATCAGCACCTGCACGCTGCGGCAACTCGTGGCAAGATCCACGACGTCCTCCAGTTTGGGAATGGAGCGACACGACTGGGGACTATGTCTTGGAAATGCCTAGAATGGTGCCCTATAAGAAGAATGGACTTACAAGAAGATGGTAGTTGGAAGGCGATTTCCTGGCCACTTCCTAAAGGCGAAGTTCGCGACATTCCCGACGACGCGTTGATCCACGGTAGTGTCATCAAACGCATGGAAACAGACGATGCGTACCGGCCAGGTAACTTGATTGTTGGGGGCGGCGGTAGAGGGGTACGCAGAGCCCCGGCTAATATGGGCATGGGGAAATGGGTTGCCGCTCATGAGGAAGGGCATGCTGTTGGCGAGCTGTTCATTCGAAAAGAGAAGCCGGCCCGAAAGAAAACTGAGGAACAAGCAAAGTCATTGGCCTTGACTCCAAGTGGACCTCAAGGTACGTATTGCCCCGCTATAAAGTTGGTATACGCGGCTTACAGTGCACGCGGTGCTTAGGTATGTTCTTAACAGGGCTGTAGGAGGGAAACTATTCCACAACATCGACCCGCATGGATGAATATACCACTAGCCCGAGCAGTGGGACAATTGTCGCCGGTTTCCTTGGACTTGAGGGTGAGCGGAGCAGGAAGTATTATTCTCCTTGCCGGGGAAGAAACCTTCCGATGAATCGGCCGATAGGAGCCAGACCTGACGTCGGCAAACCATTATATTATTCTTTACATGCAGCTTAATCTGGATCGAAGTAATCCGGCAACTTGCTTCTACAATTGATGATCATTGTGTCCAGCCGATGTGAGATGCGTTCGCGCGTTAGTCCCGAAGAGGAAGGCCGCAAGTCGTATCTCGCGTCTTGGAGGCATTGCAGCGGTAGGCATGACCCCTGCATGCAGAAGAGCTCTTCCATTGCGATGGATCATCTATAGCACGTAAGGAAGGTACCCTTCTACCTATGTCGCCGTGGCCGTATGTAGCTCCGAGCTTTCCGACGCGTCAATTCACGCACTGCTGCTAACGGATTACAACCATGATCGCCGCGCACCGCGGGTGGGAAGCGTGCCTTGCTTTGTGCTGTTGCTGTGACGTTAAAACGTGGACTCTTTCCTCACCGGCCTGCTGTCTCCTCTCCATCTCCACGCCTTTCTGTAGACCATGACGCTCAGTTTGATCCGGGCTCTTACGGGGCTCTTGATGCTGCACAATGTTGTCGCGAGCCCACAGTATTCTACCCCGCCGCCGCTCGATCAAGGCCAATTGGGTGCTGTCGCATCTGAGAGCAGTATCTGCAGTCGTATTGGAACCGATTTGCTAAAACAGGGCGGGAATGCAGCAGATGCTTTAGTGGGGACCGTGGCTTGTGTTGGTGTGATAGGCATGTACCACTCAGGTACACCAGCCCATATTGTCCTATGGCACCAAGATGGCACTGATGATTCGTAGGGATTGGTGGTGGTGGTTTCATGATCGTCCGCTCGCCCAACGGCACATACGAGTTCATCGACTTCAGAGAAACCGCCCCGAAAAGTGCGTTTGAGGACATGTACAAAGACAACGAAGACGCTAGCCTGAATGGTGGCCTTGCAGCAGGCGTACCTGGTGAACTCCGTGGACTCCAACATCTTCACGAAAAGTACGGCAAATTGCCCTGGTCCACTGTCTTGCTCCCAGCTGTCAAAGTAGCCCGCGAAGGCTGGACCGTGAATCAAGATCTCGTAAATTACATCAATTCCGCCATCGGCTCGACGGGGAATGCTACTTCCAACTTTCTGGTCAAAGATCCTGCGTTTGCCATTGATTTTGCACCTCACGGACGGTTACTGAGGCTCAATGAGACCATTACTAGAAAGAGATACGCGAATACACTAGAGACAATAGCCTACGAAGGCCCAGATGCTTTTTATTCCGGCCCGATCGCAGAAAGTACTATCCGCACCATCCAAGCCCGCAATGGCACCATGACGCTGGAGGATCTCAAGAACTACACTGTTGCTATCAGGAAGCCGTCGACAATCACATACCGCGATTATAAGCTTACTGCATGCAGCGCTCCCTCTGGAGGCGAAGTCACACTCGCGATCCTCAAGATTCTGGAGGGGTACGATGATTTAGGCGATCCGTCTACTGTGAATCTCACCACGCATCGTCTCGACGAAGCAATGAAGTTCGCCTACGGCATGCGCTCAGAGCTTGGGGACCCCTCATACGTTTCTGGCATCGACGCCTACCAAGAAGCTATGATTTCGGCTGCCACGGTACGTAACGGCTGGGAAAGAAGTGGGATATGTCTTGAACATGGTTGCGAGGATATGCTTGTTTTTCTCATTTTTGCTGACTTTCGCTTTCACGCGTCTAGGCAGCCGAAATACGTGCCAAAATTAGCGACAATCATACTTTTGACACGTCATACTATGACCCGAAGGGCCTGGAGTCGCTCGAGACCCCGGGTACTTCACACGTTGTAGTGGCGGACCACACGGGGCTCTCCATCAGCCTCACAACGACTATCAATACGCTGTTTGGTGCGAAACTTGCGGACAACGAAACTGGCATATGTAAGAGACCCTAGAGATATAGAGCTGTTGTTCTCTGCTGTTATCATGGTCTGAAATAGTCAGACATCGGTATAAGCTAAAGCTAAAAACCAACTCATCACCCAAATCTCCTTCATTCTTAGGCACTTTACTGACTTTGCACCCCACACGCTAGATTTGAACAATGAAATGAACGATTTCAGCATCCCCAACGTCACGAATGCATTCGGCTACATCCCTTCGCCTGCGAATTTCGTTCGCGCCGGCAAACGACCCCTATCCTCCATCTCCCCGGTTATCGTCGAACATCTCAATGCCACGTCACTTGCGTCGGCCCTCTATGTGGCTATTGGCGCTGCAGGCGGCTCCCGCATTATCACCGCGACGGTACAGAATCTTTTGCACATCCTCGACGGCGGTCTCTCAACGGCAGCAGCACTCGCGCAGCCACGCATCCACGACCAGCTGATCCCCGCACAGATTAGTTTCGAATACGCTTTCAGCAACGAAACGACGGCGTTTTTGAAAGAATTGGGGGCGAATATTACATGGGTTGCGCCTGGACAGAGCACGGCGCAGGGTCTTAGGAGGCTGGCGAATGGGACGTTCGAGGCTGCAGGAGAACCGCGACAAAAGAACTCTGGTGGCATAGTAGTATGAGGGGAACAAATGAAGGGCCATGCAGCCTTCACGAATGCGGATTTACGCATATCGATGCCGATGCTGGTCATGTTGATGAATCGATGCAATAGGCCGAGTCTCCTAAGCTTTTGGATTGGCCTCGCAAGATACACGCGCTTTCACTGAACTGGACCTAGAATGCACTGGCTACTTCTTTTCAATCTGACTAGCGCATACTGTTCAACTACATAGTCATACCTGCGAACAACCACACTCCCACTCGCATGAGATCTGAAAGGCTTAACAAACATAATATTGTCCAAAGGAGTGCCTGGCATCACAAGATAATGTGCAGAAACAAACTGCAAAGAATGCATCATCAAAACGAAAACAGAGTTGTTTATATTTACTGTCTACTGTGCAGGCAGGACACGAGGGGGAATAACTAACGATATTTAAGCGATCCAGTGAGGGGGAAACGAAGACAGGATGGACTAGCAGGCAGCCAAGTAAGTGAAAAAGGTTGTCCGAGTCCAAATTCCCGATCCAGAACTTCACGACGCTGCCGTCGTTGCCGCATTCTTGTTTTTGTTTTTCCGTTTCTTGGCTGGCGGTTTCGCGTGAGGCAGATCAATATTCTTGGACGATGTGTACCCGTTGACCTCGCGGTCGAGTTTCATGAATTCATCGGCGGCGTTCTTGCCTCCGTGATCCATCAGGTACTCCATGTAGTGGTGTGAAAGTGCCTTTGATGCGTCTTCCGAAAACCGTCCTTTAGCGCGAATAGTCTCGTGGATCTCTTTGACGCGCTTGTGGGCGTCGTCCTCTTCGCTCAACAGTTGAGCAATCTCAAAGTCCATGTATTTCAACCAAAACTCCTTCGATTCCAGAAACTTATCTGCCTTGTCTTTGAAGAGCTGGCGGGCCTCATCAACCGCACGCTTGGACTGCCACAAGATGCGCGCTTGCTCCGCGGCCAAGACGCCACCTACATGCGCGTTACGCTGACCAATGTACTTCTCCAGCGTGCTTACTGCGGCATCCGCGCCTGCGTGGCGACGATCTACGCCAGCGAGCGAGATGATGGTCTCCACATGATCGGGGTTCTGATCTAGTATAGCCTCGTGGATATCATGTGCAAGGGAGGTCCTGCCCAGCTTCTCTTCAAATCGAGCCCAGTTCAGGCGAACAGTCGGTTGCGAGATTGGGACGAAGATACAGCTCGCGCGAATGTAGATTTGCCGACAGTCTTCCTCCTTGTTCTCTTGGGAGAACATCCAGCGGGCGTAACGCAGCCAGAACTCTTCGTACAAAGCACAAGCCACCAAACAACGTTCATACAAGAAGCATGTGCGATGAAAATCGCCCTGCGCCTCTTCGAAATCGAGGTACTTCCGCCAATTGTCAATCTCGGTGTCTTTCAGATCCGTGACATGAAAGTAGCCGCGTTCAATCTTCTCTTCAAAAGGCCAGCGAGCTGTGACATCTGCTTGCGTGCGGGTATACGCTTCATAGTACCACTGATCAAGCTTGCCGCGGAGTTGTCGGTCGAGCTCGAGCGATGAGCGCTCAAAACCTTGATTCTCAGCAGCAACAGCTGCCTGCAATGTTTCGAGCGTCTCAGGTTCTGCAAGGTCGTCGACCGGGGTATTGCTATTGATCAGACCACGAAACTTTTCGTAGTACCTGGAGAATTGATACATGGGTATCTGGGAGACGCGACGGTAGAGCTGCGCGACTCTGGATGGCTCGTTGTTTCGATCCTCGAACTCGATATACTTGTCCCAGAAGGGATGGCCCTGGAAATCAAGACCGACAAAGTGGGCGCCGCGTTCGAACAGACTAGAGAGTCAGCGGTGGTTAGTCAAGTACACAGAAGCGAAGGGGTGGGAGGAGGGAGCGGGGGTGAGCTTGCAGTAGAGAAACGCGACGTCTTGTGACATGACCAAAACAATTCCTCCAATGCGATCATCCTCGTGTTTGTCGTGCTCAAGTGAGAAGGGCAGTGGGCAGTGAACGGCGCAATTAACGGGCGCGAAAGTTGGCTCTTGGGCCGCTGCGTGCTCACGAAGCTCGCCAGCAGCTCTTCTGTCGTCGGCTGCAGGTGCGGTTGAGTTCCCGGTTCAAGGAAGGAAGCTGGACTTACTCTCGGATGATGTCGTTGTCGTGGCTCGTGTCCATTTTGAAGGCACAGTAGTGCGCCCAGAGGTCGACGGAGCTGGGTATGCACGAGACACCGCGTTCGTACACCTGCGACGTGGTCAGCGCATGCGCTGCAGGGGCGCCGGTGGCCAGCACTCACCATCTCGGCCGTCTCGGTGCCGCCGATGGCAAACTCGAGGTCGGCGTACTTCTTCCAGTAGCCGAAGAAGAGCGGGAACTTGGCGAGGAAGCAGTTGTAGGCGTTGCGCAGCAGCTCGATGGACGAGGGGCTGGAGTTGCGCGTGACGCCGCCTTCGAGCTCTGTGGCGCGCGTGACGAGGGCCTCCCAGCGCTCGAACTCGTCTTCGTTCTCCATCTGCGGGCGGTCAGCGCGAGCTCTCGGCGGAGCGACGGGGGATGCGCACTACGGCGTCGAGCAGCTTCTTGATCTCGGCGGCGGCTTCATCGCCTGTGTAGTGCACGTGTGCAATGCTGCCGCGCCCGTTGACGAACATGGCGACTGGCGTGGTGCGGATGGGGTGAGCGGTGGGCGCAGTGCAGTGTTGGCGCTGTTCGCAGCGTCAGCCGGAGAGTAAAGGCACGAAGCAGACTAGGCTACACGTCGGTTGAGCCGCGCTAGAGCCTGCAAATGCTCCCGCGCCAAGCCCGCCCGCCACGTGATCGACCTTCACCCGTGGCCCCGGCGACCACGCGCCTCCAGTGCGGAGCGGCCGGTGGCTGCGGTCGTGGCGCGCCGCCTGCACGTCATCACTGGTTCCGCCGTTACTGGTGGTGTGTCCAATTCATAACAGCCATTCGTATCGTCGTGCACGACGTGTTGCAGTCATCGCTACATGCTCTAGGTATCATCAAAGCCAGCACAAAAGCCGCCGTGGCAAGCAATCCCGTCCCAGCCAAAGCTGCAGTCCTCCCAAACTCCAGCACACCCGCCCGTTCCTACGAAGCTCGCCCCCCGCTGACATAGCTGGCCGTTTCGCTGCCCGCAAACGAAAACGGGCTCTTGCCCATCTCCGGGCTGCGCGGGCTGATGGGCAGCGCAAACAGCCCGTCGTCGTGGTCGTCGTCCGCCAGGGGGGCGCCGCGCGACTGGAACGTGGGCGCGTCGGGAGCGGCGAAGGCATTCAGGGACGCCATGCCGGCGTGCTGCTGCTGTGCAACGGCAGCGGGCGGCTCAATGCGTGCTGCGACCTTGCGGGCGGGCTGCTGCTGCTGCTGTGGAGCCTGGGGCGGTTTGGCTGCCAGTGTTGCGGGGTTGTTGCCCTTGAAGGCAGCAAACGACGACACGGCCACGTCGGAAGACTCGGGCGACAGTGGGTTGGCAAAGGCGGCGTCGCTAGGGTCCGTCTTCGCCGTGAGGTCCTTCTCGCTGGTGCCCAGCTTCAGACCGCGCAGCTTCTCCATCAAGCGCCCGCCGCCAGGCGAACGAGGGCTCGCAGGGCCCAGCGGCGCAACCGTGGGCTCGGCGAGCTGGATGCTGAGGCCTGCAGGCTTTGCGTTGACGCCGAATGTCTGCTCAATCCACTCCTTCTCTTGCACGGCCATGAGGAAACCAATGCCCTCGACGTTGCTCTGCGATTCGGCCTCAATTTCCTTCTGCAGCACCTGAAGCCGCTTCTTGGCCCAGATGGTGTGGAGGATGCCCTTCCTGCCCGTCGCCCGCGCCGACGCGCCCAGCTCGGGCGGGAAGATGGCAGGCAGCGGGTTGGTGTGCCAGACCACGGGCTTGCGGTCGCCGTCGTGCGGGCGGTGCGTCAGCGTCAGGCTCGAGGGCACGGCGACGCCCGGGGCCAGCATGAAGTAGATGCGGTTCACGTCGCTGCTCGGCTGGTCCTCGGCCGGCAGCACTGTTGTCTTGCCCTTGCCGTCCCACGAGATGTGCCATTCGCCGCGCACGCCGCGGGTTGAGTCGTCGTCCTCCCATTCGACCATGAGTATCTTGGTGCCTTCCCTGCCATGGCCCGCCGCGAACTCGAAGCGGGCGAGGGCGTTGGTGCTCGAGATGCCGGGCGACTCGACCTCGTCCGTCAAGGCGCCTGGGCGGGTTGCTGTGTCCACTGCAGGAAACGGCGGGTACGCAGTCGGAGTCGACATCGGTGCGCGGGTGCGGAGAGGCGGCGGAGGCGCGTTGCTGGAGGCGTGCGTGTCTGCACGGTGGGGGCCGGATGCCCTGTGGCAAGTGCTGCGTTAATGTACGAGTAGACGGCAAATTGCCTCTAGAGCCGTCTCCGCCGCCGCCAATGCGAGACGGTCAGCTGACGACGGGCCTTCCCAGTATCTGCTGCGCAAAGGTGCCATCTCCGCCGCGCTGGACCGTTGCCGTCCGCGCAGCTGCCGCTCGTTGACCTTGAGCGCCCACTCGTCCAGCTTCCTCTCCCCGCTGTTGCTATAATTAGCACCACGCAGGAGGCCAATCACAGAGCGCTCGGCACCATTCTGGCATGTTTCAAGCTTCCATTCACTGCTACCTGGTATTGCGGGACCCCTCTGGACCCCGTGGGATATGATACATACACACTGCCCCGGGTATGCGCAGTAGCTGCACTAGCCTCTGCGCCTCTCCGCCAGCCCGCTCCCCGACCGAAAGCATTCCGTCAGCCATAACTGTCGTCAACCATGAGATTCTCCCAGCGCCGTGGGTACATGCTCCTCCAGCCCCTCCCATATAAAAATTACAACGTGGGTATAACGCGTGTCCAAGGTATTATTTGCAAAGAGGCAATGCGCAGTCGCCGTTGTGCCCCCCGCCCGCACGCGACGCCATTGCTATGAGAAGAGAAGAATGCAAACACGCTGATCTTTTAGACCAGGATGCTGTGCTGTCCAGCAGCAGGGCCGGGACCTCTAGATCAACAGGAAATCCCAGCCCTTTTGTCGCATCGTGTCCCGCCAGTGGACACACTGTTTGTCGCCGTTGGCGAGGGCGGCATCGTTCACACGCCATACTTCCTTGAGTAGCTCTTTCATCCTACCAAAGGATCCAAAGTCTGAAGCCTCGCCTAGTCGGTTAGCTCGCTCCGAGAACATCGTGCGAAAAGGTGAGTTCGGCAGCGACACGGAGCCGGCAATCAGGAGCGGCCACACCAGAGAAGTATCGAAACCATCGGGACCCGCTGGAATGTACTCCATGGTATCACTCAGAGCATTCACCATGTTCGCGATTACACTTCCCTGAGTGCGATCGAAGTTGGGAACCAAACTGCAGAGATAGATGCGCGCAGCCAACCGGAAGACGGCCGTCAGGTTCGTGCTGAGCTGCTTTGGTCGTATGGCTCCAGTCGACGAGTACGGGTTTCTCACGGTACCTGGCGGCGGCTCGGAGAGGCTGATTTGATCGCCGACGTGCTTGATGTGAGCGCAAAGCTGTACTTCGTCCATATTGTCCATCTTCAGAGCTTCGAGGCATGCAATCTCAGAGATCAAATACATGATCCTATCATCGCATCCCATGAGTTCAGCAAGACCTGACGGCGAATCTGCAATCAACTTTTCTCGGTACGTGTCCGCAAATACTGGAGTTCGCCCGAGCATGGTTGCACCAAGGATGTCAATCCAAGATGTAAGGGTCATATTAAAGGGCGGTTGTGCGTGTGGTTGACCGTTCAAAGCGACAAGTTGCGCCGGCAGCTCGAGTCTCTGCGCCAATTGCGTAGTGGCCAGAAAATGCGCGTGCCACTTGACATCAATGGCGTCGCCCATTGCCTCAGCTGCGGGACCATCATCCGCGCGACCAACCGAACACTGAAATAGGATCATACCAAGGGTGGCCTCGAGCGTCTGTGCGTGGTCGGTGTCGCGCTGGAACGCTTCGCAGAGCTCCTTGATCGCCTCATAGCGATGGTTCATGATGTCCCGGTCGATCTGTTCACCCTGGATCCGCTCGGTAGCTTTGAGGTGCTCAGCAGCAACGCTCAAACAGCTGTGGAGATAGGTCTTGTTGGTAGCCAATGCAGGGAGTATGATATCTGAACGCGCCGAACCGTGCTGGTTCACTTCGAGGATGGGAAAAACCAATCGGACAACATTTTCTATAAAGTGATTGAGCAGGTATTGGTCGCATTCATCGACTGGAATCACAGCTTGATGTGACGGGCTGAAGGATCCGTGAGGGAAATCAAAGACTTGGAAATCTAGAGGCTCCTCTGCAAAAGACTCCCGACGACTCTCGAAATAATCTTGCTGTATCCAGTTTTCCGTCGGGAAGGGGTGGCCGGTAACAGGAGGTGTTTGGTATGTGCTAAACGTTGAGATTGTGGAATCTCTTCGAGTCGGGATGTCGTCAATGAAGAGCTGGCTTTCAGTTTTGATATCAACCTCGTAGGGGGCGAACTGTCCCGCAGGATGGAACGAGGGAGCGAACATGGGCGGCGGCATCGATATCGAATCATATAGTCCAGGGGTAGACACAGCGTTGAAGTTGTAATCTAAAGAGTTTTGGGAGTCGACGGATGGCGCACGGGTGCATCCAATGCCGTCTGAAAAAGTGTCGGAAGTAGGTAGAGAGTGACATAAGCCGGGTGGGGTAGTTGCGCTCATCGCAATGCCCTGTTGGCTCTTCTCTTGAAGCTTTGTCCGTTTGATGATATTCTTGATGCGCTCTTTCTGGCCTTTCCGTGTCTCGCTGCTGCTCCACCACATTGGTCTTTTGTATTCGCATTGCAGTCCAAGGTGCTTGCATGCGCGACATGACGGCTTTGCTTCATCGCACTTCTTTCGCCTCAATCGGCATGTGAAGCAACCTGCGCAGTCGTGTTAGCCAGCGCGAAGAGCGGGGATCCCTGCACAAAAGACAGAAAGCATGACTTGCCTGTCCGCGAGCGTCGGTGCATCTTTGCAGCGGCTTGTTTGGCTGCATTAGCCGCATTTGTTGTTCCCACCATGGTGACAGATTGTTTGGCAGCGGACGATGGCGCTGAAGAGGAGGACATGGACAGCTCATGTACTTCGGGTCCAGTACGGTGGTTTATGAAAGGCTAGTAAACAATGCGGCAATAAGGACTAAGGCGGCGCACAGCGGGAGGGATCGCAAGGGACAGGCTAGCAAAGCTCGGTCAGGGTAGCTCTTAATTAAAGATTGATATTTCGAAGCCAGCTTCGAAGTGAGGAGCGCGAGCAAATTATGGACGTCTGCCATTTCTGGAGAAGGAAGAGAAAGGTTATGTACCATAAGAGGACCACAAATGGCACAATGCTAGCAAAATCAACCGGATCTATTCTTGGACATGGCCAGGCGGTCAAATGGGATCCTCCAACGGAACGAGAGGTTGAGCGACATGTTGTGTGAACGAGATGGAACGACGATTGGTCCGTTGATGGTTACCTGCATATTGAGATCGAAATTAGGGGCAATTACCAGTGGGTGCAGCTATTTTTGCCTTCATTTTACCCGCCAGCTCGGACCTCCCCCCACTCTGTGCGCACCGACAGGGGACTGCCTGGAGGGAAGCAGCCCCCGCATGGCGTTTTTAGCACTAAATGACCCATTTCGAGCAAATTGAGAATAAGGCTGCTTAGTGGTACCTGCACGTTTGGCCCCTCCCCAACCCCCAGCACAATAACTGAACAGTGCACCCGAAAGCAGATCGAACACTTGCAGCGGATGCGATAACTGGCCGGCCCGAGAAAGTTGCTGTTCGCTCTGACCAGGTAGATCTGCGAAGCTACAATATTGCCAAGCGCGTATCTGAAAGCTGCATTTGTGTGGAAATGATTTCCAGCGCACTGGGACGGAGGCGTGAGAGTCCGTTGGGCTTAACCCACCAAGGATTCACAGCGCTCGTGATGTTCAGATGGTACGAGCAAAAGCGGTGGAGCTTCAACACTTTCTGCATCGTTACTCGCGGCCAACGTGCACCGTGTCGTGGTTGGTGGACATTGCGATACACTTGGATTGGGCAGTGGAGGCCTTCAAGCTGCTCGAGGGTTCATGTTGACTGATTCGCTTCAACATCTGCCGTGATCATTTCCACGGCAAGAGCTGATTGCATAGTCAACCAAAAGGGGGAGGTCGGTCGAGGACGAGGTTGGAGACCGTGCGACGTGGACTAGCCAGGGTGTGACATGGAGAAGCGACGGGACCAAGAGCAGGATGCACATCGTGAGTGGTAGAGACATATGGACGGAGTCGAATTCTGCATGATAAGCTTTAGATTGACTCTACCGCCCGTCCAATTGCAGGGCTCAGCAGCCATGAGACTAGGCTCTTGATGACAGGGGCCATATCGGTTGGATTTCGTGCATCCGTTCCCTCGTCCTACGCGTAGTGTGGCCAAGCAAGTACCTGCTTTGAGAGGTCCGTCCGCAAGTATTGACTACAGCGGTCGGTAACCAATCGCACCCCGTAGACGCCATGTGTTGCTTGTGCGGGAAAGTAGTGCAGCCGGCCAGCCCATTCAGGACTGGCTAATTATGGGACTTAGATTTTGAGTTAATTAGCTCGAAGAGGCTATCGCGGATGGATCAGAACTCACCTGACAGCGCGGATCTTGGTCTGGGGACCGTGGTATCCGCTACAAACGGTGCTCCTGCCGTGCCTGTCGCAGGCCTAATGGCGATTGCAGGCAAACCCGGATCTTGGACGCCGGGAAGAGCTGCTGCTCCCAGCGGCGTTGTTGCACGTGTGAGAGGCGCTTCTGCTCCCTGCACATGGTCCAGAGGGCAACTTTGGCACGAAATGCGGAGTCCCGAGCAAGCTCGTCTTCGAGGGGGAGAGGTAGGACGTAGATGGGGTGCAGCGTCGAGCGAGGCTTGGCCCAACGGTTGGAGACTGATGCATGACGGGCTAACGCATGGCGTGCAAAGACCGGAGGCCAGCTCGAGGCCGCGATTCGCCTCTGGCAGACACGTCTCGACGAGTCCATGGTGGAGCGGCGGAGCACGAGATACAAAAGAGCCCAAGCCCGCATCAAGGTGCAGTCATGTGAGCAGAGGGTTGGCGCTGTTCTGAACAGCTGTTGGCTCGCAGGCCGACAACGCTGGCACGAGGGCTCGCACAAGTGTCGCACAGGCAATCCTCGGGCGACGACGGCGGCCGGAAGAGCGGTCTGCGGACGACACGCGAGGGGCGCGAGGTCACGCTGGCGCCGTCTCCGTCACCGCTGCCCGACGGGAGCAGGTGCGTCGTTGCACGGCAGGCGGGCGACGTGGTTTTCATGTATCATGTATGCGTCTACAACGAGCAGCCGTCGCAGGCGGTGGAAGGGCGCGTTGCGCGTGGCGGCCGTGCAGTGCTGGAGCCCGTCTGCACGCAGCCGTCGGCAGGCCGCGCATCCCTGTGATACAGCCTGTTCCAATATGTGATCGGTGCAGGGTGGCGGGCATGCGGGCATGCCGTCGAGTCGGCGGCGGGAGGCTGCTCGCTGCTCGCTGCCGACGCCGCTCGCCTGACTCAGCAGCAGCGTCACTTGACGTCGTCTCGAAGCGCGGCTGGCGGACGGGCGCCGACGAGTTTGGGCGCCACCGCCCCCCGGGCACTCCCAACAACGGTAGACTAGTGCTGCGCACAGCGAACACACGCGGCCGTCGTGGTCGTTGTGCGGACGAGCCCCTCTGCGGCGGGCGCTAGCGTGCCGAAGCGAGGCGCGAAGCGAGGCGTGGGGCCCGCTGCTAGGCTGCAAGCGGCGCTTTTAGCGGCCCTTGCAGCCCATCGCGCCCGCCCGCGCTGCCAGCCCTCTCAGCGTGCCCCTCTACGCGCCCGCTCAATCCTCGCTGCATGTCGCCCGGCACCCTCCGCCTTCCCATTGGCGCCGCCCCCAGGCCCTGTCTGCCGCCCAACGCCCTCACTGGACGGCAGAAGCCCGCGCTGTGCTGTCTCTGCAGGCACTACATTCACCTCGTCGAACCACCGTCTCCCCCTCCGCGACCACCTCGGCGAGCCGCTACATTAACTCGACCAAGAGCCCTCCGCCCGCAGGGTCTGCTCTGATCTTCGACAGCTGTGCCGCAATCCTGCGCTCACCATGGTTGCATTACCCACCCGGAGCCCCAGATAGAACCCATCCGAGCACAGTCCTCCCACAGTGTCCCGGTGCACTGTCGACTGTCCCCATGGTAAGCCCGCCCTTCGCCGCCCTCTCGCTGCTCCCTCTGTCTGACCCTCGTATAGCTGGCCACCACGCCCATAACACCTCTTGAGCCCAGCGAAATGTTCGAGCGCGCCAAGTCGCAATCGCTCTTCGTCGGCGCCGTCTCTGCCCGGACTTCACTCGAGCGCCCGTCTTCTCACATCAGCGAAGCATATACCGACATTGAAGATGATTCGAGTGATTTCGAAGAGTATAGCCTTCGCTCCTCGGTAAGCTGTGCATCCAGAACACACGCGATCCCCACAATTGACACACCGCAGAACGACAATCGCAAAAGCCAGACTACCATCTCTACTTTTGAAGAGGTGCAGACCCCAAGAGACGAGATTCGACCCCAGTTCGCCGAATGGTACCTTCCCAAGCCCGTAGAGGGTCCAAGAGGGCCTCATCTATTTCGGTCGTCTCAGTCCTCAAGCGATTTCGACTTTGCTTTGCAGCTGTCCCCTTTGTTCCCCAAAGAGCCGTTGTCTCGCATCCAGACCTCGTTTCGTGGTGCGACTCCAGAGACGGTCGTTCCCAGAAGAGAGTACAACAACATTGCGTCGGCTGTCGCTCACCTTGATAGCACAGAGGTACGCGCGTGGACATCTCAAGAGGTCGCGACTTGGATGTACCAGAATGGCTTTGAAGACGACATCATCGACCGATTCGAGGCTCATGACATAACGGGAGCAGTCCTGCTTGACCTGCAGTTTGACGATCTGAAAGAGCTGGAGATCCAATCTTTTGGCAAGCGCCACGAGCTGTGGAACCAGATCGATTCGCTGCGGACATCCGAGGGTCTCATTTCGCCCGTGGCTGCAGCGCCCACTCCTTTCGAAGACATCGAGCGACCTTGCACAGAAGCAAGGCAGAGATCAAAGAGCAAGAACAGGGAGCGACGCCATCGTGACAAGTCGCGGGGTGTCGAATGCGATGGCGAGGATGCGAAGACGCCCATTACGCCAGGAGGTGGCCGAAGACGACGAGGTCGGCGACATCGAAACCCTGGTGACGACATCATCACACCTGCCGAGTCCGTATCCATTGTAGCCATTGAGCAGCTCCTGCCCAAGCCCCATAAGTGCGCCAAGGGCGAGCGGTGTGCTAAGTGGAGGAAGCAGCAGAGACAACTTGCGAGGCTCCAAGAGGAGCATGGCTTCCCAATTTCGCCCGAGAATGGGGGTCAGATATTCATTGCTGGAGATCCAGGAAATGCCGATATCGCAGCACGTGCGGTAGATGCAGTCTACCGTCCAACGTCAGATGCGATTCCATCTGTTGTGGCATCATCCGACTTGCTAGGTCCTGGCCAGCTGCCCGAGTTCGACTTGAAGGAAGATGCTTTGCAGGCAGTACAGTCGCGTGATCCTCAAGATAACGTTCGTCAGTTTCTTACCCTGCAAGGCGTTCAAAAGCCGTACACCACAGCAACGCCTATTGAGGCTCCCCCAACACCACCTGTGGATTTGTTTCCCCATCGACCATCAACCGCACAACCCTATCACTATTATCAACAGCACTCGGCTTTCTCGGCCTCTACATCGGCACACACTTCTGCTTCTTTCGACGTATCCACTCCCGCCCTTCATCCTCCAGAATTCACTCCTGCACCTCATTTCAATTTGAAAAAGCTGCCCAAGCTCAGCATCCCGCCCCCACGCTCCATGTCTGCAGGTCCTCAGTGCAACGGTGCACGTAGTGCTGTCCACGCCAGTCCGCAGGTGCCACCTGACACCGCCTTTTCACCATGCCGGACCGCATCTCCGAGTGGTGTCTACCGGTTTGGCACACCATTCTCCGAGATGGATGCTCCGGTTACAGCCATCCCAGCAGGTCCTGTCTCACGTGATACAAGCCAGTCGGTACCACCCAATATGCAGTACAGGGACCCCGTGCAACGAGTCGGGTCACGAATTGATTGGCGCCGACCTTCGTTACCTTTACCGGCGCTTAACGAAGACCAGGTGTTCAGCCCAACGGGTCCGTCCGATGGGGATTCTGACACGTTGAACGAGACGCAGTTCTCCGGGGAAGATAGCCCCGTGTCTGATCCCACTCTGACGGCGCTACCGGGCCGTGGTACTCTCAAGGGAGGATTCGTGTACAACGGCGTGAACCACCACGGCTGGATGAAGAAGCGGCGCACCAAGTTGCTCCGCCACGAGTGGCAGGACCACCATTTTCGCCTGCAGGGCACCACGCTAGCCATGCATGCGAACGAGCTACCTTCATCGTCCGCATTGCAGACCATCGACGTGGACGATTACGCTGTCGCTTGCTCATCGCTTGCGTCAAACAAGCTCTCTGCCAAACTTCGTGCGTTGAAGCTATCTTCTGGCCACAAGGAAAAGAACGGCGTCCCCGCTGCCTTCGAGTTCCAGCTTGTGCCAACGGCGCCCGGCAAAGGTGAGATTAGAAAGGTGTTACCCAATGGCAAGGTACACCACTTCGCTGTCAAGTCGCGCGACGGCCGCATCGACTGGATGCGCGAGCTCATGCTGGCAAAGGCTCTCAAGGCCAAGAGCGATGGCTACGCTGTTGTCATCAATGGTGCTGCTGTCTAGCTTTCCCCTTTCCTGCGCAACCTCGAAATGAACGCGCGAATTGTATTCGACGCTTGTCTCTTCTGTGTGCGATTCTTCTTCTCGCGAGCGTGCTAGCGATCATCCATTTCTGTTTTTACGACATCAATACCCCATGACTTTTACCTTCAAGTTACATTGACGACTTTCTCATATTTTCATGGTTGCTTTATTGGAGTCGACGAAGCTGCTTTTCACTCAACTCTCTTTTATCTGAGCAGCGGCATACTTTATTCAGTTTCACACTTTGAGAGTCGCGCTGGACCGCAAGGTTCGTTGAAGGAATAAACAATTTCTCGTGCATTTTGGGAGCTCATGTGTTCGTTTGAGGCTCAGGCCCATTGGACATAGCATGGTATACGGAACAATGGCGAACAAGGCATAACACTATTACCCCTATTTTCCCTGAGACGAGACATGACAACTGAATCAATTACTTCAAGTCGAGCCCATATCTCACTGGTCTTGCCAAATACCAAGTTAATTTGGGTCCTTTGCCTTCTTCTGGCTATGGTTATGTTTACGGATAAATGTGGCTGTGGTCGAAGCCATAGCATGATTGGTGTCCTATAGCATAAATTACCGTATTAAAGTCAGTTGTGCCGTAGCAAGGAACACATGCGCATGGCATTACAGGTTCGCTTATTGTCGTTTCATTCCGGTTGGGATGCAGGACTCTGATATTGAAGCTGAACGCGGGAGCGGAAGGAAGTCATGCTATGCAAGTGTCTGTCACATCACACTCTGGTGGAACCCGGTGCTGCCAGTGTATTTTACATCGGCTGGATTATCGACATATTAGTCCCCTCGCAACCATGAGTCCTAACAATAATGACGCGGTATCGGATGTTTGTAGACCAATCTGACGTCTAAACCTGAGTTTTGCGTTAGAAATCGATGTTGCAATGCACGCGAATCCTAGGCACATAGCTCGGTACCATATCTATGCAGCTGTATTGTTCATAGTAGAGGAAAAACCAGGGTGGAAGTTTGGGAAACTACACAGTAGGCGAAAGAAAGCAGCAACGGTGAACGGTGTCCAGCTGGCACTACTACTTGCTCTGAGCAGGCTTGGGGTTGACAAAAACTTGATGCGTGAATTGTCAGTGGCGTGCAAGAAAAGCCTACGGACACAAGAGACCATACCGATGTATTGAATAGTTTGAGCATCAGGTAGCGTTCGTAAACAACAATCGCTACTTGTGTATATGGAAAGCTCAACATGGCTTCCCAATTTTCCTCCATATCAGACCTAGCAAGAGATGGAAATCACACGTGCTTCTTCATTACATGTAACGTTAGAGCGATAATTGCATGGACCAAGGTTATATCTACTGTACGCTTCTACTCCAAGCAGCTCCAGATATGTTGCGGTGGTAGTAATTCTAGCTCTTTCTCAAGCGAATCCACAACTCGACCTCTATCTTGCTACCACGGAAGTGACCGCAGATAATGGCTTTCTTCCGCTACGTTGTGTCGCTCCTAGCTACGATGGGCCATGGCACCCGCAGGCGAGACAGTTCGTCAACACCACGGTTCGGCTGAGAGTATTGATTTCGGTCAGTCAAGTTGGTTTGAGTGGATCGCATGGCTGGATATAGGGAGGGAGGGTTGGCCTGCAGCGCTACACATGATTCAATGGCCTATATTCTGTAGGGTAGAAGCCTAGGATGACGCATATAGAGTTTTCATACGTGAATCGATTAGGATTAAGACGCGATCGAAGGTCACCATCATCGAGAAAGGGGGACAGGAGAGCGATTTATATTGGCCGATAGGGATAAACCTTATATTATGGCAAAAGACTGGCTTTGTTCCCGTCAAGATAGATCACTACGGTGCGCTGTCGTGATAGCGTCCCAAAACCAGTCTGCTCACATACGCCTTCCGTCTACCGGCTACCAGAAAGACATACAGCGAGCCAATTTGCAAGGAACTGATTGCACAAATAATTTTCGAAATGTATAGACATGTTGCTGCTCAAAAAGTTGGGCTTCGGAAGTCGATAGAGGCATTCCGGATAGCGTCAAGGACGGTAGAAGCAAATTGTGTGTTGAACAGCCGAAGGTAGGTCCACATCACCATATCAAGCCATCCCAAGGGTCCGACGAGGCGCTCTACGAGCAAGGCATACCGGGGAAGCGGCAATTCGGGTCGGCATCTGGATCAGCCACTGGTTCGGCTTCGGCCTCAGCTTCGCGCTTTCCGATGGGCTGGCCAGGGAGCCTACGCCTGTTAGCACCCTTTCTAATGTACCGAACGTCACCTCGTTTACCTCTTAAAGCCAGAGCCCCAGCCAGCATTAGCCTCAGCATCGCGCGAGCATGGCATGCCTGGGAAACGGCAGTTTGGATCGGGGAGGGCTGCACCGTAGACGGCAGTGCCAAAGATGACGGCAACAATGACGGTCGTGAACTTCATGGTGATGAATGTGGGCCGAATGGACAGTTGTAGTTGGAGATGCGTCGACTTGCGAAGGACTGGAGTTGATGTCGATGCCGGACCTGAGGTGCTTGGAGTCAAGGGGTATTTATGTTTTCAAGAAGACTTGGCTGGTAGTGGGAACTTGATAGTAGCCTGTCTCGTTACATGATGCTCAATGGCGCTCGTAGTGGTCAATAAAGGGCATATAGACATGCGGGGTGAATAGAGGCGGCAGGACGCTCACACGTGGCCCATGCTCCTATTGAGGTTCTATTGAGCGTCCGCGTTCACTGGCAGCCGACGAGTTCCCCTGGTGTAGGATCATCGGTCGCTCTCCTCGACTGCTGCAGCTTCTCATGGAGGCTTGCTGTGCAGACGACCTGAATGGTTGCCACCAGCAAGGAAACACATGGCGTCTGTCGAGCATTGGCCCGGGCATGGAGGAGGCGTCGAGACGGAGGAGAAGATGGTGAAAGGTGCAAGGCGGAGGCTTGCCGTTTTGGGATCTGAATAGGCACAAGATAGCCCGAGTATTGGCAGCGAAGCTGTCATCTGCCAGATGCATCCCGAGAGCGCGGTTAAAAGGTTCTCGACGGGAGTTGTGGGCTTCGAAGGCGCCCCGCGTGTGCAGAAGTCGTCAAGCGACGCAGGCCGTGGTGTAGAAGCCGCGGCGCAGGCCGGCGTGTGGTTCATTTGCATGCGGGTCACGTGCACGTCCGAGCGAGGCCGGGCCGGAGCCGTGCCGTCGGACGCGTTTGGCAGACAACGCCGGAGTCGAAGCTGAGCTGGAGCGCAAGACGCAGCAGTGGAAGAATGCGCGCACGCCTCGCCCACGCAACGGCGGCTGCGCCCCGGAGCGCCTGGCCACCGCAGTCCCGCCCACAGGCATCGTGGCCACGGGCGTGGACCTGCAGCTCCTGCGCGCGGCGCCCGTTCGCGTCGCAGCAGCAGCAGCAGCAGCAGCAGCACATGGCAGCTGGCGACCGCAAGCCGTACTACATCACCACGCCCATCTTCTACGTCAACGCCGGTTCGCATGCCCCCATGACCCAGCCCTGCGCAGCACGCCGGGCGGCTAACACTGGGCACCAGCGCCGCACGTCGGCCACCTCTACACGCTGGTGCTGACCGACATCCTCAAGCGCTGGCGGGTGCTCAAGGGCGAGACGGCCCTCATGTGCACGGGGACCGACGAGCACGGGTTGAAGGTGCAGCGCGCGTCTGCAAAAGCCGGCATCGACCCGCAGCTGTTCTGCGACCAGGGCGCCGCCCTCTTCAAGGAGCTCGCTGCCAGAGCCCTCGTGTCCCACGACCACTTCGTGCGCACCACCGACGCCGACCACAAGGACGCCGTCGCCTATGCCTGGTTCCTGCTCCACGAGAAGGGCCTCATCTACACCAAGAAGCACGAGGGATGGTACTCGGTCGCCGACGAGGCCTTCTACCCGCCGTCGGCAGTGCAGCCGCACCTCGATCCGCCCACCGGCCGCAAGATCATGGTCTCGGTTGAGACGCGCAGCGAGGTCGAGTGGTCGTCCGAGGAGAACTACCATTTCCGCCTCTCCCACTTCCGCGGCCCGCTGCTCCAGTTCTACCGCGAGAACCCAGAGTGGATCACCCCCGCCCACCGCATGAAGGACGTCGTGCACGCCGTCGAGTCGGGCCTGGAGGACTTATCCATCTCCCGGCCCTCAGAGCGCCTCGCCTGGGGTATCCGTGTTCCCCAAGACAGCTCGCAGACCATCTACGTCTGGCTCGATGCCCTCATCAACTACGTCACGAAAGCCGGCTACCCCTGGGCTCCGGGTCGCGACCACGCCGGCGGCTGGCCAGCAGACTGCCATGTCATCGGCAAAGACATTGTCCGCTTTCACTGCATCTACTGGCCTGCCTTTTTGATGGCGCTCGGCCTTCCGCTCCCCAAGAGAATACTCACCCACGCCCACTGGACTCTGGGCGGCTCCAAGATGTCAAAGTCCACCGGACGAGTTGTCGATCCATTTCTTGCTCTGGACCGATTCGGCCCAGACGTAATGCGCTGCTACCTCGCGCACGACGGCGGTATCCAAGACGATGGCAACTACGACAACACCCAGATCATCAAACTGTACAACAACCTCTTGTGGGCTCAGCTCGGCAACCTCCTGTCGCGCGTTACACGAGGCAAGAAATGGAGCGTACGAGGCGCGATCCAACGTATCGGCCCCCTGCCTGCTTCGGACTGGGCAAATGACCAGGGTTCAGAATTCCACAGTACCTTGTTAAAGTTTCCTTCCAACGTTGCAGAGTCGTTAGATGCACACGACCCTCGTCGCGCTATTCGCATCATAGCGGACTTGATCCGATCAGTAAGTGTTGCATCCATGCCGTCGCCGCTGCTTTCTAACCGTCTTCAGTCGAATCAGTATGTCCAGGTGTCCGCCCCATGGCAAAAGATCCTCGACTACGGCCCTGGTGAGCCTGGCGAAGAGGTTGACAGAATTGTGTACCTAGCAGCAGAGGCTTTGCGCATGGCCGGTATCCTCCTGCAGCCGTACATGCCGAACAAGGCGAAGACTATGCTTGATCAGCTAGGTGTCGACGATGCACGGCGCACATTTGAATACTGCGCCGTTGGGCGTGATCTGCATTATGGAGCACCGACAGTCGAATTGGGTGTGAAATATGAAGGTGCGTTGTTTCCGCCCTTGTCGAGCGAAGAGTAGTAGACTCCGTTGGCTCCGCGCTTCTTGTACAAACATGACATGTAATATAAAACCGCGTCCATTATTATGCGATGAGGCCCGGTGCTTTGCACCGACACTTGTATCATTACTGTGAAGTACGTTGAACCTGTAAGGATGGATTTGTTTGTTGGACCACCTGTAGATTGGCAATTGCGAGAAAGTTGATAGCAGCTCAATGACCCATTTAAGTGCTGAAACGCTATTGGATGCTTGAGCAGGAAGACCCTATGTGTGCACTTTGAGAACTCTATTTCTCACCCACATATGTGGCGCTTTTGGGAGTTCGTTCTCAATCACAAGTGAGTTGTTGCGCATGATGAATACTCTCGCACGCTGCTGTTTTTTTTTGCAAGGAAGGCGCAACCGAGTGTCTCGCGATCAATTGCCTCGCCAGCACACCTCTCATGCTCTTTTCTCTCAACCCACATACCACCTCTCGCCACAGTAGCTCAGCCTTGTATCACCATCGTTACCATTTCCACCGATATCTAGCTGCGGACCTTGCATGTACGGCATACGTCCGCGCGGACGCCATGGCTTTCAATTGGGACAAGCTTTGCAAGGCACAGCGCGACTACCCGAGACCAAAATTTGCCCTCGATGCAGTCGGCAAGCTCCTTAAGAAAAGGCCGACCGACCCATACCTCTTGGTACGTCTGCGGTAGTGGAATGGTTCTGATGTGGCGTCCGCTACCTTTTGCAAAAGCTAGACCTGACACGTGCAGGCATGGAAAGCGTCCACTTTGCTCAGGCTTGATCGTCGCGCAGACGAGGCTCTTTCCCTATGGATAAACCTCTGTCAACAACAGCCTCCAATTACTGACCTGAACCTACTTACGTTCATCTATTACGGTATCCTGAAAGCTTCGCGGCAAATAAACCCGAGCTTCTCAACTTTATCCTCGGTCGGCGCAGAAGGGTTGAAAGCATGGCAAAACGCAGCAAAGTCCCTTTCTAACCGGAAGGCGAAGCTGAAGCTGTGGTCTGAATTGTTCATCGTCGCTATGAAAGAAGAATGCTGGGAGGATGCTCGGCTGGTATGTGGGCTGCGTAATACTCCTTATGACATGGCGTCTAATGTGCTGCAGGCGACTATGCAAGCAAACAAGGAGGGCATTGATCCTAAATACCGGAAAAACTTATACTACTCCTTGATATTAGTATATCAGCTAGCTGGCGAGAGGAAAGCCGACGTGTCCCATAAAACAGGAAAAATCGACCAAGGCGTTCAAATCCAGCTTACCCTCGCCCAAAGACAAATGAAAGATGCCTACGACAATGCACCCAAGTCCACGGTGAGAAACACCCTCCACGTTCCGCGATCGATCGTTGATCATTAGACAGGATGAAGTCATTCAAGTTGCGACCATGAGTGATCTCCGTTTCATGGCTGCGATTTATGAACGCCAAAATCGCTGTGGGGAATTGTTCCAGCTATGGGCTAATCCGCCTCCCGCCGTGAAGAAAATCATCGACGGCGCTTCCTGGGACTTTGCGTTGCTTGGCATAGAAGTTGCCCACCAACAGAAAGAGTGGCAGCTCGTCGAAACGAGATGCTACCAACTTATCGACGAGATTTGGCAATCTGGCAATCCGATGACCGGTGACCCTTCTGTAGTCAGTGTAAAATTGTTCAACATCTGCACCATGTGTTGGACAATGTGGAAAAGCCTGCTTAACGCAACTGCCGGTCTTTATCCCTCTGCAGAGTAAGTGCTAGAGGATTTGTATGTTCAGTCAAACCACAGCACGCTGATTAGTATCAGAGGTAGATTCAAGATCGAAAAGTTATATTCCAGTGTCTGGAATTCCCTTCCCCCACTGGACCCGCGAACATACAGAGCTATTGGCCTAACGCGATTAACGTTGGAGTCCTACCTCGGTCATCCAACACTCGACACCATCACACAATTTTACATTATTTGCTTCCGCAATCCGAGCTGTTTCAAAGATCTCCACCGATTTGTGACTCTCCTGTCTGCGGAAGAACAAAGAACATTTCAGAGCTCAATCAGCAAACACGCTCAGAAGCTGGGGGCCATGATGAAAGAAAATGAAGACGGATCATCAGAAGAAGACATCAGAGTACGCCATACACTCCGTCCGTGTCCATGACTAACCACTTCACAATGCAGAACATCCGACTGTGGCACGAGGCTGAGACCACAGTATTGAAGTTCGAGCTCTTAATGATAATGTCACCACCTAAAGAGCCTGATCTGACATTGCTCGAAAATTTTGTTGAGAACGCCCTTAGGCTTTGGCGCCTCCAATTGGCGGTTGAGGCGACAGATGCGGTCTGTGGCTCTGACGCCTTTCTCCTTGCAGTCGAAGGCCTCGTATACTTGTTTGAGTCCACGTCGCTCCTAGAGTATCTCTACCAAGCTGCGGTGCTTACAAGACACGCTATATCGCTTGATAGGCAACAGTACGGCAGGGGCTTGGCTTTGCTTTCGACGCGACTCCATCTGCGACTCGGTTTGGGTACCATTGCTTTTGAACATTACAATCGCGTACAAGTCAAAGAGATGCTGCACGACAATGTCGCCTGGGTGCCCCTGTCGCGGATCTCTCAATCTCACCCATTTGGTGCGAGTGGCCCAAGAGGGTTTTCAGCTGACAATGAGTTAGAAAAGGTCATCTCCACGCTTTCGCGCATGGAGAACAAGATTGACGACTTGCTGTATGGGGATTTGCAGCATTTCATGTACGACAAGGCTTTCGATCTCCTAGAACTCAAACGAAAACTACGTACTAGCTTGACAAAGCATTTCTGCATCATCGAGCGACGGCGTATTGCTCGATTGGCAGGGGCGCCTGTGGACACAAACCTTGATTTACCTTTGCGAAGTAAGTGTTTGCTTTTATCCGAATCTTGTGACTTATCCCATTTTAACCGCTCCGCAGATTATGAGGATATATCGGACAATTGCCATTGGGACGCAGTCCCTGCACTACGTAACACAAGGCCAGTTGGGCTCAAAAACACTGACTTGATCTCACCTATCACCAAGCTGTGGGTACATAGCTTTCGTTCACTGATTGATGTTGTGAATGGTATTGCGTTCAAAGAATTTCCTACGGGACATGTGAGTAAGATCCATGATTAAGGGGATAAAACAACTGCTTACAGTGCTTGACACAGCAGGCATTTTCTTCTTGTGAGCCTTTCGCACAAACTATAAACAGTTCGAATGCGGGAATCGAAGAGCCTGACAACGGAGCTCGGTTCAGCAAAACGGAAACTGGTCTTAATGAATTCTACTGGAAGCCAATAGCTTGCATACTGCAGAAAATATTCCCAGCAGGTATGTAGGCACTAGAGATTTAGATACCAACGTTATCTAACAACGCTCTCAAACTAGAAAAGCTTCCTATTTGGTCGGAGATGGGGTCGCTCGAAGAAGCATTCCAACGTGAGTTTCCGTCGGGTCCCGATGGTGATAACGTTAACTTGGCTGATGTATATTGTAGAGATTTTCAGCCAACTCGAGATTGATACGAGCGAGCTTCATCCAAATCTACTGCACGACGACAACGCCGACTTCGTCGGAGCACCAAATCTTACTGAAGATGGCCTCAATGCTGTCTATGGACGCTTGGAAGTGCTAAGGACTCTTGATCGACTGCTCGACTTTATGCGACCAATTTCGAAAGCACGAACCCATGCGCTCCATAAAGATATCACCGTCGCCAGGTGTGACCTTCTTCATACCTACATTACCGAATTTTTTCGACTGCACAAAATTCGTATAGAGATGTTGATGGGACGGCTTCATGTGAGCGGCGGAGCTCATATCCGGGCACTGTTTAGGTGCAAAAAAACGGGAGCGGCAGTGAACGGGATGATAGCCGAGGAGACTTTGAATCGTTACTCCAAAGAGTATGCTGATTCGGCCATCGAGGCACTGAAAGGTGTCTTGAAGGTAAATTTGGGCTAGGGTTTTCCGGCGAACCTGTATGGCATACTCCCAATAGACGTTTCCCCTCAGTCAGGGGAACTATATGCGATCGATCTTATAATGGCAAAAGCCAGCATTGGGCAGGTCCCAATTGTGCATTTCAGCACTTGGAAACAATGCACATCGCGTCAAATCTGCGCTATTGCGGGTGATTTTTATCTACTCGAGGAACATGGCTTTCATACAACCACAGAGCGCGTTGGTACCGCACGCACCACTCCGGATGAGTTCATCCGCAACCCAAGCCAACTCGTTAGCGCCCGCACCCATCACAATCATAACCTCGATTACAGCCACTACCATAAGCAGCGCTGTTACCACGACTCTGAGAAATCCTGCCTGTCCAAGAAAACCTTGTCGAACCCTGTGTCCTGGTTAAGGTTTTTGTACGAATTGTCAATCATGGACAACCACGTTTTCACTTTCCCACTGCTTCGTCCTGAGACAGGCTCTAACAAGCAGCCTTACCTCCGCCTCCTCATCTTCATCAACAAGAGAAAAAGCATCTCGCAAGAAGCCTTTCATGTTTGGTGGCGCAGCGTGTAGGTTACGCCCGGTTGTCGGGTAGAGTATCTTACACAAGAGGTGCTTTGATCCGACCCTGCTGGCCGATGCTGACTTACTACACGCGCATTTAGGCATGCTGATCTTGCGGTTGCGGTTGAAGGGTTTGGCGGGGTATGTTCGAGATACGTACAGGTACTTCTCCCTGCTGGAATTGGCTGTTCCGATTGTTACGTGGAGTAGTAGGTGGGGCAAGGAGGTACTGATGACCATGGTAGATGCACACGACGCCAGAACACAAAGACCGACTTGTCAAGTGCGGCATGCAGCCCCTACCCTTTGACGGTATGGGCGAAATGCACGTCCGTAGCCTGGATGACTGGGTTGCGTTCCAGCGAAGTGCGGCGTTCGTAAAGGCAATGGGAGGTACTTGTCCCAAACCTTTCCCTACTTACATAGTACTAAGCGCTTAGACGATGCGGCGAACTTTATGGAAGGAGGGGTCAGCGTTATGCTAGGGTATGACTGCTTGATCTATGGAAAGAGTGTGGGTGCCGAGGGAATGGATGGCATCCTACCTGTAATTACGAAGGCGAAGGCGAAGCTATGAGAGGTCACGATCCTGGGCATATTTGCGAGTTCACAGACGTTTGCAGGAACAGGGACCAGGCACTGAATGGTAGGACAAGAATGCATTACATTTCTCTCGATCGCTGAATCAACGAAATCTTCCTCTGTATCATTCCATTGCGGTCTGAAGCAATTACTCGACGGCAAGTAAATCAAATATGCTTCCAGTGCAGTGTTGTTTTGACAGCCAAAGAAGAGTAGCAAGTCAGCGAAGACCAACGCTGGGGGAATCTCAAAGAGCGCTCGAATAAGATGAACGAAACAAGGGGGACAGCTCGAAGTCTCTCATAGAGAAAGACGATAGATTTGCAAATGCAATAAGGTATCCAAGAGCGAGGCGCGCAACAGGTGAGCTGCATCGCCCAGAATGTCCAGGACAATCGGAATTACATGGGTGAGGTAAAGTGCCCACCCTTCCGGATGGTATTATATGATGACACATCTAAGGGTCCGCGGATCCAGTCCTAGTCCCGTAATAAGAATCGAAAATTAGAGGAGACACGAGTAGTAGTGTATGGTTCTTGCGTAATAACCCGCACAGGGTTCGTAAGCCTGGAGGATTGAATCCTCTTTCGTAAGGGAGGGGGGGTTGTAAGGATATCAGGCTGCCTCAATCAAAAGCGGTCTCCTCACGGATCAACATAGGGTTGCTGCGGTAATCTTCCTTATGACGAGGTGGGTTGGAGCCGTTGGAGCCCTTCCGTTGACCCATGCCCACGTTCATCAAAAGCATAGAACTTTCACGACGCTTTTGCTTTTGCTCGCGTACGCCCCCAGACTGCCTTGCACTAGTCAAATTGCCATAGCCCTCTGCACCGTGGTACTGCTGTTCGTAGTTGGGCGAGTCATAACTGGGACGACCTGGAACAAACCCAGTGTCATAGCTGGCATGTTGGGCGTAATGTTGATGCTGCTGAGGCGGCTGAGGTGGCGGATAGGTGGGAGCGTTACTCATAGGGAAGGAAGATGGTGGCCGTCCGTTCCATTGTTGTTGGTTCAGAGCCACCTGTGGTTGGATGGACGAATCATGATAGGCGGGAGTAGGAGCGTCGGAGAATTTTTGCTGTCGAGGCGACCGATTTTCGTCATCAAGATGACCATTAATGCGGGTTTCTTGGTCCTGGAGGCTTGCGTCATCAACAGCCATACCAAAAATGTCTTGGTAGTCCGTCAGGAAAAATGAAATCAGTGGTGCTGGAATGTTCAGTGTTGGGGCAAAGACAATTCCAACATTTCGGACAGTCATCTTATTGACACCAGCATTGTCCACAATTTCGATCAGGAACGATGACATGTGTCGTAAGAGCTCAAAATTCACTCGTGGTAGCTTGTGCACAAGCACGTTGAACGCCTGAATCTTCTTTGAGCGCTCATCCAAGTCTGATGAACTGATTAGCTTCGCATTGATGACACATTAGGTATATGCTTACCGAGGACCTTGAGAAAATCTAGATGCAATTCTCGGGTCAAGATGGATGCAGGGAGTTCGCGCAGAAACAGCTTCAGAAGAGACGCCACGGCGTGAATGTCATAGTATTGGCCATCAAGGAGCTTCACGTCCCCTTCGGTGTTGAATCGTTCTCGGAGCGCGCGAATCACTATGTTGGAACCGCTGAGTCGGAATATGCCTTCCTCGTTAATGGCGTTTTTTGCTCTCAAATATTCCAGGCTACGGTATACGACAGACGGAATAGGATCGTTGAGTCCTATAGGCTGAGTGTACTCCACAGCTTCCGCCAACGGGATTCCAAATACGTTGCGGTTCTGTTGAATGACACGATCTGGCGCACGCTGTTGATGAAGGGAGGGTTCGTGCATGGGGTCTGGACCACGAGGTCTCGAGGATCCGAAGCCAAAAATGCTGCGCTTTTTATCCTTGATAGCTGTTGGAACGGCCACTGGCTTGTTGCCCCAGTTTTCGAGGTTTTGAATCGGTGCACCATTGGTTGGACCGGATATAGACGGGTACTGTCGAAGAGCTTCATGTGAAAACGATCCCGCTTTGGGGGACTGTCCGTGGCCATCTTTGGCTTCACGATGACTGGGACCACGCATCGGCGCCTCTGCGGCAACTGTATCGTCGTAGCTCAGAGCTTGCACTCTGGTGGACCTGTCCTGATCAGGGCTTTCCTTTCTTCTCGACCGCGATGCATCTTTCCCTTGAGCCTTGGTGAGCACCGCTGGCTTAGCCGGCACCGGCACCTGCCCTTCCACTGGGGAAGACTCTTCTTGCCAGTCAACGTGTTGTAGTAATGCTTCGACCCACGCGTCTCTTTCCTCGTCGCTTTCCGCACAGAGAACGTGTCGTACTAGGCTTGAGGAGTCCTTCCGCTTTGGCTCTAGAATGAGAAACGCGTGTCGATACTGGTTGTCCTCCGAATCGTCACGTCGTTGAGGAGACTGATTGGATTGCTGTTGCGATTGTTTTCCAATCTGGGCGTTCAGTAGTTTGATGGTGCCCAGATGTGCACCACCCGCCATTTCGTAGTACCTGAACTCAGGACCATCGAGTACAAAGTGGCGCGCTTTCCAACCTCCAAAATTCTTTCCACGCTTCGTAAGATACCCCTCCTTGATCTGCCTGCCCTTTGGTGCGGGTGCAGCTTGTGGAGCAGCTGGCTCGGGAGCTAGAGCATCTCCGTTTTGGGCGCCCATGACGTCCGTAGAGAAGAAATCGCAAACAACAAGGGCAGCTTGCTCATTCATTGGGGTCTCTAAAATGGTATCAAAATACTGGTTCAGAGCCACCCTTCTTGCATCAACTCTTGCAGGGGCATGGCCGCTGAATAAGGCTCGATCGGGAAGCTTCCCTGTGAAATCGCACAGCGACTTCAATTGGGCATCTAAAGCAGGTAGTGCAACAATGGTTTTCTCCATACGCCATAGCTGCTTTCCATCTGACCGTGCATATATTGCAAGGTGGAAGACCGGGTCCTCTTCTTGAGGTTTAGGGGCTAGGAAGCTCATGCGAGACGGTCTAAGCCGGGAAGATGATACCTTTACTTCAATGGAAGGGAGGGCATTGGGGGGAAGTAAGAGATCAGGATATTGATCAGACACCAGACCGCGGTACACATGTTCTGAGCTCGACGGATCGCCCACGTCGGGGCTTAGCTGAGCTGAAGACGGCTTCAAAAGATCTAAGCCCAGCGTTTGCTGTTTGGCTTGCGCAGGGGCTTCCGGTCGTGCTGTCTGGGGTGAAGTGTACGACTGAGGAGTGTTTGGTGGCAGCGGAACCGGTTGCCGCGGCGCCCGCGTCGGGGGCATTCCGTTAGGTGCGCTCCTTGGGGACATGGGCGGTGAAGCCGGGGCCAGTTTCGGATTCCTTGGCAACGGTGATCCAAGCGGTCTGTCTCCAGGGCGAGGACTTGTCGGCAGGCCTGGACTCATGAGAGGCGAGGAAACAATGCTCCGTTGTGCTACCATGGAGCTGTCCGAGTTGGCCGGGCTCAGAAGAGCATTGAGAGAGTTGGCAGGCGGATGTCGTGGCGACAAGGGAAGACCAGTTTGAACGGGGCTGAACTGACGGGGCGACAGACTGGCTGTTGGCGGCTGCTCAGCGTCCTCAGTTGCTTCGGGAGAAGAGACAGTTGATTTGCTCTCACTCTTCTTCTTCTTCGATTTGCTGCGGGTTTCTTCCTCCTTAAGCGCTATGGCTTCGCGCATTCTGTCGTCTTCTTCACGCGTCTTGCGCCTGCCTCGCTCGAGAATTGGGATTTCATCAACCTCGAGAACGTCGTCGTAATCGGAGTCATCGTGCTCTCCGGGGTCTGCCTGGAGCAAGTGCGCGCTCGTCTTCACGGGCTTGGACAAGTTGAGCGGAGCCGGGGGTGCCTTCCGCAACGCTTGCGCAGGTTTCGATGCAGGTGCTTCAAATCCGTCTCCTCCAATCACTGGCGTTGCCTGAGTGAGAGACAACTGGGGCGCCTGCAGACCGCCTTCAGCGGCAGAGACGTCCCTCAGAAGTGTCGTGGCTCGGGGAGATTGAAGGGGCGACTCCACGATAGGGTCGCTCTCGACGACGACAGTGCCTAGACCAAGGCCCTTGTTAGCAATGGTAAGTGGCTTTACCGAAAAGTCGGTTGGGGAGTTCACTGCCGAGGGAGGACTGGACGCTGTGTGGGCGTCGGACGAATGGCTTGGGGATTGTGCTAGCTGCGAGTCGTGGAGCAGCTGAGCGGCAGAGGTTTCTTGTGTAAGCGGCGATGCTTTGTGTTCGGCAGGCTTTGCTGCGGCGTTTGGCTTGGCAAAGTCGTCCGGTGTCTCGCTGGGGGCCGGCGACTGGCTTTCGTCACGTTCCACGACCGAGTCGAACGTGTCGGACCTTTGCGGCGCGCCGGGAATCGGTGGCACCTGGTTAGTGTAGTCTTTGAGCTTCTTCCGGTAACGGTCCTTGTCCTTCAAAGCGCGCTCCAAGTCCTTCTGCAGACCGATGATCATGGCGCGCTGTTTCTCGACCAACCGCCAGAGCTGGGTGCTGTGGCTGGACGCACTCTGCTTTTCCTTCCACAAAGACAGCAGCGCAGCCTCGGGAGACCCAGCCGCGGCGATGAGCGCGGCCATGTCGGGCGGATTCGCAGTGCTTGCGTCCTGCGACGGTTTCGGCCCATGGTTTGCGGCGCCTCTGAGCGAGTGTGAGGCGCTCGACATGGACGATGTGGCCGAGTCTATCGAGGGGTTGCGTGGGGGTGCTGGGCGTTGTTCTGGTCTGGTTGATCGCGACGCAGGAGGCATGGCGACGGGCGATGCTGGGGGCGAGGTGCCAGCCGAGGACGGGACGGGGGACGAGGCGCTTCGTAGCTGGGCATACGCGGAGGGTCTGGCGGGCTGGGTGCCGCCCCGGGGGGATGTTCGCGGGGTGGAGGGCGGTGGTGGAGTGCGAAGGTCCTCGTCGGCCAGCAAGGCGTCAAGCCTGTCGCGAGGAGAGCGCGGACCGTCGTGGTAGAGCGGGCGGGCGGCGAGGAGGCGTGGTGCGTGGGCTCGCAGCTCGCGCAGGGAGCCCGTGGGCGCTGTGTCGTGGGCCACGGCCGCGGTCGGGTGCGGTGGACTCGCAGCAGCGAGGCGCTGGCCAGGACACGCCGCGGACGAGGGCGGGGCAGGGTGCGGGCGCAATGTCGCGCTGGGCGAGGGCGAGGGCGAGGGCGTGCGAGAGCCCTGCTGCTGGGGAGAGCGGGCGGGTCGGGGCGTTGGAGAGAGAGGCTGCGAGAGCGAGTGCCCGGCGTGGTGTGCACGTCGCTGGAGCATGGCTTAAACGAGCCTAGCACGGCAGACGAGACCAGGATGGCGACGTCGGCAACGAGGCCTGCGGTCGCTAGACTGCAACTGACACAGTGGAGTGCGTCTCGCAATGTCTGCTGCGCTGCGCTGCTCCGGGGCTGGGACGGGGACGGCTGCGTGCCGCGCATTGAGCGTCCACGCGCACCGTCGGCAGCGGAATGCGCGTGCAGTGCACCGCTCACAGCGCCCGTCTGGCTGTCTGGGGGATCCATCTTTCCACCGCCAGAGTCAGGTGCCTCTGGCCGCCCACGCGAGGCGCCCCGGAGCCACTGGCGCGGTGATGTGCCGGACGGGCCTGCGACTTTGATGACCATGCCAGCGCCCGCCCGCCGCTCGTTCCTGCGTCCCATTCTTGTCCCCAGCCGAACTGCAGGGCTCCTGGCGCCATGCTCCGCACGGGTCTGCTCAGCTCTGCTCTGCTCTGCGCCCTCCAAGGCTGGAATGTGCATCACCCATAGCTCGGCTGCGTGGGCGGCAGCCCTTGGTGCTGGCCGTCGCCGCAGCGGACCCATGTGGCTGTCTACTGCTGGGCGACGGTGACCGCGTCGGCACACCTGTCAGTGGCCAGCGCCCGCCGAGTGCTGCCACCCCTGCTATAGCAGATTGCGAACCTGTGCGCTCCCTCCAGGCCGTCCAGCGCGTCAGGCGGTGAGCTCAAAGCACTTGCCTGGTCTTGTTCTGTAACCTGATTGGCGTGGACTGTGACGGCTGTTGGTGTTCGACACCACAGCAGGCGTCGCGAAGCTTTGCCAAGAAGCGGACCCCGCCCTCGTATGCAGGGGCATCACTGCAGGGCCCCCATCGTCTCATTCGTCGCCGCATCTTCTGCGTGCAATTTCCAGACGACGGCGCCACGACGCTTTGTGTTTGAAGACTACCTGTGCAACCACCCAGCAAGCGCGCTGCAGCAGGCGGCTGATTAGAACAATCGCATTGTGGAAACAAGTCTGCAAATCTCGTGCGATGCCTTCTGCCAGTGCATTCTTGCAGGTGCTTCAAGGACCAGCTGGCCATCACACACCCACTGGGCTCGAGGATCTAGGCAGTACATGCATGCACTCTACCCCAATACACAGGCGAGAAACCTAGCCGCCGCCGCAGCTTGACGCTTGGTATGCCGTACGGGTAGTGCGCCCGACCCCCAGTTGCCCTTTTGTGTTATTGAAATATCCACCGATGCCCGCTTGCACTAGAGGTCAATGGTCCAATTCCATACAGACCTTGATGCATGAGAAGTAGACGCAGCTGTGGAGAGTGTTCCTTGCCCGCGCCCAAGCGGCACTTAAAGCATCTCTGGCACACGGCATGCCCTCATATGTTTAGCAACGTGCTGTCCTAAAGATCAACTCGAGTCAACCATGTCGGTATCCCCACCGGTTTTCTCGGAATTTGAGGTAGCATCTTGCAGGAACCCTTATCTTCCGGCACATCACCCGTCCGCATTGCTGCCAAGCCTGTTACATTCCCAAGTCATGGCGATCCCCAAACCACTGCGCCTCCAGCGGATATCGCTATACCGTATTGGCGCCTGGATCGACTTGCATGCAAGCAACGAACGGGACCATTGTACTTGAGCGCTTCTAACTGCCCGCTCAAGTCTCGACTCAAGTCTCGACTCCAGTCTCAAGAGCCCTGGGATGCATGTCTAATGTCGCGTTATCTTGAAACAAGCCATCAACGTAGACGCCAGTTGGAGCCGTGCTGACGAACGTTCCAAGGCATCCGTGTGGCACCACAGAGCCCATGCAAATAGGTAGCATAAGAAGCTGCCTAAAATGTCCCAACGATGCAAACGAACGTCTACAGTGAACAGTACCACACCTCGGTCACTTTGCTAAAAGCGAAGCAGTGCTTTGTTCTTTTCATCTAGTTTCCACGTCCGGATGTCTAAATTACAACATGGAGGAAGAGGTACCATGAGCCGTTCACTAATCACATGTACGTGTTGCTCAAGATGACTGCCGTTACCTCCAGTACCCTCTGCTCTGCCCGGTCCAAAGATAGAAGTGTGATCTCAAGGAGGGTCATGCTCCGTTCGGTCATACATCTGAGCAGGAAGCCGTCTCGGGTTGGAAGGACGCGTTATGTTTTTGGCTCAAGGATTTCCACAGACACAAGGTGTCGTTCTCTATAAGTGCCGGTTTGCCCCCGCCGCGTCTGGTGTTTCCCTTCTGTATGACACCTGGTGTTATGCGAGTCACTACTGCTAAAGATCCGGCGATCTAGTCGATAGCAAGGCTGGGAGGAACGTGCGGAATATACGATGATGGCCACCTTTCCCGAGGGGTTCAAAGGGTAGGTTGATGTTATACAATATTATACAATGTCATACAATATCGTGCAAGGCGGGTCGCCATCTTTACATCCCCAATCTTCCGTCTCCGCCTCGGAGCGTCCTGTTCAACTTCCTCGCAGTCGCAATCTAGGATGATCAGTCTCTCTCCAGTGTCCCAGACACCATGCACTCACCTGTGTTCTCGTCCGCTGTCCGCGCACGGGCAGCCCCATCGCATGTCGTCGTCCTCGGTACGATCCCATATCCTTCAATCGTATGATGCTGTCCTGGATCTCTCTTCGTAGGTCGTTTTCGATCTTCATGTTTGACAGCTCGGCAGTCAGGTCGAGGAGAGTGCTGGCCTTGAGGCTGCCGACCTTCGCCCAAGGCTGGATGTGGAAGCGCGCCATGATGCTTTGCGACACTTTAGGGCCGATGCCAAAGAAAGTCTCGAGGGATCGCTGCGCAATCGTTAGCAATCGTCGGATACGAACTGCAGCAATAATATACCTTGACGAGCGTCCCTTCGGTGAAGTTGATATTGGAGATGAAAGGCTATACTGGGTCAGCGCAGCCTGTTATCAAGCGACGGTTCCATACCATGTCGTCTGTGAGGATCGCAGCCTATGCTGCTGTGCTGGCGTCAAAGTTTGAACGGCGCTGTTTGACCAGGATCGCCAGAGAGCAAAGCGGAAAGGTGCTGACTAAGGACGCCTATCGCGGGAACGCACCACGTTTCAGGAAGCGGCCACCATTGCTCCTCTGTGCTTAAAACCCCACGACCCCAATTAGACTGTGGTCATCCAGGCATCATGTCTTCTCTTCAGCGGATCGTCGTGTCAGCCCTGCTGATTCTTACCATCACCTTTGCTTTCTTTGCGCAGAGCTCGGAGGCGGCCAAAGGTAAGCACGCGTCCACGACGCATGTTCAGGCAATGCATGGCACACTCACAGCCACATGCAGGTCCTAAGATCACTCACAAGGTTTACTTTGACATTGAGCATGGCGACGAGAAGCTTGGACGTATCGTAATGGGTCTTTACGGCAAGACTGTTCCCAAGGTTTGTACACCCCTCCCATACAACTCACAGTATGTAGCTGACAGCTCGACAGACCGCAGAGAACTTTCGGTGCGGTACATATCCGTGAAAACTTCTTTCCACGCTTACCAGGCACAGTGCTCTCGCTACTGGCGAGAAGGGCTTCGGCTATGAGGGATCGACGTTCCACCGAGTGATCAAGTCCTTCATGATCCAGGGCGGTGACTTCACCAATGGCGATGGCACTGGTGGCAAGTCCATCTACGGCCAAAAATTCGCCGACGAGAACTTCAAGCTCAAGCACTCCAAGAAGGGACTTCTTAGTGAGTTGTCCCGCAGTCTTGCAACGATTTCTCGCTGACATACGCAGGCATGGCCAACTCTGGGAAGGGTAAGCATCCATGAGGCACATGGAACTGCCTCATGCTAACTTTCCTTCAGACACAAACGGCTCTCAGTTCTTCATCACCACCGTGGTCACCTCGTGGCTCGACGGGCGCCACGTTGTTTTCGGCGAAGTCCTCGAGGGCTACGATGTCGTCGACGCTATTGAGAATGTGCCCAAGGGCGGAGGCGACAAGCCTTCAAAGACGGTCAAAATCGCCAAGAGCGGCGAGTTGGAGGTCCCCCCTGAAGGTATACAACTCGAAAACGATAAAGATGAGCTATAGACCCTCAAGATAGCTGTGGACCAGACGGAGAGGCGCTGATTCTTCCCTTTATCAAGATACATATGGCGAAGCGGAGCCTGCTATCAGTGGCGACAACCTCGACATCACTTCGCAACAAACACTGGCAGACGCAGCTGATGTCGCAGAGCCAGCAGTCAAGCTACAGGATCAGTCCGTCCCAGTCCCAGCAGCGCAGGTCAGCAGTGAGGTTGACAACGGGCTATCGCTCGCACAGAAGTTTTTCTTCATAGGTGCTATTGTTGCTGTGTGTGTGCTTTTCCTCCGTAATGCTAGAGGCAGGCCGTCAGGTTACAAGCAGAAGAGCATGGCGTAAGGCATGCACGTTGCAAGATAGCGTCCGTAGCAATGTTCGAGCACGTTCAGAGCCCGTCCCCGGGCTGCGGGAACGCAGATCCATCCCGTGCGCCCAGAGTCCAGCCGCGCTAGACGGCGGCGAAAATGAATTGTGACGCAGTGTGCGCCGCGGCCTGTGTTGCCTGCGGCAGTGCGGATGACGACCAGTGACATGGCGCGCAAAGATTCTCACAAGCCCCGTTCCGGCTTCTCACCGCCTGGCTCACAGGCCCAGTCGATGCGCTATTACCAAACGGACTAGCGTTGGAAAGCGCTAGTCTGTCTGTGGCGGCTGGAAGACAAAACCTTCAGTCTGCCCGACGCTGCCCTCTCCTCTCCAAAACTTTCCCACACACACAAACCCTCCGTGTGCACAGACAAACTCACCACGCAAACCCGGTGAAGTCCACTCTTTTGGTCTTCGCTCTCATTTCTTCGGTCGTTTTTAAGAAAGAGGCGCCCCGTTCCTGCTCACGAAGAGTTTCAGGCGCGTTTCTGGCTGTCTATTGACGACTCCTCCCTCTACGAATCTTATCTGTATCTCTTTGCGACTCGCCTTAAGGGTACCGGAGACGTAATATTCGACGACCCCTCGATTTCGCTATCCCGCAAACTTCACCTCAACCCGCACCCACTGACGCCTCGCCCATCATGGCTGATCAGCTCGATATCGGTCGTCTCTCTATGCACGACTCGCAGCACGCCCCCAGTGGCTTCCAGCCCGAGCGCTCCGCCTACATCCCTCCTCACATGCGGCGCCAGCAGCAGTCTGGCCCGCCTCCCGCGATGGACGCTGCTCCTCCCATGATGAATGGTGGTGGCGCCATGAACGGCAGCGCTTGGGGTCCCAAGTGAGTAGCTCCCATACATCTGTGTAAGACGGAGCACTACTGACGTAATGTAGTGGCGGTGGATATGCGGGCGCTCCTCCTTCTCAGCAGCAGCCACCGCAGCAGCAGCGTATGAATGGTGGCGGCAACTGGGCGAACGCAAACGCTCAGAGCTTCACCCCACGAGGTAGTGATGCTCCCTCCCCCCGTGGCGGCAACGGCGGTTGGAACGGTGCCGCCCCGGGCAAATTCGACCCCAATGCTTACGCAAAACCAGGTGCAGGCGGTTCCGGAGGTGCCTCTGCACGCGGGTCTGGTGATGGACAGTGGAGGGACGGCAAGCACGTCCCCGGTCCTTCTAACCCGCGTGTTGAGCGTGAGCTTTTCGGTGTCCCCAACGACCCTTCCAAGCAGCAAACCGGTATCAACTTCGAAAAGTACGATGATATCCCCGTCGAAGCCTCCGGCCAGGGCGTTCCTGAACCCGTCACTACGTTCACGAATCCTCCGCTCGACGACCACCTGATTGCCAACATCGAATTAGCCGGCTACAAGGTCCCTACGCCTGTTCAGAAGTACTCGATCCCCATTGTCATGGGTGGTCGTGACCTGATGGCTTGTGCTCAGACTGGTTCCGGAAAGACGGGCGGTTTTCTGTTTCCCATCCTCTCCCAAGCTTTCCAGACCGGTCCTAGTGCTGCTCCCGCTGGCCAATCCGGAGGCTATGGTTATGGACGTCAACGCAAAGCATACCCTACTTCTTTGATCCTGGCACCGACCCGAGAGTTGGTGTCACAGATCTACGACGAGTCTCGCAAGTTCGCATATCGCTCCTGGGTCCGCCCTTGCGTTGTTTACGGTGGTGCCGACATTGGTTCTCAGCTTCGCCAGATCGAGCGCGGCTGTGATTTGCTCGTTGCCACCCCTGGTCGCTTGGTTGATCTGATCGAGCGTGGTCGTATCTCGCTCCAGAACATCAAGTACCTTGTCCTGGACGAGGCTGACCGCATGCTGGACATGGGTTTCGAGCCCCAGATTCGTCGCATCGTCGAGGGCGAAGACATGCCTCCTACCTCTGCGCGACAGACTCTTATGTTCTCGGCTACGTTCCCGCGGGACATTCAGATGCTTGCACGCGACTTTTTGAAGGAGTACATCTTCCTTTCTGTTGGTCGTGTCGGTTCCACGTCCGAGAACATCACGCAGAAAGTTGAGTACGTGGAGGACCAGGACAAGCGTTCCGTTCTACTTGACATCCTCCACACTCACGGCGCCGGTTTGACGCTTATCTTTGTCGAGACGAAGCGTATGGCCGATTCGCTTTCCGACTTTCTCATCAACCAGGGCTTCCCTGCTACTTCCATTCATGGAGACCGAACTCAGCGCGAGCGTGAGAAGGCTCTCGAAATGTTCCGCACTGGCCGTTGCCCCATCCTTGTCGCCACAGCTGTCGCTGCTCGAGGTACGTTTAACACACCCTACTTCCTAATGAATAATTTGGCTAATCTTGTCTAGGTCTCGGTACGTTGATCTACATTTTTCTGTCGCCTGCATCCTGTCATCCTCTGCACCTTCACACTTTTTTTCTCCTGCCCACTCCACCCTCTGCATGGTATTAACATTAGAATTTCAGACATTCCTAACGTGACTCACGTTGTCAATTACGATCTCCCCACCGACATTGACGACTATGTCCATCGTATCGGCCGCACTGGACGCGCTGGTAACACTGGTATGTTTTCTCCCACGGCCCACCTATAGAACAGCCCACTAACTGTACAGGAATCTCGACTGCTTTCTTCAACCGCGGTAACCGTGGTGTTGTCCGCGACCTCATCGACCTGCTGAAAGAAGCCAACCAGGAGGTCCCCACTTTCTTGGAGAGCATTGCCCGCGAGGGTTCTTACGGAGGAGGTGGTGGTCGCGGAGGTCGAGGCGGCGGTCGCGGCCGTGGAGCCACCGCTACCCGCGATGTACGTCGCTTTGCCGGCAACGGAGGCAACTCTGGCTTCGGAGGTGGCGGTTGGGGCGGTGCCCCTCAGGGCGGCTTCAGCGGCGGCGCCGGCTACGCTCCTCCCAGCAACTTTGGCCCTCCCGCTGGAGGCTTCGGCGGTGGCAGCGGCGGCAGCTACGGCGGCGGTTACGGCAACCCGTCTGGCCCCGGTGGCAACTCCTGGTGGTAATCGTATTTTTGTCCCTGAACGGGCAAGGCCTTGGATGTCATAACCACCAGCAACGACATTCGGGCCGGTAGCCGCACATTGCGGCCGAGGCACTTTGGCATGAACTGATCATGCTGAACGCCTAACGATTTCCTTTCATGCGACTGTTTCATTATCTGTGCGCTTCATCCGGTCAGCCTTCGGAAAATCGGAAACTCATACCCCAACCAGCATATAGACTTGTTTCCTTGCAAACACGCGTCTTTTCGAGCTCTGCTGCATACCCAGGACACGTGTGGACGATGTTCCGCTGGAGCTTGATTACTGGACGCCCGAGGCCTTTGCCTTTTCGGAACGGATTACGAACATTTTACGGTCTCGCCCTTCCTGGTCTTCATGCTGCTTGGGTCCTTCAGATAGACTTCCATTTTCGGGCTTTCGATGGATGCCAGCGACTTGTTTTTCATCTTGGTTTAACTTAAAAGCGATTCCTTTCCCTGTCATACCCCTCGGCGAGCGTCTTTTTCGTCGTCTCTCTCAAACCGGAGAGCTCTCAGCGTGGATCTTTTGGGACGACGGAAAAGTTTAGTGGTTCATCGCGCATAGACGGCGTTCACGTGGGTAAATCTTTTCTGTCATGACCCTTCATGAAGTGAAGGTTTTGCAAGGAGATACCCCCATTTTTCGGCGGCTGTCGTGGCTGCATGAACGGAGCCAGCTTGCAGTGGATATGGCATCGGTTTGCATTTGCAGCAACACTCTCAATGACAGGGAGGAAGGAATCATCAAAAGCATTGCGTAGGACAACGATGGCTTGATAGACTAGTCTGCGGAGCTCGCTATGCTGCTCCCAATGCAAGTGTTTTTCTACCCATGAATCCAAGTGCTTCTCTGCCCATGGATCGAAGTCGCTCGCTGCACATGAACTTGAGTGCTTTTCTAAGCAACTGATTCGTTGCCGTAGCGTTTGGGCATTGGACATCGGGAAGGCCACAGCGCACGGGCAGAAGTGCAGGGTGGAGCGGGCGGCGAATGGCATGCACGGGCTAGTCTGGAATTGAGCTCCCCCCAAGCTCCAGCAATCAGTGGACTGTCAGCGCGAACGGTGCCTGCTACCACCATCTCACGCTCCAGGCCACTTCTCTACCCTGCCTGCCTGCCTGCCTGCATTGCCCTGTCCTGCCCGCTGCTACGTGCATGCGCCCGCCGCCGTAGCTGCCCACGCCACCAGAAGCTTGCCTGCTGCTCGAGCGCAGCAATGGATGCGACTTCATCAGCGGCGCCCGCCCGCGACGAGCCCGACTCGCGAAACAGCCTGCGACACATCCTCGCGGACCCGACGGCTACGGACGACTCCAAGCCAACGCCGCCGTCGCTGCGCAACACGCCCGGCCCCGACGAAAGCCAGGGCGACTCAGAGGATGCGCCCAAGTCGCAGCGCCCGTACTACACGGCAAACCCCACGACGATGAGGCGCAATGCCAACGGCAGCGTCTCGTCCGTCTACTCGGGCAACAAGATCCGGCACTTGAAGAAGGACGACGGCATCCCGCTGTGGCGCAAGGACATCCAGTTCGACTTCCTCAAGCATGTCTTCGACGACGAGCAGAAGGTCTTCTCCAAGATGGACGGCGACAAGGGCTTTACCTTTGCCGACATCTACCTGGATGCCATGGCCAAGAGCAGCAAGTGTAGCAAGATTCTCAAGGACAAGCTGTTGACGGAGCGCCCGGCCGCCGTCAACATGGCCATGGTGTGCCTGCTGGTCAACGTGGGCCGGATGAACACCACCCTGAACTGTAAGCGCAGCCCTGCCCGTGCCCGCGAGCGCGTGCCCTAACCTGCCTGCAGTCTTCCCGGAGATGCGAGCCCAGCTGCGGACCTATCACTCAATCCCTTCGCTGCAAGCCCACCAGGACCCGAACGCGTACAAGCAGCTGCAGGACGCGCCGCGCCTCAAGTCCATCCTGAAAGGCGCCACCGAGGACACGGAGCAACCCAGCACCATCGAGGACATCATGGACAAGCCCGTGCCCCGAACCAACCCCGTCAACCTTATCTTCGTCTTGTCCCAGTACGCGCCCAAGATCTCCGAAGTCCACTTCTTTCCGCCGCGCGACTTCTTTGACCTCGTTATGCGGCCCAACCTGAGCAGCCGCAGCCGAGCAACCGCCTTTCTGTGGCTCATGTGGTGGTACCTCGAGAGCGACTTCTCCAAGGACGATGCGTTGAGGAACCCCTTCGGCCCGGGGCAGTACGGCCCGCCCGAGGAGACTGTCACCAATAGTCTGCCCATCAAGTGTCCTGCTTTTGAGTTTCTGACGCCAGAGCAGGAGGCGCTCGAGAATGTGGACACGCCTGAGGAGCAGGAATTCGGCGAGCAGAAGCGCAAGGAGAGGACCGTCATCCTGGCAAGCGACATGGCTCCCGTAGTCACGGGGCCCAAGCGCACCAACAAGAAAACCTTCAGCCAAAATCCCGTCTTCTCCGTGGTAGCAGAAGACGGCGCTTCCACTCCTGGGCGAGACCGACAGTCGCCCTCACATGGTACGATACCCCTGCCCTTTTCACCCAACAACCCTTCATTGACAAGGCTAGGGTCAGCCAGAGGACGCGGAAGCAAGCTTGCGCGGTCTCTTATCGAGCGCGACTACGGCTCAGATACCGACCGCACACGATCCGCATCGCCTCCCGGAAGTGTCTACAACACTGGCAAGAAAGCTACACCGAACATGCGCATCAACACACTGCTCAACGAGGATGCACCCGCCTCTTCACCCGCCTCCAAGGGTCCTGGTCGCGGCAATTGGTCCCGCAAAACTGCTTCTGCCGCTCGAGGCTTCAGGTCTAAGTTGGACGCGGCGAACTCTCAAGACGGACAGTCACCCTCTATGAACGTCCATACCTTTTCTGGACCACACGGATTTTATCTTCCCCTTAACGGATCGGATCCAACGCACAAACGCACCCGCCCCTTGACTCAGCACCAACTTGCTGTCGAGCAGTACCGTCGTCGCCGCGTCGACGTTATTCTTGATCGCGGCATTCGTAAAGAGTACAAGCTAGCCGCTCAACGGCGACGCACGCAACCGCCGCTCCTGAGAGCTTGGGTACGGTGTAAAGGCATAAAGGACGGATATGACTCAGAAGAGGAAGGAAACGGCTCATATCAACAAGATGGAGACGTCACCACCTCGAGGGTCGAACCTCCCCTCCTTGCTGGCCTAGTACCCATTGACTACGGTGGCGAGGAGAACGATTACGGCGAAGAGTGCTATCACCGCGCCAAAATGCTCAGTCGAGTGATGCGGCGAATGGGACGCTGGGAAGAAAACAAAGGTGTAGTCCGCACGAAGGCGAGAGGTTCACGCACGCATGTTGAGAATGGTGACGGGAGGGCCAACGGAGAAGACGATTTTGCAGACGAAGACGAAGAGATGCAGGACGCAGAGGACATGGAGAGGCGAGATGACAGTGATGACGACGAGGATGACGACGAGCGAGTGTACGATTCACACCCCCTGCTGCCTTTGCACATGGAATAGCAATCAGCGCTGCCCGACTCTCCATAACCGTGGCTCCCACCTACATCTCAAGTTTGCACAGCGCTCACGATTCCTCATGCACTATTCCCTCGGACAAATATGTCGTCGCAGCCCAGCGCAATGCTCTTCCAGCGACTATAGTCGTCGAGAGCACAATCCAATGCTCCAACTTACACTGTTTCATCAGTTTCCTGTCCATGTCTCCATTCCATTCCGACTATATGGATTATACGACTGCGGGATAGGACGGGCATAGGCTGCCATCTGATAGTGGTATGCATACGCATACGGCGAATCAAAGGAGAGAAACTATGTCTGTGGAGTCCCCTACACTCCCATGGTGCGACTTCTCAATGCAATCCTAACACGCTGGCGACAAGCTCTTACACAAAAATGGTAGAACAGACCAACATTGTCATTCCAATGTTACTGGCAGAAGGTCCTTGTATGTTGGAGGGGAGTGAAAGGGTGGTGGATAAACAGTTTTTTTTCGGAGGTGGAAAACCTATGATCATGCACGGTGAAGCATTTCAGCGGGGAGGGGTACATGGGTACTTTGGGTGCTGTGCTAATACTGGAAGTACTTGCAGCTTCGAGTGTTTGCGCTGAGCATGGTGTGAAGACAGAGTGTGTTAGCGAGCGTACAGGGGAGCGTTGTACTTGTGACCAGGATGTATCGCAACGCCTGTCCTGTGGACGAGGACTATTATCATGGTACATTGAGTGTTGTCACTTCCAAGGGCTTTGATACTGTCATAGCGGAACACCATTAGATGGTTCACGACAGAAGACATCTCACGGTGTCGAAGGGACGGAGAGCGATGAACTTCAATTATGCTTGGGACCCCAGCTATTATTGAAGGCATATGGCAGTTGAATCTAGACAACTGCGATTGATACCATAGATTGTGTTGATATTTACCTAAACATGTCCGGCCATTTTTTACCCTCTGCGCTTTCCCCGTGCACCTCCTCTGCCTCGTGTCCAACCGGGAGCTCCACTTCCATCGCATGACCGTCAAGTTCAAACACCCTGTTATTTCCTGTCCCCTTTTCCACGACTCCAAAATTACTATCTGCAACCTCTATTGCCGGCGTGGACGATTCCCCAATCTCGAGGACGTTCCTTGACCGCAGGCCTGGACGCTGCCGTTTGCGTCGTATATGCCAGCAGCCGGCGACGGCCAAGAGGAAAGCAAGTACGCCAACTCCAACGCCAACACCGGCGGCTATGGCGACGGTGTGGTTAGTGTCACTGGGGGGCGTGGCGGCGTGTTTGTCGGCGGTGTCCGTAGCGGCGGAACCAGACCCAGAGCCTGCGACAGAAGAGCCGGTGTTCGTGCGTCCTGGAGCCCCAGTTGTGTTTGATTCCGACTCTTGGGTAGCTTCCGCCTTTGCGGTGTTATCGCCAGAAGTGTCTGTTCTGGTGTTGGCTGGCGTCTCCGATGGCGCTTCCAGCGACCCCGTGGAGGAAGCCTTCGTTGCCGAAGCCGCGTCATCTTGCTGCTGGCTCTGGGTTTGTGACGGTACGTTCTGCTCTCCTACTTTCGTCGGCTGTGATGATGCCGTTGCCTGTTCGTTCCCTCCTTGCGGTGTACTGGTGGCTTGCGTCTTGCCGGCTGTGGCAATAATCTGTGGATTTCCGAAATCGAAGAACTTGGCATTGTTATCGTCGCAGCAAGCCTCGGAGCGCCCACAGCAGAATTTGTCGTTGCTGCAGACATACACTATCTCATCCCCCTGCGGCCAGAGTGAAGTGCAGGTCTGGGGACAACCTTCACCCCAATCTTTATCCGTACAGCCACCTCTTAACACCCTCGTGTAGTTCTCATAGCGGTAGTCGTTGCAGAGCCCATTGCTCAAACATTCGAAGCCTTCTGCGCAACAAACACTGGTACCTCCAGTGCTGCACGCGAAGTGTCCGGAATCTGTGGAGCCATCAGGGTAATAGCACGATTCACCAATTACACCGACGATCAAGTGCACAAACGCAAGGAAAGCAGCCGACGAGCAGGCTGGCACCATTTGCACTAGGTCGGTGTGTGCAGCTGCAACACAGACGAATTGTGAAGCGGACCACGGAATTAGGATGGGGTGAGGAAGGAACCAAAGGTTGCGGGTATAAGGAGGGGCAAGCCTTCAAGTATGCACTTGAGCATTCGATTCCGAGGGCGAGACCTGAATTCGCATAAAATCAGCGACGGGGGCTATTTCGCGATCACGCTTGACCATTCATGTCACAATTCCCGGCCCGATATCGTTAGCCTCTCCTAGGATCCTCTATCGTACATATTGGCAGTCTGCCGCGCGTGAATCTATAGGTCCTGCCGTGATGCTAGGCGATGGGATGCGAGCCGATTTTACTACAAGGCGTTAGCATATGCCAGGTTTGTGTCGTTATGATTCCATGACGGACCAACTCGAGAACGCTGTCTACGAAAGCTCGAAGCATGCGTTAGCGATGTGCACGAGTAAGGATTGATAGAGATGCTCGAATAAAAGAGCTTCTGTTCATGTTACGAGCAGCGTTCGTTTCCATGTAATGGGTTGGAACAAATGGCGCGAGATGAAGCGAGATGAGAAGTTGCATGGGTTTGCAGGCCAGGGTAGCGCTGTCAGCGTCGGACTTGTAAACATGACTGTTTTTGTTGGGCCTGGATGCGAGGAGCCGCGTGCAATACATAACGCCGGGGCGCGGCGGATCTGCGTGGTTCGTCTTATGGGTCTCTTCTAATCAGTGGGCTCACATTGCGATTTGCGTTGGAATTTCTGTGGTCTCCTCCTCCTCCACCTCTGGAGGAAAATCTGCAGTTTCCGGTCCAAAGATTCCCACATCGCTTCTCCCCATACCGCCACCCTTCTCTTCCGTCTCTTTCCACTCTTGCAACAAGTACAGTCCTTGCCCGTCCATACCCTCACCTCTTTCCTGGCTTTCCCGCATTCTCTCCTCATCGTAATCGAACACTCGCCAGTCCGCGTTGAAGAAGCGTCTATTACAAACAGCCGCACGTAAGAAGCCAGAGTGTGACACGACCGCTATACACTTCTCAGGCCTCGAATAGAGTGACCGTAAGCAACTTTGGCCGCGGGCAAGTATGGCCTTACGGGTGAACGCGTAGGGGTTAGAAGAGAGGCTTGATGTCTTGTCAGGATATAGTGGATCGACTGTTGAGAAATCGAAGTCGGGAAATTCTTGCACCATGGTGCCAATAGGCGAACCTGTGTCGCAAGGCTTGTCGGCGTTTTCTGAGGCTATTAGTTCGACAAGAACAATAGGCGCAAGGGGTTTATAGGCGGCTGACGAGCTCAGAAGAGTGAAAGAACAAAGTGCTTCCAATTCTTGAGGCTTGGGTGTAACAAAGCGCATATCTGTTAAATTCTACTCACCTTGCCAACCAGCATCTGGCCGTACCTCGATGGTCTTTTCTTTGATCAGCCACTCTAGCCCAATGCTTGCAGTCTGCAGCGTCCGTCTCATTGAGCTGACGACGATCAACTCGACTTGGTCACCAATCTTGTTATTCTGCAGGCTTGTTTGCAGCTCTTTGCATTGCTCTTTGCCGAGCTCAGACAACGGTGGATCATGGATGGACCAGTCGCTCGCCACATTGTGTAAAGCCTGTGCGTGGCGAATGAGCAGTAAAGTTGGAGGCATTGTGGAGAGTGTAGGAAGAAGGCAAGATACAATTTGGCAGATGGTCCCCTAAGCCAGAGTATTCGGATTGACCCACGCCTAGTGGGGTAAAATTGACCCATCATGCGCGACGTCATCTTGGTCATATTTCCTCAACAGATATGCAAATCACGCGGGCTTTGAATGTCGAATGCTGTGCACATAGACAACCCTGTGAATGTTGTTTGTTTTCATGTATCGGTCATCATATCAGCACGCCATTTCTTTTGCGCTCGCAAGAAGATATGGCACCGACCCCAGCTAGTTGTCTATTCCTGCATCTTCTCTTCCTCCTCATCCTCATCATCGCCCTCCAATGCCTTCTTGGCCAGTCGCTCGGCCTCTTCCCTCAGTTCCTTAGGCACTTCCTCGTGCCTGCCCTTAGTCGGGCCAGTCGTCGAGCTTATCCAAGTCATCTCCAGCTCAAACTCCTTGTCCTTGTTGTCGTCGTGTGCGATGTAGATGATGCGCGCAGCCTCCTTGACGCCCTCCTCTAGGGAGAGTTCGCCTTCGTCGAGGTGTAGCTTCTCAAGCTCGGACTTTGCAATCTGTCGCCCTTTGCCGGTTGCCGCGCCATAGTAGCCCTGGGTCTGTCAGTCTGGCCCATGCATGATGCTTTGGCGGTCGTCTCACCCAGTAGAGTCCGCTCGGCTCAATCATGTATAGGTATGGGCCGCCGTGCTTTGCACCGTCCTTCTTACCTCCCGAGCCGACATTTGGTCCTGAGCCGACTTGACCATCTACGGGCAATTCTGCTTCTGAGTCCCAGCCGCCTATGATGGCTGTCACACCAAAGGGCCGCACGCTGGAGTAGAGAGTGTATGCCTGGACGTAGCTTCCCATGCGGTCTGCGAGCGACGACGTGGGGATGGGAGCCTTGTAGAGGTTGCGCCAGGAGGAGGCTTCGTCGCGTGCGCGGGATACGAAATGACGACCGTCGGGGAGGAGACCTGAGGAGACCTGGTGTATGTGGTCAGAGACGGGCGTGCTAAGTTGTCGTGGGGTGCCACGAAATCGCTGTTGCTTACGATGCCCATATTCCGGTCGACCGTGGCTATTCGCTTGTTCGCGCCCGACTTTAGCAGCTTGCTTGTGACCAGCTTCTCCAAAGCCAGCACAATGCCGTCCTTGCACCGTATTCCGACGGCTGTTCCGCCGTTCTCCACCGCCTTGACGGCGTACTCGACCTGCAAGTGTGAGCAACCGAGAAGCACATGCGAGGACGGCGGGACATACTTGGAAGTTGCGGCCATCGGGGGAGAAGACGGAGTTTGACAGGTCGTAGCCTGTGCCAATGGAGGTCTGGGGAGCTGTTAGCGGGTAGGGCAGAGGGGTGCGGCAGCCCGGCCGGGGCTCACCATGGTTGTCGCAAGAAGAGGCCTGCGGGTGCGGGTGCGGGTGCGGGTGTAGGCTGCGGGCGGGTCGTGTCGAGGAGGCTGCGGCGGAGGGGCGGGTGCAGAGGCGGGCGTCTGGGTCTTCCCGTGTCGATGAGGTCGCCGCCTCTGGCAGGCAGTTGCGAGTTGCGCGTTGGAGCTTGCTGTCCTGTTTGGGCAAGCGCGGGCTGGGCTTGGCACCGTCGTCCGCACCTGCCTCGCCGCCGCGGTGGCGCACCGCGTCGGCGTGCGCACGGCGCGAGGCCTGCTGGTTGTCTCGCTGCCGCTCGCTGCAGACTGGACTGGGCTGGCTGCTGGCCCGGCTGCCAGAGGGGCTGCTTGCCGTGCTCGACACGCTCGGGGGCCGCCGTCGTGGCCTGGACGCCCGTCTCCAGCGCCTGCGCCACACGCCCTGCGCCCTGGCGCCAGCGGACCTCGCAGCAGTGCAGCGACACCATTCCGTCACTCGCCCGTGCATCGAGCTCGACGACGCGGCCCTGCGCACCGCCTGCGCTTCTCTGCCCGCCCTCGACAACATGACGTGGGTTCCTCCTGGCGCAGTGTGTGCGCTGTGCAGTAGCTAACGTCGCCAACCAGGCGCCCCATCCGCCGGAATGCCCTCGAGAAGCTCGCAAAGCTGTCCGCGCAGGCCGCTCCCTCCGCAGGCCCCGACCACGACCTGCAGCGGCTGTACAAAAGATGTCCCAGCGGCCTGCTGGCCCAGGACGGTGCCCCCACCTCTGACGTGACCAGTGTGTACATGGTGCGTGAGCCTGCACGTGCCTGGCTTGCTGTGTCGACAGCTCTAATGCATATGCCAGAAACTACCAGAGCTCGACGCTGTCCTCGCCCTCTGCAAGGCCGCCCCTTTCGTAGAGTCACCTGCTGTTGCGGACCAGCTGCTCAAGCGACTGGCGCCATACTTGCCCGAGTCCTTCGCCCAGAGACTGGCACCTTCCCCCCAGCTACGCGACATTGATCCTTCCCCCTACGAGGTCCTTACCCACCACCTCACCTCCGCCATTCTCTCCCTTGGTGCCCGCCATACTCATCTGCGGCCTCGAGTCCTTGAAATCGTCACCTACTATGTCAAGGGCTGGTCTACCGCCGCTGTGCACGCATCATCGGAGCAATTCGACCACGATCATCACGTCGACTTTGCAGCCGATGGTGAGCTCGGACGCGTCATGACCCAGAGTATGTCGCTGCTGGGCTTTCTGAACGCAATTGCAAATCATTCGTCCTTCTGGAGCCCCCACGACCAGCTGCGATTTGTTGAAAGTGTCCAAACGGCACTGTCCGAAAACTTTCTCATCGCTTTCGAGACGGCATTGTCGATTGTGAGGAATGCGCGCTCGCACCAGCACAGTCTTAGATACTGGAAGCAGTTCGCAAAACACTATGCCGCCATCGGACGACCATTGGGTGCTACTGTTCTGCATGACTCTTTCCTCAAGGTCATCGTTGCTTGTGCTTCGGGACTAGTCCAGGCGCCTCACCGCAAGCTTGATACCGACGTTCTCGAGTGGATTCGAATATCGCATCCAAGCCGCGATGTATCACGGGATGCTTCGACTGATTCACTAGCTGAAGGCTTGACGCGCATTGCTGTCGAAGAAATGGATCGTCTAGACAATGATCTTGACTATCTTCAGCGCGTCGGATCTGCCTGGCAACAACGCCAGGCTTCTGCGGTGAAGGCAAAGGTCATCACAACGTGCGTATGCTGCGCAGTATACGATGAGGACATCGCTGATTCAGACCTGCTAATGTCATGGCTCGACAATGCATTGAATGACCCCGCCCAAGTGGGGGATCTTAACCTTGCTTCGACAGTACTGCAGTCTATGTCTATCTTGGCCAAGCTGTCTCCAGCCATTGCATCGAGTTTAGGACGCTCTCTCCCGCGCGTCATCGTCCAAGGCGGATTCGATCATGAGACTGCATCGGTGGCTGCCCAGTCGCTTGCCGCTGTTCTTAGTCTTCTCCCACAAGATGCAGTCATCACTACCTTATACAGCCTAGGCAACGTGATTAGCACTGGCCCAGTAGGCGACCGTACTTCCACCGCAACGGTCACTACGAACGACCATGGAAAAACATCGCGGGCTACCGATCTGTATAGTCACCAACATGAGGGCAGCGCCATCTCGTTGATACCAAGTGACGTTGAGGCGCCGAACCATGTACATACTACCGTGATAGAAACCATCGTATCTGTAGCAACACAAAGCAAGGACGAGAAGATTACGGCGCTAGCGCTTTCCATGCTCGTTCAAAAGGTCGGATGGATTAGCAAGGTAGTAGACGCCAAAATCGTCACTGACTCTGCGCTCCTTGGGATTCATAGCGGCCCTGGAGAGTTTCGATCATTGCTCAAGTTGTACTCCAAATTGTGCCATGAAGCTCTACTCAAAGACGACCGGTTCACTCTCGAAGCGGTAAGTCCACGACTTTGAAGCCGTGTAAGGTCTTGCTAAAAACTATCTAGATCAAACACGCCCGACTTCACCTCTCTCGAGAAATTGACGAAGAGTCGGATGCTTTCGAACTGTATCTCACGCACTTGCTCGATACTATCATAAGCAAAGGCGATTTACCAGAAACGCATCTTCGTCAGGTCCGAGATACAGAGCTGGCTGCGCAAGAGATTGCTCAGTTGCTTCCGCCTTTGGCTTTGCTGCTTTCGCGAAAAGCTACACTCACGGACCCGTCACAACTGGACGACCATATCCTCAGTCTACAGAGAGACGCTTGGTTCAATATCGTTATCCATGGTTTTGATCTTTCGTCCAGTCTGACTCAAGAACACGTGGCTGAGCTTAGAACGCTAGCACGCTTTAGTCGATCTCTAATTACAGAGGAACGAGCTTCACTCGCTGAAAGTGACATAGAGTTGAATACGGTCTTGCGACGGGGTAAATCCCCCGAACACGTTGTTGAACAGAAGAGACGTCTTGCGAAATTGCTGCCCGCATGCGAGGCAGATATCAGATCATTGAGTTACTCGGAAGCTGTTTTCTTGAACGCTGCCTACCTAGTCGAGGATCTACGAGCAAGTGCCGGGGACTGCACAAAAGCTCTCGCATATTTCCTCGACCCAAAATTGCGTAGCGGAGGGGTAGGAAACTGTATGCTCGCCATTGCAGCCGCTACGACCCGAACGTACGTAACGAAGACGCTATCCGGCAAGCTGCACTCATTCTCAACTCCGTACTTGGCAAAGCAGCTTTCGACGATCTTTGCAGGGTGCTGTCATCGAATTGCCAGAGTGCAACAGGCAGCTTTCACCTGCGCGGATATCATCGTTAGAGATGTACCTTCCACACTTTGTCAGAAGAGCGCCTTGTTTGCCCTTCTAGAGCTTCTATCCATTATGTGGTCTAGCTGCTTGGAAGGCGAGACTGATGAGTACGGATGGACGTCGACATTTGCTTCTGAAAAATCCAATATTGTTGTAGAGCTTTCAGATGACTACAACTTTCGAAGAGAGACTCTGAATAGCCTCCACAAGCGGGCTGTGGCATGGGTCAAAGGAGTCCTGGACATTGCCCCACTCGACATCAAAGGTCTACTTCAGACCTACCTGTCCGAGTATGACGACGAGGGCGCTTATGGTCACATCTCGCTTGGTCGCTCCTTCGCATTGGAGATGGGCTCGGTGATACCGACCACCGACCAACGTTTAGGTGCTATCGAGCGGCAAGGCATAAATATCAACACTGCATCGGACTTCATCGCGCAATATACTACGCGGCAGGAGTATAAGTTCGTCGACGGTCAAAACGAGCAGGATGATGAGTGGCTAAAACTTGATGGATCTGGCCACGCGCAGTCTGCCTTCCATCGTAGGATTGACGATGCTACCAATTTACTCATAGACCTCGAAAGCCGGACCTTGAACAACAAACACGTCACCATTGCTGACCTTCGAGATAATCTTAGACGAGCCTCTGCACTCCTCTGTCGCGTCAAGTCAGACCAAACTCCCATTGTGCATCATTTAGTCGGCATTCCCTTCAACGTATTTACGAAGCAATCGATCAAGCTCGGTATATCCCTATGGATGAGTGTGATCAAAGAGAATCCTCGGATGGAGTCCCGCATTCTCGTCTCTATTGCCGAATGTTGGGAGAACACCATCATTCAGCGAAAGGGGATTTTCAGTCACTCGTTAAAGTTTGTGAATCCCTTATCTTCACTACGTTACCGTACTCACGTGTTCAAGGCATCCCGATCCTTTCTATGGCAAGCAGGAATTTGCTCCAACGGACAAGCCTCATCTCGGGAAACGACAACAACACATCTATAACATCATTGCCCCTCACTACCGGCTTCTGCAATTCCTGTCTAGTCATTTCAATGCTACACGTCTTGGAAATCCTGACATAGAGTTAGTCTACAGCAGATTGATGCATGTGACCCTCGACGCGCTCAGCTCGGGATGTGCTCAGCCACTCGCGAGAGAAGCATACTTCCACACTGTCCTTCTAGGTCTACGTATTGTACGCCATTGCACGACACTCTCCCCTGCGATCAAATGGCGTCTGAAAGACCGTATTCTGAGCGCAGGATTGGCATGGTTTGCAAAGGCACCCGAGTAAGACTGCGTCCAAACTCTCAGTTTTGTCTGCTAACAGAGTAGGTGGTCGTTCGGCGGAAATCGTCTTCAGATCAAAGCCGAGACACACGTTCTGGCGGATGTTCAAGCCTACTTAGAAGTTGTGGGGAAAACAGGCACCATCGCCGAAGGTTCCATGAGATCTTTAAAGGCCAAACAAGACCTGCTATCGCTTCTCATTTCGAATGAGCAGACTCGTTTGATGGTGTGGCTTTTCCCGCTCGATTACGGCAAGAAGCACCACTTTACTTCTGGCCAGCACAGCAAAACGCTAGCAGATGTAAGCCAGTATTTACTCGAATATAAATTTTTCTCACCATGTGCTAGGTTACAGTCTCATCTCACCTCAAAACAGCGTGGGAGGAGAATCCTTCCATTGCCGTACATCTTCCCAAACGTTTCCAGAATCAGCGCCTGAACACTGAAGTGCGATTCCAAATTCTCAACTTCCCTCAGCGAGTTCTCGGCGAGCCCGATGCTATCGAGATCTTGCTGGGTAGACAACTACCAAGCGATGTCACTTTCCAACTTAAGGTATGAAAGTAGTCTCCGGTGATTTGACCAAGCTCACAACTTCTAGTACCTCATGTACTGGGCAGCCTTGAATCCCATCAGCGCGGTCACGTATTTCCTTCCGGCGTACGGAAATCACCCTTTCATCATCCAATATGCGATGAGGGCACTGGAAAGCCACTCTGTCGATGTTACATTCTTTTACGTCTCACAAATCGTACAGACACTTCGTTACGATGTTCTAGGCTACGTTGAAAGATACATCATTGAGACAGCAAAGTTTTCACAGCTGTTCGCTCATCAAATCATATGGAACATCAAGGCGAATGCATACAAAGATGAGCAGTCTCAGGTTGTATGTCTACCATTTTTCCTATAGTCTGTGTTTTTGAGCTGACCAGAAGAAGCCCGATCCCGCCAAACCCACCTTTGACAAAGTCATGACAAGCCTAGAATCGAGCTTCAGCGATATTGATCGAGAGTTTTATGAGCGGGAGTTCGACTTCTTTGGCAAAGTCACCGGTATCTCTGGCACGCTGCGCACAATCTTGGAGAGACCGAAAGAAGAAAAGAAGCAAATGATTGAGGAAGAGCTGCGCAAGATACAGGTCGACGTCGGAGTATATCTGCCGAGTAATCCTGACGGTGTTGTAGTTGGCATTGACCGCAAATCCGGCAAGCCTCTGCAGTCCCATGCAAAGACGCCGTTTATGGCTACCTTCCGGATCCGCAAGACCAGGACAGACGTGTTGGAAGGAACCACCGCAGACGGGCTCGCTAGCAGCGCCTCGTCGGCCAAGCAAAATTCCTATGAGGTCTGGCAGTCGGCAATCTTCAAGGTTGGTGACGACTGTAGACAAGATGTTTTAGCATTGCAGATGATCGCTGCGTTCCGTGGTATCTTCAACAATGTCGGTCTTGACGTTTGGGTGTTTCCATATCGTGTTACAGCCACAGCGCCCGGTTGTGGAGTGATCGATGTGCTTCCCAACTCCATCTCACGCGACATGCTCGGTCGTGAAGCTGTCAATCGTCTTGACGACTATTTCGTCAGTAAATATGGCAACGAAGACTCGATCCGCTTTCAGGAGGCGCGCAGCAACTTTGTAAAGAGCATGGCCGCCTACAGCGTCATCTCCTTCTTGCTACAGTTTAAAGATCGTCACAATGGAAACATTATGATCGACGACGCAGGCCACATCATCCACATCGACTTCGGCTTCTGCTTCGACATTGCGCCCGGTGGCGTCAAATTTGAGCGCGCGCCCTTCAAATTGACCGGCGAGATGATCGCGGTCATGGGCGGCAGCCAGACCTCGCAGTCGTTTCGATGGTTCGAGGAGCTTACCATCAAGGCTTTCTTGGCAAGCAGGCAGCACTGCGACCACTTATGCCAAATTGTTGAGGTGATGTTGGATAGCGGTTTACCATGCTTTGTTCCGCAAACGATCCAACATTTCCGTGAGCGATTTGTACTGGAGAAGAGCGAGAGGGAGGCAGCGGACTACATGCGTGAGTTGATTCGGCGCAGCGCGAGCAGTAAGAGTACTGGTGTGTACGATCAGTTCCAATTGGTCACCAACGGGATTCCCTTCTAGAGGGGTAGGTGCCGGGTCTGTCGGTAGGGTGCGCGCACATCATGTAGTATATTGCAACACAGCTAAAGCGATTCATCATCAATGTCGCTCCTCTTGCAGACATGAAACATGGAATCCAGAACGAAGCACGCGTTGATTTTGTACAACCTTGGAAGGCTTTAACGCTGTGAGCTGGGAGCAAGGGGCATTACCTTGGGGTGTCCGTAATTGATTGGACCAATCCACGTTAGCGCAAAGTTTGCGGACACGCTAATCGGGTCTATCTACCGAGGCGTGACGCCAGAGAGCATACTTGTTTTCGTTCGCTTGTATGCTTGGAAACGTCTTCGTGTAGACTACATCAATGTTTAGCTATAGTTATTATGATTTTTGAAATAACCTCATCCGATTGGGCGAAATCATCTCGTCGCACATCGGCCCGCTGGCGCAACGGTAGCGTACGTGTTTCTGTTATGAGTCAGTTTCCGATTAATACTAACAATATCCAGGCGTCAGATTCCAGTCACTTGGAACTTCCTGAAGGTTACCTGTTCGAATCAGGTGTGGGTCAAATTGATATTTTTGCCGCATGGCGGGATCTCAAAGCTGGACTGCCCGTCCGTCTACCCACCCACTAGTCGAATCAGCCACACCGCGCTCGTGCAAGGGGAGATAAATCGTTTGCTCCCTCCTTTTTATTGTTCGCGGGACACTATCACGAAAGCCTCTAATCAGGTATTACGTGAGCTCCTCATTTAGCAAGCATGCAATCAACTTGCACCTTGAGCCTCCAGGCCCTGCCGAATGCATGTTTCAGATGTAATGTTACCGAAGCGAATGGCTGATGTGAAAGGGGATTTGTGAAGCTCCTCACGTGGACCGTGTGCTTGTACAAGTGCACGAGAGCCAGCCCTACCAAGTCCGGCTATGTATACAAGCTTCCGAAGCTTTCTACCTCCAGGCTGGGCCTGGTTGCAAGGGCCTTGAAGGAGCTTGGACTGTGGGCGAGGCAAGGGAAAAGGGTTATAAGATGGCACCGCGAAATGCCCTGCCATCATAAAGCACGAGTACCGTGGGTCGGTCTTGTACGGAAGGGGCTCTTTGGTGTGTACAGACAGGCAAGCGTACCGTGTTTCAGCGCCAACCCTGGTAACGCGCTCCACCATTCACGTTCTGCGAGTCCTTCAGGCGATGTAGACGCCCGCGGTCTGGCACACGGCAATGCTGCCGCAGTTGCCTAACGCGGCTACAGTGCGGCTAGCTTGTCTCAGCGCGCAAGGCTCAGTACAGTCGAGGTGCAGGGTCTCGGTCGTGTGGTACTGGCAGCTGGGTTTTCGTGCGCGACGTCTGCTCGCTCGCTTGGCTTCGTGGCCTGTGGCCACCTCCTTTTCGACAGTGGAGGCCGCCCGGTTTCCGCCCCCGGCGATGTGCGCCAAGGCGCGTCGTGCTGCCAAACGACACCAAAAAGGCGGGATCTACGCTGGTACCTGGATTGGCGAAAAAGCAGTGGCAGAGCGTGGGGAGTCTGGAGCTACTGTGCGTTTCTGTCTTTTGACTGCTGGTGCATCGCCTGTCCACATTGTCGCGAGCGCCGACGGGCGACAGGGCTCGCAGGCGCACCCGAAGCAGCAAGCCCGTCGGCGCGTCAGCTCGCTGGTGGCTCGCCGCGGCTTGGCGGGCTTGGCGGGCTGCAGCCCCTGGCCGGCGGTGGGGACCATTGCGTGCACGTCGCGACGTATATCAAGCCGCCTTATCCGTGCGACCATGGCCTGCGAAGCTCGAAGCTCGCAGCGCTGCACCAGACGTCGTCTCTTGTGCTGCGTCGCCGGCCCCTCGCCCGTAGCCCTGCGTGCCCGTCGCCGTGAGCGCCTCCTCGTCCGCGCCGACCAGCAGGCTGAAAGACGGCCGTCCACTCTTTTGTGCACCATCCTTTGCTGCTCATCTGGCCGTCGAGTCCCGTGCACCCGCGTACGTACCCACCTAGCCGCCTTCTGCGAGAATGCCAGCCTTGCGACCAAGGGCAATGGCAAGACGGCAGCGCGGCAGGCCATGCTAATCTTCGCCAGGTACTACCTCCCCGTCGCGCCCGCACCCGCCCTGCGCCCTCATCCGTCTGACTCTCCTATGCTCCCGAGCGACCTCAAATGGCCATTGGAAAGGAGGGTAACGTGAAGTGGGTGGATGTAAGTTGGTCCCGCGCCGTGCTGTGCCCGCGTGTCGTGGCACCGTCCCCCGTCGTCGCCGCTTCGCTGACGCCCCCCAGGGCCTGCGAGGCTTCGCATCTGCCCTCGTCGTCCTCACCCACATCTCGCGCGCCTGGGCCGGCAATCTCTTCTGGGCCACCACCGCCGAAAATACCACCCCCAAGCTGCTGCAGCTGCCCTTCCTGCGCGTCCTCATCCAGGGCCGCCTCGGCGTCTCCATCTTCGCCCTTGTCACCGGCTACGTCTGCGCCCTCAAACCTCTCAAGCTCTACCGCCAGGACAAGCACGAGGCCGCCTTCATCTCCATCTCCAAGTCGGCCCTGCGCCGCTTCCCGCGCCTGTTCCTGCCCTCGGCCGCCGCCACTGTCCTCTCCTTTCTGATATGCGAGCTGGGCCTGTTCTCCGTGGCAGAGCACGCCGACTCGGGCTGGATCAGCCAGATTCCCCCGCGCAAGGGCAGCCTGTTCCCCGCCATCGGCAATCTGGTCTACGAGATCGGCGCCATCTGGATCAAGCGGAACAATGAGTACGATCGCAACCAGTGGACCATGCTGCCGCTCCTGCAGGAGAGCATCAAGATCTATGCCTTCCTGCTCGCCGTGGCCTACATTAGGCCCCGCTACCGCATGCTGGCGAGCTTCGCCATGTTCGCCTACTACTGGATGGGCAACGACCGTGAGTCTACCCGTTCTACCCTGTCGGCTAATAGCTAACCTGCCCAGCCGTCTTTGGTATGCTAGGGTTTTGGGGCGTGCTCATCGCCGAGCTCCAGTTCGAGCCCGCGACCGCCCGCTTCATCGACCAGCAGCGCATCCTCGCGCCTGTGCTCTCCGCCGTCCTTGTCTTCTCCGGTTTCTACGTCGCCTCGTACCCCGAGTCCCATGCCGAGTGGATGCCCTGGTCCGACAACCTGACCCATTTTCTCAAGCCAAACCTTCCAGAGAACCCAGACCTCCCCCGTTTCTCCAGTGGCATCGGCCTCATGCTCGCCGCCGTCGGCATCGTTCTCAGCCCGCGCCTGCAGGAAATCCTGTCTAGTAAGATTTTACTGTTCTTCGGGAAGATGGGGTTTGCCGTGTACCTTCTGCACGGAACGTTGATGAAGACGATTCTTTCGTGGATGGTTTACGGCATCAGCGTGCCAGCGGATCACAAGGATGACAAGGGCCAACCGCAAATGACCCGGATGAAGTATCCCGGCCATCAGACGCTGTTTGTGTGCCTGTTGTTTTGGATGCCCATCTTGTACGGCTCGGCGTATGCGTGGACGCAGTACGTGGACCCGTGGTGCGAGCGCATGACGAACAAGCTGGTGGAAAAAATCAAGTTCGAGGAGACTAAAGGGAATGGATATATTCCCATGAGCGGTGTGCAGGGTCAGGGACACGGCCCTGGACACCATGCAGCATAGAGGTGGAAAAGCGAGTTTTTTTTCTTGTTCATTCTGTATATGCATCGGAGACGTAGCGTTCATAAAGATATCCTACGAGCAATCAAAGGTCGTACAATCTAGGGGTGTTTCGGAACGTCAGCCACTACATATCTCCCCTTGCTTCTGCCCTGAGCCCCCTTACTCCGCCTCGCGACCACTCTGGCCATCTTCACCACATGGAAGGATATACGTTGTTGGTCTACCCCAGGTTGCCGAGCACGCGATGTGGAGCCTGCAACGTCATTTAGATGGCCGCTCGGCCAACAAGCTTTTTTCCGAGGTGCCGGCTTCGGTCCTTGGTTTTGGTCAAACCGCTGGTCGGTCACAACATTCAACCTCCAAATCTCTCTACTTTTCTAGCTCTAACGTGTGCATCGACGTGGCGTACCACAGGTATCTAGTAGACGTCTCCGTTGTTCGTACCTCGGCCACAGCGAGTCTACGACATTACAGGATCACGCGATCGAAGAGATCTTGAGGATTGCACCCAAAGATCTATCGAGACATTCTCCACTCGTAAGAGAGATGAAGACAAGGGCTTGATTCGGGGTCGAACTCAGATGAAATTTGGTCACTACCCAATTATGTCTCCATCCAAGTCGCAGGCAAGTCCCACGGCAACTCCAATATGGATGATGAAGTCTAAAGCTACGCCTGCTCAAGGGTCGTTTGACTCTGCGGGCGCAGGCGTCACCGGAGGTACGCGGTACATATGTATCGTGCCTCTGATGATTAACTGCTTGCAGGCTACACCGGCGATTCACTAGATCTGAAAATAATCATTGCATTTCTCATTGGACTCGCGCTTTATAACGCGGTCGAGCTTATCGTGCTGATTTTAGTCACCTTCAACAATTATCGCGGGCTCTACTTCTGGTCATTAATCTTCTCTGCCATTGGTATTTTGCCATACGCATTAGGGTAAGGATGATTCATTCTGTGATGGAGCGTCTCGTTCCCGCGCAGTTAGCGTCGCAGTAGCCTTACCCCACTAGTGTGTTTCCTGTCTGATGTCAACAGGTTCCTTATAAAGTTCTTTCAACTACTCGATCCTAACAAGAGTGTCGGCTATGTGGCTGTGGTGATGATTGTGGTGGGATGGTATATGATGGTGACCGGTTAGTGTCTGGTGTTCGTAGACCCACTTACGCTTTGCATCTGACTCAATCTTAGGTCAATCTGTCGTTCTATGGTCTCGGCTGCACCTTATCACTAACTCGCACCGGGTGATTCGATACTGTCTCTACATGATATGTATCGACGTAGTCATATTAGGTTTCCCAACCAGTGTGCTCACCTTCGGATCCAATTCGAACTCCCTAAGCACTGAAGCCTTAAGTCATTTCGTCAAAGGGTACAATGTCATGGAGAAGATACAAATGGTCGGTTTCTTCCTGCAAGAACTGGTACTCTCCCTTATCTACATCAAAGAGACGTTGCGCATCCTCAAGCTATCGAAAAACACCCAAGGCGACCTCATGAGCATTGCAGACGACTCAGAATTCATGCACCCCTTCGCACGGAAGATCATGTACCAGCTCCTTGCCATCAATACGATCATAATCACCATGGACGTCGCTCTTCTCGCTGTCGAGTTTGCGAACCTCTATCTCATAGAGACTACCCTTAAAGGTGTTGTCTACTCTGTAAAGCTCAAGTTGGAATTCGCCGTCCTCGGCAAACTCGTGCAAATTGTACGCAGCAAGTCTAACAGCAGTAAGCACCAAGGCTCGGTGGATGGTCGAACTATAGCTACCAGCATGGAACATCATTACATCCAAACGGCGAGGTGTGGAAGTGGCAATGTATTTACTAGGGGAACATGGAGAGGTGACACCATAGTGCGAATGCAGTCGTTCCCAGATTTTGTGGATCCCGCTCGGGTGAGCTGCGATCTCACCCACGCACCGACCAGCATGCCCCCTAACAGGACGCCAGGTGGGCCGAGCGTTTCTGAAAATGAGGAAGAACTTGGTTGGGAAGTTGGAGGGCAGCACAGAAAGAGACGGTATAGAGCAGAGCGAACTAGCTGGATCGATGAGGAGATGGTAGGCGATTCTCGCTCGAATGAACTCCGGACACTGATACTGAGTAGGACAAGCATAACATCGGTTGATTTACTTGTAACAAACAGCTGGCTCTATAATTAAGGATTTCTGACGAATATCCTTTCATTAGCACTTGTGCTATGCGAAGAGTATGGTTTGGAACTATACGCTATACAGGCAGTGACACCGAAGTACCTCTGGTCTGCCTCGCGTGTTACATTGATAGGTCGCTTCCGAGCACAAAATGCAGTATAATTAGCGCAATAAGACAAGCGCAAGAGGATTGCAGACAGATTTCTTTACGTCTGTTACCAACGAAGTCGCCCGTGATGATCCACAGAACCGTTACCAAGAACCGTTGTAGATTTATACGACTTCTTAGGCTGGAACGAATCATGAGGATAACAATGTATCTGGTTTGTGTCGCTGAAGGGGCTTGACCACGTATGCATGCTTTTAGAGAGCCATTGAGAGGCTGCACCAGCACCAGCTCATCCACTACCTCGAGCAGCCGTAATATCACAGTCCCAAGAGATATGATTGTACCCCCAAATTTAGTCCGCCAGGGGACTAGCCTCACCCCTGGCAGTTCTGAGATTGGTTGCCGCCCCGCTTCAACGTACCCACACGCGACAACGTGGGGTTGGAAGAGGGCGTTGATCTTGCGCATTATTTGCCCCCATGGAGCGCCAGACCGTGCCAGCCATGGAAACGGCAGTGACACGTCTGCGAATCTGTTCGACTGCGCTTTGGGACGAAGGAAGTGCGACAGATGGGGCGGTACGCTATTTTGGTCGGACCAGGGTCGTCTCCTTGCAAAAGCAGGATACAGAGTACAGACGCGAGTCTTGATAGAGATTGAAGCCCAAGCGCAACTGCGTCTTGGAAGCCGATCACACTTGAACGGGGACACGCTAAATCAGTCATATTCCAATACTTACCAATCTTGCCATCAATGCCAGCGCCGGTAATGCATGAGTTGAGTAATATACAGATGGTGTACACGTCTAGTACTTCGGTGTATGCGACCATTGCGAACGTCAGAAGTCTATGGCGCTGCGATGGGTTCATCAGGTGTCTGCTGCGCAAGCTCCTCCAATTTCTCCGCCATATGCAAGTCTCGAACGTCCCAGCCAGTTTTCTCCGTGGCCCAATCTTTCTTATCGCCTAAAATAGCAACGCTACTTTCAGACACTTGTTTTACGAGGAATTCGTCTGCAACGCGCTGGATCTGCTCGGCCGTGACATCCAACAGGCGCTCCCTTCTGGTCTGGAGCATGTCGTCTGTGATACCGGACAGGAACAATCGCATGCCCTCTTGACTTACGCTTTGCGGCGCATCATAGCCCTGGAAGACACTGAGTTTGGCTTCCTCAAGGTCTTGCGCCGTCCAAACACGGTCACGTGCCCATTGTCCGGCCTCAGCCATAATCTTCATCGTGTTCTGTGGATTGGGATCACGGTAGCTGTACATGCCGAAAATGCCTCCCAAAGAACGCGAGTAAGCGCCTCCACCGTAGGCACCACCCTTTTCTCGGATTTCGTGGTGCAGATGCTTGTGAGTGAGCAGCTGTGCGAGAGTCTCGAGAGCTGCGCTGGAGGCATCTGTATAGGGGACTGTTGGGACGGCTCTTGCGGAATAGTATACTTGGTAAGGAAGCGGAAAGAAAGATTTGGCATTCCGGGGGTATTCAGCGTGTTTTGATGCAGGAGGAAGAGTGGCATTTTTCGGCAATGAGCGAAGGAAGCGCTGCAAAGCTTCCTGATTCGACGTTGAGCTCTCAGGGCCACATGTAAGGGCAACGCGAAGCTGATTGCCATGAGCGATGGTGAACGACTGAATAGCCTTGAGCTTCGCGATTACATCGCTGAGTGACTCAGTCATCGAACGTGCTGCGAGCGCCGCCGTAAGCTTGACTTGGGACAGCCCTCCTGTTTGTTCGGCCAGTCTACCTACGGGTGTGAGCCCGGCTTCGGCAAAGGTCCTGGCGAACGAATGGCCTGATTCGGCGATGGAGTTGATTACACCGCTGGCAGAGCTTTGCAGCAGCTCACGGATTTTCTTTTCCGTATCCGGGCCATCAAAATTGGTCTCCATGATGATGGTACGAAGAAGCGTGTACATGTCGGGTATGTTCCGATCTAACGCAAATCCAGAAAAGGAAAAGCCTTCCTCAAATTGTTGCAGAGCGAGCGGGGAAGGTGATGCGTGATGACCCACCGTGATTCCGCCAGTTTTGAGCTTGATCAGTTCCTCGAGCTGCTCCATGCTCTTGTTGCGGGTTCCCAGGCGCATAATGGCGCTGGTAAATAATGGGATCATCTCCCTCAGCTCATCCGGTAAGTTCTCCAGATGGTGAACCGCACGAAAATAAGTCAGCCCATTGGTCGGAGCTTCCCGCCACTGCACCTTTACGCCGTCAACTTCGCTGTACCGAAGAGGTTTGCGTTCCTTCTCACGAGGGATATCCTTTACGTGAACAGTGGGCAAGCAGCTGAGATCTTGATTTCTGGCATTCTCTTGCAGTTCAAGCAGTTCAAGCTCGCGTTTCTCCAAGTACTCTCGAGCCTCTTCTTGGCTAGAGAATCGTTTTGTCACTTCGGAGATTTTTTCGGCAAGCCGCTCGTTCTCCTCGTCGACTAGATCCTGGGCAAACCTCTCGGATGGTGTCATTGTGAAGGTCAGGGTCCGGTCGTTGAGAAGATATTTATCCAACAGATTTTCCAAGTAATCTCCTTGAGCAAGTCTTTCTTGGAATGCCTTTACAGTGTCTTGCCATGCAAGTGCAGCCATGGGATCTACACCATTAAACCAGCCAGGTTTCAACCTTTGCATCATGTTCATGCCGAAATGGGCAGTCTTGTGTTTCAGCGACAGTTCTAGCTGGTGCAAGATTCCATCGATCTTGATCCTATCGAAACCGTTCTTCCTTGCTTCCAGTAGCGTCGTTGCAATGGTTTCTCGAACCTTTGGCACATCGTCTTCTTTGACGGCATTCAACCCCACAGAAAACACGCCCAGCTTTCCAGCACTGTCGTAGCCAGTGTTTGGGCTGAAGTCAGCACCTAATCCCGACTCGATTAGGTTGCGATACAAGGGCGAACCGTATCCATCCATCAACAGGCTGCTCAATACACCTAAAGAAAAGTTCTCTAGGACATCGGCAGTATCGCCCATCAGCCAGGTAACCGACGTCTTATGCTGGCGATCTGCTGGTACGAGGGGATCCAATGGTCCGGGTACCGTCACGTGCCTTGGGCCGTTGAGCTTTATGGGGCTTTTTACATCATGATCCACAGAAATCTGGTTGAAGGCACGCAGTCGCTGGTTGATTTCCTTCAAGTGCTCTGTCAAAGGCATGTTGCCGTATGTCAAGAATTTTGCGTTACTTGGATGGTAGTGATCGGCGTGGAACTTGCGCAGCTGTTCCCAAGTCAGGTCGGTGATTTTCTGCGGATCGCCACCCGAATTGTTAATGGCCGGAAAAAGGTGGTCCTGGAAGCGAACGTAGAACAAGTAGCTTGCATCGGACATTTGGCCCTTCATCTCATTGTACACAACGCCTTTGAAGACCAGACGCTTGGCGTCGTCGGGGCCTTCTTCTTGCGCAGCTAAAGGGTTCTCCGGACCAATGCGCCAGCCTTCCTGGGTGAAGTCGGTTTCATGCAGGAGCGGGTGAAGCGTTGCATCGAGATATACAGACATGAGATTCCTGAAATCCTGGGCGTTGGTGGTTGCAAACGGGTAGGTGGTGTGGTCCGAGGACGTGAAGGCGTTCATGAAGTTGGAGAGGGAGCGTGGAAGCATCTTGAAAAAGGGATCGCGCACCGGATACCTGGATCGTCAGCGGACGGCACGCGGTACGGATCGTGTTGCCTACTTGACACTGCCGCACAGGGTGGTGTGTTCGAGGATGTGCGGCACGCCAGTGTCATCAGGAGGGTTCGTCTTGAAGCCGATGGAGAAGACATTGTTGGCATCGTCGCGCGCGATGTGGAGGTATTCGGCGCCCGTCTTGTTGTGCTGGAGCTCGAGCGCCGTCAGCTCCAACTCGGGCACCTGCTTGACGCGCTTGAGAGTGAAGCCATGGAGCTGCTCGCCGACGCGCGGGAAGCTCGAGAGGTCGGTGGCGGCGGCGGCATGTCCGCGTCGCAGGAGGCGCGTCGACGGCGCGTGCGGAGGGGCGCTGGCACTGGTACTGGTGCTGGGGGACCAGCGATTGCGCAGCTGACAGCGAGCGCTCCGTAACATGGCAGGCGGGCGTGCAGACGGAGGACGAAGGGTGCGTGGATCGCCAGCCGGCGCAGAAAAGCGACCCATGACGCCTGCGCCGCCGATTGGCCGCGGCAGGGCAGGCAGGGCAGGCAGGGCAGGGCACGTGATGCGGTGCTGACTAACGGGCGAGCGAGGCTCATGGAGGCTCTGAGCAGTGCAGCCAGCACAGGCACACGACGATTGGAGCGCGACGGCCTGCGAGTCCCGCACATTCGACTTGGAGCGCGGCCCTCAGCAAGCAGCAGCAGCGTTGCGCCTCCCCACGCCCTCGCCCTCGCCCCCGCCCGCGCCCGCGACGAAACTGCGCCAGCAGAAGGCTTTGCGAGTCCCCTCCCGGTGCTGCATCCCCACGCGACCCCATCACCTCTGGCGTCCGCCCTCGCAGACCACCGCCGCCTGCCCCTGCCTGCGCGCCTGCCTCGCCATCCGTGCTGCACCTGCCCGCACCCTCCTCGCCGCGCGCCGCGAGCCGCACACCGAAGCCCCCACTGCGTCCCCGATACGTCAGCGCAGCCTGCGTGCCTGCCCCTCGCACGCCCGAGGGTGATACACCGTCTTGTGTGTGTGTGTGTGTGTGTGTGTGTGTGCGTGCCGCGTTGAGCCTCCTGAGCTGCCGTCCCGGCCAAGGCAATTGCCGCTTCCTTGATGGCAGCCGTTGCCCACCAGTATCCCACGTCGACACCAGCACAACCACGGGCCGTCTCTCGGAGCATGGACACCAGCCGAAGCCCTTCCGCCTCCACCTCTGCCTCCATGGCGCCTGCACAGCCCGCGCCGCCCATGGCGAAGAAGGGCAAGGCGAAGAAGTCGCCCGACCCGTCCGAGCAGCAGAAGCAGATCCAGGCCAAAATCGCCCAGTTGGAGCAGGACGCCGCCGGTGACAAGGAGCAAGAGCTCGAAATCGGTGCGTTGCCCCTCCCCACACCGCGCCTGGCACGACCTGGACCATGCACCTTTGCGTCACGCCTCGGGCTGATAGTACTAACGACCCTCTAGAACGAGAAGTCAAAAAGGCAAACCGAGAGCTATCGTCGCTTCTCAATAGCATGGATGGCCCGCTGACCCGCGTCGAGGTGGTCCAGAAACGCTACACGGAGCTGCTCTCGGAGATGAAGCGAACCGAGCGGGAACACCAGAAATCCAAGAAACGCGGCGATCAACTTCAAAAAGAGAAGGATGCGCAGAGGTCGGAGCTCAACAAAGTCACCACCATGAGAGACAAGCTCGATAAGCTGTCACGAGACTTCGCCAAGGAGAACAAGAAGCTGAAGGACGAGTTGCATAAGATGGAGTCCACCGAATCAGCCGCGCGGGAAGAGCTACACCACCGCCTTGAGGAGCTTGTCTATGACGTCGACAGTTGCATTGCCCAGCAACACCACCCAGAACCGCAGAATCAAGCAGACGTTGAGCTTGACGAATTGTGCGTGAATCGCCGAATACCTTCTGTGTTGAGGTTGACGTGTCGCAGGTTTCGGCAAAAATTCAAATCATTTATCGACCAGTATGAGTTGCGCGAGCTGCAGTTTCACTCACTTCTTCGGACCAAAGAACTTGAGATACAGTATCAGATGGCCCGACTCGAGCAACAACGTAAACAGCAAGAAGCAGAATCGTCCAAATCGCACCAACTCACTAGGCAGGTGTCCACATTCTCGCAGACCGAAACAGAACTACGCACCCAGCTAAACATATACGTGGAGAAGTTCAAGCAGGTATGATTCCTCAACGAATACGGCGTACACCATTGGTTAATACTGACCAGATGCAGGTCGAAGAAACGCTCAACAACTCGAACGATCTCTTTCTCACATTCCGCAAAGAAATGGAAGAAATGTCAAAGAAGACCAAGCGCCTCGAGAAGGAGAATCAGAATTTGCAACGAAACAAAGAAGTCACCAATCGTAACATCGCGGAGATGGTGCAGGAACGCGAAAAGATGCAAGATGACCTGGCGAGGAAGACGAAGGAGGTGGAAGAGCAGCGCAAGAAGATTGCTCGCTTGGAGACACTCTGTAGAGGTATGCAAGCACAGGGACGAGGTCAAGTTCCCATGACCGAACTTGAAGAGGATGAGGAAGTGACTGAGAGCGAATATGAATACGAAGACGACGACGAGGAAGGCAGCGAGCAGTATGACGACGATACCGAGGACGATGCTATAGAGACCGTACCAGAACGTCGACCCTTCGGTCCCGTACCACCGCCTCCACCTCCACCTCAGAATCCTGCAAGCACAAAAGTCAACGGCCACAGACAGGCTAATGGACAGATCAATGGAGTCAAGCGCTAATCGCCGTACGTGCTAGATCGTTCCATGTCCTCTCAAAGGTAGCCCGATGCAAGGCCACGGCTCTATGCCTAGAGTCGCCAGGTCTAGCAAGGCGATTCCCGGTTCTCAAAGAATCTGTCGAGCTTCGGTCAACCGAAGACACGTTTCGGGGGCTCACGAACATCATGAAGACCAGGGTCCTATTCAAAGCCGTAGCCCAAGCCCGACAATGTAATGCGTGCTCGCAGCGCTTATGGAAGGTCTGTTGCTAAGGCTCTCCGGCGGGTGTACATTATCTCTCTAAGCAATGACATGCCGCTGTTCATCATCCTGGTTCGCGTTGAGTACTAGCTTTTGTTGGACTTCGATTCTGTGTGCACCTTGACCGAGCAGAGGCAATGTTCATTCCCAACAACTGGCCGACGCGATCCGTGGGCACAGATTTATCTTCTGAAGCATGCGCGTTATTTGCAGTTCGCGAACGCTGTTGTCGTGCAACTACGGATGGTTAAATGTCACGCGAAGGGCGACTCGCAAGTAGTCCTAGCGGTAGAAGGTGCCTCGGCTCGGCATGCAATCCCCGCGTTCGACAAGGATCCTTGCCATGCACGGTACTATTTAGCTTCCTCACACGCCCTTTGGTCTACGGTGCTCCCGCCATCTATCGCATCTACGCGCTCTGTGCACATGCCTCCGTGCCCCGTGATAACCTGATCCAACTTCCACCGCTCCAACCACGCTGCATTTGCCTGATCCACGATCATGTCGCTGCCCACCCTACAAACGCCTCTCTCAAAGCTGCTGGGCATTCAGTATCCCATTATCCTTGCGGGAATGGCCCGTACTTCTGGCGGACCCCTCGCTGCGGCCGTTTCGAATGCCGGTGGTCTGGGTGTTATCGGCGGCCTGGGCTACACACCCGCTCAGCTGCAATCCATTATTGACGAGCTCAAGGGTAATCTCTCGGACAAATCGCTGCCTTTTGGCGTCGATCTCGCGCTCCCTCAGGTCGGCGGATCAGCGCGCAAGACGAATCATGACTATACGCATGGCCAGCTCGACGAACTGATTGAAGTCACCATCAAAAACGGCGCGAAGCTGTTTGTCAGTGCGGTAGGCGTACCGCCCGCCAGAACAATCAAAAGACTTCACGAGGCAGGTGTCGTGGTACGTACTCTCAACCTGCTGAGATATCCATGACTGAGAGCAAATAGATTATGAACATGGTTGGGCATCCTCGCCATGCTGTCAAAGCACTGGAAGCGGGTGTCGATATTGTGTGCGCGCAGGGTGGTGAAGGCGGCGGACACACTGGCGACATTGCAAATTCCATACTAATCCCCGCTGTGGTGGATGTGGCGAGAAAGTATACAAGTCCGCTCACGGGGCAGCCGGCCATGGTGGTCGCTGCGGGTGGCATCTACAACGGGCGGTCGCTGGCGAGCAGCCTGATGCAGGGTGCTCAGGGCGTCTGGGTAGGCACTCGTTTTGTAGCTTCCACTGAGGCGGGATGTTCTCAGCAGCACAAGGAGAATGTTGTTTCTGCGCGTTTCGAAGATACAGATCGTACGCTGGTGGTCAGCGGGCGACCTCTCAGGGTCAAGCTCAACGACTACATCAGAGACTGGCACGCAAGGCCAGAGGAGATCAAGGCGCTGACCGAGGCGGGAGTCGTGCCGCTTGCGAAGGATATGGAGGACGAGAGAGAATTCGATATTCCGTTCCTTATGGGGCAGGTGGCCGGCGAGATTAGGGACATCAAGCCAGCCAAACAAATCGTAGAAGACATGGTGATCGAAGCGGTGGAGATGCTGAGTCTGGGGCAGACATATATTGCGAGACCGAGTAGTAAGTTGTAAGAGTACCGAAGACACTTTTCTACATGCACGATTTCCCGCCACACGAGGACAACGTGTGGACGTACCTTAGTTTCCCTCCTTCAACCCTGAACTCATGGCTATCAGGCAACCCTCCTTGTCCAAACCCTCCTGTACCAGCGAAGTCCATCTGCACATCAACAGTACCATACATCTCATCAATCACATATTGTCGATTGATCAACTTGACTCCGCTCGGAATGCCCACGTCACATCGATCGGTGGCCTGTCCTTTGCCTGTGTACGATCCTCCCTCAAGTCGTGCACACGGTTGGCCCCACGGCACCTTAATACTCTTGTCGTTGAAAATATTGCAATATGCATCCGCTGCTGCCTGGATTGCCTCCCGTGTGTCGCGCTTATCCGTGGGAATAGGATCCCACTTCTCTCTAGATGCCCAGTAATACGTTCCTGTGACATTGAATAACCAATCTCCCTTCGTTGTGACAATGTTGTCTATCTGGCTAATCTTCTGAGTAGTGTTGTCCAGGCGTAATTGCGTGGCAATCACGTAGGGTTTAGCAGCGGTTGTGACGATGAGCTCGCTGAATGCAGCGCACTGTGGAACGTCGTGCTGGCTGCGGTTGTGGGCAATGGTAAGAGCCTGCGACAATATTCCCTTCGCCAGATCCATGGATTTCCGGTTCTCCGTATATTTGATTGTTGAGGCGAAAGATGCGGCACCATTAAGTTTCCCTGTGGCTTGAACGACGAGGAGATCATCGGTTGCCGCTGTCAACTGTTCCCGAGTACATGTGGCGGTGGCATGGACGGTAAGAACTCCGAACACGATTGTCAAAATGTTCCGCATAACGGCAAAAACAGAATATCTGATGATTTGGGTGTGGTGTGTGTGCGACGACAGGAGCTGCCGATGCACAGGTCTTTTGTAGGCTAGGCAAGCCTCTGCCTGGTGACGCAAACATGTGAACTAATATCTACAAGATCTTTCCTTACGGGTTGGAACATATTGCGATCGTGTGCCCAGACGCCGGCAATGGCACTCTACAATATTTGTTCATCTAGGAAGGATGTGGGGCGATCCGGCAGCCCACATAGATCAAGCTTGATGAACACCCCACCCCGTGATTAGATGCGGTATGGTGGGGAAGTTTCACTATGAATCTCTTTTACCACCAATCTGCAGACCGATGTCTACGTACTTAAGCTGAACTCTACATAACAATTAACCTCATATGTTTGTTATTAGGTTAATTTAACAAAACTGAAATGGTGTTACCTACTCGCACTCTAGTGGCGATACTTCGTAGCTTTCTGCTTGATAGTCGCCTGAATGCGATACTATTGCAATCGCGTTTATTTGATCACTTACGTTCGCTGTGGGTACCATAAAATATATGATTCCCGCCGCGCTAGGCTGGTGTCACACTGGGGCAGTCTCAATTTTGTTAATCAGAACCAACCATCCATCATGGTAAAACAAGTTGTCTGTTGTTGAAATTTGGAGTAACTGTAAAAAGAAAGTGCCCACTGTCAGAATTGAACTGACGACCTTATCATAGCTTACTACTAGTGATACGCTCTACCACTGAGCCAAGCGGGCTTTGATCACATGCTTGATGACAAATCTTGGAAGTCGCGCTTATATATTAAAATTATTCTTCTACTGTGAGCCGCCCCAGAACAGCCGAACTCCAATCGTCTTACTCCTACAGCCTTCATTGCTTTTCTTCAGCTTTGCGACTTAGCAAATTAAGGACATCTTCTTATAGTGCAGTGGGGCGATGTTGGAAAAGCGAAACGACTCGCCGAATTTCCCTAGCCATTTCGACAATGGCATTACCACACTCGGGAGACGCACCCAGTACCACTACTACCATCACGACCTCGTTTTTGTTATACATATCATCCCGTTTTAAAGACGTCTTTTAGAGAAGAAGATGTATCTACTAATGAACTTTGTCTCTAGAGACATTGTCCCTGGTGGCGCACGAGCCTACCAAATTCTCCTACTGCCGAATCAGGGAAAATCAATATCTAAACGTCATGGATGATCCCTTACGTGGTACTGCATTCGACGCACGTTCTGCCCACTGCTAGATTGGGCAGTTTGAACAAACAACGCGATGCAGTGGCTTTGCGATTCCAGATGCAGACTTCAGCTTACCTCAGGGTGCAGTGGTGCGAAGACCTTCGTTGAAACAGCTTTAGAATCAGAACAGGCTAAGACGGTGATATGTGAAAGACGACCGTTCGCTCTTCTCTGAAACATGGCAGTCACCACCTAAAGGACCTCGAGCGTACGTTATATGGCATCAGCTGTCTTGTGGATTTCTTGGGTTCCTGCACAGGAGAGCATCTCTAGATTTAGGTATTGTGGTCTGCTGACATAGGCTGGTTGACTCGCCTGTGGCTAGAGGTCGCCTGGAAACTGTCCTACATAATTCATCTCGCGGAAACGCGGTGCAAAGGAAGGCCGAATTTGTTCATATCTTATAAGTTGAATGCAGGCGATTCTTGCGTAACATGTGTCCCAAAATGTGGACAATATTCGTGGGCGAAACTCGCGTGTGGTATTCTATGGTACAAAGCAAAAAAGCATTTCTGGATGTCCAGGGGCGAGCCCCGCTTCAGAGGAACCGCGTCGTACCGCTTTGCAGTCACTGCTACATGCACTCATGATGGACGTTTTCGGATTCCGCATCCTGCTCACAAGATTTTGCTTTTGACAATGCCCTCAAAATGCTCGAAACAAAACTTCCCTCCGATAAAACACTCCACCATCCATTTCCACCACGCGGCACTGAGTATGCTCACCCCATGATCCTTCAACTTCTTTGCAAAAATAGCGCTCTCGATAGTATGCGCACCGTACAAGAACCAGAAGATGCCAGTCTGCAGCCACTGTGCGGCATTTGCGAGAGTAGGTGATTGCGACAGAAGCTGGCCGTGGAACGCCGAGAAACGCCGTGACGCAGAAAGTGCCATTATAATTCCGCACACGATGATGGGTTTCGAGAGGTGCGATGGTGGAAGCTTGTAAGGAACGGTTCGGGTGCTCATTGCGGCGTAAGCTGGCTTTGCGTTCTACGGCCAGGTGTAGAGACAGAGGATATGCTGGACTGCGGCCGCCTTGCTCACTCGCATGTAGATCAGGTGTGAATGTGCATCGTATGTGGCATCCTCCCTTTTATCTCCGATGCGAGTCATGAGCTAAGGAAGTCGAAGCGATTACCTCGGTATACGGGCGTGGTCTCTTGATTGCGATCCGGTGTTGACTCGGCCAGAGTGCGTCGCATTATAGAATAATGTTTACCTTTGAGATGGCTCAGGAAATTGTTTGGTTTCAATGCTCCCTACCCTTTAGAGGTGGTTACCGCCGACCCGGACTTCAATCCGTGCGCAACTTCCCTGATCGGGCAAGCAGTCACTTCCGTCGATGACTGGAACGACTGCGAACATTGAATAGCGCAGGCGTGTGCAGTGGCGCGCGTTCACGTGAATTTTACAGGGCTACCAGGCTCTTCAATTGGCTTAGTGACCGGCTGTTAATTTCCGGTGGTGCACGGTGGCAAGCACTTCAGAGCAGACCATGTTTTGAAGCTACCGTACGCACTTTGTGCTCTGGTTTTGCTCGTCTACTAGAACCTAAAATGACACAACAATTCCATGTTCTGACCATCACATTACCTCGGGAGCTTCTAGGATCGGGTAACGCAAAGTGTATGCGATGACACGAAGATGGCAAAACGCATCAGGGCAACACGGGAAACGGACATGATGATAGTACGCTAAACAGGTTGAGGGGCTGCGTTTGGTCTATGGGCTGCCTCTTTGCCTAGAGCTCAGAGCTGGGTTGGGTACTTGGTGGTCTCGATCTTGTCGGGATATGTGAGGCCGCCCTGCTTTCTCGTCTCATCCATGACGTCCATGATGAGAATACTCTCGTCGAGACCTTCGTACCGGCCTTCTTTTCGACCGTTGATGAGGGCATCGGCTGCCTCGTCTGCCTCCCAGAACATACCGTGCCCTTCGCCCTCGGCATTGGTGGTAGCGCCGAACCCGTTGTGCCATCCGCTTCCCTCGCCGGGACCGGGCTGCGGCCAGGTCTTGTCCTCCACAGTGCCGTCTTTGAGGACGATGCGGGTGCGGGTCGGGCGGAAGGCAGGCGGGAAGACTTGGATTTCGCCGTTGGGGCCCTGGATACGGATTCCAGGAACGTCCTGGTTCCCGGCTGGGGAAGTCGCGACGCGGATCGAGGTGGTGGCGATGGCATGTGCTTCGCCGCCGGCATCGTCGGCGCGCGGGAAGCTCAGGACGATAGTTGTCGTTTCGTCAGCATCCTTTGTGGGGCCGTAGTTCTTCATGGCGGCGAGAACCTTGGGGGCCTGACGGGCACCCGGCGGCTGGGTGTGATAGAGCGTCTGGAAAACCCAGGTCAGGCTGTAGATGCCGAGATCGAGCAGAGCGCCGCCGGCCAGGTCCGGGTTGACCATGCGGTTGGTGCCGTCCTTCCACTGCACCTCGGGGTCGCAGGCCATGCTGTTGTCGGCGAAGACGCGCGCCACGGGGCCGATGCGGCCGGCGGTGATCTGGTCGCGCACGTAAACGGACAGCGGGAAGTATCGCGTCCATACGGCCTCCATGAGGAAGAGCCCCTTCTCGCGCGCCTTGTCGGCCAGGGCGCGCAGCTGGGCGGCGTTGACTGTGAAGGCCTTTTCGCACAGCACGGGCTTGCCGGCCTCGAGCGCGAGCATTGCGTTCTGGTAGTGATGCGAGTGCGGCGTTGCAACGTAGACAATGTCGACATTGGCGTCGTCGACCAGCTCCTGGTACGAGCCGTAGGCCTTTGCGTCGGCCGGCGCGCCCGTGGCCTTGAGGAAGTCGCGTGCGCGCGCCGGCGACGACGACGACGCGGCCGCAACGACCGTGTGCTTGAGGTGGCGCACGCCGCGCGTGGCAGGGTCGACCAGCAGGTCCTTGGTGCTGCCTTTGCTGTCAGCCATGGCGTGCACTCCAACCCCGCGGGCGCAGGACCTACAATGTCGTGGCGATGCCGCCCGTTGCCAGAATGCCCCAGCGGATCGTCTTGGGAGCGGCCATGGTGGGCTGCGTCTACTCGAGGGTGAACAGTGAGTCGCAGGAGAGCGGCGGGCAGCTGAGGACACGGCGGGAGGCACACGGCGATGCCATGTAGCTTCACGTCATGTCCCGCACGCTGCCAACCCGGCCCCGCGGCGCGACAACCCCACTCTTGCCTGCCGTCGACGCCGCGCCCAGCTCGGGCCGCCGAAGAGTGGGCGCGTCCGACCTTGCCAGTTCCTGAACGCCTCGTGCTCTGGTCCCTTGGCTCCCACTGTTGGCGGCCTCGTGCTTGTCCGGCACGGCTGCGCTGTCCGCATCCTATCCATGTTGCAACTAGGCCGCCGTCGAAGCATGCTGCACGTACCCCGGCGTGCCTTCTTGCTGCACACAGCCTCTTGCGAACCGTCCATCAACTTTCTGCAAATAACCCCTGATCCGCCAATCATCTCTACCACCCTCTGTCTGAGGATGCAAACTCGTAATCTCGAGCGAAAAGAGCTGTCCAGGCGAGGAATTGGCATATCGCGGCTAAATGCACAACGGGACTACGTCGCAGCCCGCGGCGTGGCCGCACCACATAGGCTCACTCCATCGGCACCTCGGTGGCTTGTGTGCTCCCCAAGCTACCAAAGGTGCGCCATCACCTTACCACCGGTGCCAGTCCCCGGTGAGGCTTTTCGGGTGACTGGTACAGCTCGAACGCTTTGGTTACACGCGAGATGCCACAGCTTTCGTATACTCGATCAGCACTGCCGCATCTTGTTCAGTCGTTCGATATTCGAGCGGGTTGGGCCACGTGTGCGCGAGCGAAGTTCGGCTCCAGCAAACCCTGCCGATTGCTCCTGCGAATGTGAGAAATGCAAGGTGAATCTTGAGGAGGTGGCACAGGCTGTGCGTCATTGTAATTGGGGTTTTCCTGCGGCCTTGTCGTGGGCATACGGCTTGATCACTATTGTACCAACACGGATTTATGTATAGCGGCTAGCATCGTCTCATTCCCATCCAGCACAGATGCGGCATCATGCTGCTCGCCGTCACCTACTGACCAGGGCAGACTTCCCGGTTCATGGGAGGTTTGCATGGTCTCGATGACTAGCATATGTCCTTGCGCCATTGTGAGGTCCGTCAAATGGCCAACAGCTGCAGCTAGTAGAAGCCGACGCAACCCCTGTGCGCCTACTCGGGACATCCGCATTAACGCCGAACGCCCACCATTCAGACTGGTTGTTGCCCATAAAACATAGCACCCTGCACCTCACTTCGATGATCCAACGCGTTGACTTACAGCACACTCCTTTGGATCCCCTTCAAGCCTAGCGCGATGCAGAAGCGAGACCACGTCACTTGCCACAGTATCGGACCATTTCGAATTGCAACCGGACAACACGACACAACTGACAGCTCATTGACAGCGAGACGCACCCCACTTGTTCTTTACGCATCATCTCGTGTGTGGTGGCAAACCGACTGGGACTGGGCTAGCGTGCATTGCACGGCTGGGGGCAGCTAGAGCTTCGGGCATGATGAACAAGAGACGGCGAGGTGCATAGTGGTGCAATGAACGGATGGCCAGAGCACAGGGCTGATGCTCTAAGCACGCAACGGCCCGGCTCGTTAAAAGCATCAGTGTCAAGGGCACGCAGGATCTAAGCACAACAGAGTTTGAAGACGTGGACGACCATCCCCAGCCACGCGCTGCTGGAATGCCGTGATGTGACTGGACGCCATCATGCGTACGGCAACGATCGAGCTGACCTGGCTAGCCTGAGTCAGGCCGCTATGCATGGACATCACGCCATGGACGCGTTTGGTTGACGAGTTCCTGGCAGAGTTTGGTTCGGTGCGGTCCGGAACGAGGACGGAGCGCAAGGCAAAGCTCTTGCGCGGGTCCGTACCTTGAACGGCAATAGCTCAGAGCCTAAGAACGCAAGTGTGGACAAGCCGGCATCATTAGCCTTATAGCTCCTGCTGGCCTCTCAGCCAACTCATACAAACCAATCTTCATTTGGCCAAGCCGTGCATGACCCCACATGATTTCAGTACTCATTGGTCCCAGAAGATCTGAATGTTGCATGACTGGCTTTTATATACCTTGTCTGCCCACGGTGGATTGCCTGCACTCATGTTTTTTCGCCTGGTCTTAAATGACGACTCAAATTCCAAAGCCAATAAGAGCAAGCATGCGACACCAACCAGGAGAGCCACACTCCCCAAGACGTCGGACGTTTATCTAGCAACACGAACCACGCGGGACACAGGCGGCAATACCCCTCATCCACTCTACCACCCTACTGGATCTTCAGCTCGGCAGAGTCGATTTTTGCGGAGAGGGCAGTTCAAGCATGCGTTGTGGAACTATAAACAGTAGGCCAGCATCCCTAGGTTTCGCATTGTCTTACGTTTCTGTCACGAACCTGGACCATTGGTCCTTCCCGGACAGCAACTATCCTCTAGGGTGACTCCCGTCATCGATAGCAACTCGACGTCTGCTTTGCCGGCAACGCCTACCATGGCCGCTAACCGACAAGAGACTTATATACAAAAGCTTCAAAGTATGTGCCTTGTTTCCTGCACTGTCTGCAACTAACAATCATCTTCTTTAGGCTATTGCACGGCCAATCAAATCGCGCAGCCGCAGTTCCAGGACTATTCAGACCCAAGAGGTATGCTTCTAACTAGCAAGTCCACCCCATGTGCCATGTATTAATTATTCAAAGGGATTAGAACAGCCTGGTCTAGCGGCGTTGTCGTGCAAGGCCGTGAATTCCGAGCCCATCTTTGGCGGGACTACCGTTATCTAGAACAATCCCGTGAAGAGGCCGCTGAGATTGCTTGGAAGACTTTGAATGGGATACCTGTCACAAATGCTCCACAGTTTACATACGGACGTGGGTACACTACAATGTCAAGATAGATAGTACTTTCGCGATACGTGTATCGGCGCAGGTGAAGCAAAACATCCACGTAGGATCTAGGATTATTTATAGGTATATTGTCACGGTAACCTTAGAGGCTACCTGACAAGCATGGATATACTGCTGGCAGTAGTATATCTTAGAGATGTCGCGCGCTGGCGGCCAGCCAATAGATTATTAGACGGGTGGCCCGTCTGCTAGCTGATTGGTCAAAGCATGGCGCTAGCCACCCTTGGCGAGGGCGTGCGACGAAGCGAGAAGATAGATCCACGCTGGATAGGGGGGAGAGGACCTTTTCTCCTTATCCAACGTCTTGTACCTACACGTAGATACCGAACGCAGTATATTGATCTAGCCTACCTGGGCCTCAGACATCTTGCTCGTTGCTCTCGTGACAGCTCCGCAGACGTTGCGCGGGGCTCCGCGTTTTGCCATACAAAAATGGCTCCGCTCAAACTTTTTCCGAG